CCAGCGGGGGCTCCAGCGAAGGCTCCAGCGGGGGCTCCAGCGAAGGCTCCAGCGAAGCCACCAGCGAAGCCACCAGCGGGGGCTCCAGCCAAGCCTGCTCCCAAGTCTCCTTCCAAGACTGCTCCTCCAAAGGCTCCTGCTGCTGCCAAACCTCCTGCTAAGGCACCCGCACCTGCCAAGGCTCCTGCAAAGCCTGCCCCTGCAAAACCTGCTCCTGCAAAAGCGCCCCCCAAAGCAGCTCCCAAAATGCCCGCCAAAGCTCCTGCTACTGCTGCGCCGAAAGCTCCAGCGAAAGTCCCTCCCAAAGCCCCTGCTAATGGCGCTGCTCCAAAGGCACCTGCTAAAGCGCCTCCTGCTGCAGGAGCGAAGAAGCCGCCGAAAGCTGCCCCGAAGACTCCAGCAAAGGCCCCTGGCAAGGCTCCATCCGCGCCGAAGGCTGGGGCAAGTGCTCCAGCGGCGCACGCACCAGCTGCCACACCAAAGAAACCGGTAACGCCTGCTAAAGGCGGTGCCGCAGCCAAACCTCCGGCCGCTACTGGCAAACCCGGCGCCGCTGCTCCCGCACCTATTGCGGGCCATGCTGCGCCCAAACCTGGAACACCCAAAGAACCTGTCAAGAAACCGGCTCCTGGACACGGGGCACCCGCCGCTGGTGCACAAGGAACACATGCAGATGGAGAAGAGGCACAAGAGACTGCCGGTTCTGCATCTTCGCCAAATCCGGCTGCGCCAGTCAATGGTGGAGGCGGGAAACCTGGGGCAGTGTCCCCCGGACACAAGCCACCCAAGGGTAGCGGGGCTGGTGGCAAGCCTGACTCGGCACATCCAGGTGCCAGCGACGGAAGTGTAGTTGGGGGGGCGGGTGTGCCAAAGGCTCCGCCTAAAGCGCCTGCGAAACCATCGCAAGGCGCTGCTCCTTCCAAGACTAGCGTGTCTCTTGCTAAATCACATTCCGCGTCACCCCATGGCCATGCCAGTACCGCCACCACACCAGCCCCACAAAAGCACCCGAAGGGTCAAAAGCACCATTCCCATGATTCAGAGACGCACCATAGCACTGAACACCAGAAGCATCATGTCGAACATGATCAAGAATTCCATTCCTCGTCCGTGTGGCCGAAGCATCATAATCACTATGGAAAGGGGCATCATGACCACCACGGGCAGAAGCACACTGGTCATGATGGAAACAAGCATCACGGCGACCGCAAGCACCACGGTGATCACAAGCAGCACACGCACCACGAGCCGAAACATGAGAATCACCACGACTCGCATGGTCATCACAGTCATCATGTGCCGAACCATCACTACGGCCATCACGCGCCGAAGCATCACGGCCATCACAGGCCAAAGAAGCTCGATGGTGACTATGACAAGGAGCATGGCGGTCACAAAGCACACGGAAATCACAACGATCACAAGGAGCACGAAGACCATGAGGGTCACAAAGGCCACAAGGACCACAAGGGCCATAAGGGCCACGAGGAGCACGAAACCCACGAGGGTCACAAGGGTCACGAAGATCACAAGGGTCACAAGGGTCAGAAGAGCCGCAAGGATCACAAGGGCCACAAGAAGCACGACGATCATGAGGGTCACAAGGGTCACAAGGGCCACAAGGGTCAGAAGAACCACAAGGATCAGAAGGGCCACAAGGACCATAAGGACCACGAGGAACATGAGGGCCACGAGGAGCACAAGGGCCACAAGGACCATAAGGACCACAAGGAACATAAGGGCCACAAGGAGCACGACGAGCACAAGGGACACAAGGACCACGAGTCAGCAAAGCACGAAGGTCACCAGAAGCATGGCGAACATGGAAAGAAGGAGCATGGTAACCATGAAAAGAAAGGGCACGGAAAGAAGGATCATGAAGGTCACTCGGAGAAGCACTACGGAAAATCCCAGCACCAGCGAGAAGGCGGCCGACACGACAAGCGATCATTTGGTGGGACGCCTCAACTCCTGTTGTCGTCATCCTCGACGATTATCGATGAAGATTACCTGCTCAGCATTGCGGCCAAAAATGCGAACCAAACTGCTCAGTCACCATCGAGTTGGCTCTTGAGTGAGTAACTGCTTGACTCTATCGCGCCCTTTCTTTTGTGAGAGTACTCATGCAGCTACGCATCCTCTGCATTTGCTGCAGTGGATGGCCTGTACGACACTGTGGTGTGGGGCATCGAGAATGGCCTCAGCACGCTCCGCAGTGACTTGCTCTCGCCCGCCTTCCACCCTATCTCGATGGAGCCTAACACTGACTGGATGATTCCCGTCGAGACGGTCTTTGAGAACCCCTTGGCGAAAAAGGAAGCGAGCGACTTCGCAGGCGTATCGCTGGACCTTCTCCAAGAGGCGACCGAAGTAGCGGCGGCGGTGACCGCGACGGTGGCAGCCACATTCTTGCAGAGCGACGCCGTTCGTGCACGCTGCGCGCAACCTGAGGGTGATTTTGGATACTTGATCGAGCGGGGAGATTACGTTGGTTTCAAGCGGTTGCTGGCCCACCACGTCTTTGACTCGCTTGCCGACTTTCTTGATTACTATACACCTCAATTACCATCCAACTTGGTGGAACGCTTGGCAATCTTGTCGGCGCACCGAATATTTCAATCTTTCGACCTGGCCACATGGCAGTCGTTGTTCTCTACCACATGCTCTTTGCGTCATCTCGAGACTTACTTGTAATTTGACGTCTACCTCATTCCCTCCAAGACTCAGAATGTTGATACCCATAATTTGTAAATTATGCTGCGGACGACCATCGGAAACGTCTGCAAGGAAAACAAGCCTCGGCAGAAGGAAAGAGCGGCGGCTTCAGATGTACCTGCACGGCCATGCTTCTAGTTTGAATCCTGCGTCCCAAGCCATACACCTCGAGCAAGGAGGCTTTCGAATAGTAAAGCAAACAGTTCGACATCCCCCAGCATTTGCATACTTTCGTTTCGATGCGCGTGAAATTGAGAGCGAGGCCGCGCAAGCAAGGCGCTAGCATCTGCAAACATTCAGCTCACTCAATGCCAGACTATTTTTGCCCAGAACTATGTTGGAGTAGGCCAATCGAGACTACAACAAATTGTCGCACGAAGGTTCTCCATCCTGTCCTGGAGCCTATCCACTTGCGCTGGGGTTCATTCGGCCTGCTGAAATCTCTTATGAAGTTCCTCCGGGGAACCGGGGGAGGGTCTCTAATGGCGTTCAGGGTCAACATGTCACACAGCGCCGTAAAACATTTGGGACGAAGCCTGCTCCCGCTGAAGATGAGCTCGAAGTGCTTCTCGGGGGCACAATTGATCGTCCTGTCCTGAGCCCCCCCCCCCTCGGTAGACTACCGACCGATGAAGCCAGGTTGACTAGCATGCCTCGGTAATGTCGGATTAAATGAGTGCGACTTCCGTCACCGTCTCGCTACATCGGGGAGGCTGGATCATCTTGGCGAACATTCGACCGTGGAGGCGCTGAGAGTAGAGGCTAAGGAGAGTGCAATATTGAGGTACCTCACAGGCTCAGGATGCGCGCTGCCATTCCGCGCTATCTGCCCGTCATCCTCTCGGGATGGGGGAGACTGTCTGTGAGCGCGCTTCACTGGGGTACGACAAAGTCAAACAGAACAAAAGCCTGTTTACATGCTCTCACTCCTCGAGCGTGATACTCAGTTCCCCATTGACCTCCATCTGCTGCCCGTTTCTTTGTCACAAGCATAACATACCACCTTCTTCATCCGATATACATACAGGTACGCGCATTGAGAATTGCGCGTCGCGGCCGTGCTTCGTGCCGTACAAGAGCCAAACGGAGACGCGAGGTTCGCCGTTTGCGAGCTTGCGGCCATGACTCAATCCATGTTGTCAGAGCGACAACGGGAGGAGCTGTGAGTAGCCAGTAGTCAGAAGCTCTGATTGCTGCTGCTGAACGAATTTGCTTTCGAATTGTGCAGCAATCGGTCCATCTTGGACTACTTTAAGACGCAAGGACTCACACAATCCTTCGATGCGCTCGCGCGAGAGACTGGGCAAGATGGCTTTGTTGTAGATCCGAAGGCCAAGTATGCGGGATTACTGGAAAAGAAGTGGACGAGCGTCATCCGACTGCAGAAAAAGGTGCGTCGTTTGACATCGCGTCCAAACTCATCCGAAGGCCACGCTCACGAGCCGCATATACGGGCTCTTGCTTTGCTGCAGCTGATGGAGCTCGAGGCGAGAAACACGCAGTTGATGGAAGAGCTCGCAGCAGCGCCGATTGCGCGCCGGTCAGCTGGCAATCAGGATTGGACACCTCGAAACCCAGCACGGCATACACTGCAAAGCCATCGTTCGCCCATCACGCGCGTCGCCTTCCATCCCGTGTTTAGCCAGCTCGTGTCCGCCTCCGAGGACTCGACGATCAAGGTATGGGATTGGGAAACGGGAGAATTCGAGCGCACGCTTAAGGGGCACACGAAAGCTGTACAAGATGTCGATTTTGATTCGAAGGGAAATTTTCTGGGTGAGCAGTGTAGTATGACAAGATCCTCCGCAAAGCAGCTGCAGCTAACCCTCGATGTTTGTGATGTACCAAGTGTCATGCTCCTCAGACTTGACCATACGCGTCTGGGACACAAACAACGAATGGAGAACGACAAAGACGCTCTTTGGACATGATCACAGCGTATCATCTGTACGTTTTCTGCCGGGTGACGTACACATTGCAAGTGCAAGCAGAGATCGGACAATCAGGATATGGGAATTTGCCAGCGGGTAAGTGGATGCGGTTACTGTCAGGCGTCAGGAGCGTGAAGATGAGGAGCAGGCTAATGCAAGCGATTGTGCATGCTTGCAGGTATTGCACAAAGACTTTGAGTGGGCATGTGGAATGGGTCCGATGCGTCACGCCTTCGGATGATGGGAGACTATTACTCAGCGCTTCAAATGACCAGACGGCGCGAATATGGGACTTGAGCTCGGGCGAGAGCAAAGTGGAGATGCGAGGGCATGAGCATGTGGTTGAATGCGCAGTGTTCGCGCCTTTGTCCGCCTATGCCCCCATTCGGGAGTTGTGTGGATTGGGTCCAGTGAGTGCAACTGCCTTCGCTTGACACAAACTGGTAAGTGCCGTAGACTGACATTTCTTGATGCCATGCATCCAGGCTGGCGCGGCAGACAAGCAACCCGGTCTATATGTGGCCACAGGTAGTCGAGATAAAAGCATTCGTCTGTGGGATACGCAGAGCGGGCAATGCCTCAAGACCTTGGTGCGTTTCCCCACCCCCAGCAGAAGAGCCTCCTTGCTTGAGTGAACTGATCTAGGATCCTTTACCCCCGCAGACTGGCCATGATAACTGGATCCGCGGTCTGGTGTTTGCGCCATCCGGCAAATACTTGCTGTCCGTTTCGGACGACAAGACAATGAAGGTGTGGGATCTGAAGACAGGACGTGTATCGAGGACGATCGATGCACACTCGCACTTCGTCACATCCATCGCCTGGGGCCGTGCAAGAGTAGACAGCGGATCTTCAGAGGCGGCACCGGATGGTGTTGAGCCTGCTATGGCAACCTCGGGCCAGCTGAATGGCAATGGAAAATCTGCGATTGCGGATGCGAAGACAGTCAATGTCGTTGCTACCGGCTCTGTCGACCTCAACATCAAAGTCTGGACGCCGTGAAGTTGTCATTAGGTCGCTCGCTCCCATTCGTTAACCCTGTTCGCGCATACGATACCCCTTTCGCCACATCGCAGCAGGCGCCATTCCTGCGGCTCAGGAGGCAGTTGTCTTGCCTGCTGATGTATCATAGAGACCGTCTTGCAATTACATGCATTGACTCTTGCTCTCCTTGAATCTTCTCTCAATGGGGGTTACCCCGGCTGCATTCCTTTCTCTCTCTGTTGTACAATGCTAGTATACACTGCAACGGCCGGGTAAATCACCTGTGCGTCAATCGTTTGTCGCTTCGTATCTCGCCTTGCTGGCGGCGAAGAGCATCTCTTGGTGCCTCTGCAGCTCTTCAGGCGTCATGCCCATATCTTGCACCTTTTTGCTAATCTTCTGCTCTCGCTCCTTTGCCATCTGTTTGTGGTCTTTCAAGATATCCTCCACTCCTTCGACGAAGTTCTCGAAGCCGAGGTCTCTCAGCGCTTGGATAACGTGCTCTGGTGCGATGGTTTTCTTCGACTCGCGCTCGCACACCTCGTTTGATTCAGATGAGATGAGGTGGAGGAATTCTTCAAAGTGAAAGCGGGTTCGTTCTGATGGTCAGCGATGTGCGTGTCATTACGCGTCCGCGCCCGACGACTCACCTATGCAGCACTCAATGAGCACTTCGCGCGTGTCCTTTGCACATGATATGTCAGAAGGAATGACGCCTGCAATGGCAAGCGCCGGAAGCAAGTCCAAGTCAGCAAAGGCGTTGCCAACTTTGGCTGGCCTTGACTCCCAGGAGGAGACGCAGTGCCCACCTTGGATGATCTTTTGGACTGTGGCTTTTGGTAGCGACAGATCGTCCTCCGTGAATCCAGATCCTGACCCTTCAGCAAAGTTTTCCTCGTCCGACATTGTGGCCATTTCCACACTGGTGTACCCTATATCTCCCTCGCGCTTTGGCACTTGGCTGAGATGGCCTGTCGCCTTTTACTCCCTGTTCAGCTGGCGTCGCCCTTGGCCTTGGATGACACGCACTCCACGAGGGCGTATTGATGCTGCTCCTCTGGATTGCAAGCATCCAGTCCGGAGAGAGGCACTCAGCACCAAAGAGAGTGATATTGGCAACTGACTTTTCAAGTTCAGGAGTCCCCACTGTCCACAGCCCACATGACACGACATTCACAGGCTGCGCAGATGCTGCTTGCTCTCAACAACTCATGTATCTGATTCTTGTATCCCAGGGTAGTGACGAAGCGCACTGCTGATTATGAGCGGAACTGCGGCCAAAAGACGAAAGACTCATGAGAGAGAGTCCTAGCCAAAGACTGCTTGGTGCGACACACTGACTGCCTCTCCCACAGGCGAAGTTCTTGCTATAAGATGATCCGCTTGCATACCTTTCCAACGAAGTTGCCTTTGGAACCCTTCCAAGGACTAGAGCTGAACAACAGTGATCGCTTTCACACGGCTGAATTCAGAGTTCGGCCAGGCAAGATGACTTCGACGCCGATTGCATTCAAGGATGCGCTCAATGAGCTCGACGACCGCAGGATCAAGGTGGTCCGGCCTTTGATCCCGCCGCAGATTTTGGTCGAGGAATATCCACTCACCATGACAGCAGCGCAAACCATCCTCAAAGGGCGACGTGCAACAGAGGATATCATCAAGGGTGATGATGACAGACTTGTTGTAATCGTTGGTCCCTGCTCGGTGCACGATGTCAAGGCTGGTCTCGAGTACGCCGCACGTTTGAAGAGCTACGCTGACGAAGCGACGCAAGACCTTCACATTGTCATGCGAGTCTACTTTGAGAAACCTCGAACAACAGTCGGGTGGAAGGGTCTCATCAATGACCCGAACCTCAATGGGAGCTACCAGATCAACAAGGGTCTCAAGCTTGCCCGTGGCTTGCTGCTCGAGGTCGCAAATATGGGCCTTCCGGCAGGCACCGAGTTCCTCGACACCATTTCACCGCAGTATACAGCTGATCTAATTAGCTGGGGTGCCATTGGAGCTCGGACGACAGAGTCTCAAGTACATCGCGAGCTGACGTCGGGCCTCTCGATGTCTGTCGGCTTCAAGAACGGGACAGACGGGTCGATCGACATCGCAGTGGACGCCATTAAAGCCGCCTCGTCCCCGCACGTCTTCCTGTCCGTCACGAAACAAGGAATCTCGGGTATCGTTGAGACCAAGGGCAATGATGCCTGTCATGTCATTCTTCGCGGCGCCAACAGCGGGCCGAATTACTCGCCGCAGCACATCAAGGATGTCAGCGGGAGGCTCAAGAAAGCTGGGCTGCGGACCAAGGTCATGGTCGATTGCTCGCACGGTAACAGTGAGAAGAAGCACGAGAATCAAACCAAGGTCGTCGACAGCTTGGTACAGCAGCTCTCAGAAGGAGAGACCGGTGACAACATTGTTGGCGTCATGCTCGAGAGCAACCTCGTCGAGGGTGAGTGTTGGCTTGGCAATGGTGGAAGGCATGTTGGCGTCGATGCGAAGTTGACGTTTCCCTTTCTGCCTTCCAGGCAAGCAATCCATCCCACCTTCTGGGCCCCAAGATCTCAAGTACGGCCAGTCGGTCACTGACGCCTGTATCAACTGGGAAACGACAGTCTCTGCGCTGAACAAGCTCCGACAAGGTGTGCAGGCACGACGGCAGAAGGTGCGCTCGCGCGCGGCAAGCGGAGATCTCAACGGCAGTTTGGCGAGCAGTATTTCAAGCCTCAAAGAGGGGATCAACGATGCTTTCCTGGCAACGCATGACTCTGCCAATGGTGTGGGCAGCGGCTTCAATGACCAACATCTGGCCACTCTTGGCAAAAATGTCCAATGAGCCGCTGTTAGCTTTGGCAGTCTCTATACTCTGTCCTACTTTTTTCTGCTCTCATTGCCTCCATAAAATCGACTCATGAGGGTCCAGCAAAGGGATGGCGAATCTGCGCTTGCGCAGAGGGATGCACGAAGGCAGGGACGCGAGATACTTTTGCAGTTCAATACAATGTCATTCTGCAAAACAATTGATGTGTGGTGGCTACAGAAATATCCAAGACTTGAAGAATGGCGAAAAAGTCCATCTACGCCGAATAGGCTCTACAGAGCCGCTGCCAGCGAGAGAAACAGCTGTTATAGTAGGTGATTTAATTTCAGTTGACGAGGGTAGCACCGGTCTCAGCAGCGATCTGTTGGATGATCAGCAAAGGGGACGACGTCAGTCCGCAGCGCCCTCAAGTGAACCGCTCCGCGTTGGGGCCGCTCGCACACTCACATGCTTGACGACCTGGGTCTGAGTCGTACCGTCAGTAAAGGTGCAGTAGACGCGAGCCTCAGTATTGGTGTTCTTGCCCGAGAAGTCGCCTGGCTGGCAGTATGTGGCTTGGAAGTAAAGGGCGGTGTTGGTTGGCTCGTAGTTGACGCAAGCTGGGCGCAACAGAAAAGAAGGGGCAGAAGGGCGTGTCAGCCCACGGCACTCTTTCGAAACAGAGACAATGCAGCGCCGCATCCTGCGCAGCTTGGACACGTACCGCACTTCCACGCCTTGCAGAAAGCGGCGCCGTCGCCACCCTGGAAGCTGACGAGCTGGCGGTTGTCGACCCGCTTGGTTAAGGCCTCTTCACTCTTGTTCGGCGCGGCCGAGACGAGCAACGCCAGGTTGATGACGGCCAAGGTGGATGTGAAGAAGTTCATGGAGATGAAAAGGTGAGGAGGGGTGTGCGAGGGGGATATGGTGCAGTGAGAGAGCAGGAGAGCGGGTGAGGCAAGAGGTGAAGCGCGAAGGCGAAGAGGGGCAAACTTCCTGGGAGCTTGCGATGACCTGCATATATTTATACACAACGACCAAAGCTCCAGCAAGTCATATTCATTATGGGTATAAATGTGACACACACGTGCGATTTAGCCGCCCCACGACATCGGACACCGTCCATGACGCTAATCCCCATCACTTTCCCACTTGGTGACCTGGACAATGAGAGAGCGAGATAGAGCCTATGAGGATACACCAGACTACTCATTTAGCAAAAGTGTGTTCAGAGCAGGCCACATGCCCTCTTGCGAGATCCAAAGTCCCACAGAGGCGAGTAACGGAGGACGACCACATCAACCGACCAACCTGAAAACTTCACCTTGGCTCCTCTGACGTGTTTAGGCACACTGCCCCGGCAGAGCAGACTTCATGTTCGCTTGCTGTTTTCGGGTGATCCGGCGGGTCGGCGGAACAGCGATGTTGCTCTCACGGTGGCTTGCTAGCCAAAACGGATAAACCTGGCAAACCAAACACCGGAGAGCGTGCCAGTGCCTGCCTACCCCCCGAGAGAGGGGAGGCTCGAACGGGTGTCACGGATATCTTCATCAGTCTCCCACCAGAGTCGAGGGTTCAGAGCCTCGAAGGGCCCCCAGATTGCAGACTCCTTCAAACAGACCAGTCCCTCCCATGTCCAGTCAGATACAGAGCGCAATCGCCAACAGACTCTCACCATTACACATCGATGTCCCCACGATTAGCCAGCATGCTCTGCGCCCAGCATGCATTTTTCAGCCCGTAGAGCGTCAACGAAAAGTACATACACAACCAGACAATAAAGTCAACAACACTAGTGGCGGTAGATCTCCGCCGTGCCCGACACATGTGCCCGCTTCCAGCCAGCCAGACAACGAAATGCCGACGGCACATGCGGGCGGCGATTCAGCGGGCATGGTCCTGGTTTGGGACGCGTTTCTTTGGCAGCCATCTAGCTTTTAGGATGCCATCGGGTGCCTGATGACGGCAACGAACGGCACAGTGTATGGTATGATTCTGCTCGCCCACAGCGACAGCCTGAGACACCCCATGGCAGAACACTGGAACCCGCAGTCAGGCACGCAACTGTGCATTTGGCCTTGCGAAGGACACGTGGGCGAGTCAAGCGTGCGTTCATTTTCTCATTTTATATCGAATTGCAGACTGCATTGCTTTTGATTGTTAAAATCATGCCGTAGTCTGGGGGACCGTACAAGAAGCATTCATCTGATCAATCGTGCTCTACGGAGCCATGACAAGTAATGGCGTTCGCAGGGGGTTTATTAGTTAATAGTAGCGCCAGTCTAGGCATGGGCTTGTGTTAGAATGAAATCCGCAGGATAGAAAGCAGTCAGCACGAGGTGCTTCTCACAGAGTACCATTCGGGGATGTCGGTGAGGCGCACCCCTTCGCATCGGCTAGGCCTCAGACGACTGGTCGTGCCGCCAGCGAACATGCAACAGGCGCAAGTCTCGGTGTTGATGTTCTTGCCGGAGAAGTCGCCTGAATATCGGCCGCATGAGACCTGCGATGTTGAAAGGGTAACAGTTATTTCAGCGTGTTTCGAGGAATGTATCACAGTGGCAAACGGACCTGGCTGGCAGTAGCTGGACTGGAAGCAGAGAGCTGAGTTGGGGGGGGGTATTGACGCAGGCTGAAGATTTACAAAAAGCAGGAAGGCCATCACATATGTCGATGATATGAAAGCATCATCTACGGTCCATGCAACGCACCGCACTTCCACGACTGGCAGAAGGCGGTGCTGTTGCCGCCCGTGAAGGTGGCTAACTGAGGGTTGTCGGGGCGCTTGGCCAACGACTCGTCGCACTTGCTAGAAGCGGCGGAGGTGAGAAGCGGCAGGTTGGCGACGGCAAGGGCACAGCTGGGACGTTGAACGGTAGAGAACCTAGCGGAAGCTGTAGTGGTGGTTTGAGGAAGTGAGGGGCTAGCACTTGATGGAGGCGTATGCAAGTGAAGGAAATTGGCGGCCAGGGATTCAGCAGCCGTCGCCACCAGCAAGTTGCAGAGGGACTGTGACGAGCCGGTGGATCTACCACCATTAAAACATGATGGTGTGCAAGTGTGAACGGTAGTCAGCCGCTGCCACCAACGAGCCGTGAAGCATGAAGAAGCGACAGCGAGCTACGAGGACGTGGGTGCTCTTCTGGTGGAGCAAGACTATCAGTGCCACAGTGTGTGTGTGTGAGAAAGAGAGAACAACGAACAGACATCCCCTCCAGGAGAGTTCACGAAAGTCACTACCCGCTACATCCTCCGCCCACGGTGACGAACTGCCAGCGTCACAGTAAGCCCACCATGGCGAATGATTTGTACCTTAATGTGGTATATACTGACCACTTGCGGGGAACTGAGCCCCTCAGATGCAACGCTAAAACAGAGCGTCCTTGTCTGTTGTCGAATGTGACGTGCGCCAACAGTCTTCATTTCGAGATGTGAGATTCAAGCCTCAGCTGTTTGAACGGCTGCGGAAGCACGAGCACATTAGCATAGGGAATAAGGCACAAATTTGGATTTTGCTCCTCTAACAACGTCGCTACACACAAGAGTAGCGTAATAGTGCACTGGTTTTACCGGATAATGAGTGCCCATCGCCTTTGCTGTGTGCATATAGCCATTTACTCCTTACCCTTTTGGGCTCTGGTCTTTAGGGTATGGCTGTTTCTACGACGTTCGGCGTCGACATGATTTATCAGGAACACATGTCAAGCATGTAATGGAGCGGGAATGTTAGCGCCTGTTGATGATAATACGCCCAGAATCCAGAAACTAGGAGATGTGAGATGCTATGCGAGGCGAGGCGAGACGAAACCAGGTAGCTCCAGCGACTGCGGCAGCAGCAGTTACCAGCATAGACCACCATCAATGGTTGAGCCTCAATGCTCCTGTGGAAAATCGCCTTGCGTTCAGATTGTGCGTGTGCGTCATGTTGAATGTAATTTCTGAAAGATCATGCGGGTCCGCTTGGTTTGGCGCGCCTGGTAGATCCATGTACAATCGACTCGTCGCTCTCGCACCTCCTCCCACCATCACTTGCTGATTTAGACCGCAAGGATGCAATCTATGCAAAAATCCGATGGCAAAGAATCGCCAGCGATCGCTGTGTAATCATCAAGGGCCCTTTGGTGATGCTGGCTCGTATCACGCTGACAAAGGGCGACTACCACCTCATGGGGTATGAGATGCGCAGAGAGGTGACTGGGTGTACCGTGTTCACCAGCCACCAATAGGCGCTGCGTGCCTGTGCTGCTGCGGGCTCGCCAGCTCACCAGCTCACCGCTCGCACTTCATCGACAGCCTTAGAGAGAGGCAGAAAAGCTCATAGCTGTTAAATTCTGTCCCAACTTGCCGAGCCGCTCTCATCCACGCGTCGTCATTGTGCCAGCTCTCTTTGAACGAGCATATAGGAAAGCGGAACAAATGAGAACTCCTTTGGGCGATCCACAAAGTGGTCCATACTCGACACAGCATTGAGGCACGGCCCATATCCACCTGCCGCATCGAGTATACACAATGCTTTACAATCCTCACGCTCACTCTACACTTTGGCAAGCTTATTGGTCCCGACTCTGCAATACGCTCGGTAACTCGTGCCCGGTTTCGTTTGTTTCATCTTGTGCTATTTTTCTGAAGGACGGAAGGCAATCCACTCGCCATGCTAATATATTATCGGCAACATTGTGTTTCTCACACAGGAAACCCCATCACGCGCTCATCAACCTAAAAGCGAGGCAGCGGTGAAAACTGTTTCGTTCGATGCCCGCCTACCTTCAGCCAAGAAGCAACGTGACTGGTCCGCGTGTGTCACCAGCACATCTCCCAGTATGCCGTCTCAAAGAGGTTATCAGTCCGGAGGGACGTACTTGATAGCTGCGTCTCAACGAGATATAAGAAGCTTGCTCTTTCGTTGGCCGCCAACACTGGCCTTTCGTCAGCTTCACTGCCCCGTATACGTGACACACCCCATCTGACCCTGGTCAACATGCTCTTTGCTCTTCAAAGCGTTGCCCAGGCCGCTCGCCCGCTGCCGCCCAACTGGAACCCCACTGACATATCCGACTACGAGGCGCTCATAGAACAACCGCAGTTGCAACCTTCAAGGTCTACGCGGCCGCATGAGAATGCACGAGCTTGTTTTTTTCACAGTCCACGGTTGATTATTGAAGACTTGCCAGCTTACCAAGCGCAGCCATGGTATCCGGGTCAACTCTACGCGGATTCGCGTCCTTCGCCGCAACAACCTCCGCGAGGCGGAAGCAGCAATGCAGGCTCACCAAGAATTATGGACAGGCAAATGGGGCTTGTATTGGCGCCTCCAGACTATCGACGTGCTCAGCAAGCATGGATTGAGGAGGTGAGCTCTTGATGAAAAGTGAAAGCATGCACCCGTTCCTCCTGCTGACCACTGACCACGTGCAACATGTCACATGCTTAGTACAGTAACAAGCTTTCGAACAAACCATCCAAAATCTCGAATTTCTTCTTGGGCCGCGTGAAGGCGCAAGATAGACAAACCAGAAAGAACGCCCAAGCGGCAGACGCGGTGCAGCGCGCCCACGATGCTTGGCTGCGCATCGGCGTCGACACAAGACAGATTGAGCAGCAGGGAGGCAAATTGCCGCCTTTCTTCCTCAATGTGCCACAGAAAAATTGCGAAGAATGGCACGATGAGGTCGTAAGGCTTATCGGTTGATGGACGTGCTCGCTTGGGCTTAACGATTGGAGGCCTGCTGCTGCCTTGAAGCAACCGCCTATGATGTCCTTGTTTGAAACCTTTCTTGGCACGTCTTGTGACACCCATCAAACTGCTTTGACTCGTGTCGGAATACCCAGCCCAGAATGTATTCGTTCGAATCATCCTCTTGCACTCATTCATTGGGTCAAATGCCAGAGCTGACAGGGCCACGTCGAGGACCGATTGGTCACCAAATCTCAAGGGTAGGCTGCAGCAGTCAGCGTTCCATGTTCGGCGTTCAGCGCTCGAACGTCACTGTGTCAGCTGCATTAGGGCTTCGCACCTCGCGGTGATTCCCGTCATGCCCCCACTTCGCAAGCTTTGTTTTTAGGCCCTTTTTCACACACTGTTACACCTTGACAACATTCACTCTGAGTGGTGTAATTTGTAAGATGTAGGTTGTAGAAAGAAGGAGCTCACGCTCTCGGACCGAAGGGACCTACCGGCCTACCGGAATGCGCGGATACCTCATTTGCCAAGAGTTGTTGAGAGCCCGAAGCGGCTCCGCCGCTTCGGGTGGCTCCCCAATCGAAATGTCTGACGCACAGTCCGTCATATGTCGAAGACTAGAGTTTTCATTTGGGATTAGAGTTTCGGGGAATCTCCCACTTTCGCCTCCTAGCAGCGGGGATATCAACTGGATTTCCAAACGGAAATGGGAAAGCAGGAAGCACTTTGGTTGCAGGAACGGGAAAATTCTTCGGGAACGAGATCCGCTGGGAAAGATCCCACGGGATCCTGAATTTCCCAAAGGACTCTAATGTCAAACGCAACGGGAATGTCAATGAACTGCAACGACGCCAACCAGAGCCTTGTGAGATATGATGCTTGCAGTCATAGAACGTATTGCTCAGGGCTGGAGTCTGGACATTCTTACTCGACTTGGATGAGGTTGATCTCAACTCACTTACAGCGATTTCCACTTCAAGCACGTCTGTCTCGCGACTTTCAGGCAGCGCAAATAATTTTTACACCTGCGGCACCCGCATCGTTCCATTCCGGTCACAGCCGACAGTCATTCACACCATGTTGGCTCCTGAGGAAGCAGTCGAAGCTTTGACGTCTGTAAAGAAGGCGGTTTCAGAGAAGGATAAGAGCGCTATTGCACCTCTCCAAGAAGTAAATCGCAGCCTGCTAATCTACCGACCTGAGCCTAGAGCAAGAATAAAATCGAATGCGGCGATCGCTTCTGATGTTGCGCCTCCTAAGGTAGTCCTGCTCTTTGGCTGGATGGACGCCCCTGCCCGTCTTGTCAGCAAGTATGCACAACCGTGGATCGAACGTTTTCCACAATCTACAGTCATTGTCAAACTCTCGACTGCAGCGCTCTTCATGGCCAGCAGAAAGGACAAGGAAGCCATGACGAAGCGGCTTGCCGATCTGATCAAGGCAGAAGCCGAAGCGCAGGATCATGGGTCCTCGCTCCGGTCTGAGATTGGCAGACTCGAGAAAGAGACTATTGAAAAGTCACCCAATTCGGAGAAGCAAGCTACGGAGACAACGGGTCCAGGTGATTCAACCATGACGCTAATTGAAAGGGACGAAGCAGCCAGTATAACCGGTTCGACAACTACCTTGGCATCGCCAGCAGAAGCATTGCCTAGTGGTTTGTTCATCCATTCCTTTAGCGATGGCGGTAGCACAAATTTCAGTCTCCTGCTCGAACACCTGAGCTCCTCCAAAACGCCCGTCCCTGCGCCAAGGCTGCACATCATAGACTCATCACCGGGCATCAGCACGGCCAAGAGTACAAGCACAGCGTTTGCTATGGCATTCCAGAAGAAGTCGGCTGCTGTGTACTGGATGTACCGTACCGCTGTCTACCTTTTCATGAAGGCCTTCTTGTTCGTCAAATGGATCACTGGCTCTCCAACGCGATCCACCACTCTTCGCTGGCGACTCAATGAGCCGAGCAAGTGGACGTGGCCCGGGCAAGTGGGAGTTCAAACGCAGATGTCGAACGGCTTCGTCCCGCGCTTGTACCTCTTCTCCAAAGCGGATCGGCTCATAGCGCACGAAGCTGTAGAGCTGCACGCGAAAGACTGTGCGAAAATCCGCAACCTGCCGGAGCCGGAAGTGGTGCAAATGGACCCTGCGGAAGGCGGAGATGCGTCAAAGCGTGTGGGCACGATGGAACATTCGCCACTTCAGCTGAGACGATGGAAGAACGCACCGCATTGCGGCATGGGGCGACATGACTTTGAGGGCTATTGGGCAACCATAGATGCATTCATGCGAGCGCATGCGAATGATCCTGCTATGTAGAATGATACAGGTGTTCAGAGTGCAGCAAATATTTCAACATCGATATTCTCGGCGCTCTCGATCTCGATCTCCTTTCCGGTCAATCTCTGCAGCCGCAGTAGCCCTGTCGCCGATGAGCTTCTTATCTGCCACATCTGTGTGCGGCCGATGCTCGTGTCGGTCCCTCCTTGAACCAGGGGGTCCGCGGTCTGAATGATTGGATCGCTCGCCATGGTGACCGCGCTCATCATCTCTTCTCCTGTGCCGACCAGGCACTTGATCGCTGGGGCCAGACGCTCCCCAGCTCCTTTCGCCTCGAGCCTCAATGTTATTTGTTCCTGTCGAGCTGCGTACGTCGCCACCTGATGCATTCTGGGGACAGTCGCGCTTCAGATGTCCCCCTCCGCAGAGAAAACACCCGCTGGCACTGCTTGCACCATTCCCGTATTTTTCTGCAAGGGTTCGATCTCCGAAGCCAGGCGGGCGATACCGCGAGTCTTCTTGACGTTTTGTTGTGTCTTCTGCGGCGAGATGCGTCCACTTGCTTCGACTTGCCTTGCCGTAATCCCTGACTTGCATCAGAGCAGGCAGGCTCGACTTGTCGACTGCAGACTCGGTCTTGCCGCTGTAATTGCGCTTGAGAATGTCCATATCCTGGTTACGGAAGGTACGTAAGTACGAAGGATAGATGAAAGTCGCAGGGTTCCACACGATACTCACTTGGAAGAATGCACCTTTGTGGTAATACTTTTGCATGAATCCCATATCGCCTTTCTGCTTCTCTTCCCTGCTCTTCTTGGCTCGCTCGATGTCTTCCTTGAGCCGTTGCTCTTCTGGCATCTCCCTGCGCTTCTCAATCTCCTCCTGCTCCTGCTCTCGCGCCCGCTCAGCTTCTTTGGCTCTCGCAATGCGCTGCAATTCTCGCACGCGCCACGCTAGGAACTCGGCTTCGGGGTCCTTGCCATCCGTGTCGGACAGATCCGGCTGCGCATCCTGGAATTCCTTTGATGCCAAGTCGGCTTTGATGCGCTCGGCAGCGAGCTCATGCGCCCACTTCCGCCGTTCGACTTGCTGTGCTTTCGCTTTCGCTTCCACTGCTTCATCGTCAGCCGGAGACGTTCCATCTGCGTCGTTTAGGGTCGCTCGCAGACGCCTGCAAATGATTCACACGTTTTCAGAGATAGGGGGAAGTCGGACTATTCATAGACACACCCACTTTGGCACAAAAGTCGGCTTGACGAGTGGAGGTGGCTTGGCGTCCTCACTGCTGTCTTCCTCCTCTGTATCCGTCTCGAGCTCAGACGAACTCTGTGAAAATCGGCACGGTTAGGGTCTGCCTATTGAGAAAAGTCAAAGATCTCTTACATCTTTCTCTGGCAGAACAGATGATGCACCTGGCCTGAGGCATACAGGCTTGATCGGTCCCGGCTTTGAAGGGTCTTCGTCCGTGTCCGTTTCTGAGAGCATGCATGGACCACGAATTAGCGGACAACTTCTTACCGCGCGGAGGCATGAAAGCAGCTCACCATACTCGGAGCTTTCAATTTCTTCTCCCTTCGCTGAGGGCTGCTTAAGCTTGATGTCCATCCTTGGCCCCTGTGTAATGACGATACCTGCCGTGTCTCTTGAAGAGCGGGACCGCAGAGCGTGGGTACCCGCGACGACATCTGTGATTGGCACATTTTGGGTAGCCTCCTGTTCCTCCCCGTAATCACTTTCATCATCGTAAGAATCCTGCTTGGCCTGCAGCAGAGGCACCGAAGCGCGCGCTGAGCTTGAAGAGCCTTGAGCTGGGAACACAGGGGCCTTGCCCGGGCGATATCGCGCTGCTGGCCGGGCGACTTTGTGCCCAGACGGCCTAGCTCCAGACATTCTCGCAGATTCGCCGCGCCCACTGCCGCCGAAAGGGGGTATGATGAAATATTTGGGGGCTCCTGATGGCCTTGTGCTACCTCTTCATGCTTCAGCTTGACCCTTCAGCATATTCAGAGGGTGACCTTCAAAGGGTCGCAAGTAGCAGGTTTCAGGCCCGATGGAGTATGAACCGTGTCCGTTTGGGCAGAGAAAGTCGAAAGCCCATGCTTTTCAACGCTCCCCACGTCTCTCTTTTTGGTAAGAATTTCAAACAGCACAACGCGGGCTCTCGGCAGCCAAGGAGCGATTAGTTGGGAGACTACACAACAGCTCTCAGCATGATCTGCAGAAGACGCGGAGAAGCTCGCGATTGTCCTGGAGGACTACCAAGGCAACCAATAGAGCACCTCGTGGAAGGCCTTGTCTGTCCTTATATGTGTGTATGTATGCAATATCCAGGCTTAGCAGCATGTCTTGATGGGGGGGAAATGCGTGGGAATCAGTGCGGCGCGCTTTGCCACGCCGCCGTGTACTCGGATGACTGCGCGGCAGCTACATCGCGGGGGCCGGGAGGCGATGTTTTCGCCCGAAATCACGCTGGCATCACGCGAGATTATAAGCAATATAAAGTGAGAACGACCCCCCCTTTTTAAAAAATTTTACTCCCCCCATCACCATTGCCATCCTCGGAAAAGCAGCATATCCCGTTTCCCCTCGCCGCACAGGACGCTCCCCAGCCCACAGCATTCATTCATTCCAACAGATTGATAAAGGGCGGACCGCGTTCAGGATGCCTCGAGGAAGACCACGCAAGAATCCTGTCGTGACGTCCAGCGACGCTACGTCCAAGAATGGGGATCAGGCAAGCGGCGCTGCGGCTGGTGCGTCGTCGTGCACGTCAGCGGATGCGAGTACCACGCGTCAGAAAGAAGCTGGAAGCTGGTCAAGCGGCACGACACCAAAGGGAAATAGTCTCGACGCGCAGAAGGCATCTGGCAGCACGACTGGTGTCAAGCCCCAGATGGTCGAATCGGCGAGCCACGCGTTCCAGGGCTTCTTCCAGGCTCGTGCCGCGAGCACCTCGAGCCCAGGGGGAGGCTCTTGCAACTGCACGGCCACGCTGCGAATCTTGTCTGATCGTATGGACAGGATGCAAGACGAACTTTCGGCTGCTATTAATATGCTGCGTTCTGACCTTAGTGAGTGGACTATGCGAGGCGATCCCCATTGCTTATCTGAGATTTTAGTACTGACACACGTCAATCAATCCACCACCGCATCACAGCCGTCGCCATGGAAGCGATGCACGCGAACAGAACCAGCTCTGGCCCTTCCTCCAACCCGTTTGCAAACCTCAAGCGCAGCGCCCTGGCATCACCTAATCGCGGATCTTCCAGCAAGTCGTCTGCGAAGCGTGCACGTATCAGCGAGCCAGCACCGTCGACCAAAGGCAGGCCTGCTGCTCCTTTGGCCTTTGGAGCCAGCATTTCCAAGTACCCCGATGGTGCGGAAGAGGGCAGTGAATTTGGCCTTAGCATTCCGCGCGTCTCGACCATCGAGGATGTGTGGTCCCAGTGGACGATTGGCGATGAGTCGCTTAGGGCACCCCTCAAGGATTGGACGACGCAGATGATCGCTGAGTGCCCCCAGAAGATGGTATATTACCAGCGCCGCCAACTTTGCCAGGAGCTTGAGAGACTTGGCGGAGATATTGAGCAGTTCAAGGCCATCCACGGCAATACTCTCACAGGGGCTGCCGACAGTGTGCGCCGGAAGTGCATTGAGGCAGGCACCACTAAGCGACGTTCACGCAAGTCTGCCGCTGCAGATGCTGACGATGCCAACACAAGCCTCACCCATAGTGGAACTGGTGCCAAAGCAAGTACATACGGCGAGGATGATGAGAATGACGACTCCGACGAAGACGAGCGCGTCTCTATGATGGCGACTGCCACTGCCGACCGGGCGGTGCAGCAACACCAGCAGAGAACGCAGCAGCAGCAACACCAGCAACCACAACAGCAGCAGCGCCAGCAGGCTCCCATTCTCTCGCCGCAGGCGCAGCAAACGTCGACGTCGCAATACCACAGCAGTGGAATGCACCACTTCCAGCCCAACAGCAGCGCCACGAATGCCGCGATGGCCGCACAGAGCCTTCTCGGGCCGCCCCGTCTGCCCGGCGTCGGGCACCACAGCGGGCACCAGCCGACGTCGCCTCACTTGCCATCCCTGACGCAGCAGGTGCACCAGCAGCAACAGCAGCCGCCGCACTATGGCAGTCACCATCACCAGCAGTCGCATCAAGTCAGTCACCACGGTGGCGGCAGCAGCCTGACCAGCTACTACGCGAACCCTGGCTCCGGCGCCGGCGGCCATCACCATAACCAGTACCACACTGGCACCTTTTGAATCACAGCGGAGGGAGCTCGGCTGGAAGAGCGCGAGCGCGAGCAGCAACAGCAGGAAGCGGCCGCCAGGTTTCCCAGGTCCTCGCAGCCGGATGCATAATCCCCTCGCTATTGCTGGAACTAAATTCTGCTGCGTGCTTTGCTCGTCTGTGTTTTCAAACCTCGAGCGAACCTTCGCGATGGATCGGATCCTCCCTCTTCGCATTCATATGTAATCTTTCTCGTGTCAACGTCATTGTGAATGTTCTGAAGGGTGAAATTGTGTTCAAGAACAATGCGACGAAAGCAGAAGATCGAACAGGCAAGCAAGCAGGGTATCGATCAAGCTTCGTCGCGCCTTCATTCAATGTATTGTTGGTCGACGAGATGGAATGTGACAAGATTTCTGACTGTGGATGGTTCGAGGTGTTTCCGCCCAGATGTGCATTTTGCTTGCGTGCGATAGCTTGTTTCGAGCACTTTTCTTGGCGCAGAAATGGCTCCTACGGATCGAGGTGAAGGACCTATTCGTCATTGCCCTTCCTGTCCACCTCCTTGTCATGTTTCTCGGTCGCGGCGGCAGCGACGACGTTCTGAGGGTCGCTGATGTGGTCGCTATCCTTCGCGTTTGCGACGCCAGTCTTCAACGTGGTGGCATCGCTCGTTGTCGGCGCGTCCTCGGTCTTCTGTGTCGGCGCCTCGGTCGAGTTTGGGCTGTGGGCAGCTGTGGTCAGGAACTGTGCACGGTTGAGAAGCAGGATTGAGGGGGGGATGGGAGATCGCGCAAGCATGTTCAGTTAATGTGCCCACTTCGAAGCGATCTTCAACGAAGGATGGAGCCTGAAACGCACGTTATTGCTCTCCAGATGGGTGTCACTTTGGTCCTCGGTCTTCTTGAGATCGTGCAGCGTCTCATCGTTGGCATCAAACGTTTCGGTCTTGTGCGGCGTTGGGGTGTGCCCCTTTGCATGTCCCTTGACTGAGGGTGAGGTGAGGTAGACGAAGAGGGAGCCAAAAAAGACGACGGAGGAGATGGCCCAGAGTGAGTCGCTGCTACCGCTGCTCGATGAAGACGAACTCGATGCCCAGCGGCGTACGGATGGGCATCTGGGCATATTTTGACGCACAGCAAGCGTTGGCGCCGCCACCAGTGCTGCTGCTCCTGTTGCTGGTGCTGCAGTCAATTGCGACCTGAGTGCCGCCCGGGCGAGGACGGCGCTGCGTTGTACGATCATCTTGTCAGTCGATCGGGGTGCGTATTCAGACTAATGGAACAGTCGCTCAAGGGGATGGACGTGATCAACGCTTTGCAATGGATGTGCGAGCTCGCGGCTGTAAGGTGAATGGGTTCTGGGATGGATTGGACGCATGGCGGCTTCTTGCAAGCATGCAATTCTTGTCGGGCTGACGAGCAAGGTGGGCCATCTGGCGGAACAAAGGAAAACTCGTCGTCATAGCGGAAGGAGAGAACGCGGCAGACAGCCAGCACGCCCGCATGTCGCTACATCCATGCGCATTTCTCTCCTCCACTCACTCTTTTATTGGGCAGTGCGGCTGTCTCCATCTCTGCCCCACGGCGGCATCCGTCGCCACAAGCGATGGCCGAGAATCGAGATCGCGAGAATAGCAAAGCGGAACGATACGGACGTCATTTTGGAGTTGCATTCATCTTGATATCACGTGACCACAAATACCCGACTCTGTTCCGACTTCCGATGAGTTTGCACCGAAAATAGGAGGCCACAGCCGTACTGCACCCTTTAAATATGCTTTTCATTCTCTTACTGTTTTCTTTTCCGATTTTCAGACCCCCAAGGTCCTCGCCCGGGCGCTTCCTTCATGGGGTGCTGCTCTCCTCCTCTACTTTCTCCAGCCGAGGAGAGCTGCAGGCCTGCTTCCTCCCATGTGGGAGAAGCAGTAACGCAGGACCAAGAGCCAACCGCATCCCTTCGACCTCTTTCGCGCTTGCTCGTCACTGTATACCAGTGCCGCTCGAGCTCCGAGGAGGGGAACGGATGGACCTCAATTTAAGCCGGCCGGCTTGCTTCCAGGTATCTCCCTCGCTTCGCAGGAGTCTCTGAGTGGCAGCACGGTGACTTTGAGCGTCGCACATTCTCTTTCTCGCCGTACACTTTCGCATGGCTCAAGTGTTGGGCATCCACCGCGCAAATCTGTTCCTACTTCACATACCATACACCGAGTGAATGGATCATATGCACATGATTCGTTTTCGTCTGCATGTTGGCCGTCAAACGCGCTCATTACAGAAGTTTGGAAATCGCATCGGCAAGCAGATTCCCCTCCTTTCTGAAATCGGTATGCGCGAGCTTCGTGACAGTATAGCGCACGCGCACCTGGTCCTGTGATTACAGCATCGATCGGTCAAAGTCAGCCTGCGCGCGCAGTAGCACTACTTGCAACTGGAATTTCGATCGGAATCTCACATTGAATGTGTCCTGCTTCGCGCGGCAGTTGAACAAATAGCTCTTGCCGCACACGCGCTTGAGCACCGCGGCACTTTCGCTCTCGTTCTCCTGCTTGAGCTGATCGAGCTGATCGGCGGTCATACCGATCAACTCTTCGCCCACGTCGTTGAACCCGCTGATCCAGATCTGACCCGTGTGATCCGCGACGTTAGCGGTCAGGATGTACCGATGCTGCGGAGCCTCGTAGCTGCGATCGCACTTCTCGCAGCGCCAGCCGTCGACGTCGAGGTTGACTTTCTTGTTGCAGTTGTCGCTCGGGCACGCTGTGTAGTAGAGGTTGTCAGCCTTGATATAAACGACCATTGCGCGCATGTTGAAGAAGTCTGGCCGGTCGGAGTCATTCATGCCCAACTCCTGGTCGCGGACCTGGAAGATGGTCTTGCGCTCGTCCAGGTTGCTGCCAGCAGGTCCCCCACCGGCACTAGCACCGGCGCCGCCGCCCAAATAGCTCTTGAAGTTGGACTTGGCGCCCTCGGTCTCATACCAGCCCCTGAGTGAGTAGGCCTCGGGTGTTTCAACATTCACGTGCATTGTGCTTCCGGAGTGCATGCTTAGACTGCGTCCACCGAAATCACCGACCTTGACACCTTTGAATGCGATAATCGGTCTTTCTTCGTCCGTGCGGAAGTTCTCGGCCGACTTGCCCCACAGCGTGACACGCACGCTCATCCCGCTTGAGTCCACCAGCGTCAGCTCGCGCTTGGCGACAGGTTTCTGTGTCGCACGCGAGATGATCTCGCCAAGCTCGCCGATCTTCTCCACGACACCTAGCACGTCACATGTCTGATTCGGCTCGATTGCCTCGAGTTGGTCAAGTGGCACAAAGTTGTACGAAACCGACGGGACGTCGACATTGTCCGTGCACTGTACAGACGTGAGAGGGGAGTGTGATTTACCATCTTTCTTTCCCCCTTGAGCGCTGCAAAGACAAGGCTCACCTCCTCAATCTCAGTATGATTGTCGAATTGTAGCTCGTACTCGTTGTTGAGGGTGCTGAACTGCTTCTTGGCGATCACGACTTTGCATTTGCTGATGTAGTAGACGCCATTCTCTTTGAGTAGATTGTAGAACCTGTCGACCGTTTCCGTGAACCCTGTTGCACGGATCTCGCCACTCTCATCCAATAGGTTGACCGAGAACAGCTTGCCTTCTCCCCTGGCGTTTGAATAGTGCTTAATGTCCCCCTTGTATGTGACGCGGGCACGGATGGTCCATTTGTTCTGGTAAGGCGACAAGGCTTCGATCGGGTACACTGGCAGCTTAGACTTGGTGCCTCCTACTCCAGTGCTAGCATTGCGCACTCCAGAGCCATTGGAGCGGGTGTAGTTGCTGGTGCTGAAAGACGGCTTTTGATTTGTTGTAGACTCGGGTTGCGGCCGCGCTGCCAGTTTGGCGCTCTCGGATGGCTGTTGACCTGCGCCTCCAGCGTCAGGCTTGGCAGCACCGCCTTCAAGGTTGGCTGGAGCGCCGAGCCTGTATTCACACTCGGTAAACTTCTCGACGTTCAGGATGATGAGAATGCGACGCGACTGGACGTGGTTCGACGCGTAGTCCAAGACACGAACGAGGCAATTGCGCGTGATGGTACCATTGTCGACCAGGTGTTTCATCTGCATGGCAAGCATGCCTGAAGGGATAGGAGAAAGTTCCAATCAGTACACTGGTATGATGCTCGTCCCTTCGCCCATCGCGTGCATACAACTCACTTTGACAGTAGTGCACTCCATCGCTGAGGATGACTCTGTACCGCTCCGCGCTTCCGGGGTTAGACGGAGGGATCTTTTTGATACTGAGAATCTGGCAGATAGGCCCATCAAGCTTGCTATTGGGGTCGAAGTGGTTGACCATCTGGTCGACGGAGCCCTGCGAGAGGTCGGACAGTGACATCGTGGATGGATAGCGCAGTCGCTTGATGTGTTGCGGAAGGGCTCAAAGGTGGAGGTAGCGGTGATCCGATACGACGTTCCGGGCGGCACTTTCGCTCGCAGTCAACGATCAGAAGGACAGCTACTACTTGTCGGTGGACCTGGCGTTGCTGTGCAGGATGCGTTACTTGGAGAGGTCCATCAACAGAGCACTCAATAGTACCAGGTTGCAAGGTGAAAGAAGAGATCGTTGCGTTAATTGGTCTGGTGGGAAAGATGTCAGCAACGCGTGAACAGCGCAGGACGCGTCTCAAGCGCGCTCGGGCCTGGTAGTGGGCAGAGAGACGCGACGGGTGGAGACAGGGGGAGTCCCCGCAAGGTGTCATGGACCCGGTCAGCTAGCCAGCCAGCCAGCCGCATGCGCGCTTGCTGCCACCGCCCGCGGCCTTACGAAGTTGGTGAATTGAAAATTGAATGGCCTGCACCGTGGTGATGCTGGAGCTCGTCTACGGTAAAACTAGCGCGCGGAAGCTCAATATCCGACTCGTTCCCGGGAGAGAGTTCAAGGGAAGCACGCGCATACGCAGGGCGACTACAGGCAACCATGTCTGACAACGAAGCAGGACCTTCGAACAAGCCCGCCAACGACGACACCCTGGTAATTCCGGCAAAGGCTCTTTTCAAAAGGCGCAATCGCAAAGGCCCCTCTGGCAAGGTGTCATTGCAGGTAGAAGCGGAAGCAGCAACAGGTTCGCCTGCTGACGGTGAAACTAGAAACTCTGCAGATGCTGCTGCTGGAGCGGTGGCGGCGGCAGACGCAGGGGAGGAGGTTCAAGAGTGAGCATCCTGCTTCTTCGCGCTCACTGCCGGGCTCCTGACAAATTTCCCCTGTCTTTCTGCTGCCAGAACTTCCGTTGCGGACCTACTCACCCTTCGATCATTAACAAGACGGCTGGTGGCTGGGATAGAACTGCAAAAGTTAAACGAAGGCGAGCGCAAGCGGAAAAAGAAGAAACTGAAGGATGGGCCAAAGACCCAGGACGAGGTCTGGGCAGAACAGATGCAGCAGGGCGGACTCGTCATGCGCGGCAGGCACGGTGCCGACGACGACGATTCGGACCATGAAGATGGACCGGAGGGAAAGAAGCCTCGCATGCTGCGGCAAAGCAACTTCCAGGGAGAAACTGGTACAATCGACGTGGACAAGCACATGATGGCGTTTATCGAAGAGCAGATGGCTAAGCGCAGAGCGGAGCAACACGGCGGGTCCGAATCTGCTGCGACCGGGCTGATCGAGAGCGACGTTCGGAAAGCCATCCTGAACCCTGAAGACGAGCTGTACAAGATTGCAGAGCAGTACAAGGATCTGCAGAAGAGCCGCATCACAGAGAACGAGGAGGGCAATGTCACGCTCAGCGCAGCGATGTTGACTAGCATTCCCGAGTACGATCTTGGTATTGAGACCAAGCTGAAGAATATAGAGGAGACGGAGCGAGCCAAGAAAACGCTCTATGAGCAGCGGCACGGCTTAACGAGAGCGAAAAAGGACAACCAAGCAGCTGACGAGCCATTTGCAGCAGCAAGGTGTGCGTATTCTGCACTCTCTTCAGTTCGGCCATGGGTGTCCTGCTCGTGTTTGTGACTTATCTCATTCCTTCCCTTTATATTTGCTCAGTCATGCGCTCAAGAGCGATTGTCGCGTCAGATGCAACCGCTCTACGCAATGCAAGGCTTGAAGCAGCTGGCGAAGCGATACCAGCACAACAACAGCGAGACAGGAAAGAAATGGCGACGGATCAGTTGGTGATGGATCGTTTTAAGAAACGGCAACGCGAACAGATGAAGCGATGACAGTACTGAATTTCGTGCAAGCAAATATATCCATTACCACATCGACCAGCATTTTAGTACATCGCCAGGGTGCATAAATGTCAGAGTCCTAGGCGGCAAACCGCACGGAGGCCGTCTTGAACCGGGTGCTGTTGGGAAGAACCACGAGCGGCACAGAGCACTCGACAATCTCGAGCTTCGCCTCAACGCCATAGCCGTTCCGCTTGAGGAAGCTGCGGTGCGACTCGTCCGGCGTAAAGCTTGGTAAAGGCCCGCACAGTGAAGGCAGCGCGCGCAGCGACTGGTGGTACAGAGCGAATCCATCTGGCGTGCCTGGGACGAGATGCGGCGGGGGCAGCGCCCGCTTTGACGCTGATGGGGCTGGTGGAGGTATGGGTGCGTGCGGACCGCCATTATATATGTTGCTTCTACTGGACGACTTTGGCGATGCTGGAGGCTTGACGCTGGTGAGCGTAAGAAGGGAAAGGCGGATGGTCCACAAAAGCTTTACGCCGCTCGTCGTGAAATCGGGCGTTGCGCCGCTTGGGATGGGCAGCGCAAAGGAAACTTGACCGGCATCGAGCGTGCTATCGTGGTGACTGGCAACGGCGCGTTTCGTCAGCTTCTGGCTGCGCGTCGACGGAAGCGTCGCGATGTCCGATTGAATCTCCTCGTGCGACTCGAGGTGGACGGCGACACGGATGATGCGCGCATAAGCTGTCTTCTGATTGATGGTGATCACCCCTGAGACGGTATCACCGAGACGCAACTTCGACTTGACGAGCGTCAGAACAGCTGCGATCTGTCCGTCTTTCGCAATATCGTAGGAGACTGGGCAAAGGACAAATGGCATTCTATTAGCACCGAAGCAGGATAGACGCCTTGATCAGACACCCTCTCACCTTTGGAGGACGTCCGACTGAGCACCTCGACTGCTTCCATGCAAGTGTCGATTGTGTCCTCCTCTGCGCCGGCTCTGCTCGCAGCACTCACGACGGAGCTACGTCGGCGCATGAGCGCTTTCCCTAGCGAGCGTGCGGACAAGTGCGGGGCAGGTAGCGTGGCTGTCACAATTGTTGACGTTTCGCCCGGCTGCAGTGCCGAGTCGGTGAGCGCCGAGCTGGCATCGAAGGAGGACCCAGTTGGCGTCGCACACGACGCGAGCAGCTCTTTGGCGTAGGAAACGAGGTTTACGTGCGAGGATTCGTCGCGTTTCTTTTTGAGATTGGCGAGCTCTTGCGCTCCTTCCGCTGCCGTCACGTGCTCGGGCAATGGCAGTGGCGGAGGCGGCGCAGCGGCATCCAGAGCATCCTCGGCATCCTCACCCTCGGCTTCATCATCAGCAGGGCTGATCACTGCCCCGTCTCGCACCCAGACGATCGGGTTGAGCAAGTCCCAGAACGGCCGCGCGCCGCTTACGGCAACGTGATTGTAGATGCGGATAGGGATCTGGATAAGTCTGCTCTTCTGCGCCGACTTTCTGCTGCTGCTGCGCACGGTTGCGTTGGAGAGATCCAGGCGATTCGTGCCGATCGCCAGTGTATAAGTGAAGGAAATCGCTTTACCCAGGTATGATGGCGGCAGGTCTGGGGGGAGAGGCAGGCGGAAGTGATCTGCAACGTGGTTGAGGGGCATAATCATAGTGTGCAAATTCAGAGCCGGGTGCGGGTTGCAACAAGGAGAGCTCCGTGACCACCTCACAAAACTCACAAGATCGACTCTGACCAGGCTCAAGTGCCAGGTCGACGCAGAGGATGCTGGGTGGTGTACTGAACGTGGGTATCCCTTTGGCAAGCAGGGCCTTTTGACTCGTATCAACGAGCGTGCTTCCGGTGCGCTTGTGCTTATGCCCTCTTCTCAGCAGTCCCGCTACCATCCCTCCTCCCCCTGCTCCTCCGCTCCCACCGCTGGCGCCGCCGATCATGCCGTTGTCGCTAGCCGCAGCGCCGCCGCTGCCGAGCGTGAGCCTGTTGCGCAGGTACGCGGTCCATCCGTCCGCCTCAAAGCTCTTGCCCATGCCTTGACCGCTGATCGCGCGGCGCATCGCCGCGGCCGTCTCTTCGGGCCCCCCGGCGCCACTCTCGCCACCGATGCCGCCGGCAGAGCCTGTATCATCGCCCATGCGCAGCTCTGCCTCGACATCCTCCTGCCCAATGCTGAGCAGCTCGCCGCCGCCAATCGTCCGCCCACGTGAGCTCGCAGCGCCGCCGCGTTCCGATGGGGTCTGGCGCTGCAGCTGTAGCTCGCTGCGCCCGCCAGGACCCACGATACCGCTCGAAGCGCCGCGTCCGCCGGAGGAGGCAGAGGAAGCAGAAACAAAAGTACCTTGCGCGATGCGGTACTTGACAAGCTCAAAGTCGAACGGCTTGATTAACGACTCGTCGATGGAGAACATCCCGCTGAATTGTGCATATGACCATAGCAGCACCTCGGAGCCCGGCGCGACATTTGCGTGTGCTGGTGCCGGGAAGAGAGGCGAGGTGGACGGCGCAGCGGAAGAAGCTGCTGGAATCGTCGGTGACGAATCGCCCACTCCTGAGCCGGCCGCCGCCGCCGCCGAGCCAGAACGATGCATAGAGGCGGGGAAGTGCGTTGAGATGATGGAGAGGTTGGTAGGCGAGAGCATGCTCCTGTTGGATGAATTGCTAAGCCTCCGATCCAAGCCCAACGCCAGGCCACCTCTTCTTCCCACAACAGGGCCTGTGCGCTTGTCGCTCGAAGCCAGGCGCTCCGAGAGGTCTTCACGTACGACCGACTCCATCGTGTCGTTCCTGCCGATACCATAAAACCCTGAAGCAACGCCCCCTGGACCGCCTGCCTTGCTCGTTGCAGAGGCAAAAGAGTCATCACCAACATCTATGACCCTGCTGCCGGCTGCATTCCCATCTTCCGTAGAGGATGTACCGGGAGCATTGCTGCAATCGTAGTTGTGCTCTGTCATACCATTCAATCCTCCATTTCCGCCTAATATCGCCGGCGAAGCTGCTGCACTGGACTCCTCGGGTGTGGCCTCGAGCCCCATTTCGAGTGCGAACGCCTCGGTGAGGTCCTCCACCTGCGTCTGCACGACGCTCTTCTTGCGTGAGTGCGGGTGGCGCCCAGAAGTGCGTGAGACGAGGGACTTGGCCTTAGCGGCCGTGTTGTTGAAGACGCGCGGATGCTGTTTGGATACTTTTTGCACCCCATCGTTCTCTTCGTCGAAAGAGTCATCAGCGTTGTGTTTCGTCTGGCCGTCATGAACTTCTGGCGCTTGCAGCGGTGCTGCAGCTGAGCCGGGGCGCGCGCCCCCTCGGGGCGCTACTGCGCCTGTTACTGCGTACGAGGACGAAGGCGTCCGCGCTGTGTCGCTACTGCCAGCCTCAGAGGCACCTGAGGCGTTCCGCGACGCAGGATAGCCCGCAGCCGAGCCGCCACTACCTCTGCGCCCTGGCAATCCAAGCCCTAGCCCATGCAAGTTTCCTCTTGCATCCTCGCTGCCGTGCTTAGCACTGCTGCTGATCTGTGCCACAGCGACAGAGACTGACTTGCCGTGCGAGACCTTCGTAGCTCCCTTCGTACCCCTTGATGCAGGCTCGTTCCCATGATCCTCCTCGTCGTTTCCAGCCTGTGAACGCAGCTCAGCGGGTTTAGGGCCTCTGCCGACAAGGCCTCTGCGCTCGCGCCGCACCGGGGTCCGAGCGTGCTCTCCCGCGCCTACTTTGTCCGCATCGACTGGCCGTACATCGTAGAGCGATTGGCTCTTTCCATGCGAGAACGCGCGATTCGTGTTCGCATTGGCTACGTGTAGAGACGACGATGCTTTGCGTGTATGCTGGGAGCCTCGACTCGTGCTTCTGTTCGGCGTGCTCGTCCCCGATGCCGAAGGCGATGTTGTGGACGAAGTAGATGGCGAAGCTGAGCGGGGTACACAGAGAGGCAGAGAGATTGAAAGGGATTTATTAAGTAAACTTCTAACTATGTTTGCATTTGTATCTCATGACTCTGTACAGCTTACCCGCTCCAGAGCCTCTACCGCTCCTGCTTCTGCTCGTCATCCCTGAAGTGGGAGTCGAAGTTCCATCATCGTATTCCTGCCTCAGCTGCTGGTGCGAGCGAGCAGGCGGGGTGGCGACGTTGCTGAATGTGATCTTGCAGTGGAAGTACTCTCCGGCAAAGAAGCTGGACTGCCCTGGTTCGACAGTGACACGAAGGGATGAGGACGAGGTAGACACAGATGATGAGGGCGAGCCTGCGCCCGGAGAGGATGAGGGCATCGCAGCGCCATTCGCGGTTGCCATCGTAGGAGACAGAGACGGTGCCGGCGAGGGTTGCCTTTGGATCACGTCTGCGGCCTTTTGTGTCCCTCTCACCCTCCTTCAACGACTATGACAACGCCTGCAGCTCCAGCTTGGGGGTCGCAATTCTCGCGCAGGCTTGCTTTGGATGGGGTGGTAGAGATGCGCTCGACTTCTCGGGCCAACAGCAGTTGGGTTGAGTCTGAAGCCTTCAGAAGCCAGAATCAAATGGGCCAGTCACACTTTAGGGTTGTATCCTCTTAGGGTTATAGCACCGTATTCTGGGCACACACCCCCACGCGCTCCTTTCACGCTCGGCGCGCAATCAACACGAATCGCGCACGCAGCACAGTGCAGCAAGGCAGCACCACAGCACACAACCCCAGTAATCACACACATGCAGGGGAGAGGGGACGCCAACTGACCAACACCTTTCGTTTCACACGTTCGCAGAGAGCAACACCATCTCACCACCAGCTTGGACGGAGGGAAGGCTATAGGTCCACGATAGACGGAGCCAAGCCTCGCAGCGTTGGCTATGCACGATGGTCAAGTACTAGACGAAGAACGGATTACGACCGCACAAACGCACGCACGAAAGAACAGGGCCCGATCCACTTACTTGGAGCCGAATGGGCCTGCCCCCTCCGCCAGCTCTGCATCTCGAACTCGCACCTCAGAATGAAAGGAAAGCACGACTCCGACCAAGGCCACGACGAAATCCACAGTTCCATCATGCGCAAGCAACCTACGTCGACTGCTAGCAGCCTCAATGCCCGCAGATTGGCCAGCAGATTCACCATATCATCCTTCGTCTCGCTGTTCCTCCGCGCTTTTTTGATCCCCATCATCGTATGCGGCGTCCCAGCTTGGCCAGTGCTGGGTATGCTGTGCATCGTTCCCATCGTCGGAATGTTGTGAGTCTCTCTCTCTCTTTCATGATAGTTGACAGAAAGTTGACCCGCCTCACTCGCCTTGCAGCACCGTGCCGATCTTCCTGCTACTTACGGTAACGCTGATGTACAGCATCGCCTGGCTGTCTTATCTTGTCCTGGCGCAGTCTGACCCGCCGCCCGCGCCGTCGCCTTCATCGCTGCTAGCGAACGCAACCTCCTCTTTGTCGAACGAAAGCGGAGCATCTGGAGATTCGCCAGCGTCGGGCAGCAGCAGCAATGGCAACGGGAGCAGCAGCACGCACTATCTCCCCTTTCTGCCATACTCGCCGCTGCGCTGCCTCAAGATAAATTGGGCAGCCCTGCAATACGCATCGACGCTATTGCGTGTCGCGCTCCCTGCCATCTTCGATTGGTCCTATCGTCGAGTCATGGTCCTCGGATCGCAGGGCGGCGGCGGCATCGTCAAGGAGAACATCCTGTACGGCTCTCCTTCCCCAGGCAAGCGCCTTGACGTATACATCCCACCCGCTAAGCCAAGCCTCGCGGCAGCGCATGAATTTGAGCCCAGCGCGACGGCACACTCGTATGCCGCCTCGTCCACGTCGGCACCGTTGCATGGACAAGGCACCGCCGGGAACGCGAGGATGCGCAAGCATTCAACCATGCAATTCAACGAGCCGCCTTCTGCTCCACTTGGTTCCCAGAAGCGACTGAATGGGCAAGAGCCACATGACCCCAACTCAGGTGCTGGCCCAGCAGCAGCAGCGGTCATAGTTCTGTTGCCATCCCTGATCCCGCCTCTGAGTTGGACGTCAAAACGCAAGACGTACATGCAGCTCGCGCTACGTCTGCGGCGGATGGGTTACTGCGTTGTCGTGCCTGAGTTGACGTACTTCCCTGCCTCGCGCATCAAGGCCTCCGTCATCGATCTGCGCATCGTTCTGCACTGGGTCGACGAGCACATCGCTCACTACGGCGGCGACAGGCATCGGATCCACCTCATGGGCCATGGGCTCAGCGCGCATCTCGCGCTTCTGCTCATCACACAGCAAGCCGTCGTGCTGAGCCGGGAAAAGTTCCTCGATGATGCATGGGAGCGCGAGCAGCAGCAAGAAGAGGAAGCAGCCAGGCTGTATGCGGCGCGTCGCAACGACTACGGCGAAAACGGGCAGGACGGCAACCGCCCTGAAGAGGACGACGACACAGATGCGCGACTCTCCCCCCCCGAAGAGGGCGCCAAGGTGCGTGGTGACAGAGCACAGAAAGGAGCAGGAGCAGGAGGCGAGCCGCTCAGCCAGAGCTCGCTCGCACGCCACGAGGCGGAGCTTGCACGTCAGAAACAGCAAGAAGAGCAGGCAGCACAGCACAAGCAGCCGCGGAGGCATACAGCTGCACGACAAGGGAGCGAGCACAGTAACAGCTGGGTCGATGAGGATCTGTTCGAGCCGAACAGCGCAACGGCGAGGGACGGTGGACTTTTGACGGAACAAGAGGGAAGTTCTAGCATTTTGCCTCCTGGAATGGTCTCGACTGGGAAGGAGAAGCCAGCAGGTGTGTCCACTCTCCCTTTTCCTGCGGACAACATCACTGGCGCTGCGATGAGCTCGGAGCCGAAGCGCACCTATCCGCGGTGCGGCAGTCAGCAGGAGCAGCGTCTGCGCAATCACCGGAACTCGACAGCGGCACTGGCTGCTGCGGCGCAACTGAACAATCACGCCGGCAGTCTTATGTACGGAAAAACTGGTCTCCCTCCGCAGACACTCTCGGAAGCGGAAGCAGCGATCGGTCAGGGTTTGCGGCAGGTCTCGATCTACGGTGCACACATCCCCGTGCCGCCTGTTGCGGGTGTGATTCTGCTTGCTGGAATCTCGGACGTCATCAAAGGCTTCCGCAGCGAGAGTGAACGCGGCGTCGAGCACCTCAGCGTGCTCCGACGTGCTATGGGTCCTGGGCACACGAGCTGTCTACTGCATAGTCCTGCGCATCTGCTGTATGCCGCCAAGCATATTCTCGACATTGGCCTGCTGCCGCCCAAGTTCTTGCTGTGAGTCGTTCATTTCCCGTTCGCACCGTACCGCGCCGAGGCAAAGCTCACTCTGCCTCCTTGTTACTCTTCTCACCTTTATGCTTGTCATCGTCAAGTATCCATGGCGGCCGCGATGCAGTGGTACCTATCGAGCAGTCGACGCTGCTCAAGACGCTGCTGGTTGGCGTCGGCGTCGAGCACATCAAGCTTCGCGCATACAGGGAGCTGGGCCACGTTGAAGCGCTCGCAGCGTGCTTCCTCGGTATGGGCCAGAGTTTCACGAGGTACAGGAAGAGCATCCTTGCGGATCTGCAGGGTTTCGTCCAGCTCTGAGCGAGTGAAGTAGGTTACGCTGAACTGGCGTGGGGTTTGATGAGAGGTGGCATTCCACGCAAAGGAAGGGAAGCTATTCGCTGAACATGGGCTGATGAGGACCTCGGGCGACACAGCCGCCAAAAGTGTCTCACGCAATCTTGCTTCCAGGCATACCACGCTCTGACGTGCTCAAGCCGAGCTTGACACTGAAAGGTGCAGGGCGCTCCGTAGTGGGCGAAAAAAATGGGGTAGCCCACCCAGACCGCCGAAAAGGGTGTTAGGACTGTAGTGATTTGTAGCGGCAAAACCAGTTGCCCAAGATTTTGCAAGGCGGCTAAGATGAAGGAAGGAGACAAGTCTGAAGAGGTGCCCCCTTGAACGATGGCATTGGCATGTACTATGTTTCCGGCACGCGTACTTCAAGTCGAGACGTTTTTGATTCTCCTTTGAAGGCTTAACATCGGGCAAGTGCAGAAAGTGCTGAAGGATATGTTAAGCCAAAGTCTGCAGAAGCGTCAGGATACAGGAGCGAGATCAATGGAGGCAAAGCGCACTCCATGAACCCTATGCATAGGACAACACTGCCTCCAGTGGAGATTTGTTGCGACCTTTGGCGCTCACAGTACAATCCCAAGATGTGCCGAGGCCCCCGAAAAGGTAAGGACTTTGGCTAGATTCATAAAAGTCTGAGGAGCATACAGGTGCATATAGCATAGTCGAGCATGCGCGATACGGGGCAAGAGTGAGAAGCTGGTGGGTGTGCCGATGGTGTGGCCGATGGCACGGCAGGGCTGAATGCATGGCCATGTGTTCATTTTCTACCTTCACAACAATACCCCAAATCGGAATATTGCTAGGTAACAGGCTGTAGGCAGCGGGAGTGCGTGTAATCCGAGGAAATAATCCCGTGCCCATCGGCCAGAGCGTGCCCGGTGTCGCGCACCTGCTTGGCAATGAAGAAGGGACCCTCCGCGCGAAGCAGATTCTATTCCAGCGGCCTTGCCCGCCAGCTTGTCTCCATAACCTTCGCCCCGGCAGGGAAGCACACGAGCTGCTGCTGCCGATCGAATATGAACATGCCAGCGACCCTGCTGCGCGACGGACACGTGCCTGCCTGAGGGAAAAAGGCATGCGGTCGCCCTAGGTGCGACCGTTGCGATGTTGCAGGCGACATTTTTGAAGTCATGTCAGCGATTGCTGCATTGTTGACGCTGGGGAGGGGAAAGCTCTGGTGATTTTTAACGCCAAGCTTGGAGAGCGCTACCGCGATTGCTGTGAGATGACCGTTGCCATGAGGAAGCAGACCCTGCACGGCTGCACTGCCGGTCTCGTAGTGGGTGGTTGCTCGCCCTTGGTGAAAGGCTGCACGTGTTCGACCACCTTGAACGCGACAGCTTCGCGCCGTACTGCGTTATAAGTGGGCTGGGCGCCTTCCCATTTGCCTGAGACCAAGGCCAGAGGATACTCGGCGCCGTCCAGGCGGGCGAACCGTGATCCGTCTCATCCGACGAGCGATACGTAGGTGCGTACGACTAGCTGCTTGGCGGGCGTGTGGAAGTGAATCAAAGAGGGCCGGGCAACAGCCGCCCACACTGCCTCCCACTGTAACCGCAGATCATCATTCCATTGCGCGCCTTTGCCCCGTCAGATGTGATGGTCCAAAGATGCGAGCAGACAACCTCAGTTGGGTATAAACTTTGGCAGTTGTTGCGCCATCGCAGCGGCAGAGCACAGGTTGCCCAGCGCCCTTGGGGTGAACGGCATGAGAAAATCGGCAATGCGTTCATCGGTCGGGCGAAGCTCACCTACCAACCAAAGCACGCCTAGCATGGGAACGTCATTCGAGCCTCACAAGGTGGACGACTTGAGATCCAGCATGGCTTCCGCGTCCTCCAGGAGACCGAGTACTTGAAGAATGTCGTCATAGAACAGAACAGGGCTTCGTCGCCAGTTCGCTCATTGACGCTGTTGCTGGGGTAGGAGAAGGCGATGTGGCCAACCGGCTGCAGGAGGCTATGTAGAAACGCTGTCGCTAGTGACGGCGATTTGGACGCTCCCTGAGGCGGGCACATGAATCGCAGTCGACCGTGGCTCTAGGTAGAACCTCAAACTGAGCCCGTGTGTCACAACTCATGGCTTTCGCAGTAGCGCGGGCGGCTTCGCAGCTCTTTTTACTGAACCTGAGATGGTTTTGCTGCATTCCTCTTAGTGGCCTACGCTTCTTCCTTTGCCGCTCCTTCCCTCAGCGCTTGCGATGCTCGCCCACCTGTGTTGCGGCTGCGGCTTTCCCGGTTGATTGTCCGCGAATTTGTTCCTATCTGAGGGCGCCGTCTTCAGTCGTCTTTGCTTCTTCCTCTTGTCTTCGTTGAACTATCTGTGATCTTGCCCGTGACTCGCCTTTTCTTGGGCCTCGTGCGAGCGAGGTTTTTTAAACGAACCTGTAAATGTCAGACATGCAGGCGCGCTCCATGCAGACGGACAAAACTCATGTCGTTAACGCAAGAGGTGATTATGCCATGCTTTTCTCTGGATCACACTTTTGATAGAGGTAGCCGCAGCTTAAGAGAGATTGGCGTCCGCCGCTTGAGCTGCCTCCTTGAGCTGCTCGGCGACGATTTGTAACCATATATTTCGTAACAGGGGTAGCCGCTGTAGCGTCTTGCCGCGTCAGCCGGCTGCCCGATTTCCCAGACATTAGGGCATCCAGAGTACCAGTCTCCGCGATGCTTGTGCGTTTCTATGAAGTTGAGATCATGAGCATGTTGCGGAGCGGTAGGCAACTGCGAATGGCATCCAGAGTCAGTTGAAGGCATATGTGTTCATCCACATTGCATTTATCTGAAGCATGGATCTGTGCATTTTGTCAGTCCGTCGTGCTTGTGACAAGTCGACGCCGACCATACATTGACAGCAATGATGGTTTCCTCGAGCCAACAGCAACGTAGATCGGATGCCACGGAGATGAGAGCGAGTTCCAAAAACGCATAAGGGTTTGCGAAGACGTATGCCCTTGCGGAGGCGTCGTGAAGCCGCGCGGAAGCCTTTCAGAGCCGATCGAGCTCCTCTACGGGCGACTCCGCTAATACTAGAGGGCTGGCCACCGCCGAAATTGCAAGGGGATGTATGCTGCCCGGAATGTCAAGCGCTTCTTTCGGCAGCAAGGGGTTCGAAAACGACGCGGTGAGAAGCGGGTTGTGCTTTCCCGATCAGATGCTGGCGAGGTCATCCATGAAGAACATGCACGGCACTGAGCTGAAATGCACATGGTCAGGCACTAGGTCGGGCACTAGGTCCCTTTCCAGCTTCGTGTTGGAACGAGGCTGGTGTCTGTGTGGCTCCCTGTTGATGAGCTTTGTCGTGCGGTGAAGGTGATGCAGAGGTTAGTAACCCTGCACTGTTGCGGTTGGGTGGAGCCACACCTACTTAAAGGCAACTTCGTGAGTTCATCAAGGCTACTGCCCCCAGCAGGATCTGTAGCACGACTACTGATGATATCTTCCGATAGGCTCCAGTGCCACCTGTCACCATCGTCGTTGTTAATCTCTCGCCTTTTCCCTTTCCCCAGATGCTTCTGTCATCGTCTTCAAACCATGCATACAGGTTCAAGTAACACTAAAGGCGCATATCATGTCAGATTTCGCCTTTCCAAGCAATACCATCGGAACTATTGGCTGTCGGCGTTGCTGTCGGCTTATTGCTGACGAGACCACTACAGTCATATAGTTCCCATATCAGCGTACCACGGCGTTGGTAGTGGTGCCTGAGCTCTTTGGCCTCGATACAAGAAAATTCTTGGCCAAGGAAGCGAGCCGTTCTGGGTAAATTAGGGTCAGACGCGACCAAGCCCGGTACAATGGTCCTTACCATTGTAGAATAGATCTGATTGGTCTGTCGAACAAGGGGTTTCCCAGTAGGTCACGATGGAAACGCGGTTGCCACGTCGGAGTCGCGGTCGCAAGACTCTTGTCATCTTGCGAAACAGCGTGTGCAGTTGGCACATCCGAGACGTTTTTGCGAGGTCAGCCGAGAGTTGAAGCTTGAGTTGCTCATGGCCCACTTAATTCCATGCAACTTGCAACTGCAACACCGCGGCCATGCTCTACACAATTTAGAGACAGCGGCGTCGTCAGCTGATCTCAGGTATCCGATGGCATCCTTCAGACTTACGGTCTTGCTGAAGAATGGGCTCCAAGCGTCATCAAGAGTTTCAGATTTATCTTCTTCCTCCACTTCCCACATCATATCCCCAAGCCCAGCAGAAATGTACGATGAGAGCGACTCCTGGATTTCAAGCAATGCTTTTTTGTGCCTTAGCTAATCGGACATGTCCAGGTCACCATCTTCTTCCTGAGCCTGACATAACTTTCAAACCGAGCCACAAGGCTCGCTCGTCTCATCTTACTTGAGTCTACTAAAACGTGCATGTGATCTGCGAATGAGCTTTCAATCTGCTCGCTCGGCTGCTGTAGATCGGAAACCAAAGTATTTTGGCCGAAATCACCTTCCAACTCGTGCGCCGCGGATCCGCGACCAGGGTTGAGGTTCGTATCACTTTAGGAGAGTTTGCTGAGCTCACAGCTCGCTGCCGAACTTGCAAGGCTCCTTCATGCTTGGACGTAAGGCGGTGCCGTTCTACATTCTTCTTGCGATGTGGTAACTTGGGCCCATATGGGCAGACCATGCATTTGAAACGCATTACATCTGCCTCGCTTTGTATAACAAAAAACCTAGAACATCCAATGACAAGGTGATGACAAAGGGGGGAACATGGCCTGATACGAACCATGAAGAGGTCTCTATGTCAATTCAGCGTATTGGAGGACGTTCCCATTCATTCTCACCGTCTCCAAGCCTCCCGACTATTTCATCCGCTGGGTTCACGACGACATCCTGGTTGTCTTGCTTGCGAACGGACTTTGCTCAAAAATGCGGCAGAAATTGAACTCACACTGCTAGAGCTCGCCCGCAGCGAGTTACTTCATACTACTTTCCGAGAAGTTACCGCCGGTACTACGGATCGTTTAGGTATGTATAGTCAAGAAAATGCACGGGCGTACCACGAGGTAAAAGAATTAAGATGACGTTATATGGGAAGGTGTGATCGATGTGTGCTTCTGTAGAGAGACGATGTATTTTGTGAAAATCAAATTTCCTACTATGTGTTTCTGATAAAGGACGCAACGCTTTTGTGCGCAGAGCGAGATTCAGAGTTTGTACAGCTTGCGTTCAGCTCTGCGTGCGCAATGGATCATGCAGAATCCAGATTTCGATTGATGCCTCGTCTATTGGTGATTATATGTATTGTTAAGGTTCTCGTCACGGATTCTCTGTTTGTCTCGGTCGCCGAAAGAGAAAACTTAGGTCACAGGTTCACAGAAAGTTGCTGCATCCGCCAGCCGCTCTGTCTACCCGCTTGTTCCAAAGCTCTGGTTGGTGTGAAACAAACAAAAATGTAAATTTCGGGCCCAGTCGCATAATATGTGTGGCAAGTTATAGCCGAGTGTAACCGATTACATACGTGGATGCAGTCCTAATCTGTTCTTATTCACCCCATCCAAATTGTAAAGCCATCGACAAACGCAAGAGACCTGCCGCATGGGGTCCCTCAGCCGATCTCGATATTCTGCTGCGACTACGATCGCGCCCTTGCAAGCGCTCTTAGCGTCAGCTCAGTCCAAAAATGCGCAAGATAAAGAATAGAGAGCAAATGCGCGTGATGCTTTCGGTTTGTTTCCGCCAGTTCGCCCAACTTTTCGGCCTCCCTGGAGAACCCTGCCCAGACCCTGCGCTAGTGAAAACAAGGTACAGGTGTGTACGGCCGCAGCCATCGAGCGATGTGCACCAGCTCTGCATCTGTCACTGGCCGTATTTCACGCGTCATGCTTCAAGGTACATGAGCGCACCCCGTCTGACAGGGCGCGCTGCAGCAGGTTGCAGCTAGCGAGAGTTCCTGATGGCCAGCCAGATACCTGGGCCGGCCTGGGCTCTGGGCCCTGGAGGCAGATGCAGAAGGAGGGCAATCACATGCATTTCTCCAACAACTTCGCGGCACTATTTCGTGGAGCTCCAGCGCTCCAGCATACATAGTTCATAGTCTATATTTACTCGCATATTCATTCACACGGCGCCAAGTTTGCCGGTCAGTGGCCTGACAGTGGCAAGAATACTTTGGGGGGTCTTGGAAGCTGGACACTTCCGAGCCTGTATCGGTCTGGACTCGGGAGGAGAATGGAGGGGAACGTTCCAAGGAAAAGAGAGGGTTCGCGGATAAGAGAGGACGGATGGTTTGTGTCGCCAGTCGCCCGGAAATGCAACAAATCGCAAAGCGCAAAGCGCAGCGGTCTGTTCTCAGCCTCTCACACATTTGCGAAGTATGTCATATAATCGACAAGGTTTGTTACACCTGTTGCAACTGCTCACTGCCCCCTACTCACCAGCTGCGCCTGGCACAGATGCTTTTATAAGCCCCTGAACCCTGCACCTAGTTAGCTTGCTTGCTCATTGCGTCGTCGACTGAAGTCTGGATGATGCAGCCCCACCCGCATTGGACACGAACAGCGATCGAGATTCGATTGAGCTCACCAGCAGCGTTTCGCACTGTTCTGCGAGGAAAAGCAGCTGTATATGCATCTTGTCTTACGCGCTCGCGGGATTCACTCCAGCAAGCAGGCATTTGATACGAAACGCCCCAGGGTAGCGCGGAGGATCGAAACACGGCCAGAAGGAAGCATTGCGCTTAAGAGGGAGTCGAAATTAGAGGAAGGTAGTATCATGTTTCCTCTAGGAGGTCTCGATAACTTGCTGGACGCTCCCCGCGCCTCGAAATCGCGTCGGAAAGCTGAGGGTGGAAACGGTCAACAGATATCGGCTGTGGCTGCAGGAAGCACAAGCTTCGTCGAAATGGATGGCGCTGCTGACGAAGAGGATGAGTCAGACCGGGCGCCTCGCCCACCAAATTCATGGATCCTGTATCGGTCAGCAAAAAGCCAAGAGATCAAGCGTGACATGGAGGAGAGCGGAGCATGGGCTAGCTCCCCGCCTGTGTCGAGTCGACAACGGCAAGCGGAGATCTCTCGCACTGTCAGCATGATGTGGAAGAACGAGGCGAAGGAAGTAAAGGACATGTACTCTGCGATGGCGGAGGAAAGGAGGCTGGGTCATCGTCAGCGATATCCAGTGAGTTGTCCGCAAAAGTCTTTCTGTCAAGACGGAGGCATTGAATACTCTACTGATCCGCTCTGAGCACATGCGCTTACCAATAGAATTATAAGTATCGTCCAAAGCGACGCAGCTCTGATACTGGATTGCGGGAAACGTCGACTGCGAGCGGTGAACTGTCAACGGCATCATCGCCCTTGCTTACGGAGCAGATTGATGGACCGTCAAATTCTTGTTCTATTATGAGCTTTGGTGCGAATACAGGTAGCAGCGTCGCCGGGGGTCCAGTTCGACGTCAGAGAAGCACATTCCGTCAAGCAGCTAGCGGCCGAGATCGCGGCGGAAGTCTGTCGTCAGCGGGATCAACTTCGCTGGGCCACGGCAGCGGTACAACCTCTCCCAACCTGCCATCCACCATGACGCCAATTAAGATGCTTTCGAGGACACAGAGCCAAGAGTCACCGGTTCCTGCCTATCCACAAGCTCACGTCCAAGCCCAAGGTCGTGCACTCCCCCATGCTCATACCCATGACACCGTCTATGAGAATCATCCAGGCGGTCTTCCCTTCGACCTTGACACACAACAATGGCCGGCTGCTGCCAGCCTGGTCGGGCAAAGTGCCGTGCCGCAGGCGACACCAAGGCTGGACGAGCGGCTCTACAACGCAATGCCAAGCCGCGTGTCCGCCCTTCACAACAGCGCCGAGGGCGCGCGCAGAAGCTTCAACGACTGCCGACCTGCACTGAATGGCCCAGAAGCATATCGCGCAGTAATGCATCCTCAGCGGGCACCGTATGGTCCGACAGATGCTGAGCATGACGGGATACTTTCGCTGCCAGAAGCGCGTGCGAGTGCTACTACGAGCAAGGATGTGAATCGAGCAGACCCCCTTCTGCCACCCAAGCTGTCGAGCCTTTCCCGCGCGGCGCCTTCTTTAGCCGCAAACCGCTGGCTCCACGGGTTCCCGAGCGGGCACGAAAAGAACAAGAGATGGGAATACGATACGAACGTGCTAACGTTCGCAAGGGGCTCATCGGATATGTCATTTGCTTCGTGCGATATGAGCAGCGCAAGCGAAGCCTACAGCGGCCCCGCTCTCGGCGGGGCAATGGAGGCTCGCGGCGACGACGACGCCGGTGGTCCAGCCTTCTCTGGCATGCCGGGTTTGTATCAGCCGCAATTGAGCCAGCAGAACAGCGAAGTTGCTGGCCGTGATGCGCGCAACAGCATGTCGTCAACATACATGTATATGCCGGCTGGAGCAACAACGGGGGTCATACCTGCATTGGGAGGTCCGACGGCATCGTCAGATCTGCTGAGCATGCACAGCATAGTGCAAAGCCAGCAACAATCGCAACAACACCACTACCACCAGCATCACCGTGAGCATTATCACTCATTGCCACCAGCACCTGGAATAATGCCGATCCACGGCGCGTATCAGCAACATGAGTACGGCCCTGAGCCTCACCAGCAATTTGACGCTTGGCCCTCAAGAGCATTTCCCGCCTCATCCATACCACCACAACATGGATTATCTGATGGAGCAGCAGGAAGACTCGCTGAGCGTGTTGGTTGCAGTAATGGCAGCGGAGACGCTCTTGGTGGACTTGAAACTGGCATGGAAGGCGGTCATCGACCAACGACAGACTCTATGGGGAGCGGCAGCAGCAGCAGCAGCAGCAGTGGTTCGTACGGTGGATATGCAGGGCATCACAACTACTGATGGTACACGTCCTGGCCGCACACATCTGAATGCATTTTTTTACCCTCGCCGATCAGGCTACATCGAGCGGTGCCAAGAGCAGTAAAAGAGACTTCCTTCTTCCAAGGACACCATTGCCAAAACATTTCTGCAGGGAGTCGGCCTCCAGCTCTTCGTTGTAACTGGTCTGCATACACTGGCCTCCCTCCAAGGCTCCTTCGCTTCAATCATCTCGACCAGTGGAGAGTCCTATGGCGGTTGGCAGACACGAATATTCAGCACAGCCTTGCCCCGCCTTGAAAGCCCTGCACTGGCCTTCTCACTGTACACTGCACGGCGCGGAGAAAGGGTTCGAAGGGAAATGCAGACTTAGGCAAGCGACGGCCAACCACAACAATGAAAGCAAAAATATTTGCCGTGGGATTTCTCTGGTTCTACCGGCTAGTATTGCCCTGCATGGTCAGACCCCGAACACCGGGCTTGCTTCGGTCGTGTCGGGCGATCCTCAAAGCCCCCCGCAATGCACATTTTTTGCATTCACTTCTTAATTGCCCATTATATCATTCCACATTCGCATCGCATCGCAATGCATTCCTCAATTTCGATATCCTTACCTCCCACATTGGCATGTCGTATTCGCACTAGATCTCGGCCACAATTCGCTTCTCTCTTTCAACTTCGCAGAATTTCAGAGCAGCTCAGAGTGAAGCCACGGGAACTAGTAACTTCCCCCAGAAGCATTTGCGTAAACTTCCCGGCCTGAATGCCTCTTCATTTCAAGGTTTCTTTTGGGTCTGCAATTCCAGGCGCGCAGCTGTGTAAGCAGGCTTTTTCAGCGATTCCCCAAACCTTGGTATCGCAACTGGGTGCGTTTTGGGGGCTGATGTCGAGAGCTGTAACATTCAGCCACCTTCACTGTCACCACTACTATGGTCGCTGATGTGCTCTGCATCAGCACGCCTATTCGACGACTGCTTTCCCTCGTATGCGTGCACGGTGAATCTTCGACTCTAGCAAAGAAAATTGCATGTCACCTTGGTCTGCCGACCTGCTCGCTTTTTGCCAACTGTACGCTGCATCGCCAACGCCATCTCCCCGTCCTGCGTTATTAGGATTTCTGATCGAGTTCTCATCCTGCCACAAAACCATGTTCGCCACAGATGTACGCACGACACGCTCGCAGATCGCACGGCAGCGTCGCTCACTACACCACCTTCCATCAGTTGTGGACGTCCTGCTGTGTGCTTGCTGCTACATCATAACACGCAACACCTAGCAGCAGGAAAAGCAGAAAGGATAGTCGATGTGGTAGCATCTCTTGAGATCTACCTCGGTTTAATTCGATCACTTGGGGTCTGCAGTCGTCTACACTCACCCGCCCTGATTTGATCAGTGCATGAATTCGCACGTCAAGAGTAGCAGCAAGGGCACCACGAATAGATCGCCATCACACTTACCATCAGTAATCGCAGCCTTTCGGATAGTACAGCTGCAAGAGGAAAGGTACCCACTGATTCGATCACTCCTATTTTCCCTCTTGCGCGCTCCTCATCACGGCACGCCTGCTTTTGCCTTCACTTCGGATCTTCTCTGCTATTCATCACTTTCCCTGTTCATGCCACTGATACACATACACTTGCCTCTCGCTTCTCGCATTCGCACTCATCAATTCCCTGGCTACATGCGCATTGGCCTGGATGTTGTCTATACTGCACGCTCTAATACATTTTTATGACATGCGTCCTGGTCGCTGGTCGCTGCCACTGACAAGTTGACTTGGCTGTGCGAAATAATCAGGAGACTTGAGCACCATTCAAGACGGAACATGGGGCAAGCGGGGATGGAAAGAACCAAGAAAGCGATTATCGAATACAAAATACCAACAGACCAAGCGAAAGACCCGAGAATCGCATCTAGACAGATCTCATTTCGCAGAATCCTATACCATCCTGCGCCGTCTTGTGCGCGCTTCCTCGGCCATGCTCTTGAACTCGGCACGCATGCGCTTCATTGTTTCATACGGATCCCGCGTCCTGCTGAGCTCCCCTGCAATCTCCTCCAGACGCGCGCGTTCCAGCGGCGGGTCGCAATGCACAACTGTTGTCGAGGGATGATATGACGAGGAAGGAGGCGAAGAGGCAAGGGATGTGGCATTATGAGAGGAGAGGAGCAATGTTCAGTATCTGATCGCCACTTGTAAAGTCGTTCATCACATCGAGAGCAAGATTGGGGTGTGGGTTATACGCACTGTGATAACTTCTATCAGATGTCGGCAGATCGAGAACAAAGCATGACTCGGCTGCAAAGTCGTCTGGGTTTAGCAAATTGAAGCTGATCTTGAGTTGATCTGTGAAGAGTGAAAAGTACAGCTAATGAGTCGCAGTCCCAGCAGGACGCTGCTTGAAGGTAACACTACTCACTGGGAACCTTGGTCGGCCTGACGTTGATACCGCTGATTGCGCTGAGGCGATCCAGCTCGCCTCCATTTCTCCCTCGCTGCATGGAAAGCTGTTGCCGTTTGCCGTCCTGTTGTCGGCGTTTGCTCTCGGAGAGCCTCTCAAGCTCGCGCAGCTCAGACTCCAAGTTGCTCCTCCGAGACCCGAGCGAGAATTGTGTGCTTTTGAGTTTTCCAATATCGGCGCGCTCGGCCGCGTCTGCGTCTTTTTGCGATTTAATGGCTGTCGTAGATAGGAGGAAATGTCGATCAGCCTTTTTTCCTTGTGACAAGAAGCGCAAACGGTGGGGGGCTCCTGAGGGCTGGCTATGCTCACCTTCCCACAGCTCGCTCTGCTCCTTCTGTGCATCCTCCACATCGCTGCGCAGACTGCGAATTTCCTCCCGGTCGAGCGACATACCGACCTCGTGCTCCTCCCGCAGCATCTCCGTCCCGGCGAGCTCGCCGGAGATGAAGGCATTGAAGGTGACCATGAAGTTGTCGATCTTGGCGTACATGACTGAGAAGTCCAACGGCGTCAGGGGGATATCGGACACAGAGGCATGCAAGGGTGCAGGTGCACCTGCTGACGCTGGTGTCGTCGCCATCATCAGCTTGGTGGTCGAGGTGGACATAGGTGTCCGCTGCGCCATGGGCGCCTTGCGAGGCGAGCCGCCGGGCGTGCGGGCCGCCGAGCCCCGGCGCGAGAGTGAAGGAGTTGCGGACATGCCTAAGATGTCTCTTTGAAGCGGGTGTGACGTGCGCTATTCTGAGTAAGAACGCGCATTAAGGAATACGATGATGGCCACGCGTGGTCGTGGTGATGATGGCGATGGTGTTTGTTGGCCGTTCTGTGCGACGCGTCTCAGTTAAGTGTCACACCCCCTACCCTCCCCCCTGGCACTGGACCGCAGCCCGTCTACGCGTCGCCGTGCACGGCGAACCTCAATCAACACATGCAACTGGGTGCATAGCGTATTACATCTACATGCCCTATATGGATGGAGAGGAGTCGATAGATCATCCTCTCCATCCCCCTCTCCTCCCCACTTCATGCTCTTATCGTCGCTGGAGCCACCCTTGCATGGAGGATAGAAACCTTGTCTTTGCGACCTCCTTTGCGCTAGTCACAGCACTTCGATCGGACCAAGCAGGCGTCAGAAGCGAACGAGACAAACTCGGGACCGGCCATGGCGCCCACAACATCCGCAGCGCCGTCCAGTCGGGTGCTGCTGCTGCAGAGCAACAGCGGCAACCAACTTTACGACGGCACTCCTCCTGCATCGACGATCATCAAGGGAAGCCCGGGGGTGACCAGCAACGGCACCGGCATCACCAAGTCCTCCTCCAAGGAAAACATCCCCACCTCCCCGCCGCTCGCACAATCCATTTCAGCCCACAAGATCCGCGCGCTCGTAGACGTCAAGTCCACCGCCACCGCCTCATCGCCGACGCTTGCGCCGGGTAGATGGCAGGCAGGTGGGGCTGCGCCTACACAACCTTCGTCCACCGGCGGCGCGCTCGTCAAGTCGGCCTCTGCCGGTGATGTCATCGGCGCCGGTGCCGCTGCGGAGGAGAGCAAGGGTAGCTGGCGCAGCTGGAAACGCGGCGATGGACTGTTGCCGTGGGAGATGGACGTCGTCAATCAGCCAGACACCAAACGAAAGGCTAATGTTGCGCAGCTTTGTAAGTGGTTATACCCAAAAGCGACTGAGCTGCCAGGGGTCTGATGCTACGCACATTGCCAACCTCTGTCAATAGACTTCCTTAACTACTACTTTGACAACCTTCGCTACATCTCCGCTCGCAAGGCACGCACCACAGCGTTCAAAGATATGATGGGGCAGTCTGCATCAACATCATCTGTTTCGGCTCCTCCTCAGCTGCTCTCCCCGTCCGAGGTTGAGGCGGAATGCACATCCTACTTTGGCCGCGAGCGTGCTCTACTGCGCAAGCGCCGCACCAAGCTGCGCCTCGCACAGTTCCACATTATCACGCAGGTCGGCCAGGGTGGATACGGAGAGGTGTTCCTCGCGCGGAAACGCGAGACAGGTGAAGTTTGCGCTTTGAAGAAGCTCAAGAAGAAGGTGTTGATCAAGATGGACGAAGTGAGTCTTCTTGTCCTAAGTTCTGATGCAGCACCGCTGAAACACACTACAATGAATGGCACTCCTTCTCATTTGCTGTTGTATTGCTCTGTTTGCAGGTCCATCACGTCCTGGTCGAGCGTGACATCCTCACCGCCACGCGTACGCCGTGGCTTGTCAAATTGCTCTATGCATTCCAAGACCAAGAGCACGTCTACCTCGCCATGGAATACGTCCCCGGCGGTGACTTCCGCACGCTGCTCAATAACAGTGGCGTGTTGCGGGAGGAGCATGCGCGCTTTTACATGTCCGAGATGTTCGTCAGTGTCAATGAGCTGCACAAGCTCGGCTACATCCACCGCGACCTCAAGCCGGAAAACTTCCTTGTCGACGCGACGGGTCACATCAAGCTGACCGACTTTGGCCTTGCAGCCGGTGCGCTCAACCCAGGCAGGATCGATTCCCTCAAGAACAGGGTAAGCCATCACGTGGGAATACTCTATCCAAGCTGGTACTCACACCCTCTTCCTCATTCGCCTGCGTCCCCTCCTTGTACAGCTCGACCAAGTTAAGGATACCGACTTTATCTATCGCACGCCAGCTGAACGCGGGTCGCTGTACAAGATGATGCGCGCGCAGAACGTGCAACATGCCGACTCGATCGTCGGCTCGCCCGATTACATGGCGCCCGAGGTGTTGCGTGGGCGCAACTACGGCGTGTCGGTCGACTACTGGAGTATGGGCTGCATCCTCTTCGAGTTCCTCTGCGGCTTCCCGCCGTTCAGCGGCAAGACGCCCGACGAGACGTGGGCCAACTTGAAGAACTGGCAACGCGTGCTTCAGAGGCCGGTCTATGAGAAGCCGGAGGATTTGCAGTTCAACTTAACCGACATCGCATGGGACTCTATCGTTAGGTGAGCGTCTCAAAGCATTACTTTTAGGCAAGAACGTTACTCGAAACTCATACTCGAACATACCTCTCTATCCCCCTCTCAGGCTCATTGACGTGCCCGATCGACGCTATGCCTCGCTCTCGCAGGTGTCCGCGCACCCGTTCTTCTCATCGCTGAGCTTTGCCAACCTGCGAGGGTTGGCCCCGCCGTTCGTCCCGCAGCTTGAGGGCGAGGAGGACACGGGATACTTTGACGATTTCGAGAACCCGGAGGACATGGCCAAGTATAAGGAAGTCAAAGACAAGCAGCGCAATGTCGACAAAGTCCGCGAGAAGGACCAGGGCGGCGATGCGCGGCGCAAGGATCGTGGGCTCTGGGTCGGCTTCACGTTTGGCAAGAATGTGAATCTAAGCGTTGAGATGCGCAGAAGGGAAAGCGCGAGCTGACTCCTTCTTCCCCTTTCCTTCGACCTTCCCTCTGTTCTTCTCTTGACAGGGCATGGGCGGCAACGGTGGCAAGCCAAGCGTGTATAAGGCCAGTCCCGAAATGGACGCCGCTGACGCTTTCGCGACGATGTTCTGATGCGCTAGTGCACTCGATGGACACATATCTAGACCCCTGACTTGTAGTAACGAACCCTTCACGACCGTGCTTCTATCTTTTGAAATGACCATAACATGGACGGGCAAAATTCGCCTTGTAGTTGACATAATGCGTGCAGAATGTTTATACTACTGGAGCAGGTGAATTCTGTACACAGGTCAATTAGGAGCGCGACGGAGCAACTGCATACATCTTGCAACGCGCAGCCGGGCAGGATGCAAGGCGAGCGCAGCGTGTGGCCATCCGTCTACCAGGTGCGCGTCTCGAGCAGCAGGTCGCTCTCAGGCGCGAGGCCGATGCAGGCGCGCAAGAAGTTGGTCGCAGCGGCGCGCTGGCGGTTGAGCGAGTTGACAACATCCGTGCCGGGCTTAACGACGGGCGCCTTGAGTGAGTACGACAGCAAGCTCAACACGCTGTACATGCTCTTGAACTTTCCCTCCTCGACGGCAGCTTGCGCCTGCTCTGGCTTGAAGACGGTGTACTTAACGCGCGTCATCAGCTCCGCCATGATGGCGAGATCGATGAGCAGCGGCGACGCGAGCAGCGAGTCCTCGCAGATGTTTGTCACGTACAGCCTGTTGCGGCCGCCGAGGCAGAGCTCGCTCGTGTAGTCGTCCATGGCAACCTTCTGGTCGCCGACGGCAGGCATGTACTTGATAACAATGCAGTGGTTCGGGTGCTCCCCCTTGTCACCTGCCTTGCCCGAAGCCGGTTTGTACAGCAGGTGGTTGGCAGCTGTGCAGTCGTCGACGACAGACGACTTGGAGATCTCCTTGGACTTGAACTGGCGCGCGCTTGATAGGTTGTAGCCGTCATTGTTGCCCAGGTGGTTGTAAGACGAAATGCTCAGCGGCTTGATACCGGCATTGACGAGGAACTCGGCTAGCACAGACTTGACCTTTGTCTGGCCCGTCTTGAGATCGTCGCCGCCGATAAACGCCTCGTGGCGCTCGGCGAGCTGAATGGCACCGGGAACAAATGTGTTCTGCGGGGCGCCGTTGATGAAGGGCGCGTTCTCGAGAATGCAGGCGACGGCAAATACCGTTGAGGGAGAGACCTCCTCATGGCTGGTCTTAATGCTGTGGAGGAGCGCGTCAGCCGTGTCGTTGACGCCAGGGATGATGTCCGAGTAGCGCTCCGTGTTGGCGGTCCAGACGACAACGACCTGGTCGAGACCATTGCGGGCCTTAAAGTCGCGGATGTCCTTGCGGATCTGCTCAACGTGGGCAGCCTTGTCCGTGCCGGCGATGGCGTTGTCCGCGCGCTCCTCCTGGTTAGCAGCGATAAAATCCGGGTAGTAGACCGAAGGGAGGGGCTTCATGTCCTTCATCATCGGAGCGATCTGGCGCTGGAGGTCATAGTCGAGGACCTTGGCGCGGGTCATCGAGTCAGCCATGTTGAGGCCGCTAATGTCCCAGCCGCCAATGACAAAGTCATTCGGGTGGACGGTGGGGACGACGTTGCTGAAGGGCACATAGACGTCCCTTCCCGTTTCCGGGTCCATACCGAGACGGACGGTGGAGGCACGAACGAGGGAGCCATAGTAATTGGGGATCTGGAGTCCCTCCTTGTTGTGCCAAGTAATGTTGTGCTTGTTAGCAAGAATAGCAGCAGTGATCGTGGTACCGTTGTTACCTCCCCATCCGACAAGCATCAGGCCGGTCTTGGGAACTTGACGCTGGGTGCGGAACTGATAGGTGGTGGCCGTAGGTGTGGCTACAAAGATCGTCTTGCCGTCAGCCGAGGTCTGCTTCGTGACGTGGGTGTTGAGGTACTCGTAGGTCGAGGTGATGTGCTGGTCCGTGTACTTGACATTGGGCGAGTTGACGTGGATCGACTGGATATCTTCATGACGAGCAGCAGTGGGGTTGACCGGGTGACTGCTGCTGACGTTTCCGTTGCCGTTGCCGTTGGAGGCGAAGGTGTTGGAAGTAGCGACTGGTGCCATGGTGGGAATATGTGATGCGCTGATCAGATGCTTCCGGATGGGGAGGTAACTGGCAATGCAAGAAAGATAATAGAGAGTTAAAGAAAGAGTTCTGTAGGGGTCAAACTAGAACTCTTTGGGCGAAGGGCAGGAGTGTCTGCTGCCCCGGTGTTGGTTGTCTGGAGCAAAGAACAGGGATGGGTTAGAGGTGAGCGGAACAATCCATGTCTTATCTTTGCGGAGGGGAGAACAGACTCACGAGAGCTGCAGAGGTTGTTGGCGAAAATGGTGGGCAACTGTCCACGCTTCACGCTAGTGAAGTAGATGAGATGTGCTCCTGGAGAAGCGGGTGCGAGGTAAGCGTAACGATAATGAGTAAGTGTAAGTAACAATGATGGTTGAGCTGGATGATGAGAGGAAGGGGGAGAAGACGAGTGGTAGTGGAGTTAGGTTACAGATTATATATATCCTCTGAGATGATCTGTGCGACTTTCTTGAATGCAGCCCGGCACAACATTCAACACAGCGGGAATCTGCGTGATAGAAGTGAGAACAGATATGGACGCGATGGAAAGCAGAGTGGCTGGCCGCTGAGCCACGCGAGTCAAATGTGGAAGAGAGCTGTTCAAGGTAAAGCACTGTGCCTGCCTTCACCCGCCCCTTGGCCCCACGCCCTAGGGCCGACAGGAACGCGCACCCGCGGACGTCGTCTCCGCTGCCTACTAATACGTGCACTCTGGCACTTTCGGCTTCTAGTGGCCCAAGGCTAGACGGCTTTTTGCTTGCCCTGTTCACTTTTTTTGTAAGCACAGAACCAGCAGCAACGGTGCCAAGCCACAGAGAGCCGAGTTACGCTGCCAGGAGCTGGAAAGTAGTCCAGTCCTGTGAGTGCCTCACCTGCCCCCCTCCTCCCACCATTGTCCAAAAGGTCTGGAGATGGAGCTGGTTGGCACTGGAGCAGTTTGCACGCTCGGGCGTGTTGCCCTTTTGCCTGTTTTCAAAATCGGGCGGCCCAGGCCAGAAACTGGAAACGTCCAGAGCCCAGAGCCCGCAAGCAAGACGATCCGGCCGAGGGCAAAGATTACTGCTGGATTGGGTGCGGTAGTATTGTGAGGGGTTGTACCAGCCTATGCCGCTCTCTGAAGCACACAAGTGAGAACATGGAATATGGGACGCAAGGAGTGCGGCCGTAATGGGATCCACTTCAGTCTATCTGCGTTGGGGGCTCCGTGCTCGGGGTCCCTTACCCGCCTAAATTTGGCACGGTCAGCGTGAGGGCAGCGTCACCGGTCCTGCCCCCAAACCAGCCCGGGCAGCCCCATCGTACCCATTACACCGGGGTAGGGTAGTTTGGTCACGACATCGTACACCAGACATAACATTATGGTTGAATGCTTGAATCGCACAGGATACAGTTCGAGGTTCTCAAAGGTGCAAGCATTCCTATGAGTAGTACACGCCAAGCCTCAAGTCTAGGCGCAGCTCACCAGCCTTTGGAAGACAAATTCTTCTGCTCGTCTTCCATCAACGCTGCAAAGGTGTCAGTGAATATGAAGTAGCAAGTTTGAGCAACGAGAATGGATGACGGCAATGCCTACTGGATGTTACTGGATGTCAAGTCAGTAAAGGAGATCGTGTGGGCGTGTTACCCAAAAGCATGCTGTGTAGCGTCAAGTCTGTGCGACACCCACTTGACCGACACTAAAGATGCTTGACGAGCGAGTACGTCTGCTATTTCATGCGTTACCACTGATGAATATGACGCAATGGATGCTGCAAGAGCAAGAGGCGAAACAGAGAAGGATTGTCAAGGAGATCCGCGGGTAAAAATTAAGGATTGTCACGATGTACCCGAAGTCGTCGAGGGAATGAGGCAACTTCCACATCTCAAACATCAGCTCCTCAATCATGGTCCATTGAACGAGCGCAGCGCGAGATGGCAGGCAATGACTTTCTCGCCAATCCGACAAAAAGCAAAGCTTTGGGGCGGCAACGTACCTCTCAAGGGAAGAGCTGGATGGTGGCACGAGCCAAACTCACGATTAAAGTGGCGAGAAGATTAGGTGCGAAGGTTATGGCGAACGAGGGATATTGATAAAGGGCCTGAGGCGGGGCAGAGCCAGACGAACGAAGGCACCTCTCGCCTGTCTCAACCTTTCGCGTGCAGCGCGCACGGGTCATCTGTGGCACTCTAAACCTTTCTCGTATCTCTCCCGATATCAGCGCTTCGTACGACGACTCCCACGGCATGGCCAATCCGTCTTTTGAATAAAGATCATAGACGACATCTGGCAGCGAGAAGGTCCCGCGCACGTCCTGCTCGCTCTAAGAAATTACAGGCTTGGCCGGTCACTGCGCTCCTGCTACAGCCGTATCCCCATCCGTCGCTACGTTTTTGGGCGTCTCCTTGGTCCCCGGCTCTGTCGATATCTTTCGGCCGCCTCCTACATCGAACGTTAGCCTCGGCCGGTGATTCGATTCAGAGTGGATAAGACACGGACATTTTCCTCTGGCTCGCAGAGAAGTTAGCCGAACCAGGGGATGAAGATATGACTGTATTTTCCTGTAAGGCTTCACGATATCTTCGATCAGCTCGGTGCTGAAGGGCTTTGATAGCTCAATGTGCAAGCTTTACTGCTCTTGCCCAATCTCGTACAAGCGTGTCTCGGCCGACGGCTGTCTTTTCTTTCTTCCTACCGCACTGATGCGAGGCACTGACCAGTGCACTGAGCGGTGAAATCCCGCAGAAGCGATGCCTACATTCGTAATGCCTTGCGCCACGGGCGTCATTGGAGAATCACCGGTTCGAGTCATTTGGCGGTCATCGAGGTACGTCGAGACAAGTTCTCCTTTGGTCACGGGCACCAGCGCCATCCTGGGCAGCATTGAAAAACGTGTTAGCCATTGCCAATGGCGTGAGGGCACGATGATGCTGCACTTTGCGTTATCTGTAGGGTGGATGGCAGCATCTGCTGAGGGACCTTGGAGCAAACTATAGCGCTCTTGAGCTTTCATTCTACTCGGCTGGTGCTGATGCTGGGGGCTGGCAGATCATAACAGCGATTTCCATCCTGCCTTGATGCGGGCAGAGTGGAGTGGGGCGGAAAAGAAAGAAAGGAAAAGAACGAATTCGAAACCGGGGCACTGTCCTGCTCTACAAGCGGGCAGGGTCCTGGCTGCTGGTAGAGTGGTGGGATCGCGGTCGGGGTGCAACTGCAAAAGCTGTGGATGGAGGAGGCCCATCGAACAAGACGGGGTGAAATGGCTCAGACGCTGCACGCAGCGCGCAACACGTCCTCGGCGGTGCCCGCTTCAACTTGGCTGCCACATTGCGGTGCGCGCCGTCTTATAGGAACGTCTCCTGCCCCCCCTTCTCCGCACCCCTTCGCCTTGCCTCGCGTCTGGTCTGGCTCGCTGCCGTCTGTGGATCCGCGTCGTGCTCGTTGGCCATCTTACACACCTCTAATCTCCGCGCTCTCTTCCATCCCACCCGTGGAACGCAGAGCTTTTCTTGGATCGATATGTCCCCCGCCATGATGGACGTCAACCTGTATGAAGAGGCCAGGCTGTACAGCACCAACGCCGAGCGCGAGCGGTGGGAGAACTGCGCGACGCTCTTCTCGCTCATCGTCTCTCTCGAAAACCTTGAGCGTGCCTATGTGCGCGGGAGCGTCACGGAGGCCGAGTGAGTGGTGAGCAGTGCGCGCAAAAAAGGCATCGTTGCACTTGTCCCGCTAGCGTCCGTACTGATATCAAGTTGAATCAGCTATGCGCCGGCATGCACAAAGATGCTCGCACAGAGCAAGACCATCCTCAACCTCATCACGTCGGAGCAGTCCAACTCCGAGCTGCCGGGCGGGCCACCAGCAATCTCAAGCGCGCAGGACTTTATGAAGTTCTTTCGGGTGCGTCTCCCATTGGACCAATCCACGCATTTCTCTGCACTATCCCCCCCGGTCTCATCCCCCCGCCGTTGATCTTTTCCTTCCACGCAGATGGACCACCCCGCTGCGTCGCACCGCTTGCTGATTGGCGTGCCAGCCACCGTGGAGCACGCATCGGCCATCAGCAACTCGAGCGCGTCCGAGCGCGCGAAATGGGTCGCCGAGCTGACACAGGCCTGGATCACGCTCATGGTGAGTCCGCCATTCCCGTCCCAGTTCCCCTTCTTCTCTGTGCGCTGCCCGCTTTTTCTCTAGATTGACGGTCTTCTGCATTTTCCCCTTTGCCTTGGCCGTGCACAGGATGCACTGAAACTGAAGCTCCGCGCCAAGGACCAGCTGCATCCGCTGCTCAGCGACCTCATGAGCAGCTACTCGAAAGCAGACGAACAGGGCGCCGGCGAAGGAAGGGCACGGCTTCTCCAATGGTGCGTCACCTCTCCCCTCTTTGTCCACTGCCTCGTCTTTTGCACTTCTCTTTGCGGGAGATGGACCGCATCAGAGTGCACGCTTTCCCCAGTTGACGTGGCTGACAGACTACGTCCCCTTGTTTCATCGCTCGCGCCTAGGCTCATCTCTCTCAATCAGATGAAGGCAAGCGACGAGCTGTCAGAAGACCAAGCGCGGCAGGTGAGCGGGTCCCGCAGAAGAGACCTGTGGCAAGTCTTGCATTCGGAGCTGAAGTGCATCCTTTCGTTCCGATTCTGTGATTCCCAGATGCTTTACGAAGTGGAAAGCGCATATACAAACTGGTTCCGTGCGCTTCAAGGGTGACAGCCAGATGATGACGCGTCAGCATGCTCACGTGGCGCCTCGCATCAGGGCGGGAAGCAGCCTCGGCGGCGATTGCGCTCGTACACAAGCCTGCGATGGCCTCCCATCCGATGTGCTAACTACTTGGTAAGTTAGGACCCTCCACGGCTGCGCTCACTTCTCTCGCTCACGCGTCCATTGTATTGTTTTTTTCCGCAGTGCGCTTCCCATTCTGCACATGCTGCTTTCGTTCTGGCTCGCGATGATTCACCCCTTCAGGGCAATGATATCCCTAGTGAACCCGGGTCACGGCTCTTCTCACTGTCACATGCATTTTTGTCTTATCCTGTCTCCTTTCTATGCACTTGAAGCATATTGTCTTCTATCACCACGATACGCTCGACCGCTGTTGGTCTGAATACTCTCCAGGAGCCGAGGAAGATGACCTGCCGCATTCTCCAAATTTGCCAACAAACACCACTTGGCACAACGTGACGTCTCTATTGCAATGCAAGTACACTCTAGGAGTACACCCGCGTGGACTCTGAACGACGAACGGAATTCTGCAAACCTGACAAATGTAGCCTAGCCCTTGCAAGCATTAGCAATCAAAGCCGCAAGCTGCTGAACGAATGGCTCATGCATCATCGTGACTGCCAAGAGGGTTGGGAATGGTCATGAGTACAGACTCGATTCATCTGATGGCAAAAGGGCTCACAGTGATTGGCATCAAATTCGTTCACCAAGACCGTCTTGTTGGGAAGCAGAACGTCCCAGCCATTGGGACCGAGTCCCACACGCGGTTCGACCAGCCATTTGACGGTTTTGTTCTCCTCTGGGATTTCTTTCTTCACATTGAGACCGTGGCGAGCAGTGAGTAGCACGACCCTCTGGGGTTGATTGGCGGTGAGCGGCTCGGGGACACCGAGACGCTCCAGCGAGTCCACGGTCGCTTGGAAGTGACTGACCAAGCGCTTCGACAATGTTGGCGGCGTAGGTATGTCGGCGGATGAGAAAATCCAGTCGACGATGCTCATTGGGAGCGGCGGAAAGCGTGACGGAGAAGGGCTGTCGAGAAGGAGAAGCAGCTCGACACGGTCAGCGGGGTCCTGCGAAGCGCTGAGGATCCTGCAAGCCTCGAAAGCAGCTACGCCACCGAAGCTCCACCCTCCAAGGAAATACGGGCCGCGTGGTTGCACCATCCGGATGCTTGACAGATACGCGAGCGCCAACTGCTGCACGCCTCCTTTCCATAAAGACGAGTCCGACATGAAGGGAGAGTTGAGACCGTAGAGCGAACAAGTACCGAGCTTTGGCATCGACGCGTACGCTGCCGCCGCCCCGCTGCCGTCAGGAAACAGAAAGAGATTGGGTCCGTGGTCGCACTTTTGCAGAAGGACGGCTTGTTGGACGCGAACGTCCTTGAGAAGGTTGGCAACTGTTGCTGCATCCAAGGCCTGCTGTGTGATCGCGACAGATGCAGGGACGGTCTGGCTTTGAACTGCCGGAGCATCTTCCCCCATTGTCCTCACGAAGTAGTGCCGCAGTTCCTTGAGGTTGGTGCAGTCGATAAACAAGCCAGGGGGCAACTCCATGCCTAGCTCGGCGTTCAACGTGCCAAGGACAAGAAGACTCATGAGTGAGTCCAAGCCCAGCTCGGCGAGATCGGTCTCTTCCTCAAGCTCTTCCTCAAGGATCCCCAGCTCAGTGGCTACGACTTGGCGAGTCTTGTCCAGGGCGTTCTGAGCCTTTCCTGCAGCCGGACGGTCGGAGTGGGCTCCTTGCGCTTCTTGAGGGTCTTCGCTCGTCTCAGTGGACTGCATCGCAGATGATTCCAATCGAGCGGACAGCCAGCTCTTGACATCCTCCGGAGTGAGGCAATCAAGGAAAAGACTTGGAGGCAGCTGTGTACCACCCGTGTCAGCACATGCCAGCTGATGGCTCTCTCTTTGAAGTAGCAGACTCACCTCAACCGGCAGGTTCGTCAGAGACCCCAGAATGACGATTGCCATCAGCGAGTCCAATCCCAAATCTGCAAACGACGTGGTCGGTCTGAGCTGTGCAACTTCGACTCCAAGCTCGATGGCCACTGCGTCCAGAATCGAGGCGAGGACTCTGTCCACCTTGCTATCCATTCGAGGGACACGCGTGCTTCCTATATTTTGTGGTGCTGGCCCATTTAGAGCAGGTATGGTTGAGCGCTGCGGCTCTTGCGTAGCCCGCGGCTTACTGGAGTTTGGAAGAAGCAGCTGAAGAACAGCACGAGGTAACTTCTTGTACCTCACTCCCTCCATCTCACCGACAATACTTAAACTAGCATCCAGGAAGAATGCGTCCCCGAGGAAGTATGCGCCATTGTCGTGTGGAATCATGCGACAATACGCATGCAAGGTCTCACCAGCGTCGGCAGCTTTGACGAGTTGGTGACTGAATCGCATCGCAGCAACCCCATCCGCCAGGTAGACATGCTTCGAGTCACATGTGCTGTTGCAGATGAAACCGGTGATCTGACCGAGAGAGTCGATGAAGCAGGGATTAACGATGTAGAGAGATTTGGGTGCGTCGGGGCTCATTTTAACAATCGTAGCTGCTTCGAAGCTGTTGTCTAGGATTGCAACAGACTGAATGCCGCGGAAGCCGGACCCTTCTTTGTACGCTACCACAGTCTCAAAAGCCGAGTATGCGAGCTTCGAGCCGATGATGTTGGCTTCTGACGATTCACGCACTGTCTGGTAACGACTCGCGATCAAGGAGGAGAATCTCATCCAAGACGACTGAATTGACTGCCTTGGCGCCATCTGAACCTTTGCTGACATATGCTTGACTTCAGTTGCGGTTTGACCTCGGGAAGAAATGGTGATATCCATTGAGCCTTCGAAGAAATTTCCCAAGAGCTTTATGAGCAGCACATGCGGATCGGCAGCGCTCTTGGTGATGGTGAGGGGGCGAATGATTTCAAGTTGCTTCAAAGCGGGCTGCAGCTTGTCTTCATCCCAAGCGCCGGACTTCTGAGAGGCATCAACCGCAGCTTCTAGACACAGATCGGCCCAAAGAGTTGCCGGTGCTAGAGCAACGCCGTTGACAAGGTGTCCTTCTATAAAGCTGATCATCGGTTGGGCGAACACTGGCGCCTCGTACGTGGCTGAGCATTGTCCGCTGCTCGAGTGCGTGTGCGCGACGTATTGCAGCAGCTTTCCAAGCATCGGGAATACCGGCAAAGGAAGGGACTTTTCGTCGGACCGATCTTCTGGAATCTCCTCCATCACGATGGACTGCGGTGAGCCTTCGGATGGTCGGATGAGATTGCGATCCGTGTACTGAATCCAATGCCGCGTGAGACTGAAGGGGTACGAAGGCAAGTCGCTGAGGTAGCGCAGACCAGGAAGGAATGTTGCAAAGTACCCCGTCCACCTGATTGGGTACGCGCTGGAGTGCAAATTGGCAAGACATGTTGCGATTGTCGTCCAGACGTTTCTACCCTCCCCCAGCGAAAGCGTGTAAAATTGGTCAGATGGGGGCTGTTCTGCCACCTCAACAACACACTCGCTCGTTTGAAAGAGCTGCCGCATGACGATATCGATTGCGCTGCTCAAAGTGGCGCCAGCAGAAATCGACTTGGAGCCAGAAACGACGACGTCGACAGAAAAGACGCGGCTAGACATTTTCCTGAGCGCCTTCTCTGCAGTTGCAGGATGACGGAGCAAGCAAGCCAAGAACAAAGCTTCAGGGACAGAGAGCACTCGGGAAGCCACAAGAGCAACGAGAATTGCACGGCCTTCCGCAATTACGCGTGAAGCGTTGATTCCCCAAGCTTGTAACATTGGGAGTAATGCCAGGTTCGAGCGGATGCCAGCGACAATCGACTTGAGCTCCGGTTTGATTCGCTGAGCCATCCCTAGAGATATGAGGACTTGAGAGGAGGCTTCGGAGGCATCGCGGAAATTGCAGTCCCCGTTGCACAATGCTTGGACTGTTTCCGGTGTAATCGATTCCGTGAACACAATCTCGAGCTGCAAGCGTTTGGTCTGCTCTCGAACCTCCAAGACAGCAGTTGATCCGAGTTTCGCTTTGAGCTCCTTTCGGGTCGAGGCCGTGAACGTGATTCGGAAAGGGTGGAGGAGACGTCGGGCCATCAATGTGTAGGAGAGCCGTAAAAGGTTCGTGTCCTCCGTGACGTAGGCGTTTAACCTATTTCGCATTTGCTCCGCTGCTTCCGAACTCTTCGCTGAGAGTGAAAAGATGTGACAGCCGCGCGTGTCTGAAGAATCTTCGGCCATGACGAGTTTCCGTGGTCCCTGTACGAGTGCGACTGCTTGATTACCTGCCAACGCAAGGCCATGGACGGCGATGGTTGCGGGCTGATTGGAAGGCAGACGCATTTGACATTCGCTGAAGGGAATGATCGTCTTGCCGCTATCAGCGATGGTCTTGATGGTCGGGTTGAGCCTGTCGACGGCAATGCAGCCCGGAATGATCTCATGCTTAAGCATCAAGACAGCCTTCATCACTTCGACCATACCCATGGCGGCTTCGGACGCTCCCAGATTCGGTCTGACCGAGCCAACGGTCAGAGTGCGCTCCTCCATCGGTTCTGGGCCGAGTGTGGCGTGTAGCGCATCAAATTCGGCAGCCTCGACTTCTGCGTTGAAGTAGCCGGCAGCTTCAACGTGGACGATAGATTGCTTTGGAACCCCTGACGATGCAAGTACAGAACGAAGAAAGCTCGCTTGCTCCGCAGCAGACATGCCGTCTGCGAACGTACGATGGGACACAGCTGGAAGTGTCGCAAGCACCTGAAATCAATTGAAGCATCAGTCTCGCATTGCGGCAGAGCATAGTGCACCCTCACTGACTTCGTCTCCTTCGGCAATAGCATCGGACAGTCTCTTGAGCACGAAGACAACTGCGCCGTCCCCACGCACGACGCCTTTATGGTCAGCGTCGAAAGTGGTGTTGCGATCAGAATGGGCCAACAGATTGTCTACGTCCATGCCGATGAAATTGAGCGGCGCTGTCAACACCGAAAATCCACCAGCGAGCGCGACATCGCATTGCTTTGCCAAGAGAGCATGGCGAGCATGCTCGAGGGTGACGAGGGAGCTTGTCTCGCCAGAGTCGATGGTGTTTGAAGGCCCTTCAAGCGCTAACGCGAAGCTAAGGGCTCCCGGAACGAATGCCCGAATGCAGCCTGTCAAGTTCAGCACATATGTCAACACCTTGAAATCACCATGAGTACAAGGAAGGGCAGCAAGCACGTACCAGAGATGAAGTAGCTGCTGATACCCGTAGGCGCGCTCATTGCATTTTCGCGGTAGTCGTCTGATGTAACGGCAGCAAAGTACGCAACGCGACGGTTGTCGAAGCTTTGACTGGCCATGGGACTATACCCGGCCCGCTCAAGTGCCTCGTACGCACATAGGATGGCGAGGCGATGCTGAGGGTCCATCTGTTCTGCTTCCTTTGGCGAAATATTGGGGATACGAAGGTCCATCGTCTTGACTACATCTTCTGGCAGTGCATGCATATGGCGGACGCGTGTCTGGTTGATTCCATCGCCATAGTAGTCATCGATATCGAACAGATGCTTCGGGATCTAAGAGGCCACAGGCAAGAAAGTCCGATCAGTGCTTGAGCAGGAAATTGACGAGCAGTGTGACTCACTTCGCCCACAGCCGTCTTTCCGGCCCTGAGAAAGTCCCAAAACTGGTCTGGGTCCATGATTGCGCCGGGAAGGCGGCATGACATCGCCACAATGGCAATGCTTTCGTTTTCAGGAGAAGCAAAATCTGCATCTTCATCACTGTTGGCAGTGAAGCGGGCAGTAGAGGACGACAGGTCTTCGGTAGCAACTTCCAGTGCAGGATTCTTCGCTTTGATCAACTCGACAATCGAAGTCCCGAGCCCCAGACTTGGAGCAGCGCAACTGACCGTGACAGGTCCATGTTCTTTTTCGAAGCTTGAAGCAATTGAATCAGCAACCAGGTCGAAGCGATTGCACTTTGTAAAGTTCGATTCGACGAGCAGGCGTATGAGTGCTGTGTCATTGAAGTTACTTGCGTCCAACACTGTGCCACGCACGACATCATAGACCGGCCGTGCCAGCTTTCTGACAATATCGCCCGCGCCAAGAATCTTGATCTCGCGCCTGCGCGCGTGATTCATGACTGCTTCAACGGAAGCACTAAGCAGCGCCTCGTTGTGATAGGGCGAAAAGATTCGCAAAGGAGCAGCGCGCGCTGAAATACCGGCATCTTTGGCATTGATCCAGTCTGCAAAAGTCTGCAGACGAGCAGGGGGCCCGCCGACTGAGACGCCCGATATGGCGTAAGCTGTAGCAACGATCTTGACTTGCTGTGCTTCATCGGCGCATACGGCATTGTTAAACGAGTCGATGGCTGCCTCAATATCATGGACAGTGACAGCGGCAGTGCCACTGTTGGTGAGGCTGACGGCGTAACTCCAGGGCAGACTGTCTTCCACGCCTGTTGCCGATATGTGCTCCCTAGCGACTTGTGAGGAACACAGGGATATCCAGAAGACCAGACGAACCGCTTCGATGGACTGGCGAATGACGTCCCAAGGGCCATCAACAGCCGCCGCGAGAGCGGAAGCTGTGACGGCACCAGTGCAGAACCCAGCAAATTGGGTTGTACTGTCAAAGAAAGCATGTGCTTCACTCTCAAGCCTCGCGATGACCTGAGCGGCTTGCAGAACGACGAGGAGTATACCATTGACCGTAGCATTCTGGTAGCCAGTCGACTCATGGAAGAGACAGAGCGTCTTGAGACTTGCGAACTTGCTGATATCGGGCAAGACGGCGAGGTCAGCGGTGTCTGTGATTGATAGGACCTCGGTGCGAATGGCGTCGAGGACGAGTTGGAAGAAGGCTGTTAGATGCGGATTAGTTTGACCACGCTTAACCAGACTGAGCAGATGCTCTGCAAAGTTGGCCGGGCCTTGAGAGCCAAAGATAAAAATTGAACGAGCACGAGAAGCGCTCGACATTTTGTTTAAGGCGTCAAGCGATCTCAATGAGGGAATGGTAATCAGCTTCGAGTGGATTATCGGTCTTGACAGTCTTATAACGAGCGATTTGGGGCCCAGAGGTCGGAGGCCTTCTCTGTCAAATACGGGTCCCTTGCTTGAGTGTGTGAATCTTAGGTCAAGATCGACCAACCACGCCCCAGCTGCGGCAGAGAGGGTAGTCAGCTGAAGAAGACACAAGCAGGAGCGGTTCGGTGCCTCAATGCCAAGCCACAGTAGCATCGCGGTGTTGTATTCTTTTGTCACTGTTGCCTCGGGCTTCCTCAGATGCTCGCTGAAACCCAAAGCTCTGCGCGCCAGCGTTTGATCTTGCGTGTTATGAGATGCTTGTTGATCGCATGGCGAGTCCAGCACACGGGTCGGCGCGAGTCAGTGAGATGAGAACGCCCATGGAACCGATCGTTTGTTATAGTAATCATGCGCCAGTAGCATGAAAGCCTATGTAACTGCCGGTATTATAGTGAACACCTGCTTGGTCCGGCCAAATAGACGCCAAGGGTTGGGCTCGGCTCTGTTACCGCTTTGCAACTTTGATTGCTGGGTACATCCCGCATCACCATCTTGGACTACACCGCTTGGAGCAGTCCGAGGATGCAGTGCACGCGCATCGGAGCACTTTTCGCCCCGCCTCCCACCCTGGGTAGACATGCTGTGTGCGCAGTCCCTACAGGCTTCTGCGTGAGTGAAATTGTGTTTGCCACAGGTTTGCAACCTCCAACGTTTGTTGAAGAAAGTGTTTGATGCAAGTTCGTTGATTTACATTTCTTTCTTTTCTTGCTCGCTTTTTCTGTGCTGGCGGGTCCTGGCACTTGTCCGAGAAGCACGCAGGCAGCTATCCCGTACCTGCAGGCTAGCTCCAGAAATCCCTTAGATCCGACTGGGAGTCTCAGGTGTCGGTGCCGAACGAGGCAACCTCTTATACAGGAAAGCCCTTATATTCCTTTTCTATGTCTTCACATTTTTGTTTGCTTATATTACAACTAAATCGCCATTCATCTCTCGCCTTGGCCAATTACGCATTATGCTAGCGCTGATGGCCGAAAAGCAACTGCTGCAACCCTAATCATTTGCAAATTCAACCTTTCATTCAGTTCTTCCAGGTTGGGCTCTGGGTTCTGGGAGGTCGGCGCCAGAACTCGAAAAATGGCCTATTGTCACATCTCAGGAGATCTCGAACGAACTGTCGCCATTGAGTGTCATCTGGTGCTCGATAAAATTGTTGAGGCTTTAAGTCTTCGTTTGAGGCATTGAGGTGTGGTACAGTTCACGGTGTAGAGGGTTTTGTAGTATCCACTGCAGCCGCACATTGCACTTCGCAATGAGGCCACGCGTCCGGCGCATTACTGCATCGAATCAGATCATCTTCATCCACTCATTCGGTCACACGTCACTTGGACATCATGTCTCCTTCATGTACTGCCTTTCCGAGCTCAGAATACAGTCAGATTTCCTCGAGGAGGCCTATGACCTAGTTATGCCAAAGTTGGCATACGTTCTCGGATGAATTTTGTCCTGCTCATCGCAACTTCCGGTATCCATAGTTGCAGCTGCACCTACTACGTGTCCCATCGACCTCTCGCGGGTGTATTCACACAATTGCCACAAACCCGCCTCGATTTTTACCTCCATTCGCAACAAGCCCAACAAGAGTCATCAGCCAATTTGAAGAACCTCTCTTGTTCCTTGAAAATGGTACTACACGTAGTCACGATGCAAGAGCGCTTGGTCCTTTGCGACAGGTTTCGGAAGTATGCGACCTTGATGAAGGGCAGACGACGAGCTGATCTTGGATGAATCATTATGTTTGCACATGTTCCCACCTAAGCGTGGCGCAAATACGACGCCCTGATGACGATGCCTAACGAGAAGGATCAAGAAGTCATATCGAACGCTTCGCGCTAATGAGATGAGACATTTATGTGTGCATCGTAAAGCTCACGAGTAATAGCCCTGCGATTCCCGCCAAATTAGGTCTCGTAGTCTGATCTTTTACAGTGCACACGCAGTCCGATTACCGACCTCTACACGCTTTCCTTTCGCCTGCCGCTCTCGGAGGATTGCTGAGGTAGGTTACATAAGAGAACTGAGATCATGCTCACACATGGATGAGACTGCGCGCGCCGGAACCAGTAAAAATCGAGAGCAAGTGTTGTCAGCAACCCTACCTTCTTAGCACCTTCACAAATGTATTCGACCAGCGAGCAGGTGTTTCATTGGACTGGGGTATTGGACTGAAGAGATGAAAGGCCTCTTCCTGGGGACTCCCGAGAATTTGAACATCGAGAGTTCTGGACTGCTGCTGATTTTGTCGTGTTTTGTGCGTTAGTGCTGCAACCCCCATAAGAGCGCACACTTCCCACATCGTTGTATGTAGAAAACAGTTGGTCCCACTCAAGGATTGCAGTGCATACATAGTCCCAGTACTCCAACGCTCCAGGTTGGTCGTTTGGTCGGGGTAATGTCGTGGATTTGTCGTATTCAGGTTGTCTATGAGCTGAAAAGTGTGAAATTGGAAAGGAAGGATGCTCTTATCGAGCAAGCTGTATTTGTAAATCATTAATAAAATGTTCAATCAGTTCCTAGATTAGTCACCGGGTACTGGCAGTGTGCATATGTGTGCATCCCTTGAATCGAACGTCATGCATCCAAAGATGGGGCATTTCGATCCTGGCGTTCTGTGATAGCTACAACGACGCTTCATGGCCTCCATGCTCTATGCTTCGCGGGCCTTGGGAGGCCTTTGGGTATTTGGCACCGTGAAAATGTGGAGGCGTCAGCTCACAAGGCACGTCACGTATGTCAAAATCAGGCGTCGTTCATCCCAGGCATTGATCATCAGCATTCCGCGTGGCCATCAGATGTGCATCCCCCATAGGTTATGTCATGCTTCCACTGTCCAGCAGATGGAATTCTGAATTATTTTGGCTTCGATAACATATTGTATGGTCCAGTATCCAGTACACAATTGCCAATCGGTCCAGGATTCAGTTGCCCCTGGATCCGCCAGCAGTTCGACCAATGTTGCGGACAAATACCTCGGGGTTTTCAGAATCAAGATTCAGATCCTTGAAGTTCCGATGACTAACTTTAAAGATGGCGATGGTTGGATATATCTTGAACCTCGTACATGGTACGCACTTTGCTTCCTGTTGCAACATGATGATGCATGATGACAGCGGTATGTTCAAGTATTAACATAGTATCATGTCCATGTCATTGTTCCTGCCTCCTGGCATTTTCCGTTAATAAGTATTGCTACACTTGATTTCGCATTTAAATATGTGGATACAAAAATTCTATATAAATATATGTGCCGGTGTGTAGACGACTTATGTTTGGATATCCACATAGGTTCCAGTATAGACCTGTTGGTCACCAGTAAGCATGTATGTACTGGTTCAGCAGACGCTTCCGGCCATGCCAAATCGGAAGCACCACGGAGAGGGGTCTCTGGAGGCAACTCAGGCCTATCAAATAACCCATGCACATGTAAATACATAACCCTCATTTGTCAACTCCCAGTGTCGTCCGTAGAGAACTTGTTTCCACCACTGTCGCTCGCCAAGGAAGCAAGAACGCCAAGCTTGACATCTTCACCGGTCTCATCGTTCGCAAGCGATTTGTCGCTTTACCCTGCGCCCATCGGAAGCCTCTCAATTCAAGTTCTTTGGGAAGTAGCACGCGCAAGCAGATCAGGCGCAAACTTGTGTCCCCGCGACGGTCAATCCCAAATGCCAGACCTCGGCTCGCACCGCTTTATTTACGGCCCACAAAGCGTGAGCGGAACAATTTATATCATACATGGTATGGCAAGGCCTACGAATCTGTCATGCAAGATGTCAAAAGCGACACTACCAACATCTTCTCAAATCCTTGCGGTGGTGTGAAGAAGTTCAGCCCTTCCTTTGACTCGAATGTGCTCTTTCTCGGCTTCAAAGCCGACTCGATAAATCAGATCCTAATTTGCCGTCAGGTACGACTAAGCTGCAGCTACCACGGCTTTCTTTTTTGTACTACATGTAAAGGGGAATCTGCTTCGTGTATAGCACATTTATTATGTATCTTATTCCTGAAAGACAAGGTGAAGCGCTGAAAGGAGTCTAATCAACCCTAGGCTCTCCGTGAACTTTCGAACGCTTATCCATCATGCGGTCTGACTTCCGCTCTCATGGCCTCGTCCGCGAGGCCTGCTGCCCGATCCGTCAACCCTTCTGCTTGATCCCTCGTTGCCCCTGCCGCCTTGGGTGCTTCCTTGGCTTTGTCTCCAGATAGGGCCTCCACTGGCAGCCGCCATCGCGCTTTGTGAGTAGGTTTCGCCAGTAGGCTTTCCGCGAACGGAGGCCAAGGATGATGATTCCAATTGGGGCTCAATTATACGTTCGACTTGCGCTTTTGTAGACTTCTCCTCCCGCTCCTCCTTCGTCAACACATCGAAGACAAAGCCATCGTATGTTGCAATGGCGCGAAACTGTAAATTTTGGGACTCTTGATGTGCCAGATCAGGTGTCCCATCACCCCACTGCCTCAGGCTGCTGATCCACGCCTCTGTCGCCTGATCTTCGATGTTTTGCATGACGCGGGCTGTGCGTTCCACCCAGCTGAAAGGTGGTGGTGCCCGAACTTCAGGTCCAGTGGACGGTATTGATTGTTCAGCGCCAGTATTGACAGTGGCGTCGCCGCCTGGCTTTTCGGGAGCAGAACTTAGCTCATAGTCCACCGCTGAAAGCTCTTGACCTTGTATCCAGGCGGGTGGCGAATCGTACCGTACAGAAAAGTGATTGAGCAAAAGCTGTCCTGCCTTTATCCGCCCAGCAAATGCGCCGGCTACTTGAGGTGTAGAATGTCCTCTTTCCTTGGCCTTTGCCTGTACTTCTTCACGCGTAGGCACCTTTTTTGGAGGCGCTCCCGAGGTCTGAAGCAGCTTCGGAGGAAGTGCTACGTTGGTGCACTCGTGCACCAGAACATTGCTGTTCATAGCAAGTGGTGTAATTCCCTTGTCAGACTCGAAAAACCCTGCGGTTGCATCGAAGGTATCTCCCAAAACACATATTTTGCGCCCAAAAATGTCGAGTGGAGGAGGATCAATGGTGGTCCCATCAGGCAGCTCGACACACTCTCTGAGCGCCAATAACTTGCCCAGCAAACTGCGCGGATGCTTGACTCCCTGTTCTAGCAGCGCCGGCCCGTTTGCATCGAGCCGGTCCAAAATCTCGCTCGATATCGGAGACGATCGGTCCTTTTCCTTGAAGACGTATCCAAGACATGGACATCGGTGAAGAATGGGAGCGGCCGAAACACTGACTTGACCTTGATCTCCGATGACTGTGAAATTGCTCCAAGAGCACGTCGATTCCGACATGACAATGTCTTGCCCTGGCAGCTCTGAGTCATGGGGCGGAAGCTCTGGAAGTGTTCGAATGGGGTTGATAGCTCCGAGAAGTTCCCCATCCGGATCGCTCCAGTTGCTTCCTACATCATCGGTCTTGTGCGCCTGTTGCGGCCATCGGAGCTCGTGTACCACATACTTTCCATTTAGGCCAGCATAACAGAGGTTCAGCGTGGCTCGAATGAGTGAGCGTAATCCTAATGGACCGTAGATAGTCAATCGCGGGTGCTGTCAAAAACCGAATTGTCAAATGTTCATATATCGTCTTGACTGCCTTTTTTTCTGTGGCCCTCACTTGATCGTTTGGGTCAATGGCTGCCGCACCGCTTGGGCCCATGATGGACATCATCAGAGGTACGATGCCAGAAACATCTGCGAAATCCAGCAAGCCAAAACGCTTTCCATTAGTCTCTCAGACATAACCCAAGACACCGAGGCTGATTCACGGTCAACGTGCAGATGCGTGATGAAGATGGTCCGCAAACTCGACACTCTTTCCTCGCCTCCAATGTGCTTTGAAAGGATTTGCCGTTGCGTCCCCTCACCACAGTCTCTGAGACCAACAGAAGATTCAGATATAATTTCAGTGATCGCTACTTCTAGACACGCACATTAGAGCTGCATAGTGGTCGTGCTTAAGAAGAAGAGCAGAGTAATTGCGAGTCCGACTTGGCTGCGACGACGTGCCGAGGAAGCGCAAAGAAATCTTGGCCGGCATCTTGAGCTTGACATACACTAATGTTTTTGCAGACCTGCGAGTGGAATGTGACTCTGTGAGCCTCTTGCTCCAATCTTCCAACGCATGGCCGATGCACCATCGACCTGTGTCCATGAAGGAGGAGCGAAGGCAGAAACGGGGAGGAGGGGAGATGAAAGAGCTGGCTACGCGAGTAATGTATCAGATTATCAACCTGTACTCGTGATATGACGGACCACAGGAGTAATAGGGTTGCCCAATGCTCATCAAGCCGTTTCCATTGTTTTGACCACGACATCACTTCGATTTGACGATGCATGGTTATGATTTGATTGACCATGATCACGACATAACGACTTGAGGTCTAATGTCTACGTCGCCTTCTCCCTCATGACTTTTTCCTTCTGACATACCTTCTTTCCATACACTTGCTCACTGTTCAATCTGTATCCACAATATACTTCTCCTTGACATTTACAATGCCTGCTTTGACCATTGATGTCAAAGTTTCATTGAGCGTATAGAGGAATCATTTGGAAGGGAAAGCTTACAACCAAGCGACCACGATTTTCTCAGTAAGATTTGACCCAAAGGTGAATCTTCACACCTCTCGACACCGCATGGCTCAAATCGACGCTGATGGCCATGTAAGAATCTTGCGGGTTCATTGTAACAAGAACAGCTGGCGGGCTAATGGTACCAGTGTCGTACCTGATATCGGTCAAGCCTCCGCTACTGAAATCAATGCTATTCCATCAATGAACAACAACTCTGTCGCTTCCGGTGTAAAAATTTCTGGCGAGACTTCCTTCTTCGTCTCGAGAGTTTTCAGCGGCACCACCAGCGGCTTGTATGGGTTGGCATGTAGGGACGAGCTCGATGTGAATCAACGTTGTTTCCATATCCCAACGGCAGATCAAGCCGACCCCGCATACTATGTTTTTCAGTTGGAAGATTGCTGCTTCCTATCAAAACACTTGCAGTATGCCTTCCACTTGCTCAGCTCAACACTCTCTTTGCAACTCTGACAATACCAGTTTGCTCAACTGTGGTATGACAATCGCCAAATGACAGAAGTTGTATTGTACGCTTTGCGAAACATCCTCCCTTCGAAGATTTATCGCGCGAATTACATGACAACGTCCCCAATTATTCATTTCTTAGTGCCGCCAACTTGACATTGCTCCCATACCCGCACTTTTCTGGTGCGTGTGAATCCATCAGATTTCATGGGGCGGATGGCACGGGCCAAAAAGGACATCACTCGCTTCTTCGTCTTCGGCGCCTATGAAGGGGGTTTGCTCTCAACAAGATAAATCGATATCAAGTTCCGCAGTGTCCAAAAGGCGGCAAAAGAGGAAAAGGAAAGGGTGCGCCGAATGAGTGCACCCGAAGAACAGACGGAGTTATGTGAAGATGCATTCGGGGGACGCGAGGTACCATGTCTGGGCAGCGCACGATTCTACTTTGTCCGCCTGCAATTTCATCTGCAAAAAGGAGACGGTGAGGTTTATGCTGCTAAAGGTATCAGATGTTGCAGATATCATGAGAGACAATCATCTGAGCCAGCTACCACAACTTCCAGCAATCAAGCACCATCAATACCATCAGCCCATCACAAAAAAAGCACGACTTCTTTGCTCCAGATTTTTTTATTTTTTTTTATTTGAAAGCTTGTCAAGGAGGGAGTGTCTTTCACAGCGATCTATGCTGGCCTTGATGGGCTTGGCCTTTTCTTACGTCGATGCTGCGTTGTAGACCGAAGTAGACAACGTAGGGTGTGAAAAGCCTCAAATCTGCCAGGAAGTATGCTCTGTGCAAAGTTCTCTTCAGGCGAATCACTCGGTGGGAAAGGGTCATGTAAAAAGAAGTATTGTAGTCCTCTTTCAATACTGAAGATTGGTGATATCACTCTACGCATTCCCATGGATACGCTTCATATTGGTCGCCATCGACGGTTGTCCCAACAGAGGAAGTGCATAATTGCGGTAAAAGACACAGAACGTCCGGACAGGACTCCGCCTCCACTTTTCCCTTTTCCCGTCGGCGCTGCGTAGTTAAGCTAAAGGAAGTCTCGGTATCCGGGCTATGTTCAAGTCCTGCCATGGTCAACTTCGCTATGGTTGTTTACGCTGACCACACGTGCCCCACCGTTGCATCATAGTCAAGCAACTCGTTGTGGTCAAATTAAGTCAAAGTCATGGTCAAAAAAGTAGATCAAAGTTCCACATTGTCATAGTCAACCCTATTATATCTATGAATCCCTTACTGATGCGTCGGGGCCACTCCAACATCACCCCACGTTCGATGAATGAGCTTCTTTGATTTACCTTCTCAACTTATCTCATCCCATCTCATGCTCTGGTCCCTCCACAAAGTCCGCTCTTGCCGAGCTCTTACTTAGGCAAGAAGCTCAAGTGGCTAGTTTAGCTACCTGATGGTGCTACCGTAGAGGTCTCTGAGGTCGAATCTGACCTCTTCTGGGGGAGGAAGCAAGATGGCCTCCTTGCGTGCCCAGTTCGGCTTGGCTCCACGTTTGTCGGGTCAACTCCTCTGGCACAGCGATCAACGGTGCTTTTCTTGTTCTGCGGCTTTGATGCGACACCAAAAAGCCGCACTCCTTGCTTCATGCAATGCAATCGCTTCTCGGTCACTTTCAACGGAAAACGGAGCTGGCCGACCGCGATTGCGCTTCGCACCTTCTCCGACGGGGAATCTGCATTTGGGAGGTCTGCGGACGGCTCTGCTCAACCACCTCTACGCTCGCTCGACAGGCGGAAGCTGGGTTTTGCGCATCGAAGATACTGATCAAGTGCGTAGTTGCAGTGTCTATATAAGCTTGCCTTTGCTTTGAACGATGTTAACGGATGAATTGTACATTCCAACAGAATCGCTTTGTACCGGGCTCAATTGAAGCCTTGCAAGACGCTCTCCAATGGGCAGGCTTAAAATGGGATGAAGGTCCGTCCAAAGGAGGCAAATTTGGACCATACATTCAATCAAAACGTTTGGAAACCTACCGAGATTGGGCCCAGCGCCTCATAGACCAAGGCGATGCATACTACGACTTTAGACCAGCTGCAGACCGCTCGGCACTCGCCGCAGGGGCTAGCGTACGTCGAACTGTCCGAGAAAAGTACACTCCGCCAGATGAGGAGCAAGCGCGAGACATGATGAGGGACGGGAAAGCATATAGCATCCGTCTCAAGGTGAGTCTCAATGGATGTGTACATCTAGCCCAGCGCACTGACGTTCCAAAATGCGCTGCCCAGTTCGCGCCTCAATCTGTTGAGCACCACGACTTGGTCTTCGGGAAAATGACGTTCCCACCGGATCACGACGCCGAAGACCCCGTCTTGCTTAAGCAAGATGGATGCCCGACGTATCACCTTGCCTCTGTTATCGATGACCATCTGATGCAGATCACGCACGTTTTTCGTGGTGAGGAGTGGCTTCCTTCGCTACCGAAGCACTTGGTGCTGTACAAAGCGCTCGGGCTGCAGCCTCCGCAATTTGCGCATTTGCCACTATTAATGAATGAAGATGGGAGCAAGCTCTCGAAGCGAAGCGGGCATGCGAGCGTCGATGACTATCGAAAGATGGGCTACGAACCGGAGGCGCTCGTCAATTTCATCGCCTTGATGGGATACAATCATCATGGCGAACAGCGGAATGGCCAGGAAGGAGAGCAGCATGAGACCGATGTGATGAGTATGAAGGACTTTATTCAATCCGTGAGTCGTCTTTAAAGTTCGAGAGGAAAAGGGGCAGCTAGAGTGATGATCCCTCATACACGCCAGTTCGACATTTCTCGTATCTCTCAATCGCGAGCTGTACTCAACCTGCCAAAGTTGGACTTCCTCAATCGACATCATCTACGGGCAAGAATCGAGGCTAAAAGCACCCCAGCGCATCAGGACTTACTTGACCGGCTCAGAGGAGGACTGCAAGAGAAATACCATCTGAAGTATGTTGCCAAGGAACGAAATGGGTGCAAGCGCGAATGCTGAAGTTAGCTTTATTTGTCTTTCCCTTTTGGACCAGGCCTGACGAGGTGACAGACGCACAACTGAGGTCCATCCTGCACCTAATATCAGTTCGTCGTGCTGCGTCAATGCTCGCGTGTTCGGGAAGAAGTGGTGATTGCTGACAAAGTCGAATCTCACTTTGCTTGATTCATAGGACCGCGCAAACACACTGCCACAGATTGTTGAGGGTGCTAAAGTAGTTTTCACACTGCCAGACTGGTCGACCAGCACAGCTGTGAAGATGCGCAAGAGCGTGCCAGACGATACGTATCGTGAGAAACGCGCCGCAGGCTTCATCACTTTTGACGGCATTGCATACTGACGACCCTCGCCTTATGGATTGTCAGGCACCGCTGTGCGCTTGACGATCGAAGCGCTTGCCTCGCGTGACGATAATGTGGCTGCTTGTGCATCGGCAATCGCGAGCATGCTGGACGACGTAGGGGCACAACTGCTCCACAACCTGTCCAGTGACCACATTGGAGAGGGAGGAGCTGCTGCTGCTGCAGGTGGCACGGCGCCGGGAAAAGGCAAAGGAACGCTGATGAAGCCGCTGCGGCACGCACTGACTGGCGAAAGGGTGAGTCGACGCGAAGCTTGCGACCCACTAGGGAAGCAAGTGGGCATTTATACATGTGCTAATGTGCCTGTTATCACACCCCACGCAGGCTGGGCCCACTGTGCCCGACCTCGTCGCAACACTAGGCAAGCAAGCGTCGCTCGAACGTCTACGCGCAGCACTGGGGCATGACGGACGGCTTGCAGCTTGATGGGGTTTCATGTACGAGTGTACGATGGTTTGAATAGGGTGTCGAGTGCAAAGAAAAAGTGTGGACACTTTTGAGGCTCGATTATTATGTGCGAATTGCCGGGCTGTCTGTCATGTGTACATTGAGCTGCCTCCTGCAACAGCAGCAGCAGCGGACGTAACTAGAATAGATGCGGTCACAACTTGTACTTGTGCGGAATAAGCACTCAAGACGAGCAACAGTTGCCCGCCGGGCTTTGATTGCGCGCAGCGTTGATGTTGACACTCCCTTTGCCTGCCTCGGCGCCGCCTGCGCCTGGCAGGGAGCTTCCCGAGGCCGCTGCGCCGCCCTGCGCCGAGTCGATGAGCCGGGCCTTAACGTCTCTCGCCAGGCTGAAGAAGGCCTCCTCAACGTTGGTGTTGGCCTTGGCGGAGGTCTCGATGTACTTGATGCCCAGCTCCGATGCGAGCTCCTGTGCTTGCGCCTCGGTGATCACGCGCTTCTCGTCCCAATCGCACTTGTTGCCTACTAGGATCTTGGAGACGCCTTCGCTTGCGTGCTGCTCGATGTTCGAGTGCCATGTCCGGATGTCTGGAGACGCAGAAAAGGGTTCAGCGCGAGGAACACGGGGATGTACGCGAGTCGTCGGCGAACTCACTGCTGAATGACCTCTCGTCCGTGACGTCAAAGGTCAAAAGAATTCCCATAGCGCCGCGGTAGTAGGCGGTGGTGATTGTCCTGAAGCGCTCCTGGCCTGCTGTGTCCCACTGCAGTGGCCCGCAAGCAAGGCAGATGCAGCGCGCAGTTGTCATCAAACGCCGTCAGCATGATGCGACGGACAGGAGCGACTGGGGAAGCGGGCCAGATGAACTTACGATCTGCAGTTTGATGCGCTTGCCATCTAGCTCGATTGTGCGAATCTTGAAGTCAATCCCGATCGTGGTGATGAAAGATGGTGTCCACTGGTCGTCGCAAAATCGTAAGAGGAGACATGATTTGCCGACGCCTGTAATTCGACGTCAAGCATGTGCCCGGGTCACAGGAAAAGAGGCGATGGCAGACCGTCAGCAACGTGGTAGCCAGTAACTGTGAACGTTGCGCCTGCAGTCGGCTAATGCCAAGCCGAGAAGTCATGTGGAACAAGCATGCTGTGTCGCGGCCATGGAACCTAGCAGTGCTGCATGCTCCACTCACCCGAGTCGCCGATGAGAAGGAGCTTGATGAGGAAGTCGTAATGAGGGTTCGGCATGGTGCTGGCTTGAAGCCTGGCCGACGAAGAGGATCTGTGGGGGTTGGGGTGGTCGAGTGGAAAGCCTGCTGCTGGAGCCGCAGTCTGACGTTGCAGAGTGAGGAAGGGCGAGCCGAATGCGGTGCTCGACGCGAGCTGCTTTTGCGGATGGGAGATGGAGCGCAGATGCTGCGCTGCGCTACGCTATGCTGCAGGTGATGCTGTGGCCGTTCAAGAGTGGCCGCTGGGTTGTCGTGTTGATTGAACCTGCTGTGCTCTTTCGACAGGGAGGGAGTCCAAACATCGATCGGTGTGACTATAGAGCAAGCTGCGTTCTTGCTTGACTCGAGACGGGTCTGTCTCGCAAGCAAGCGCCAGCACACACAGGCCTGCTGCCTGTGACCTAGCTGCCTGGCTTTGACGGGTGCCAATCAAATCTCTGTTGACTGGCAAGCCCCACAGCCCAGCCCAGCAGCGCACGGCCTTGTTTGCTTGTTCCCCGCGGCCTTCCTGTGGCCCTGTTGTGGATCAGTTCTCAGTTGAAAGAACTAAGCTTTGAGCGCAAGCTTGCACAACGTTATTCGTTTTGCGGGGATCCTATATTAGATCCTCTACCCCAGGCCCCATCGAGAGGCAAAGGGCACCAACCGTCCATGAAGTGCATGTATGCTGCCAGGAACTCTCGTCTCATCCCATTGGTCATTTTCTCTTCGCTTCACGTGGTTCAAGGCGAAGCCGATTGTAGAGGAGTCCATGGACCATGGAATGATGTGCTCACCCTGTGATATAACGGTCCACTATAAGCCCACGGGCAATGCTTTCCGAACCGTAGCTCAGAGGCGCTCAGGTCAGATGATGCAGCGTATACGGCGAGTGTGTCCTATGTAGATGTGTTGACTTGTAGTGTGGTCATTGCCTGCGTTAAGAGCGTTGTGAATTGGGATGCTATCCATGCAAGTACAATCATTTGCTACCGCGCAATTCCAACAAGCATAAAAACATCGAACGTCGAAGCTCTGAGCATTCCCATCCAACCGCACGCCACCCAGTGAACGTGAACTTTCTGATCTGCGCAGCACACTACAGAGTACCAAGCATCTGTTTACCTAACTTTTACCAACGAGGGGAGGCGTCTCGCAGCAAGCCATGACACCCGAATGGCAGGGAAAACTCTTCGAGCCGCACGACGAGGACGATAGGGCGTACAACACGGCGCTCGTCCTCGCTCACACGGCGCAAAAAGGTAAGCAGAGATGCGAGCGACGCAGCAGGATGACCTGCCTATTGTCTAGAGAGCTTCGCTGAAATTGGTTCTGGAGGGAATCAAAAACAAAAGGGGTGCAAGCCGGCGCGCTCCTGTCCGTCCCGGTGCTCTCGCTCGCTTACATCGTCCACAGCCGGAAAACGGCCGCAGCCGCAGCCGCAGCCGCAGCATCCGCAAGCGCACGCCCGACACTCGTTCCATTCATTATGCGCCGGGTCCCGCGCTTCGCGCTCGTGACGACGCTGGTGGCGAGCGCGATGGGCCTGGGGCGCTGCGTGTGGCTCACTCACCCGCATGAAGTGTTCGATCGCGCGTACCGCGTTGCGCACAACGAGAGCCAGCAGCGCGCCGACCGCTGGTTTGCAACGGGCGCTGGCGCGGGCGCCGGTGCTGTACTTGCGGTGCGCCGAGGTCCGATGCGGATGGTGCTCGGCAGCGCGCTCCTCGTCGGCGCCGCCAGCCTACTGGTGCATGTCGCCACATGGAAAGAACCCCAAGCAGCCCCGAGAAGCGGACAAGCCAAAGAGTTGTTGCCCGTTGCCAACAAATGAGCCTCGTTACGCCCACTAGTGTGTATGTATACGCTAGGAGGGATATATAATTTTCATATACACGGCAAAACTCGTTCGAGCGAACTGAGCGAGGGAAAAAAGCGAGGGTAGCCGGAGCAAGGTAGGACGGACCTTTAGCTCAGTGAAGGAATATACATGTTGCAAGCGCGCTGGTGTCGAGGTAGAATGGAGCAGCCAGCAATATGCAGCAAGCAAAAAAGCGATCTGCTCACCTAAGCCTTGAGCTCGACGGTGCTAGTCCTAATCGCGTCCGGCTGCTCATCGTCATGCTTCTCGATGCTCTCCTGCTTTGCATCGCCATCCTCGCTGCCGATGTTGTCTCCATTTGCTTTCTCGACAGCGTCCGGGTCCTCGTCGGGGACAAGGCCGAGCTCGCGGGCGCTGTAGCCGTGCTGCTCGAGGTACGCGATGAACGCTTCGTCCTCCTTCTTCATACCGTCTGGCACGACGGGGGGGATAAAGAAATAGACGATGACGGCCGAGAAAAGCGCGAGGACACCAGAGATGTAGAACGTTCCGCTGTACTGCAGCACTTCGCCGTTCGGGTATGCTGCAAAGTCGGCCTGGATTTCGTTGAAGACGTACGTGCCGACAAATGCGCCGATCTTGCCGATGGCGGCGGCGACGCCGTACGCGACGCCGCGGATCGCAGTCGGAGCGACAGCCTTCGACGCGAGCAGGCCAAGGCAGTTGCCTGGGCCGATCTCGCCGAAGGCGAGGAAAAGGCCGTAGACGACGACAAAGCCGCCAATGTGGCGGCTCAGGTAGGCGTAGCCGCCAGCGAGACCAAATGCAAATGCCGCTTGCATGACCAGGCCAAAGATCATCGTGTTCTATCGAGCAAGCGAGCGGGCTGGTCAGCGTGGTATGCTCACAGCGGCAGCAAGCAAAGCAGAGGGGGAATCCCGTGAAACGCGGGCAGCACTCACCTTTGGGCCGAGGCGGTCAATGATGAAGATGGCGCCAACCATGGTCCCAATGACATAAAAGAAGTTAATCAGTGTACTCCACCCGAACGTAGCGTACAGCGTCTCGGCGCCCGTGCCGGGCACGAGCTGCTCGGCGATCAGAGACGAGTAGATACCGGCGGGGTACTGATCGCCAGAAGGGCCGGGTCAGACTCGGTGCCTTGCCACAGTGGTGTGAGGAGCAACTCTGCAGCCTGCACTCACCGAGACCCAGTCGTAGCACCACCAAGCCAGGCAGACGGCCGTGAAGCGGAGCCAGTATCGCTTGAGCTGCGAGTCGAAAGGCGAGGGAAACGCAAGGAATAATTAAAAAGGAGAAGCCGATGTGAGACCCTTCCTGCACACCTAGAAAGTCTCAAGGACATGCACTACCGCAGCCAGGACGCACCACAAGGCCCCAGGGAAGCTTTTTCCAGCTTATCTTGTTCTTTTGGTACGAGGTTGGCTCTTGCATGCGCGTGCGGAACAGGAGCACAGCGAGCGGGGGAATTGCACCAAGGCCGAGGCTAAGGCGCCAGACGATCGTCAGACCGTGCGTTGAGGTGCCGCAGATCCAGAGCAGGACGAGAGGAACAAAGGAGGCGACAACAAAGCCCCAGTCGATGGCGGTGTTGGTGGCGAGCGAAAAGTACATCTGCTGGCGCTTCTTCGACACACCTTCTGCCTCGGTGTTCTCGGACGCGGCGACGGAGCCGGCCGGGCTGCCGTGCGAGGCGTGGCAAGTGGATCATGGATGCCAGACGCTGTCAGCAGGGGTGAAAATGAGAGTGACGAGACGAGAAGCGGCACTCACTACTCGGCCCCAATACCGATGCCAATCAAGAAGCGGTATGCGATGAGCGCGGCGAAAAGGCCTCCGGTGTTGCCGTTGGCACCCCAGGCGCCGGCGGCGAGGATGCTCCAGAGCGTGAGCCAGAGGCTGGCGAAGATCATGCCAAACTTTCTCCCGACGACATCGGCGAGGACGCCAAAGGTGAGCATGCCGATAACGGTGCCGGCGAACGCGACACTCGAGAAGGAGGAGGAGAAGTGCTTGAGCTTAGCCTCGTCGTAGTTGGCGTAGATGTGATTCTTGAGGATCGTGTTGACCGAGCCCGAGATGGCGTTCACGTAGCCGTCCGAGAAGAGGGCTGTGCCACAGGCGAAAATGACTGAGGAGTAGGGGAGTGGGAGAGGAAGGCCGCAGGAGTGCTATCAGCTTAGGTTCCGATTCCGGCCACAAATGGGAATGTGCCACGGACAGACACGACCGGCAGTACCGGTGCTGGCGTTCGAAACACGTAGATTGGGAGAGGGGGGGAGGGAGTGGATGGCACTACTTACGGCCGACCTTGTTCACCTCATTCCACTTTCTCTTGACGGGGGAACCTGCGTCGGTCATGCTGGGCAACGGTGTCGCGCTTGTGCTTGGATACGTGTGGCGACTTGTAGGTTTCTGTGCGTCTGATCAGTGGCGGCGCCGCTCAGATGCCAGACCTCAGAGGTGGTATGGCTTCGTGTAAGGGAAAAGGGAGCAACGCACGCCAGGTGATGCGCGTTGCAATCGCATGGGACGGGGGGGGGACGCAAGGTAGCGGACGCCGGGGGAGCCGAGAAATAACCATATATATACGCATGGGTGGGCGTCGAGCAACTGTGGGACACATACATAATGCTTTCCAGGCCGCTTTCATACGGTGATAGAGAGTGGGTATACATGTCTTCTTCTGAGCCGTGTTCCCAAACGGCATGCGACCACGTTGCGCAGTTCACACTTTAGTGTGCCTGTTCTGTATCCTTCCACGCTCGAATTGCGGTGCGATATTTAGAATTGGGACGGGGTGATGCAGCAGAACACTGGTCATTTGCCGGGACAGCCCAGCACCCCGCCTCTGCCAGGTTTGAGTGCCCTCTTGCCTCCTCGCTTCTCTTCGCATCGCATTGCTCTTTGCCCATAAGCAGCCCAGAGTAGCGCATGCCATCGGCGGCGGAATCGCAGAACGCAACCCCAAAAAGAGTGGGGGGGAAGCTTGCCGCTCCGCCCTCTTTGCCTGCCTGCCTGCCTGTCTGTCTGGCTGTCTGTGCCTGACACGCACGTTCTCATGTGCTTGGCAAAGACAGAGATAGTGCTAGGACAGGCGCTGGGTTAGGCGGCGGAAGCGATGCCTCTATCTTGCATCATCACCCTGTTCTGTCGTGCCACAGCGACTCACGCCGAGGTGTACGGAAGCTCCGAACCTGGGAAATGCGCCCAATCCATAGATAAAACCCGCGTTTTGTTCGAAAAAGCAACACTTGCATCAGTGCAGGTCCTGCGGCGTCCATCTCACGCCTCATCACCTCGTCGGCATCCCTCTGTTCTTCGTGAGGCGAATGTCAAAGCCTGACCGATGGCTCGCGAGGCTTAGTAGTTTTCATACTGGAAAGCTGGAGGACGTGCTCGCACGAGGGCATCCATCGCCACGACACACCCTCCTCTCTCGAACCTCCCACGGTAACAACCTCGCAAATCGCTAACGTGCTTCCCGATAGCATGGCTGATGTGGGTCTCCGACCCGCTTGCGGCTTCCAGAGTACCCGGTGCATCGAAAGCGAAGAGGACGGCTTACAGACTCCCAGCAGGAAAACGTCGCAAGGATATGTACGTCCTTCAAATGTGGGGAAGGGGTGGGGGGGTACGTGGTCATTCGCCCGTGACGTATACAACCCGCCAAGAGCGCTGCAAGGTCCGCTGGATCTGGGGCTTGGGGTTGTTAGCGAAGCGACAAGCGTCGCACAGCCAGCCAGAATAGTTCAAGTACTTCCTTCCTTCACAGTGAAGCGGGGTGAGGCGAACAAATCTTCCCGAAACTCGAAGCTCAACGGTCAATAGCATCCCATCCTCAAGATCAGTCTAAAATGCTGCCCCCTGCTTTTCTTGCATAGTGACTTGGCGCATGTGGCGCCAGCGAGCGTGCCAGAGCATGTCGGTCGATACACTGTGACGAGACGGGCGTTTGCAACAGGCAAGCAGCAAGTTAGACAAACATCATCAAACGGCGTCAGTAGGAAGGAAACTGCATTGCAAGAGCAAACATCGGCAGTGCGGACTGGTACAAGTACAGTATTTTTTCCTACTTATTCAGAGTCATCAGGGTTGGGTGAACGCTCTCTGGTCTGCGCAACGGTAACTGCAGAAAGAGGCTGAGCTGAAGCCATGTCATGCCTTCTCATTTGTTGCTGCAGCTGCTCGCCCCTTGCATCGTGAAATCGTTTAAGATCCGATCTCTCGCACTCTTTTTGTTGGCCATCTTGAGTTTCTTACACTCCTTCCTTTTGCCTCTCTTCTGTTTTGATGATGATGATGCTGCTGCTGATGCGGTTGCATTTCCCCATCGCCAGGACCTTTTCCTTCTTCCTCGTGTTAGCAGACACCTGAAATATATCGTGACTACATCTGCGCGCAACTTGTTGCCCATTTGCTGGATATCGTCGCTCTTATACAAGCCTTGATAGAGTGGCCCATGTACTGCGAAAATCTGTGCGACCTGCTGCTACTGCGGCGGTGACCCCTTGCTGTATGAAGCCAAAAGGCAAATCAACCCTTCAAAAACCTGCAGAACGCTGCTGCTCTTATCTTCTTCTCTTATCTTCGTACGCGGGTTGGCGGCCGCTGCGGTACAACGCCAGTGCCACAAACGACGCTCGCCCCCAACTGCGTATCTACGGGCCACTGGGGTGACCGATATTGCACATCCAAATTCTGATTTTCAAGCAATAAATATACGTGAGGAGGAGGACATGTCGTCAGCAGGCAGCCGCAAGAGGAAGAGAAAGAAACGCACCTCGTCTTGTACAGACGGAACAGCTCCTTGACCAAATCGCGAAAGTCGACTCGGACGTTAGCGGTGTAGTAGAACGTGAGCTTCCTGCGGTCCCACTGCATCTCCGCAGCAATGACGCTCATGGGCAAGCCACGCTGCGTCACCTTAGTCACGCAAAGTTGCAGCGCGCGCTCTTCGTCCTGCGCCTTTGAGTACAGCAGCGCCGTGTCGGCCGGCGTCGCACGACCGTACAGTCGCTTGGGGCTGATCAGCCGGACCTTAGAATCGCTTGCTCCTGCGCTGGCGCCTGCTGCGCCGCGCATGCCGTTCTGATGAACCAGGAAGGACTGTACCTGTGCGACATTGATCGAACTAGCGGAGCAGCGCCCCTCCCGTCAGCGATGAGGACACCGAGAGTAACGGGATGAGAGTGCGCGTGGAGAAACACTCACTCGTTGACGACGGTGCCCAGGTCCTTGCCTCGATCAGCCTCGACGACGACGAGGTCACCCTTACAGACGTCAAAATCGTCGTGTGTAGCCCATTGTTGCTTGAAGTACAGGTCAGTGCGCCCCTGCTTGAACTCGACAATGTACAGCGGCATCTCTCCGGGGAGAGCCTGCAGCGGTACGCCCTTGCCGAGCTCCTGCAGCGACGCGGGGCCCGCGTCATGTCCGCCTCCACCTCCTGATCCGCCGCCGCTTCCGCCTTGCGCGGGCGAAAGCGGGCCGAGCGTGGCGAGAGAATGAATTGCAAAGTCGGACAGCTGCGGGAGACCGAGCGTGGCGAGCATAGCATCGTTCTGCGCGCGCGCGCCGCCGACGCTGATGCTCGCTGGTGGGGGCAGGGCGCCATACCCATCGTAGCTGGCGCTGGACCCGGCGCGCGCATGACCGCCGACATACGCGCCAGCTGGTGGGCGCGAGGACCCAATAGCGCCCGGTGGGCCGGGGCCGAGGCTGATTGAGCTGGCCGATGAGTACGATGAGACCTTCTGCAAGTCTTTTTCAGTCCAAGGCCCTCCTGCACTCGTGGTCCCCGTGACGGAAGATGACGCGGGGCTTGCGGCCGAGACGGCAAAGTCGCTGCCAGGGACCTTGTGTTCGGATGCGGGGCTGCGCGAGAGAGCAGCAGCAGCAGCGGCGGCGGCGCAAACGTGCTGCTGCGATGCCCCGAGCTGGTGGTGGTATGACTGCGTACGGGGCGGAAGCACGCGCGCCAGCGGCGTCTCTTGCCCGCTCGCCAGGCCGCTTGCAAGCCCGCCGCCGATTCCGATGCCAGCGCCAACGCCGAGGGCCGTCGGGCCGATGGATGCTGCCCTGTACCTGCTTCGCACGGCGATGCCGCTCGTAGGGCCCCCGGGCGCGCTGGACCCGCCTGCGCCGAGCGCAAAGCCGGGTGGCGAGTCGACTGGGGACGACACGAGCGTCACGTCGCCACCATTACCGCTACTAGCGGTGGTCCCCCACGCGCCTCCGTATGGACCTGTTGAGCGGTGAGAGGACGGCGAGGCGCTCGGGCCGAACAGGTGTACGTGATCGTGTGGGTTGTAGCCAGGCATGCTGGACGCATGCGCGCCCTGCATGGCCGCCTGCGAGCTTGGCACGCGCATCTCAATCTTGCGGCCTTCCTCTTCCTCTTGCTGCTGCGCCGAGCGCCGCCCCAGGTTTCCGTTTCCGTTGCTGTTGCCGCCGCTGCCTTTAGCGCCCACGTCAAGCGAGTCAAGGTCCGCAGCGAGGTCGTCAAGGGAGAGCGCCGAACTCCCAGCGCTTGCACCGAGGCGTGCCGCAGGCGCGGGTGCAGGTGTCGCGCGACTAGCAGCGGGGCCGCTGACATTGAACCCGATCGCCCTGCGCGGCTGCTGGCCGATGCCCGCGCTGCCGCTCCCACTCTTGCGTGCACTTTCCCCTCCCTCTCCAGCGCCAGCTTGTGATCCTCTTGCGCTTGCGCCTGCATCGTACGACGAGGCGCCGAACTGCACCACGAATGGCGCGACGCTGCCAAAGCCCGAGGCGCTGTGCGGGCTAAAGGCGCGCGCGCCGTACGAGTCGAGTGCGTGCTCGTGCTGCGAATGCTGCGGCGTGTGTGTGTGGACCGAACTGGAACGCTGGTACGAGCCTCCTGCTCCGCTTGCATGCGCATACGGCTCGCAAGAGCCGCCACTCGGCGAGGGCAGCGGCATATCCTGTGCCGCGGCGCGGGACCAGTCTGCACGCGAGCGTGCCAGGTCGTCCTGAACGGCCGCGTGGTGCAGCGAGAGCGCCGCGGCGCTCGAAGTCGAGCGGTGCCGCTGCTGCTGCTGCTGCTGTAACTGCGCATGTGCTTGTGCCTGGACAGCGGAGGCGGACAGCGGAGGGAACATCGCGCCGCCTGTTGCCGCGGCAGCTGCACTGCTGCTGCTGTTGCTGCCCCACGGCCGGGTGGGCGATTTGGCCGCCAAGTCCACGTGATCCTCTGCGTGGTGCTCGTGCATCGTCTCAAGCAGCGCGCCCTGCGACATGCTGCCAGCCATGCCCCCAGCGCCGCCACCACCTTCCGACAGCGGGGAGCCCGCGCTGGCGGGATAGACGCTGAGCGAGTGCGAGCGCTGCGCCTGGTGCTGCCTGGTGCTGCTATCAGGTGCGTTGCTGCACCCGTTGACGCCGTTCGTGTGGCCGCTGCCGTTGGCCACGTGGTGGTGCTCGTTAGCGTCGCTGCTGCGGTCTCTCGGCATGGATCGCCTCGCGCCTGTACCTGTGCCTGTGCTGTAGTGGTCGCTCCCGCTGCTGCTGCTGCCCGGGCGGGCGATCGGGCTGGCAGAGTATGTTGACGAGTCGTCGCGCGGCACGGCTCCGCGCTTGCTGCTGCCCCCTGCTGCTGCTGCCGCTGCGGTAGCGTACGAGCCGTTTCCCCCCTTATTGTCTGCTTCTGGCATCCTGGCTGAGAGACGCTGCTGCTGTTGGTGGTGATATGCGTCCTGCTGCTGGCGCGGCGAGGGTAACGGATGGTGCACGGGGTCGTTTTCGTCTGCAAAGAAGCTTGCCCTGTTGCTACTGCTGCTAAACAAGTACGGTTGCTGTGGCTGCTGCGCAACGCCAACGCCCATGGCACCACCAGGCAACGTGGCGATGGGTGGCATTATTTCTCCCCAACGTCTCGCAAGTGCGCCCTCGTTGCTGATTCTATTCTACCACAATCACCTCCTTGCAGTTCTCCACATCAGCTTGAGCTGCAGCTATCGCCAAAGTGCTCCTGCTTCTGCTCCTGCTCGTCGCCGTAGCTATCTCTGCGGCAGTCGCTGTTGCGGTCTGCCAGGCGGGAGCGCAGACACGTGTCGCTGTCACTGTTGTCGACGGCGGCACGATTGAAAGGGGGGAATCGAATGCGGAGACTGCGCGAAACTATACCACGCGGAGCGGGGCAGCGGGTAGCCAAAAGCAAATAGAAATGGCAAAAAGTCGCTCCTCTCGTTTCAATGAAGCCTGCGTGCGCGGGCATGTGGGAAAGGGGGAAGAGCGAGACGGGATGAGTCAGCTTCTTCCAACGCATGCACGACAAGGGTGGAAGCACATGATCGCTGCGAGGGTGTCCCGCTCGCCCGTAAGGATCGTGGACGTGTGCGTGTGTGCCTGCTGTCTGCCTCTCTCGCTCTGGCCTCTGGATGATGCAAAGCGCACGAGCGCCTTGCGGTGCCCCGCGCAGCCCAGACCTAGGCCCAGGCGACAAGCGGCCAGAAGGGCGGTAAGGTCGATGAAGAAGTATGACGAATGGCGCGTTCGATCACGCTTGTGATATGCTGATGCAGCAGCAGCAGCGCCGACAAGAGGCAGACAGGCAGACAGACAGGTCGCAGCGGGCGCACGCACCTGTAGACTCCCAACCCAAGCGAGGCAAGGGGCGACAGTCACGTCGTCCGTCCGCCTCGATCGAGTCGCTGCGAGATGAGATGGGATGAGGTGAGACTGCAGGTGGAAAGGGAAGATGAGGTGAGATGAGTTGAAATGTGATTAGATGAGATGAATGACATACGATGCGATGCGGTGCCGATGGATCCGTCTGGGTCGCACGAGCCAGCCGCGGGGGTCGTGTGAGTGGCTCGTTTTCTGTCTTCGTTTCTATCGAGCTGCGGATGCTCTACGGGGCCGCGTGCTGGTGTTCGTCTTGTGCGCGCTCAATCTGTATTTTGTGCGTCGCGCTCTTCCCCGTCTACGATGTCTATGGGTTGCTAGCCGCTGCTGCTGTCTATGGAGGTGAAACGGTAGGACGAAGTCGAGAGGAATCAAAGCGCGAGGAGTAGCGGGGAAAAGGGTGGAGAAGGAGAGACGGGCAAGAGGTGTGAGCAACGATGGAGACTCATCCGCCTTTCTGCCGCCCCGCACTCGCGCGAGCAACTCCACAGTCCACAGACCACTTGGACCGACTGCCACACACGTGAGGCACACGCACTGCGCAGCGACGCACCTCGTTTCCAGGTCGAGAGTGGGTGTGTGCCCGGGCCAGCCAGCCTCCCATATGACCTCCCCGCTCCAGTGCCCGCTCCCGCGTCGTCCAGCACAGCCCAAGAGCAGAGTGCAGGCGACGGGACCGAGTGGCGACACGAAAGGCACTCCAGCGCAGTTGAACCCTGTTCCCCACAGTCCATCGGCACACTCGCCCACTGACCAGGCACCGACACTGGCCAGGCGCGGCGACGCTGCCGCCCGACTTTAGTTTACAGTTCATAGAGCAACGCATTGATATGGCGCTCATCAGCGCCCCCGCAGAGTCGAACTCTTGTCGCTCTCTCGTGTGGCGTGCTCTCTCCCGCTCTCCGGCCTGGCATGGATGTTAACCACGTCTGATCAGCTGGACATATGATGAACATACATCCAAGCCACGTGACCCTTCTTTGAATAGGCTGTTCCGACAGTGGGCGTCATTTGATCATGCGGGCATGTCGTTGTCCCCCGTTCTTGTAGCCGTCGGCTTCCCATCTGCTTGACCCGAGACAGAGACGCCGCAGAGGGTTTCGGATACTGCTTCTGCTTTCGTGCGGTAGTTCATACCGCCGGCAGCTCCTACATTCCGCCCGCAGACACAGATGCACGCACCTGGACGTCGTACGTATGGAATCTACAAAGCGACGAGGCCGTGTGCACCCGAATGTTCGCACTGGCAAAGCGTAAGGCAACGCATATATAGGACAGCATACATCCATCTATGCGTGAGCTAGTGATGAATTACATGTCATGTGTATACATGCATGCAGCAGCAGCAGCACCGCGTCAATATGTACATGTATCAACGCCCCGACTATTGCTCCTCTGACTGCTGCGCCTGTCGGTTGATCGCATGCTCAGAGCCGTACATCTCCGGCTGTTCGACTGTAGGCGTCGTGTCGTCCGCCAGCGATGATGGCCGCAGCGAAAGCGGGGCTACCGGCTCCTCCGTTTGCTCTAGCTCTAGCTCTTGCCCCTGCCCCCGTTGGCTTTTCCGCGCATCTGTGTCATGCTCTGGGGCTGCGGTTGCTGCTGCGGCTCCCTCCGTCTCAGTAGCTGCGCGGCCCGCTGCTACTGCTCCTCCTTGTGCGCCTTGCCAGGCCGACAACGGCAATGGCGGTGGCGGTGGTAGCGTTAGGGGGCTCTCCAAGACTCTCCCCTCCGGAATCGCCACGTCCGCCAAGCTGGCTCCAGTGCCAATGCCGGCCGTCACGAGCGCAGAAGGCGAAGCATCCAGCGAGCCTGCGAGGCTCGCACCGGTTCCGGTTCCCGTGCCCGTCGTGTACGGTGTTCCGGTGCTGCCCTCACTACCGAGCCGATCGTGCCCTCTCAGTCTTCCTGCCCCCTCTCTCCCTCCGCCGTGGTGGTTATGCGGCTGTTGCTGCTGCTGGAGCAGAGCTTGCTGATGCTGCTGCTCGGCTAGGTCACCGATGACGTGCTTGAGTATGTCTGACAGGCATAGGATACCAACCAGCTTGCCTTTACGCCGCTTGCGCACTATGCCCGCCTCCAGCTCACTCTCCAGCTCGCGGGGCGTAGTCGGCACTGGCCCCAGCTGCTGCTGCTGCTGCATCGGCGGCGGCGGCGGCGGCGTCGGAAGCTGGGCTGTTCCCGTTTGCCCCGCTGCTGCTAAACCCGAGCCCGAGCCGCTGTTGGCACTGGTGCCGCCTGCAGTCTGCTGCGCGTCCGTCCCAGATGTCTCCGCTGCAGACTCCGCATGCGCAGGCATTTCCGCATCGAGTCCTGCAGCTTTGGGCTGCTGGTGCTCCGGCTGCAACTGCGGCTGTTGGGCCGTTTCCGGCGCGAGTATGACGAGCCTGTGCACCCTGCGCCTGCGCAGCAGCGCAAAGATGTTCGCCAGCGAGTCGTCCGGGCTGCACACCATGATTCCAGGAAAGTCCGGCGGGCGCCGCGCGAGCGCCTGGCGGATCGTCAGGTCAAGCGCCTGGTACGCGCCAGTGCGCACCAGTGTGACGACATCGACGCTCTCGTACAGGTCTACCACGTTGCCATCCTCATCGAGCACTGGCACGGCGCTGATTCCTAACTCGGAGAACATATGCACGACGTCGAACACGGTCGTGTCAAGTGTCGCCGTCGCCAGCGGCGCATATGAGTTGCTGGGCGACAGTACGCTTGCGAGGATCGAACCGCGCGCTTGAGGGCTTGCTTTGCTCGTTTCCCCTTGGCCTGGCACAGCAGTCGAAGGCGTCAGCGCAGGGAGGAATAGCGGCTTCTCCGCAACAGGCGTCTTCAGCTCTTGCTCCTCAGCAAGCTCCGCCGCGCGGCTCGATTTCAGCGACTGCTCTGTACACTGCGTTGTGCTCGCACCAGCAGCCTCGTCAAGGGACGCATTCTGAGGAGCGACTATATGTGGCTGATCCGAGAGTCTGCTCGGCGCAGCGCCGACATAGGTGCCAATGCCAAGCGAGCGTATTGATCGGTGCAGGATCGCCGTCTCTCGGCACTGTCAAACATGCAAGGGACATCTGTGAGCTGACATGAGAGAGCGAGAGCACTCAGAGCAATGCTCACATTCATTGCGATAAACTTGAGGACGCGATATTGCGTGAGTACGCTCAGCACGGTTTCGATCCCCGTCTGTTCATCATGGTCGATCAACGGGAGGCGTCGCGCGTGTGTTCGGATGATGATTTGGCACGCCTCGTAAAGCGACCTGAGTGGATGCACCGACAGAGTCGGTGGTTGCGGCACTTGTAGGGAGCGCTCGATGTCTGTTGTGCGCAAATAGCAAGAAGCAGGACTAGGTAAGCGGAAGTATCAAATCAAGAACATCAGCAAAAGTTCACCTTTGAGCTTTTCTAATCTGAACGTCTCAACGTCCTTGGCGGCGTCTCCGTAGCTTGAGTTCATGTAGTAGTACTGGATGAGATGGATGATGTCGTTGACAGTAAGCATACCCGCGAATGCGCCATTCCCAACTGGCACTTGTGTTTCTGGGGAGACGGGTCGCGAGGAGTTGGTGTCGTCTGCGGGCTGAGCCGCAGAAACCGCTTGCAAGGCGTCTGCTGCCTCCGCTCCGTCGTGCTGATGTGAGTCTGCACCTGCGCCTGTCTCTGCTTCCGCACCGGTATGCGCTATGTCCGTCGCCGGTGTACTCTGCCACAGCGGTGCCGAGACAACGCCAGCCTGCCACATGACGTCAAGTGCCGGTTTGACAACCAGCTTGGTGTCGAGTACGACGAGCCGAAAGCTTACGGGTAAGACATCGTACGAGCTCCTCCCTCGCAGGAACCTGCGTATGCTGTCGAGCGCAGCCTGATGCTTGTCCTTTCGCCGCCCCGCTCCACCGCCACCAAGCGCACCGCTAACGCCGAATGTCGAGCGGCCCGCACTGACGGCAGCGCCAGAGACAGAGATACAGTCTGCGCCACTGCCTGATGTGGCGGAGGACGAGGTGAGCGAGCTCCCCGGTGCGCCCGCATACAGCGTCACGGACGCATCTGCCCCTTCTCGAGCGGTGCCGGGTGTTCGTTGGATCGGGCGGGATCTGTGATTTCGGGTTGCAACTCCTGCTGCTGATGACTCTAAGCCAGCGACGTGATGTGTGGATTGTGCTGGAGAATGGGCCTGACTGGACAAGGTCGAGAGCAATGGTGACGTAACGGCCGAGGAGCCGCCGCCCGCGCTGCTGCCGCAAGGCGACTTTCTGCTCGTCACGACATGAGTGATGGAGCTAGTGACTGGCGGCGCCGAGGGTCCAGCAGCAGCCGTCGAAGCCGTGTCTGGCTCTTCCATGTTCTCTATCCTGTGCGCCGTCGCTATCTATCCCGGCTGATCACGTCACAATTGCAAGCCCGGACGTTGATCGTTCCAGCTGTCTTTGCTTTGTTTATTCGTCGGATGAAGGCTGTGCACGTCCTGCCCCGAGTTCTGTCCTCACTGCTTAGCCTCCTTGGTCCATGTAGGCCACACATCAGTTTCACGACCGCGTCCTGCGGCGGCCGAAACGAAGTGATGCTCGCTTAATGGGCGAGACTCCCCCAAGACCCCAGTGCGGTTGCTATCGCGCTGTGCAAACTGGCGGTTGTCGAACCCAATTTGCTTTACCTCTACTCACGCCTCCCGATTGGTGGACGGTGATTACCGCGGAGGCTGATTGCAAGACAGCTCGCGCGATGCACACTTGCTCGCCAGGCTGGAGGTCCTTCTGCTGCTCTCGTTGCGCCTGGGGATTTGGGTGAGTGGGGGGAGGAGGCCGAACGAGAGAGGGCGCGCGAGCCCAGACGGGTGACTCGCTGCTATACATGGAGAGGTGGGAGATGACGAGTCGAGTCGAGGGAGCATCCGAAGAGTCACTGGTCGACTTCTCTCCTCAGAGCGACCCCCTGCCGCCTGGTGAGTGCTGCGTGGTGCCTGCGTAGAAAGGCTGCTGGTCGCATGGTAGGTTTCGCTCTCGTTGGATCAAAATAGGGTTGGGTGGGCCACGGCCGCCAATGAGTAACCCTATTAATTTCGCTTAATCCCACGTGCGCCATCTGGCATTCTCGTCGCACATTGGCCGGCAGCTCATCCAGTCCTTGTGAATGCCCATCGTGGCGCTGATCACTCTATCGTGGACAAGGCTACAGTTGTATGTACCCCGTGGCTTCCAACCAAAGTAATTTGGCGCCTGGGACTACTGCATCTTCGTACTTGGCATTCTGGCTGCTGTGTGGCACCGTTGCAGATCAGATTTGCGCGGAGACTCGCGCACGAAAGGTTGAGTTTAGAGCCTGCACGGAAACCCGGTGAACTCTCCAACTCTCGACGACCATGAGCACTGCAGCGACCACCACTGCTGCTTCGGGTGCTGCTCCAGGGCAACCAAGCAGGAGCAGCACCATCGTCCTCGCAACTGCCTACCCGCTCCCTTCAGGCTCATCGTCGTGCAACACACTGTCGCCGCTCGCGCAGAAGCGAGCAGCGCAACCACAGGTGGAACAGCAGCACCCTTCCCATCAACCCAGCTGGCAACAAGGAAATGGGCCCGGCTTGAGGATCTCGAGTAGATCCGCATTCTTGACATCCCACGTTTCATCCTCAACTTTTTCCATTTCACCGGGGTTCTCCTCTGCATCGCTCGGAGCGGTTATCTCGCCCGCCAGCCACCCGCTGCTCTCAGCAACGTCCACCTCTTCCTTTGCATCAGCGGCAACCCCAGCGCCGGTACTCGCTCCCACGGGCGGTATATCCGGAGGCCTGATGGAAAGCGCCGGGCCTGATATTTTCGATAGGCCGAGGGATCGGTCAAGGAACCATGAAGTCGCCGCGAGCAGCTTGGCTTTCTTGTACGCTGAGACGGTCAGCTATGTTCAAGGGCGGGTTAGCGGCATTGCCGAGCTGGAAAAGAGGTGCGTGATGACCAGCTACTACGCTTCGCTCGTTTACCCTCTCAACGGACCGGCCCTCTATGTACAGGCTTTCGCTCATGGGCTACCGTATCGGGCAGAAGCTCCTCGCAATGACATCGCATCGACTGGAATTGTCTACCAACAGCAAAAATCCCAAGAGAGAGGTACGGTTACTTCCAGTCCTTCTGTGGGTACACACCCATTTATGGAAGCATGCGTTCGGTAAAGCTGCCGACTCCCTCGAACGCAGCACTGAGCGAGCGGACGAGTGTGAGTTACTGTCGCCTAACCTTCGTCCATTTGCACGTTGCACATCTGAGAGCTTGTGGGCCTGACGGTATTTGGGCTCTTCCAGATATGATCTCGACCAACATCCCCACATTCTCCAAAAGCATCTCAATACCAAAGGACATGTCCCAGCTCAGCGTCGAGGCAATCACGGCAGGTATTGTAGAAGCGGCACTGGACGGGCTCGGCTTTGTGAGTGTGCCCGTGCTTTAGGAAGAGGACATTCACTTTTCGCGCATGACACAAAAACATGGGATGCTGACTGCTTGTGCGCTGCACTACTGTTCGACGCCTTCTCTAGCCTGCGCGCGTGACAGCACACTCGGTTCCAACACCACAATACCCCTTCCGGACGACCGTCCTCATCAAGCTCGATCCCGCCGTCATGAAGCGGGAAGCAACGCTAGGTTCATAGGGGCGTATTGTAAGCAGAATGCTCTGATCTCCTCAGCAACGATGATAGTGCTACAACATGTTACGATATGCGGTTCGTGTGGTCTGTGCGCAGACAGGGAAGACGATTCGTGCGGTCAGCGATGCGACAACGACCATCAAATCTGATTGTGCAAGAAGCTCAGAAAAGGTCCTCTTCCGTTGCAGGAGGAGTTAGCATGACAAGTCTTGTGTCCGCAATATCTTTCGGTATAAGGATGACGATTGTTCATCGTGAAACAAGTACGGCTGACTTGCCTTACAGATACATACCTTTGTATCGCTTACGCAGTTATCATCGTTTCGCCCGCTTGGCAGACAACGCTCGCGCTCTCAGCGCAGCAAGCTCATCAATCTCGCCGTTCTCCGTCTTGACTCGAAAGTCCGCTGGTCGTCTATCTCGCAAATCAGAGGCTGTCGGCCATGTGGTCGCCGTCAGTGGCTCACGCACCGCTTCAGAACGCTCCTGTGCATGGTGCTGAACGGCACTCGAAGACGAGAGTCCATTGCCTGCCAGACGCTTCTCAATCGCTGCCTGTCGCCGTTGACGCTTTTTGGCTCTTGTTCCCGTACCTTGGCCCGGTTTGGACATGCGATGAATGGCAGTGTTCCCCGCGTCTTGCGACGCATTTTGGGCACCTAACGGCTCCTGCCCCTGCCCCTGTCCCTGTCGAGTTCGAGGCGTGCTATTCAGGATCTCGTCCTCATCTTCCCATGCCGCTGCCGCCTCGTCTCCATAATCTAGTTCTTGTTCTTCAACCTCGCCGCCTTCGTCCGCGGCAGCCGCTTCCGCGTCCCTTTCTTCCCTGAATTTGCGCGAAGCGTCAAAGACCTTGACCGCGCCTGGCGTGAGGTAAGCGAAACCATGGCGCATTTGCCATTCTTCATCTGTCTCGCCTGGATATGGCGCCAAGGGGTCTGCATCGGGATCATCGAGTACGTCCAGTGTGACATCGCTCGAGCTGGCTTGCTGATGCTGTGAGTATGCACAAGGCCCTGCTTGCCTTGCAGATCGATCAGCAATGGGAAAATCACCGAGCGCTGACGCATGCACCAGTGTAGCTGGTGCTATCATCGATCCAGCTGAAGCCTGCATGGCTCGGATCTGATCGGCAAACCATTGTCGCTTGCTTACGTCTTTGAAATGCAACTCGTGCCACGTACTGAATGAAAGCATGGTGGGCGTATCACGCGGCTTTCCCCGAGAGTTTCCTTTCTCTTGGGCTTCGATACGAGAAGCAATCGCAAGATTTTGGGGAGGCGAATGATGCGAGAGCGTTGATATCGTCGAAGCACAAATCGCCTGGGTGTGAAGCTTTCAGAAGGCGGTAAGGAAACTGTCCAAAGGCAGTATTGCCCAGCGGCTGCCTAGTCGCGCTCCAACGGATTGAGCATGGAGCAAGCGCCAACGTCTATTGCTGATATCCTTGGAGAGTGTGCGGAAGAGCTAAGGGACGGCTTGGCGAGGGTCAAGAGCCACGAAAGAAAGGTGCTCACCGCCGGCGTGACCAAAAAGATGAGGCCAGGGTCGGAGGGAAAGGCTCATATTCGGTTTCCGCGTCTAGTGTCCAGACTTAGTTCAAAAAGACTCCATTACGCATGGTGCTCCCACGCTGTATCCTTTTAGCGTTGGTCCCTGATCGTCGGGTCATGGTTTTGAACAATATTGGATATAAGAAATGGGAAGCTAGATGTTTGATATTTATCAAGCAGGCTGCTTCGAAAAATTAGGCGTGCACGCAGCATGTCCGGGCGGGTTAATGCAGCAGAATTTCATGGTGAGCACCGCATTGAACACGATCCTGTGCTCCAGCGCGGGTTCTGAACCATACCGCAACAGTTCGGATCAACTTTCACTGACGCTTCGATATGCACTTCTAGCTCAGGTGTACGAGATTTGTCGGATGATCCCAAGAGGTACGGTCACGACCTACGGTGAGCTTCTAGGGTAGCAACGAACGGGAGGGCCAGTAGCTAACGCGGATGTGACCACGGTGTCCACACCAACTAGGACACATTGCCAAGCTCGCAGGACACCCTGCGCGTGCGTCCTTGCTATGAAAGGGTCAAACCCAGTTGCCAATTCCTGACACCATGATTCTGCTTTCCTTTTTGGATGCAGACTCGCGTATGGTAGGTGCAGCGCTCAAATTTCTCGGCGATCCAACTGTCCCTTGGCAACGCGTCATCGGCGCCAACGGGTCCATTTCAGATCGTGGCGACGGTGGAGAAGGTGCGCAAAGGCAAGCAGAAATGCTACGAGAAGGTGGGTTTCGTGCAGTTAGATTCAGGAGGTGAACAGCCTTGGTTCAAAGCCAGATGCAACCCAAGGGAGCCTGCCGTTCTGTCACTTTGGTGAATGAAGCGCTAGAGATGGAACCATGCGTGTTCCACAAATGCACCAGAGTGCCCAAGATTTACGCGAGTCATGTTGTTCTAACGCTGAAAGACCTCGTATCCTGGCCGGCTTGCACAGAAGGAGTCGAGGTTAGTGAAGCCCAAGGTGCTGGTGTAGGTACGAGCGGGAGATGGAGGGTGAATCTAACTAGATTTGGATGGTGTGAGTGATGTGATAACCCCCGCAGAACTTTCGTATCCAATAAAGCTGATCGCCGAAATTTGAAAATGACACAGTCCCTGATGTGGTCGATATCGAGTATGACTCAGGCTCTGATCCAGAAGCCGAAGATCCATAGCACGGGTGCTCCGGGATCAATACTCTTGTTCGTACAACGCCTTGTATACTTCACTCGTGGACAGACGACTCATATCGCATGAGTTCTGCTGCCTGGGAACCCTGAGCCTGCTCGACCGTATCATATCTTCTTTACCTTCCTCCACAGGCAACACGCCCTGCCGCACTGTACCTTGCTTTCACCCTCTGTGCCTGCAGTGCAGCTCCACATTACTGTACTACAAGCGTATGCGTGTGTAATACCTCTGACGGACCGAGCATTGAATCAAGGCAAGCTGTGGCGTCCATTGTGAAGTACGAAGGAGGACTACACCCTGCGATCGAACGTGTGCTGGACATCCTGCAAACTGCAAAAGTCAAGCTCACCACTCAGTCTCAAGCAGGAGTCAATGTAACGTTGTCGTGGGATTTGTTTGCAAGGTCGCGGGGCAAGGGGCATGGTGATCAATGCATACTCGTGCTTATGATACAAATGTCTGCGAGAATATTGATGCATGGCGAACCGTCTTATGCGAATGATAAGTAGCTCCAGCTTGAACCATTTGCTGGGGCCGAGTTTGCTGCAGATCCTTACGGTCTACTGCGCTTACCCCGTCCGCCTGCGCCGATGGTCGAGCCTCTGCGGTAAAAAATGGTAACAACTTCCATGTCAAAGGAGCTCTTCTCGCAAGTGTGCACTGTCTACAGGCGGCGAAAATCTAGCTGCGCAGGAGCTTACTTCTTCTTCTCTCTTCTGGCAGCAGATAGGTCATCGCTACCGACGTCCATCATATGCTCGTTGCCCTGACTTGGAAAGAACGCACCTGCATCACCAACACGAATCAGTCAGCTGCCTGCTGGTGTGATGTCAACACTGGTGCACATCGGAATTCTCAACATTGCCCCACGATGCTCACTGTATCCGCTTGCAGCTGGCCCTTTGCTGTTACTTTCGTGGATGTGGCGCGCAGCTTTTTGCAAATGCTCAGAGAGCAGAGCATCATGCCTCCTCCGTTGCTCTGCACGACTCGCATCGAGTTGCTTGATCTGATCGATCCTCTCCGAGAGGAGTTGAAGAGCTGACTCTGCTGAATTGGACCTGTAACGGTACAATAAGCGCAGAAAGATAAGCAGGTGTGCAGAGTTTAAATATCTCCTGGGGACACCTACCACCTCTCGAGCTCCTTCACTAAGTTTTCAAGCTCTGGCTTTCCCCTCACATCCCTGCCCAAACATCCTTCGACCTGAAAGATTTGAGACTTTTCATCTAGTCTGCCGCTGACGATCCCTGCGTAGATTCCCTCGATGATCAGATCTTCGAGCGCCCGCATATCCGGCAGGTCTAATGCCGCGAGAAGGTCGTCATACTTGAGCGTCGTAGATCGATAGCATTCCGTCACTAGCGTTAGAAGCTTGAGCTTCTGAACTTGCACTTCGCTCAAGCTAGGAAAAGAATATGGAGAGGATGCGTAGTCTGCATGTACGCCATAGGCGAAGAGCTCAAGGAGTCGATACGCAGAACTATGCTCTTCAGAGTGCTTTAACTGAATGAAGGATGTGAGCGTCAGCCACCATTTAGGGAATCACACATACGCAGAAACTGACTTCTCTTATTGAAGGTTGTTGAAGAAGCTCTGCAAAGACAAAGCAACCAGGGGCAGACGTTGCTCGCTCGATCAGCTTAGCTGCTGATGCTCCTTTTGCACTTCGAGCGAGCAACATGAATTGCTCGAGCTTCGCCGCTGCGAGGGTACTCGCTGCTACAGCCATCTTCGAGAGAATCTCACTTTCGTCTAGGTGTTGCCGTGGTCGGCAGGTAACCTTCCGCCCCCTTCAACATTCTGATCAGTCATTCAGTGTATTCAATAGCAGGTTGGCTGGTACGCATGATGATCGAAAGCGTCGTTGATGTGTCGAGCGGCGCCTGGCCCCGCTGAACTGCCTCACCGCGAAGGTCACTGATAGCTCAACAAACTCCAGGGTAGTTCTTTCTTTTTGGGTGCAACATAAATCAATAAACGGTTTCGAAAGAAAGAAGGCTGCGACGCGTCGCGTCGCGTGCGGCGTGCAGCGTGCACGTCCGTTAAACAAGGCAACTCAACCGTTAAAGGCAAACACGAAAGGAGTAGCAACATGGACGAAGCCTTTTGCGTGGGCCCAGCTCAACCCTCGGGGCCAACAAAGTGGTGCCAGCTCGACGCTTTTTGTTCATTTAACAGAAAGAAGACGGCCGCGCAGCCATAGCCTTCCTGTGATGGATTCCTGCTCCTGCTGACTTTGTCAAGTAAATTAAATGGCGGTCGAATCCATGGCAGCGCCTACTTCGAGCGTTCCGGCTCCTTCGCCAGTATCGTCCATCGGCCAGAAGTACCCCCAAGTCCTGGGTTATAGACTCACTCGGCTCCTCGGAGGCGGCGGCTTTTCCAAGTGAGTTCCAATAGTCTGCTGAGTGCACCTCGAATGGTACTAGTCGGAGAAGAGTTGACGCACGGCTACATTCCTTGTTCCCAACCAGAGTCTTCAAAGGCGTGAATCCCGACAATCCTAAACGGAAAGAAGCAGCAGTAAAGGTAGTCTCATACGCGCCGATCACATCCAAATCGTCCGCTCGCCATCCAGCAGACCGACAAGCTCTTCAGAAAGAGGTCCAAATACATGGTGTACTCAAGCACATCAATGTACTGGAGTTCGTTGGTGCTGACGAGCTAGGCACTGCATCTCGACCGGCTGGCATTTCTGTACCAGGACTCTACATGGTGCTTGAGTATGCCTCAGGAGGAGATCTTTTCGACAAGATTGGTGGGTCAGGCATAAGAAATGCATACTCCAAAGTTTGTTTACTGAGTACCATGCGCTATCCAAATCAGCTCCGGACACCGGAGTCCCTGAAGATTTGGCGCAGTACTATTTTCGGCAGCTCATTGCTGGCATGGTAAGGATCACAATAAACATGCCGTTCATTCGAAGAGGACCTTTAATTTCTATCTGTCCTTCTTGAAGCAATACATTCACTCGCAAGGGATCACTCATCGCGATATCAAGCCAGAGAATCTGCTGTTGTCCGCGCTGGGAGACCTCAAAATCGCCGATTTCGGCCTGTGCTCAGTTTATAAGTACAAAGGTAAAGAGCGTTCTCTCAAAGGCGCGTGCGGCAGCCTGCCGTACATTGCACCTGAGATGAATGGGCAGCCATACAAAGGCGAAGGTGTAGACGTGTGGAGCGCTGGTGTTGTGCTATTCGCACTGCTGGTCGGAAGTGAGTGAGCAAACCCAGATTAAAGAAGCAAGTATCCACGTGTCTGACCATGAGGTGCATCTTAGACACTCCCTGGGATGAGCCGACCACTCGGAGTCCAGAATATGAGGCATACCTTACCGGCGAGCTGCTCCAATATGACCCCTGGACCAGAATATCGGAGCAGCCATTAGGTGCGTTGGGGTCAATCACTCTTTCTCGAGTCTGAAGATGATGGGCTGATTTCAGTTCATCACTATTTTATGCCTGCTACAGATCTTCTAAAGGCGATGCTCACTCCCCGACCTGAAAAGCGTATCTCCTTGGCCGAGATCCAGCAACATGCCTGGTTCAACCGACCAAACGCGTTTTTGCAAGGAGGCGTCTCCATTGAAGAGAAGACCGGCAACTTGGTCCAAGCACTGATGGAGAACATGGTTAAAGCAGGTGACCTGCATCTTCATACCGATGGGGCAAGGGCCGAAGTGATAGACATGTGAGCCAAGAACGCCTGGTCTTCAACCGAACAGCTTGCACTGAATTCTTCCTGTCGCTGCTTGTTTTTCGATCACAGGCCTGCAGCAACGCAACCCGGGGCAGTCACGGTTTCGTCATCCGGCCTGGAGGAAATGGACCTTGGCGCACCGTCAGCTTCGATGGGCCCAAGCATCACAGGCGACGAGCGTGCGAAACGCTTCGCCATGAGTCAGCAGTTGCCGGGTAGGCGATTAGCTACTATGACACAGAACCCAAACAGCACGCAATTCCAGGAGGTCTGGGCTGGCATGGTGAGTTGGCCAAAGCCGAGCCTCGTGGCCCTCCGTACCTTTCTGATCGGTATCCACTCCCCGAAATGCAAAGACCCAATGGGCGGACATTGCAGGTCATGCGCAGCGATTCTCCGCACAGACTACGCGCTTCTTCTGCGCTGCGGAGCCCGGAGAGCTTGTACCGCATCTGCTCGCCATTCTACAGCAAGAGCGAGCGCAAACGAACGTCTACACTTTGACACCGCACCGAGCGCAGGAGCAGCACCTCCTCGACATGGATAATATCATTGAAGGCTTCAGTACGTTGACGCAGGAGCCGCAGAAGAATTGGATGCCCGTATTTGGTGGCGACGAAGGAGCCGTTGGTGACGGCATGGACGACGATGACGAGCTGGCGGGTGGCAGCGATGAAGCGAAGGGGCGACCGCTGGGCGCGAGGCTGCACATTGCGCTATCAGACAGACGCAAGTGCCCGTTGGCTGGGAACATCTACATCGACGCGCTGCCACTCCGAGGCCGACCAAGTCCGATCTGTGTCAATGGCAAGAAGTTACAGATCAAATCTCTTGTTCTGATGAACAGGTCAAGCGGCAGCCCTCTAGAATGGAGGAAGCTATTTGCGACAATTGTCAAGTCAGACACCGTTAAGCAATTGGTAGTTCCTATGTAGTACATGCGAGCCCCGCCTCGCCTGTTCGACTCATCATTGTACACTGTCAGTATATTAGATGTCTTTTGACAACTCTGTGTAATGTTCACAAATTGCAATGAAACTGCAGATGCAGATTTAAACAGTATGGTTATACAAGGAATTCCAGAATATTATCGGGCTGTAGAACAGCTGGAAGTCGGATGCCATCATGCCCAACGCCCTGGAGGTGCAGCTGTAGGCGTTCCAGAAGGTCCTACAGCGGCGCCGCCGGAAACAGCAGTAGCGGCGATGGCGACACTTGCAGGAGTAGCAGCAATTGTACTTGCCGCCTCATCTGCAAATTTTTTCGCATAGTCGACAGGCGGACCAGGAGGATCGAGAGGGCCGTTTTTACGAAAGAGCTGCCCTGAAAGGCCGAATTGCCAATTCTTGATCTGCATCCGCGGATCCAATTTCATGGCTGCTTGCAAGTCCCTTTCTGCTTGTTTCATAGAATCTGAATGACGCAGCAGATCAAATCCCTGTTCGACGCATGGAGAGCTGTAAGAAGGCTGTCTTCGTTTGTTCCCATGGGCGGACACACGTGTAACTAAGCACCTTGTAATTTTCCCACTTGCGCATCGAGGCCTCCCGACGCCTTGCCATCTCTTCCTCTCTGTACCAAGAAAATGTGTGAGCAACAGCCCCTCACAACGTGGAAGAAGCGATGCTCACGTCATAGTTTCTCCCTTGGCACCTTGCGCTCCTATACTGTCGGACTGTTTGTAGTGCCCTTTGTGCCCTCTGTGCTGGAAAGGTTGCTTCTTCTGCCCAGCATCCTGAACCGCTTTCGGCTTATCCTTCTCTTGCTGTCTGCTGGAGCTGGGCGTGGATGCGCCGCTGGTTGGCTTGCTGGACGATGGCCCGCCAAGAAGACTGCTGAGCAGCCTACTGGCGGAAGAAGATCCACTGGAAGCACGCGGGCCGGCACTGCCTGCTTTGGCGGCCTGCAAGCGCGCGGCGTTATTGGCGTTCGTGGCCGCCTTGATGCGTGCAGCACCCGCTGCCTCTGCAGCTTTCACGTCGGATATATTCTGTGCAGGGGCTTTCCTTGATGTCGATGGCACAGGACCAAGCTTGGATGCGGTAATAGCAGGCCTGGCATCGGATGGTTGTTTCTGAAGAGGAGACAAGAACGATTTGACGGATTTGACCGCCGCTGCCGCCGCCGACCCTGACGCCTGGGAGCCAGGGGTTAGATGCGTGCTTGTCGGCGTCTTCGCCGGCTCCAGAGCGGGCATTGATGGCCTTTCACCTTTCTGCTCATCATCACTACTCTTCTGTGCATGTTGGCGCCTCATCAACTTGATTGTGCGCCTCGCCTTCTGACCTCCGCCTGTCCCATCCTTCTCACTCCCCAACTTCGTCTTCGCCTGGCTACTATTTTCATCAAGCAAAACGGGATGTTTTGCTCCCTTGAGCCGGTACATCTTTTGTGACTTGCCCTTATGCTGGCTGCTCGAGCTAGTGCTAGGAGAAAGATGAACGTCTTCATCCTTGCCCTTCGTTGGTGGCTTTGCTTCTGATTTTTGCTCCTGGTGCTTGGTCACTATTCTACCATTCTCCATTCTTGACACCTTGATCTTCTTCCAGACTGGCTCTTCCGCGTCCGGTCCTCGCGCCTTTGGGCGTTTAGCTTGCTTCTTCTCGGACGTACGCAAGCTACCACGTTGCTCCGCCTTGACTTTGATGTCAATGGCATATGCGGGAAGCGGAATGGAATGATTCGGTGTCTTGCAGCGCGTGCAGAAGAAATCTTCTCCTTCTGCATCCCAGTCACGTGGTGGGAGGCCGTTCTTGTTCAAATGGCGATCCCAGCATCTGATGTGCTGCCCTGTAAATAGAAAGCGGAAGGTTGGCTTGAATTGTCAAGCCAAGGCCGCCGTAGGACTCGCCACGCTAGCACTCACAGGTCTCGCATACGCTGCAGCATATCAGAGCTACGTCATCTGTAAGATCTGCGTTGCGGATGAACGCGCCGCAGCATTCGCAGCTGAGAGGACAGGCACAGTGTATGTGAGATGAGCCGACTGCGGAATCGACTGCGCAAGTTGGTCATGCATTTCAACTCACCCCAGGTCCCAGCTTTCGTTAGAGGATGTTTTCTCGCTCTCGATACCGCTTTCATCCCCGCCATCGGTTCCAGATCCTATCAGTTCCTCGAGATCCGTGAGCGAATCGTCGCTAACAGCGTCCCCCAGCTCTGCCAAGTCGCGCTTGGTAGCTTCAGCTTCGGCAGTTGGCACTACATCCTGCGACAAAAGAGGTAGTAGGAGAGTTCCAGGCTCTTGTGTGGCTCGACTCCTGCATCGATTGCCGGTCTCGTCTCGATCAGAATTGCTGGATCCCGGTCCCTCAAGCCCCTCATAGACATGGACCAAATCTGGGGCGGTCGGCTTCTTGCTTTTGGCTGCTCCTTCTTTTTCCATCTTGGTGACCTGGTCAGCTTGACAGTAATCTAAAGCTCTGTCCTCGTCAGCCTGGCACTGGTCTTGATCGCCCGACGGCGCCGCCCCAGCCTTGGCGCCAGGTACTCCAGCAGTCACTTCATGCACCGCATCAGGTGAAAGAGGAACCGCGGCCTTAATTGGACTAGATCTGGGCTCCGTGAGCGGAGAGGAGTCATCCTGGCACGATTTAGAGCCCATACTGGATCACTCGGGCCCAGCCTCAGGGCGTTGCTGCATGGGTTGATGCGTAGACTGAGTCAAAGTCGATCGGGGGAGACGCGGGACGCTCCTTCGCTGTCCGCCCTCTCCAAGACTATCCCACCGCTGCCTGCTTGTTCATTATCCACGGGGCCGTGGGTCACACGTGCTGATGGTTGCACAGATCCATGTGCCTCAACCACACATCATTTGCGTCTCATGGTCATCGTCAAGTATGAAGATGTGATCGACGATGGTGACGACTGATATTGTTCAATGAATGGAGAGTTGGAGATATCACACTTTCCTTGCGATTTATGCGTTCCGCCCTCTCAGGTTGGTGCAACAAGGATTGAGCACTTCCCAACGACTTCTGCCACTCTCACTATTCACTACACAACCAGCAATTCGCTTCATGGCCCATTGGCGCATAAGGCGCATGCCACAGGTCATCGCGGACGTAGGTACCAATCTCAAGACTGCTTATTGGCCTCAGGTGGGCTGCAGTGCTGTTGACGTGCAGCCATCAGCATTCAGCCGTCGTGACTCGTAACCTGAAGGGCTTCTCGAAACCAATACTATTGAAGCTCAGCGTATGGCCGTATTTTCCAGAGTCCACCAGTGCATTCATTTTGACGGACCAGCCGATGGTAGATCATGGCATCATCGCTCTGAGAGCGCCCTTCGCCAGCACCTCGTGCCTGCCCATGGTCCTCTTCCTGCGCCAGCCGCTGACTCCAACTAGCTTGTACCAGGTCGGGAAGCTTGTCTTCTTGGGCACATCGGCGCAGAATGCGCCATGCAGTACTCCGGGAGGCGAGCTGCTCTTTTGCTTCTGCAGTGCAGCCCAAAACGAGGGAAAATCGATAGCAGGGGCGAAAGAGCCGAGCGAGCGATACCCTGCGGCGACTATTTCTCATTTCAGACCGTGCAACTCTTTTTGGTTGTCGCTGGGAGCTGATCGGTTCGAGTCTTTGGCCCTCTTGCCGCTTATCCCCTTTCCGGTCGAACGGACTCTCTCCGGTGACGTCCATGTCTGCTTGCGCATCGAGGGTTTCTTGCGGCTGGTCCGCTACTGCATCATAGCCATCGTCCTCGTCGTCACTGGCTTCGATTCGGCTTTGTGTTCCCTGTCATCATCTGAAGAGCTTTCGGAAGGAGTGGAAGTCTTGAATGAGCTCCAGGAGTCCAAGTGCACAGATGCCAGGTTGACGCACGAGGTGCCAAGCTTGGATTGCGTCAATATCTTAAGCTCGGTTTCATCGCTCATCGCCTCGCTTATCCGCTCACCCTCCTATGCCGAGTGATGATGCCACGCAGGGTCGAGAAAAGCCAAAAGACAAGGGGCAAATTGAACGGCACGCAGTTACACTTGTAGCTGAGTAAGAGCGCATCTTGCATGTGAAATGGGGAGATGCAAACCTAGGCTCGTTCCACATATAGTATGTTGATCTTGATTCTGACATTTTAACTATCTCGCAGAAGCTCTGCGGCTGCAAGACGCCCGATGTCGGCTCACTCCTTCGATTGCCCATCATGCACGGAGCCGACGTGGGGTATATGCAATGGTTATGAACATGGAAGCCAAGTGCTAGACTGGCATAAATCATCATGCAGCCCTTCGCTCATAACCTTATAGTTGGTCCTCACCACCAGGAATATGCGCCAGCATTAGTTTCTCAATGTTGGAATCCCAGGTGCCTAAGGAAACGCCGCGCTAGGCAGTTTTTTCTACACCTTTCTCCTGTAGACCATCAAGTGATGCAAGCACTTCTCATTGCAATGGAGAACACCTATACCAGAACCTGCATAGAATGTCTCCTGCCAAAATGGTGGTGGATTGCAGACCACAGGAGCGATGATGAAGGGAAAGTCTCTCCTCATCGCCAAAATTTTGTGAGTTCCGCCCGCCGCCTTACACACCTTTTCTCCAAGCCGCTCGCTTCACCCGGGGTATGGAGAGGTGAGGAGAGGCGAGGTTATCGCTACCGATGGACTTCGATGAGCAGCATTGCATGGACAAGCTCGCTTGATCACGCTGCCGAAACCCTCGAGCCTGCCGTTGAGGGTTGAGCCAGGTTGCATTCAAGGACTTGTGCCAGAGCTCGCACTCACAGAGACCAAGCACTATGGTGAGGTGCCTTCTTCACCGGCTGGCAGATGCCGCCCCGCTCGCACAGACTCTCTCTCGCCCCTGTGCTGGCTGCTGACCGATGGCTCTCCTGCTTTGAACTTTACGCTGGCTGCAGTCGCTTCCAAAGGTATTGGCGCAAATCCTCTTCCAAGGATCAGTAATTGTCGGACGAGCATTCTTAGAGGCTGGGCGGCAAGCAGCACGGAGTGAGTTTCAGGGCAACTCTTTTTGTCCTTTCTGTCCCTCTATCTGACTGGACAATGTCGTGCAAACTACTCCCACGAATTTTGCAGATGCGAGAGCAGGACAGATGGAGGCAGCGGCGGGGGCAGCCGGAGCCGGAGCCGGGGCTGGGGGTGCAGGGGGTGGGAGCATAACGGATCAGATTACGCGAGCTCATAGAATGACGATGGACGAGGCCAAGATGATTCTCAACTTCAAAGAGGAGAGCAAAGCGCTTGAGCTACCGACAGCACAAGAGGTAGAAGCAATGATCAAGGTGAGCTATCCTTTAGCTTGAGGCGCACCCCGTCAGAACGCATAGCGCTGCCCCATATTGACTCTGCCCCTTTCGTGTGTCCTGCCTTTCTTCGCTTCCTCCACATTGCACAGTCTTACGAACATCTCTTCAAGACAAATGCACCACCCGCGCCGAAAGGGCAGACGGGAGGTGGCGCAGGCAGCTTCTATATTCAAAGCAAGGTCGTACGCGCTCGTGAGAGAATAGAGGCCGAGTGGGAAGGGATACGCCGGAAACAGCAACAGGACGCCGACACTACTCCTGAGCCAAATGAACAAGGACCAGCGAATCCTGGCAACTCGCCACCTGGACCAGACCGGTAATGATCGAGTGATTTGTAAATTTACCCACGCTGGTGTCTAGATGTCATTAATCTGCTGTATCATTGCACTGCATGCATGCATTCTCCACTGCTCACCAAGGCCCGACCCACGTCGACTGATGATGAATCCATTGCAAAGCGGCAAAGTTAATGATTTTGGAGGGTATACAAGATCATGCAGCGTATGGTGAAGAATTCGGCATCTTTGCTGTTGAATTGTGACGAATGCGTGTCATATGTGAGAGGACGTACGACAAGGCAAGTCTTGCTACAGATGTATCAGCGGGGCAATCGGTCACAACATCATTAGATGAGGCCGATGGTGCACACGCATCGGAATCGATTGGCGCTTTCGCTGCGCACATCCTCGATGTGGCCATCAGCGAGGTAGACGGTACCCAGAAGGCTCGAGCTCTTCCAGCCCCAGCTCTGACTGAGCGTGAACTGGTCAGGGCCGGAGGAGAAACGTGTGAGCGCGTTGCCAAAGGGTGAGGGGCAGTGGATGCTGAAGAAAGCGCGGATGCCCTTGCGCGGATCCCGGTATGGCATTGCGGGCATCGTTGCAGGTACCGTCGGAGGCTGCTCGTCAGGCTGCTGCGCCGCGCCACCCGGATTCAGCGAGGAGCCATAGGTTGAAACTCTCGGTCCACGCGGGGTGCTGCCACCGATTGTATCGCTGTGGAGACCTGCAGGCGCCAAATTGAGTGATTCGTTGAGCAGCTGATCGAGAGAAGGCGCATTGACACGCGTGGAGGAGGATGCTCCCGCGGCCTCGCTCGGTTCCGCCGAAGCAGGCGGCAGAGCGTCGGCCGGGTTCTGCCTGTGAAGATAGATGCCGAGCTGGATACCCTTGGGCTTTCGCATGGTCTGCACATATAGGTTCCACAGACTGCCGGCATAGAAGAATGTCGGACTGTAAAGCCTGTTGCGTTCGGCCAGCTTGTCTACACCCCAAAAGTCAACACCGATGCGCATGGGCTCAAATGGCAACCACATCTCACGATGAACGCCAGGCGTCTCATCTTCCCGAGCATCGGTGACGCCGTCTCCCTTACTGTCACCACCAGATTGCAGATGGTCTTCGAGCGAGAATGGAGTCGCACGGAAAGATTCGCTGGCCGCATTTTCAGCAGCTGTGGCAGATGCAGCCGCGCTCTTCTCTGCCAATTCTTTGCCAGTGCGAGAGTAGTCGGCAATGCCAAAGTAGTTTGCCAGCGGTTTTTGGCCACTTGCAGGGTGCGATTGTCCTGGGAACATGAGCGAGCGGCGGGAAGCCGGGACAGATAGCGTATACGGATCTTTTAGACCAGCTAGGCCGCTGGCACCGATCGCTGAGGCAGCGGTGTCAGTGAGAGCGCCATGCGCGTCATGCGTATACCCAGTCAGCCCTTCCCTGACTTGCAGCGTAGCGGTAATCAAGCTCCCCAGTCCATCACCCAAACGAAGCGTGTCATCTGACGGAACGGGGAAGAAGCGCTTATCGGCAACGGATTTCTTGCTTAGGTGGTTGCTGCTGAGGAGATCGGAACGCATGCTGAGGTTCATGGTACTGGGTCGTCGCTTTGCGAGCTTGTTCGACGGCGAGCCGGGGGTCGACGGCGTGTTCTCTCTCTTCAAAGAGCGCCACGACTTGGAAGGGGAGTCGGAAAATGACGTGCCAGCAAAGAAGTCTTGCCGGAAGGCGTCCAAGTCGTTGGCCAGGTAGAGATCACATAGTGCGTCCTCTTTCAATGTGAGGCCGGTCATGAGCAAGCGATCGGGGTCGTCACCCAGTTGCGATGAGTCGACCTCGCGGTCATTGCTTTGCAGAATAATGTTGCGGAATTCCATACCGGCCCAAAGTGCCTTTTGAAGTACTTGTTCTGGCACATAAAGGCTTCCCGTCGAAGGACTGACATCTTCTGCGATTGCGGAAAGTTCAGAGAACGACATATGTGTGTAGTAGATCCCGCGAGAGAAGAGCTCGCTGTACTCCGTCTCGTCAGAGTCCAAATCGGAACAACGTGTCCGCTCAAGGCCCATTTCCTCGTTTGAGTCAGATGGGCGTCGCAGCGAAGAAATGGTCTCCGCTTGCTGCCCACGAGGAGAAGTCCTCGGTGTCTCGCCAGTAGACTTTCCCGTCGGCGTCGCCCTCCTGTCTTTGAAGCCTTTGGGCAAACTACCGGAGTGATCCGCAGAGTTCCTCTCGAGCGACTGGGTATCGGCATCATGGTCATCGAGACTAGCCGAGTCGTCCATCTCTGTTTCATCATCATCGGCACCGGTTTCCTTCCCTCGTCGCCTGAACTCGACGATGTCTCTAGCAAGCGTGTACCTCGCCCATTCAGACTTGACGAAGAATGAGTCTGACGAGATGACCTCGCGCACAATGTCAGAAGGAAGACCGTGCGCGCGAGAGTAAGCCCAAATGACTGGAGTAGGCAGCGATGGATGAGCGAGGGTCTGGAGAAGCGGCTCAGTATGGATGGAAATGAATTGTGTTATCCAACAATCACTTACTTCGCTAGGTGTGACGCGTATGGTAGCCAACTTGTGAGGTAAATACTGTTCGTCGCTATCCTCGCTCAGAGCATCCTCGCTAGCCTCATCCTTGCCAAGCACATTTTCGCTTCGTCTTGAAGATCCCAGCGACATGTACTCGTCATCGGTTGCAGTATCTGTTCCGGCGCCCTCGCGGATGTTGATCTCCCAGTCCAGCACGTCGCCTCCCCATCGACAAAGCCATGAGACGCACGCTTCGCCAATTTTGTTGCAAGACGGTCCGTAGAAGAGCTGCGCAGTGTGCGGCAGGTCTGTGGAGACGTCCTCCTTCATCCAGTCGGCGCCATTGCCAATGCTGTGAACTGCATCAGCGGTCGCTTCTTGATGGTGGTTGTCAGGCAGCTGAGGTGGGATCTGCGGAGCAGGTGATGACTTTCCCATCGGAGAGCGAGACATCTCATTGTCCTCTGCTTCGAGAAGCGGTTGAGCGGAGGGAACGCGCGGGGACCCCGACAGAGCATTCGCATAAAACTTACCAGAAGGAGCGCCCCAATTGATATCCGTACTTGTGTGCACCTGCTGGCCGTCCCACCGATCCGCTACGAGCGAAATGGAGCCGGTTGCGCAACATCCAGATGGTTCTGCTGCAGCACTGCACTGTGGCTCTTGCCTGGGTGAAGACAGAGACAGCGGCGGCGACCGCACGCGGTGGTTCTGCATCTGCACCTGCTGGGGTGAGCGCATAGCGTGTCTGGTTGCAGGGTACGGGGCGCTGGCGGCCGATAAGCGCTCCCATCCGATCAGCGGTCCTTCGAGCTCGTCAATGAGACTGTTGGAAACGTCGCGACTGTGTCCTTCTACGACTTGTAAGTGCGAAGGAGAGACAATGCCGAGTCCAGACGCGAAGCGCAAGTATGCTGAGACAGTGTAGGGCGAGATGCTTCCCAGAATGAGAGTGAGCGCCAAAGACGTGACGGAGGGTACGCCGAGGTAAGTCGATGTTGCGATCAGCGATAGGAGAAAGCGCGGCGTAGCCCATTGTGTGTTATCCGCTGGGAACTGAGGTGAGGTTGGCACCTGCCCTTGGCCGAGCAAGCCGGTGTCGCCCGCCCGAAGGCTGGAGGTGAAGGACACATCAAAAGCCGAAGCTTTGTGTCCATGCGTGCCCTTTGCTTTCTTTCCCTTTTGCTTCGTGTTGTCCTTGCTTTCTCCTCTCCGTGCATATCCACCAAGCGCGCCGATAGTGCTCGACGAGCGGCAGGTGGAGGCAGAAGCATCATTGGCGTGAGCCTTGTTGTTAGTCGAGCCGCGACCTATCGTATTCGGGAAAGCCTCGCCAAGGGGTGTGTCTGCCTTGGGGTTCGCCCACCCCGGCAGCTTGAGGGTTGGGGCGCATCCGTAGAGCGTAGCGATGCAAAACTCAAAGGCGGGACGAGACATGTTTGGGTCGGGAAAATGCACATCGAAGCGATGGGCGCCACCGTGGGATGCCTTGTCGGTCAAGCTTGGCTGCGCAAGTTCGATCCCATAGGTCGCTTCTTCCGCTTCGCTGAAGCCCCCACAGAACATGGTATTGAAGAAACCGGCTTGAACGAGCACGATCTTGTGTAGCTTGTAGTGCCGCCCAAACGCAGCGATGATCACGTCTGAGCACATTCCACCTTGGTGCAGGGCCTTGGACATGTGCGACATGAAAGAAAGTGAAGCGAGGTGTGTCCGATGGTGAGCATGGGCGGTTGGATCCGAATTGCTGGGCGTGTATGCGGCTGTCAAAGCTGATGGCCCCACTCCCGCAGATGTCGCTCCACCGGGTCCAGACGGAGACACAGGCAGACCAAGCACGGGCAGCGGGCTACCTCCATGAATCGAGAAGCTCGACATGTCGGCCACATTAGTAGTTCCGGGCAAATGAAGGGAGACAGAAGGGGTCATATTGCTGTTTGTAGTTGCTGCCGCGCTATGACCACTGGCGGCACCGCCCAGTACAGTACCTTGGCCGTGCGAGTGCCCGGCAGCAGCTGCGGCGAGGGCAGGGTGAACGCTTGTTGACGTACCAGCGGAGATGATCTGTTCAGCGTTGGAAGCGCTTCCCCCGCCGCTACCACCCGCTACAGCTGCAGTGATCGAGTCCGATGGACCAGCTGCGCTGCTGCTCGAGCCGATCAGCAGAGAGTTGCTGTGCGCTAGAGCAGCGCCGGCGCTGCTGGAGGCCACGTTGCTGCCGTGACTGCCCCTCGAATGGTGATGATGTCTTGAAGCAGGGGACGTGCCAAAGTTGAGATCCATGACTCTGCAGAGAGCTTTCACTTCAATGAGAGGGGTGGTGGGCAATGGGGATCACCTCTTGTAGCGAGCGATAGTAGACTCGCAGTGAGCCCTGGTGAGCATGTGACCACGTCAACAATGAAACAACCAAGAGCAGTCCTGTTGGAGAACTGGAGACCGGCAAGATATGAAGACTGAATGCTGCATCTCCCTCGTCTATGTCGCCATCGTCCACCTGTCGGGACTTTGTTTCATACGCAACAGGCGGCGAACAAGGTGGTGAGGTGATTAGGATCCATCCATCGACGGGGCACAGTGACGCCCCCCCCCACACACACCCCCGCCAGACCAGAGAGTCTGTCCCAAGGCGTTGATCGAGCCGACAAATGCGGTGCGTACTGATTTCTTTCTTTTCAAGGAGTCATTAATATACCTAAAAAAGAAGAACGCAGCGCGTTCCATGTGCTCTTCTGCAGATGCACAAGTCAAATTGGGGGGGAGGTATCGCCGTATCGTCCCTTCAGCGATAAGTTATGACTTCCGACCTCTGACATTTCATCCACCTCATCTCCCAATTTCAAGCACAGAACCGCGTCGCAAGCACTGTGCCCAGCGCAAGGTCTGCCACCGAATAGCGCCATGGCGACTCCCGCTGGTCGCAAACGCGTTGTGTATGACGATCTCGACGCGACGCATCTACCAGTAGCACCGGCCATGCTGAATTTTGGGCATGCTGCCAACGCCACACTGATGCACGGCTATAACGGCAGAACCAGCAGCGGGCCAACGGTAAATGCAGCAGTAAGTTGCGGAGGAGCTGGCAACAGAAGTTTTCACATATTTGGCGAGGCCGATGCCCTAGCGCTGGGTGGACAGTTCAACCCGGATGCAATTATTGGCGGCAAGAAACGATTAGCACAGGGTGAAGCAATAGATGAGCAAATGAGCAAGAAGCGCAAAAGACCATCAGAAGCCGTCTCTGTGAACTATGCTTCAAATGGAGGTCCATTGCATAGCAAGAAGCAGCCGGCGGAAGATTGCGAGGACGATTTGGTATCCACGCCTGCAAGGCGGCCGCCGTCTGCAAGTACGCGCAGCACGACAGCTGCTACATCTGCCGCGTCCAAGGCACCACCCATTCGGGTGGGTAAGGTCTATTCATCTCCGGCCCAGACTGCTGGGCCATCGCAGCCAATTCGCAATCCCGCCTCCTCTCCCATACCGGGAAGCAGCAGCAGCAGCAACTGCAGTCGCTCAAATGCCCTTGCCGCTTCAAAAGTAGCCCACAAGCACGCTGCGGTTCTCTCGGCAGCCGCTGCCGCTCTGCTTCCACCAGGCACAGAAGCTGGATCCTTGCTGGTGAAAGAGGGAGCAGCAGATGACGCGGAGGAAGAGGACGTGGACGAGATGGATCTCTTCCAGGTGGAGACAACGGCTGATCTACTCATGCAGCACCAGGCTGAAGCTGCTAGCAACGGAAAAGCGAAAGGGAAAACGTCGAATGCTGTGGCTGCTGCATCTGGAAGCACTGGAGCGCAGGTAGGCATGCAGAGGAAAGAGTGGAAGGAATATGAAAACGAAGAATGGGACGATGAGGTCGCATTGGGGTCCCGGCATGAACCTCACGCTTCAGGCCAGCAAAATTCAGGAGAACCCGAAGAGGAGGCAGGGGAGGAGGCAGGTGCGATGGACGAAGAGGACAAACCAAGACCCATTGCAGAGGGAGAAGTGCATGGTGAAGAGGGCGCATGGGAAGAGTGGGCAGGTGAAGAAGTGGAAGATTTTCCGGGAGTCGAAGAAGAGCATGAAGACGACGACAACGATGGCGATGGCGAAGAGCTGGATCCCACTGCGCTCAACTGGGCTGAGCTTTCCAATCCGCAAATCATCGGTTCTTCCCACTCCACGCAACGCGGCAAAGGGCGCATATTGACGCACGCTGAAGTGTGGGACGACTCTGCGCTTGTGGACGCATGGGATGCGGCGCAACAAGAGTACGAGATGTACCACTCGCGCCGCAAAGCCGCGCTTGCTGCCCAAGCCGCCGCTGCGGCTGGCGGGCCCGGGCGGGCGGGCGGCGCGGGTAAGCTCAGCGCATTGTGGCACGAGTCGGCCGACCCTGACTCGGCGGTGGCCAAGGAGGCGGAGCGTGCAGCGGAAATTGCGCATCAGCAGCTGCTGGACGCTGCCAAGTTGAAGCGCACGGCTGCCAAGACGAAGCAAAAAGAAGAGGCAAATGCGGAGGCACAGAAACATCTGATGACGGAAGATGATCCAGTTTGGCAGAATGCCTGCTCGGTCGTCGAGCGCACGCCCAACTTTCAACATTGGACGCCTATCGGAGAGTCACACCACACAAGCCAACGACACCACCCGCACCCATACCATCCTGCTCCGTCGCCCACACAGCCGCTCCATGCCCCTTTCTTAACATCGATGCCATTCGGCCCAGGAGCCGCAGACGCCGCCGCTGCTTCCGTACGGCCTCATCCTCAGTCCAGAGAGGATCTGCTGCAAAATGTCATTATGGCTTGGTACTGGGCGGGATACTATACAGCCGTGTATTCTTCTCAGCCTGCGGAGCCCGAGCAATGATCAAGCTTGCTTGCCTCTTGTTGCTCAGCCGTCCACGAGATTCCTCGCGCATCGCTATGGCATCACACGTAAGTGTCAGATGTGCGCATATCCAGATTTTGCAGCTCCAGCATTCAGCTGTTCCAGCAGTCCCGCTTCATTTTGCTTTTCAGAGAAAGCATAGGAGACATGTGTAGAAAATCGTTGAGCCCCTTTCTCTCTGCACTCAACACTGGATCATATTCTGACTCCCTGTTGGTGGCTGCGACTGCAATCTACTGAAAAGTGCAGGGAGAAGAGAGCGCTGAGCAGGTTTTGACGTCGAGGAAAGGATCTGCCAACACCTTTGCAGGGATAAGAATGCGACTTTTTCCAATTGTGCGACTTTGTGAGTGTGCTTGTGTGGCCCAACGCCCTGAGAAAGGACACAGTATGCCAAAGCGGACAATTTGTGGACATGGCATTGTTCTCAACGCGAGCTGCGGGGGCGACAGCGTGGGAAAACGGTCGATGTCTTTATTGGGCGCACGCCGCGCTCGTACATGGCTGAAAGAATGGCCTGAGCTGATCCAGGGCCGGCCGTGATCGCGCGGTCGCTGATCTGACTCCCCGATCAAAGTTTCCTTCAACAAGCTCGGGCGGACCCGAGCACTGAGGGCTGACTGATGCGTAGCAATAGTCTTATTTTATGAGTTGTTTTCAGCTGTCGAATTCAGGTCGCTCAGTCATTTTGCTCACAACCTTTCTCCGTAGAAAAGGCTTGCAAGTTCTGACGGTGCTCCTCCGGTCGCAGCCCTCCTGATTCTTCAACCACGTCCCTCAGCGTGTTTGATCAACCGACTATCTAGGCGCCGTCGTTGCAGCCAGCTGGCTTTCGCGGATCACGCGATTGTTACGGGTTCTCCATCTGTCGCCTTCGAATTCGTGTGGTCAGAATGTGTCTCCATGGTTTGTCCTTGGTGTGCTTTTGGCAGCATTCCTTTGCCAGGCAATGCTTTCGTTTGATGGCCTCTCCAGACCCAGCAGCAGCTATAACCCCGGCGGTGACAAGAGGTGCCAAAATCTTACCTCCCATCACAACCATGCCGGCCCAGTGCTGCCGACTGAGCTGCCTTCAATGCGACCGTCTTGAGCGTCTGATCGACGGCAATCCATGGCCAGCAGTGCTACAGTCAACTCTCGGGGTACGGTACTCTTGCTTGCCAGAACGCGGTTTCAAATTATACTAATACCACCGTGCGAGCCAATAACGTGGTGCCATGGAGGTAAGACAAGCTCATATGACTCCTCTGCCTTCCACGGTGATTGTGGATAGCCCACGGCTCCTCTACCAGTACGACAATTGGATATCCTGCTACAGCGATGCAGGCAGCAAGATTGTACCCTACCGCACCCCATACTCCTTGGCACACCCTAGCTCGGTCGCAGCTACACATTTGGCCGTATTTCACCGTACGCTGTATTCTCCTCGTCCGCGCGGGATGTCCAGGCCGCTCTAAGCTTTGCCAAAGCAAGTGCGATACAGCTCAGCATCAAGATTACGGGACATCACTTTCAAGGCTGCAGCAGCGCACCAGGCACATTGACGCTGCGGACGCGCAACCCCAAGAACGTCATCTACAATCCGAACCTCAATGGTCATGGTACTTCCTCGGTCCTTCGGCGCAGGCACCCAGGCTGCGGACGCGTACAACTTCGCAGCAGGCAACGGTCGTACCATCACCCTCGGCGCGTACTAGAGCGTCAGGATCGATGGAAGGTTCCCCATGGTGCTGTCCATGGCCCATTGGGGTCATAGTACGGCCTTGCGGGGGTCATATGCCGAAGTTCAAGGTCGTCGCAGAAGGTGGTCGGATGCGAACTACCAATATGCTCCAGAGCACAGTGACCTGTTGGAGCGATGAAAAGTGGCGAAAGAGGCAGCTGGGGCGGGGTCCTTAAAACAGCGTATATGTGGGTCATAGGAAATGGCCCAATGCGAAAATTTGTTGATTGCAGCATCTTCTGCACCTGCCCCAGCCTACATTCCATCACGCCTGCGACAACGGCCCCTTATGTTTCAGCAATAAACAAGGCACTGGACCTGACCAACCAAGGTGTGACTCTGACCAAATTTGTCAAATAACTTGCTCTATACCAATCCAATTTGACATAATTAAACATGTCATAGACCACATACATAAACGAGCTCGATGCTCTTTCTGAACATTGTCTCTCCGACGCGACCGACTACGCCGCCGCGCAGGTGTCGCACGACGGCATGATGGACTATGTCAAGACCAATCCCAACTTCCTCGCGCCGATGGTTACCATGATACAGTATCCGAAGTTGGAGACGGCTCGTTCATCCCTTTTCATGAATGCGGGCGAAGATCTCGCCGTCCTTTTCGACCTCGCCGCGCGCAACTCCCCTCTCATCAGACCCACATTCGCTTTCGCCGGCGACAGCAGCTGTGGGAATCGCACCTGAGCCGTAGTGCGCACGCCACGCCAGAATACGCTTCCATCCCCTCTGTAGTAACTCTTGAACCAGAGCGCGCGGCAGCCGCTGAATCTGTACATCACAGGGCGCAAACACAAGTACCTCAGCGGGCACAGTGATGGTTGTCAACACTGCGTGGCACGACATGCCCTGGGAGGTCGTCATCGTCACAGGTTGTGCGCAGTATCAAGAAGACACCCGCGCGGGGCTCACCGCGTTGACCCACGCTGCGACGGATTACCCTCGCAGCCACGGCACAAGCAGGTATGTCAACGAGGCTAGAGCGAGTGAAAAGAAGTAGCAGGAAGCATTCTACGGTATAAATTATCCCTTCCATCTGAAAATCAAACAGAAATCTGACCCAGATAATGTCTTCATTGTCTGGAAATGAATCAGCTATGAAGGGTAAGAGGATCAGAGTGCCTGCCGCTGCTCTCAGAAGACATGAACCGAACCATGCAGGGGACTGCACGGTAGCGTAAATAATGAGCACCACGGGGTCATGGACACGCACGAGAGTACAAGTTGCATCACTCGAGTTCCTCTTCGCCGCCGTCACCAATGCTTGTAAAGCTGAGAGTTTCAACGCGCCCTCGACTCTTGGTTTCCGTCTCGAGAATCTCATTGATGTGCCGGAGTGCACCGGGATCGATCGTGGCGATGAGCTCCCACTCATCCGTCCAATCGTCATCCTCCACATGGTCCACCAGCGAGAGGACCTTTTCCTTGAGGCGCTTGCCATCCTTGTTGGGCATGCAAATGCGCACACGCATCTTTGCTCGCTCAATCGGGATGATCTTTTTCTCTTGTAAAAGACGGATAACTTCTACCGACTGAGATTTGGCGTTCTTTCCCGGCTTGACGCTATAGTGGATCTCTGACATGGCTTTTTCGATCATGCCGACGGTATACGGCCGCTTGCTGGATGGGTCGACGCACTTCTCTGCAATTTGTGTAGAAATGTCGCGCCACAATGATGATAGCTCATGCGAGCGCTCCTTCTCTCCCACTTGCAGCTCTCCCTTTTTGAGAATCTGGCAGCATATAGACATTTCAGTAGGATTAGATGCCGCTTCAACACTTCCATACAGCTTCTACCCACTTCCAACACAATGCCGTCGGTGTTTATCGTCCCGAACGCTTTCTGCAAATCTTCATTCGGCGCTACCTGCCCCTTTGAGACGTTGACGAAAACATTCTGGATCTGTACTACCTCATCCAGGTCTTTTTCACTGCAAGGGTGTCAAGAGAATCCAGGCATCGGTCCCCCTCCGGGGTACGAGCAATTTCGGACTCACACTCCAGTCCGCCATTCTCGTACTTTGTTTTTATAGCAGGCAATCTTGGTGGAAACAGGCAAAGGAAATGTGGTCCCGAAGGTGATTATCGCACCACTTTGATTCGTAATAAACGTGAGTCTCACCTCGAATCGCTTGCCTCCTTTCCGTAAACGAACGACAGAGACGTTAGTGAGCTTAATTTGGTTTGCGGCTGTGAGGATCGGAGGCGAAACGGTGTAACAACATATCAGTCTGCCGCTTTATGATTTTTGGAGTGCCAATAGGGAGAATCCCAGGTTTGATACATACGCTGGTTGATCCTGCAAACGCCAGACACAAGAAAGAGCTTGAGATAAGCAGCTGCAACGCGGAGACTCCGCTGCGCCCACCGACACTCACGGCATGTTGGACGACGGTCGCACTTTCTGATCGTGCAGTGGGTCCGATCCTTCCACCTGACCTCCAGATCACAATTATATAAGGCTGCGACAGAGATCAGTGCGTTCAGCCCTTGACGGTTCCGTCAGTCGTTAGCTCTCAAGGTAGAAACGCTATTGCAGGAGCTTTGGTTGTCCATCCCCAGAATTACTTTGAGCCTGAGCTTGTTAAGGATGACGTCCATGTCAGGCCGATTCAATCGAAGGGGAAAAATGGGAACGCGGAACTCGGAATTCGGGAGAAATTGGATTGAATTACAGTCACCGCTACTAATGCTTGTTCCAAGTTGCATGCCATAATCGAGTTTTGGCCCTTTGGGCCTTTACGACGTTCGACTCGCACAGGTTGCATTCAAAGGAAGGCACAACAAAACCTCAAGCGTGCGAAAGCTCTCCAAGGCGCTTTCTTGTACGGCCACACTTTGAGCAGTCTTGCCCAAGTAACAGACGAAAAATGCTTCGCTCCGGCTTCCAGCTTGCCGTACGATCACGACCACGGCCACCAACATTTTGGCAGTCCCCGGCTCGGGTTGGCTCAAACCAATCGTGCTTGAAATGCAGGACCTTTTATGTTTCGCTGTTACGAAATCAGCAGCAAGCTAATGGCCTGAAGTCGGGATATATGCAGGTGAGCCCAAGTACGAATGCAACGCATGTGTTCAAACTTCGTCGTACTTCTCACCCATATTTTTGTCTTTCCGAATAAAGCGCACCCCGATCACTCCTGAGGGAAACCTAAGTAACAGAGCAACGGTCAAACCAAGTGGCTCTCGCGGGTTCAAATCATCCTCAGCTTCAGAATCCGGCTCTTCTGACATTCAGCGAACTCCATCCGGCCCTAGCACAATCAATGTCCTCGATCATGAGTACCCCACCGACGACTACACGAACATTCCTTCCAGCATCCTCTCACGTCTATCAGAGGCGCCTGTGCTTCTTAAGACGCCCGCTCATCCTCTTAATCTACTTCAACAGCAAATCCAACGGCACCTTTCTTCCTTCACCTCCATCTGGCCTCCACCCTCACCCGTCGTCACTTCTGAGCTCAACTTTGGCGACCTTGGCTTCGACGAGGATCACCCCGGCCGAAGTCCAACCGACACGTACTATGTGAATCGGCAAGTGTGCTTGCGCACGCATACTTCTGCCCATGAGGTTGAGACATTCAAAAAGGGGCTCGATGCTTGGCTTCTCTGCGCGGACGTGTACCGGCGAGACGAGATTGATGCATCGCACTATCCCATATTCCACCAGATGGAGGGCGCCCGCGTGTTCGACCCAACGAAAGGCGATTATGACGAGGGTGGAATCGTCCTGCACGAGTGTGAGGAGATGGAGGCGAGATTGCGGGAAGCGGAGATCGAGATCGACGATCAAGTTGACTTGCAAGATGCTGGCGGCTGGCAGGAAAGCCACAACACGCAGCACGCGGCGCTAGCACTCCGCCATCTAAAGGCCACACTCAACGGCCTCGTGCTCGAGCTTTTCGGCCCAAGGCATGCCGTAGAGGCCGCAGCGGCCGCTGCAGCTGCTCAAGGTACAGGTAAAAAAGTGAACATTGAGCCGCTCAAGGTGCGTTGGGTGTCTGCCACGTTCCCCTTCACCTCCCCATCCTTTGAAATCGAGGTTCTCTTCCGGGGCAAGTGGCTAGAGATCCTGGGCTGTGGCGTCGTCAAGCAGCTCACGCTCGATAAAGCTGGCATACCCGGGAAGCTTGGCTGGGCGTTCGGACTGGGCATGGAGCGCATCGCGATGGTGCTCTACTCGATCCCGGACATTCGCCTCTTCTGGAGCAAGGATCCGCGCTTCTTGTCACAATTTGCACTCGGAGACACTAGGCTGCTGGAAGACAAAGCAGGCCCCATACAAACAGATAGCGTCCGCTCTGCCGGCGGCAACGACTCTTTCTCGGCGTCTTCTGCATCGCGCAGCAAATCAGCCGAGCTTGTCACCTTCCGGCCGTATTCCAAGTACCCGCCATGCTACAAGGATACTTCTTTCTGGCTCCCTCAAGACACGTCACCTGAAAATGTCAGGAGCAGTCGCGCTTTCCATGAAAATGATCTGATGGAAATCGTGCGCGATACCGCCGGCGACCTGGCTGAGGCGGTCGAATTGATTGATGACTTTACGCACCCCAAAACTGGCAAGCGCAGTCTCTGCTACCGCGTCAATTACCGCAGCATGGACCGGAATCTGGAGAATGAAGAGGTCAATGAACTGCATCGCCGAGCTGTCAAGCGTTTAGTGGATGAGATTGGCGTGACGCTGAGGTGATGAGCCGATGCCGATCCGCTCGAATGAAAGAAAGGCAGCCTCTCTGTATTCTATTTCCACTCTGTCTTTTGATGATTCACATTACTTTGACATCCCGTGTGCCCTCCTCACCGGTCTTGATTCCATGGTGGTGTTTGCTCCTTGAATTCAACCTCGATCTCCGATTTGAGATCAACACTAGGTGATTCTCACTGCCTACTGGCCGTAGAGAGATCAAGTGTGCGGAACCGAGAGACGCGCTTGTTGGCCGGCTGTAACGGCTGCAACATCTGTCGAAGCGTGACGCGTGCGTGTGTGTCTATAGGGTGGGGGGGATCGATTACCCGATGACTCCATCGAGTCATCGAGGCTGCGACGTTGTGTCAGTCATTGCGTCGCCACGCACCTCGTTTCCAACAGCCCTTTTCTGAACCGAGTTTAGTCGCCAGCAAGGAGATCGTATCATGCTATTTTGCGTCTGTTGAAACGCCTTCTGCACTCAAAAGCATCCGTGTCAAGCATTCGGTGCTGCTTCATTACGGTGGCGAAGCCGTACCATCTACCTGTTTGAGCAAGGACAAACGATGAGCACCAACGCTACAACATCGTCTTCGCGCAAAATTCCCAGCACTCCAGCTCACACAGGCTCAGCAAGTACAGCTTCCATGGCGACCAAGAAGGACATGAAAGGAAACGGTGCTGCGCCAGCAACGACGGTCGACGCGTTGACTGCCGAGTTTCACAAGCAAGATATCAATGCAAACAACTTTGACCGCACTCCTGCGCAAGACGACGTCCGAACTCTCAAGGAACGGGTGCTGGCACCTGAGAGCGGCGGAAAGGGCTTATTGCCCACGCTCAATGCGTGGTTGCATGATCAAGTCTGGTCCGAAGGCGGCGAGCTCACGTTGCATCTCGGTGGCGGCAAAGATAATGATGGGCGCTTCAGTGATGAAAAAGAGCTCGAGCGCGCCATTGAGAACGTCATCGATGCGGCGCAGGCAGTAGGGTGTACGGCCAGCGTGCTTCGAAGAGGTGTATTACCCAAACCAGCCGAGGAAAACAACGATCCGCACCCTCCTAGCTCCGAGCACCAGCAGGAAGACGACAGGGCCGCTGGGACGGGTGAAGTATTCTACTCGGCGCACCTGATGGTTCGGCGCATCCCAGCATCAGCACAGGAGCTGCTGGAGATTCGCATTGCTGTTGTTGGTAATGTGGATGCGGGCAAGTCGACCATGCTCGGTGTTCTCACCAAAGGTACCCTCGACGACGGCAGAGGCAAAGCGCGCGTCAACCTCTTCCGACACAAGCACGAGATCGAGAGCGGGCGAACTAGTAGCGTCGGCATGGAGATTATGGGGTATGATGCGGCCGGCAAGCCAGTGGTCAGTCAGAACGCCAAGGAGGGCAAGGAGGATTCAGGACGCAAGTTGACGTGGGAGGAGATTTGTGAAAAGGCCGCCAAGGTCATTTCGTTCATCGTGAGTGCATGTCAACAACGCAAGCGGTGTTTCCTTCCTTTGGGGGCTGAGATTCTGGCATGTCACACAGGACCTCGCTGGCCATGAGAACTACCTCAAGACAACATTATTCGGTATGACCGGCTGCCTGCCTGATTTCGTCGTGCTCATGGTCGGTGCAAATGCTGGATTAATCGGAATGTCGAAGGAACATCTGGGAATCGCGCTTGCGCTGGCCGTACCCGTAGTCGTCTGCATAACCAAGGTCGACATGACACCTGTACACATTCTCGAAGCTACGATTAAGCAGCTCACGAAGATTCTACGCTCGCCCGGTTGTCGCAAGACACCCATCTTCATCCACACGATGAACCAGGTTGTCGACACTGCATTACGCTTGAACAGTGATCGTATCTGCCCAGTCTTTCAGATCTCCAACGTCACAGGGATGAACATGGATCTGCTGCGCGCTTTTCTCAACATTCTGCCCCAAGCGCCGAGTGCAAAGTTCAAGCCAGACAAGCCATTCGAGTACCAGATCAGCGATACATTCAGCGTGCCCTTTGTAGGCACGGTCGTATCTGGCGTGATCCTGAGCGGGCGTGTCAAGGTGGGCGACTCCCTGCTCATCGGCCCAGACAGCCTGGGTCAATTTATGCAGACGGCCGTGCGCTCGATTCAGCGGAAGCGCGTCAACGTTGAAGGCGGTAGCGCCGGGCAGAGCGTGTCGTTTGCGCTAAAGCGCATCCGCCGCAACCAAGTGCGCAAGGGCATGGTCATGCTCAGCCGAAACCCCGAGGGCGGGGCACAGCCAAAGGCATTCATGGAGTTCGACGCAGAGATCCTGTGCCTGTACCACTCCACCACGCTCAGCATTGGCTCCTGCATGGTGTTGCACGCCGCCAGCATTCGGCAGACGGTCAAGATCGTCGGCATCCTCCATTTGACGGACCAAGGCCTCAGTGGCGAGGGTGAGCAGGAAGTTGATACGAAATCGACCGCCAACGTCGTGCGAACTGGAGACCGCGCACGATTACGCCTGCGCTTCATCCGCTTCGGAGAGTACGTCAAGCCGGGTCTGAAGCTGATCACGCGCGAGGGAAAGACCAAGCTGATTGGCGTCGTGCGCAGCGTGGGCACTGTTGAGCCGCTGTCTTACTTTGCCAAACATCCGGACGCACAGGGCACGTCTGGCACAGCGAGCACCAGCACAGCTTTGAATGCTGCTACCGGTGGTGCAGGCGCAGGAGGCAGCAGTGCCAATTCTAGCAATGGGGGTACCGCGCCTGCAACAGGGACGACAGGTCAGGCAGTATCTTCAGCACGAACAGCTGTGGTAGGCGCCTGATTTGTTTTTTTGGAAATCTTCTGACTGATCGACCCGTCAGGACCCTTGTTGTATGCCCCATCCTCCCTATCGGTCATTCGTCCACAACGCATACACCAGATGCCTTGACTAAGGGCTGCTGTACATGTTGTACAATACTGTACGTTCACACTGCATGTATTGTTTTGTTGCGCCTGTACATGCATGTGCATACATACATACAGGATTGCCTAGGCAAGCGCGACCTGAGAGGACCCTGTCATCGCAGGCCGCGGCGTAGCGGCGTTGTCAGCGATGGTCATTGAGGCTGACGAGACCATGCATCGGACGAGGAAAAACATGCACCGCGCCACTCTTGATCTCGCTCAGCTTTGACATCTTGCCGAGATACATGAGCTCGGATGCTTGCATCACGAGCGGGTCCATGCTCATGCTTTTACAGGATGAAAAGCGGTTGATAAGCGTCAGGCAGACCCTTTACCGACTTGGCTTTTCCACCGGCAGCCACCAAAAAAATCTCGCTACTCACCTAGCGACAGCAGTGCCCGTGTCACCAAGAGCGTAGAACGCGGAAAACTTGAGCTAGGCGGGGTGGACCGCGTCGAACTTGCCGCTGTTTCCTTTGCCGACGTACCGCAGTTGCCTGCCGAGCGCGCTCCAGACGACAGGCAGCTTGTCGAACGCGTCGCTGTCTTTGCGTGCTGTGGAGCCAGGAGCGAGCACTTTCCCGACGTGCCGGCCCTGGTTAGCGAGACGCTCCAGTGCTCGATCCGGATCGTGCCCTTACCGTCGCGCGTGGGCGTCGTGACGATGTTGCCGATCGCAAATACGCCTGCATCGCGCGGCAGACTTTTGATGCGGAACATCTGGTCAACGGCAACCGAAACTTCCTTCTGCAGCAGGTCGGTGAACCCTTGTAACTGCCTCAGATACTTGGTCGCAGGTGCACGCCTACACCGAGAACGACGTTGGCGGGCAAGGAGACCTGCTTGCCGCACTCGACCTCGGCCGACGTGTGCAGGTCCACGTGGAGCACGTTCTTCAGACACGCCGGGTTTCTCTACGTGAGGGCGCCAACATCAGTCATGAAACCCTTCGGCAGCTTGATCCGGTCGATCGGCGCGTGCGGCTCATTTGTGAGGACCATAATGGGCATCGCATAGCCTTCCTTACGCGCCGATTCGATCAAGTGGATTGCACCCGCACAGCCTCTAAAAATGACGAGCCCGTTGCCAACTGACTTGACTTGCTGCGCTGTTCAACTTGGAGCAGCGCCGGGCTTGCTGTTGAGGTTATCAGCGTCGGTGGTGACGTAGACGTCGGCGGCGTCGTCCTTGAAGGACAGGAGAACGTCAAGGCCGGGGGCATCATCAATGTCACCTCTCTATAAATTGATGCAGGTGCCTGGAAGGTGAGGAAGCAAACGTCAGCATGAAACAGTGCGTTCTGGTGCGCCTGCAGGGATGCTCACCGTGTCATGGGCAGATGATGCGGCCTGTGGCGGTAAGCACCCCCATTTCGAGCGGAGCGTCGTGATGTGGTACATAGCAAAGGGTGCATGCATACATATATGCATCGATCAACTAGAGCCTGCACGACTGCATCAAAATATCCAAACTCACTGCACTTGGAAGACACGGAAACGAGCTTGCCATAGAGGTTGGAGAGCAGGATCTGCGTGGCATTGTCACCCTGTCCAAAGAAGGCGGAGGCCTTCTAGTCGTTTTTGAGGATGCCCGAGACTCTTGCGATGCGCATACACGCTGTTCGTCCATATAGATGACGGTGAAGGTGAATTGTCTTGCAATGCTGCACGGTCCGAGGCGGCGGCGTACGGGAAAAAGCAGGCGGAGCCAAAGAGCTTGGAATGCAGGGAGTTGTGCATCTGCTCGCCACCAAGGACCGAGAGGCGGGTCGCACTGTTGCTATGGGAGGTATTGCAAGCGTGGATTGTCAGCGCAAGAAGCGAGCAAGCGAGAGTGTCACTTCTGCGTTGACCACCTACAGACTTGCACGGGCGATCGGAGCGAGCGACAGCAAGACAATTTCAGTGGGAGCGGTATGATGTACGCAACGCTTGTTTGGTCAGCGATGAGGCGTTCACTCCAACCTACTCTCCCAGCACCGTAACACATCGATATGGAGCAGAACACAAATACATGGGCTCATGCGGCGCAGAGAGCTGAGCCTCAAGCGTGGCGGGATACTACATACACGTCGCTGCTGGCGGCGATGATATCCATCCAGGCACCGCCACCATGTTCACCAGTTGGCATTCGTCACGTGTCGGTAGTGTGCGATGGCAAATCCAAAATCGATCCAACTCCACCTCCGCTTTTCTCCACGTACCATATCCATCCATACACGCAAGTGTGTATGGCTCGTGCGCAGTCACCTCACAGTACGCTGGGGGGCCCCCACCGCGCACTTTTTGATTGCTAATTGAAGTATCGCATGACATGTATCCTCTCTTGTGCGGTACCTACACACAAGACTCAATCAGCACCCAAAGGTGAGGGGCGAATGCTGACACGCGGGCTGTGGGCCAGGTTCCTTGTCCTGGTGCTGGTGTCAAAGTCTCCAGTGCAGCCCTTATCCTAGCTCGAGAACGGGTCAACAGCCTCTGCACAGTGGCTGTGAATTGAATTTCGCGGCGGTCGAAAGGTTACAATACATGCATGATCCGACCCGTTCAGCTTTGCCCACTCTCATCCACCCAGCACATAGTGCATCAAGGCTTGCAACCCCTGCGACGCGGAGGAGCGAATCCCTTGCAGAAGAGTTCAGCGTCCGTTCCTGACGTCGCCCTTGGCGTCGTCTGTTGTCGTTATCGTTAGGGAGGCAGTCATAGTTGATGCGAAAAACAGGGCAGCGCTCACTGCCCAGCGTTGGTCTTAATCTTACCGATCAAGTCCGCCGTCGCATGCGGGTATTCCCACAGCATGACGCTGCCACTGTAGTTCTGCGCCTTGGCTTGCTTGATGCACTCTCCGAGAGTACTGGCGTCCATATATCCGCTGCCCTGGTTGTCCGCATCCTCCCTGATCGCCGGTTTGCCGATTACGAGCCGCTCGAGCGGCACGCCGGCGAGGCTGTTAATCTGGAACAGCGAGCTGTCCGGGCACCAGCCACCAGAGTTGAAGAGCAGGCCGTTGCAGTCATCATACAGGCCTTGGTTGTAGAATTGCACATTGTACCAGTCGACAGTGTCGCCAACCTCGTTGTCGAACGCGCTGTACCCGCCGTCGGCATAGTTCGTCCACGAGAACCACGGCGCGATGGGCGCGTGCGTGATAATGTACTGCGGTCGCGGAAGCTGCTGGCGTAGATGGCGCTGCAGCGCAATCAGCCAAGGCAGCGCTTTGCCGTGGTCGAACAGATCTTCCTCTTCATAGTCGATATCGACGCCATCGAGGTTGTTGTCGATGACAAACTTGGCAATCGATGTCGCCACATCCACTGCGTTTCTACCGCTGCTCTGCGGCTTGTCCGACGCACCAAACGCACTGACCATCAGCTTGACCCCAGCGTCGTTGTACGCTTGCTTATACTTTTTCTGCACCGACTTGGACGCCTGGTGCCACTTGTACGCATTGTCCTGCGGGCCTCCATTGACCGTCCAAAAGGCAATGTTGTAGTGCGTGTATCCGGCAATGTCGCTGTATGGGTCGTCGGGAACACCAGTCGATCCTCCATTGTCGCTATCACCATAGGTCTGATCAGGCAACAAGGGACCGTCAAGCTGGAACGTGTCTCTTCATCATAGGGTTGGTACAAATTTTGCACTCACTACAAATACCGGCGACGAAACATTCACGCTGTATATTCCTGCTTGCTGCGCATTGGCGGCGCCGGCATTGGCACCGTGGAACAGCGAACTCCAGGCAGAAGCTGTGGACTCGATCAGCGTCTCTACCACGCCAAAGATTGGATTAGTCACCGTCTCGAGTTCCTGCAAACGGCTGTGTGAAAAGATCAGGTGCGACTGCACTTCGAGCGCTGGCAACGCGAGCGCCAGCCCTGGTGCCAACGAAGCGACCGCTAGCAGAGAAGGGAGGAGAGGGAGGCTGCGACCGTGCATGGCGGAGAGATGTGATATGCGGTTGCTCTCCCTTCGTTTGGTTGCTGTTATTGGTGAAACTCACTTGTATGTGCCCTTCCTCACTCTGAACACGGACGTGGGAGAAACAAACCGTGGGGTGGGGAGAAAGGGGACGGGTACGAGAGAGACCAGAAGAAAGGTGGATCAACGCGACAGTGTCTCCGGCAAGTGAACTTATAAAGCACCGCAGCTACATGTGGGTGGTCGAGTCGAAAAGGGAAGAGGTCAGGAATGATTGGTCTAAAAGCAGGGCTCGATTAAGCGCTCATCAACGAGGTTATTCCAAAAAGGCTCATCAACCTTTTGACACTGTGAAGTGCATGGGAAGAGGCAAAGTGAGCGAGAGTGGGCAGTGTTACTGTGACATGCTGCGTTGAGATTGTAATGGCGTCAGGACATCTGGAGAAGGCGAACGTTCTGCGACGTATCCAGGCTCTGCCTGGCTCACCGCTGAATGCAGCAAACTGCACTGCTGCCAAACAGCAACTGCCCATCCGAGCTTATTTACAACAGGCTAACAGCAGCTGGTTTGCTGATGCACTGGATGACTGGAGCGATGGAGAGGCTGTCAGAGGCGATACTGCGGTGCTTGAGAGGAGCTGTGTCGACTTTCGAGTGCTGAGGAGGCGTTGCAGGAGTTCCAGGTCTCACCAATCCTTTACCCCTCGATTGCTCTTAGCCTCTTTCAAGTCGATGGGAAACATGCGACCTGGATGAGCGGCAAAATCACACTACCCCAAAGAATCGCTGTTGTCGACAAAAAAACATGTCATTGAAAGCTGGATATAAAGTGGATGAAACTAGGAACATGCGATGCAAATAGGCATGCGAAATATGAGAAGTTGTTGAACTTTTACGGGTTGGGTAAATGTATCTGTCAGTCCAAAACTTTCAATGACAATCCTCCGACCTGTGCACGTGGCGCCAGGACGCTCGGCGCCCAGCCCCTGCTCTACGTAAGCCGAACATGGGTTGTGCTAAAATCGTGATTTTAATATAGTCCACGCTAGTGTCCCTGCAAGCTCTCTCCCGTCCCCACAATCTGATCTCCGCATCAGCGCGAATGGGTGCGCACCTTAATTAGGGGGATTGCGCCGTGCCCTGACACCCTTTCTACTGCTCCTTTAATCCCTCCTGTAGGAAAGAAATGAAAGAATGTGTAGTGGCCATACATGAGTGACAAGTACCCAATCTCATAGCGTCTCGCTCTTCAAACCAAGCCCCCTCGCCACACGCTATCTTTCTTCAGACTTCTCTTCGTCGCATCGCGTGTGTTCGGACCGCTACTCAATGCCGCAGCCGGAAGCGCCTCGCGGCCCATCATGGAATGCAGCGAAGGGACCGTTCTTCCAACAAGGTTCACAACTCAGGAGAGCCAATAATATGAAAGAGGAAAGCACTCGTTCAAGGCTAAAGGATGGCACAGGTACCCACTTGTTCAAGGGTTTGTACGCGGAAGGATACCCGTCCAAGCACAACAGCGGCAGGCTCGCCTCGACTCAGGCTGCAGAAAGCCAAGCTTCAACCTTTAGGCAGGGTGGCCTTTTTACCAGCGCCGCGCTGAATGTACAAAGATGCAACAAGCACTCGAATTGGTATTGAAATGAAGTGGTGAAATCTGGACGCTGGAGGTCTGGTCCTCTATCGGGCAGTCCGTGCCTGACTGACACATAATGGCGGATCCAATCACAGCGATGAGAATATGAATGGACCCTGGTCATCTACATCAAACTGCCAGATTACCTCGATGTATGTACGTACTGGGACATTACGTAATGGTATCAACTCCTTTCTTGGCTCCTCATCGGCAGCCGTCAGTGGGGTTCTGAGTTGCTCGTCTGCTTTGCTATTCAAAACAGGATGTTCATCATGCGTCCATGATATGATGCGTTGCGCGTCGCGCATCCGCTGCTGTCACTAGAACCGGCGGGAGCTTCGATCGCGCAGAAAGCCGGCAGGCCGACAGAGAAAAGAGGCTGAACCCCTCCAAGCAGCTGACAGGTTGGCTGGAAACAACCCGGCGCCGTGTCGCCCGCTGCCGGCCACCGGCATCACTGTACGCATACATGTCGCGTCTTCCTCAGGTACCGAGGGTGCCGGCCACACTCCGAGCGGACATCCTTCTGCAGCTGTGCGTATGCGATGCCCAGGTGCACGCCGCCATCTGCATGTAGAGCACGCAGCGTTTGGCCTCATCTCTGACTTCAACCTTCTGCATTTCCTCGCTGCACGCCTTTGTTCAACTGGGCGTTCCACGTGCACGGGGAACTTTTACCAACAACCAATGGAACTGAACACCTGGCCATTCATTAGAGCACAGCTGAGAGAACCGAAGAACATCACGCCGGGAGTGTACATCATACCGGATGAAGCGAATTTGCTGAGTGCGTGGTCGCAACTGGGAACCTTTGGCGTACCATGGTGGGGTGCTCTGACGAAAGGCTTTTTTCTTTATCCCTTGGCAACAACATCAGCATGGCACGGCGTCATTTTTGTTCGCCGAGGCCCGTACGCCGGCGGCATCTTTCGCTTCGACATTCACTTCCTCCCATCGTTTCTTTCTGGGACTGCTGTACCGGACGTCATCTTCCCTCCTACCCTTCTGCACCCGCTCGTTGACGTAAGTAACGAACCAAAACCGGGGGCGACCGATGCCCTATCCCTTCAAATGGTGCGGTTGAGTACATTTTTGCATCACATTCCTGTTTTCTGGCTTCGTAGGCAACAACATTTCGTCTCTCGCTATTACCTCGCTTCTCATCAGCGTCAAACGCGACCGCAGAAGCATGGAATGCTTGTAGGAACAGCTCCGTTAATCTCTTGCGCTACATCCGCGACGCTTTTACTGTAAAAGTGCTCAACGAAGTTTCGGAGAGACAGGCTGCAAATAAGGATGTGTACGCGTAAGTCCCATTCCTCATCGCGCCTACCACAGCCCGCTTCCAGCTGATGGAGAATGCTGAACGCACACTTGTTCCGAAATTTTGTCCGATGCTCGTGCCATAGCATGTACCGCACAAACCACGAGCTGTTCCTGAAGCTGGCTTCGCAGTCAAAGCATCTGTCGACTTCCAGCGATGCTCTGTACGACTCGAATTCCGGTTCGGGGTTACCGGGTCCTGGGCGGCAGGGCGCCGCTGCTCGGAGCGAGCCAGATGCAGCTGTAACCGCAGAAGGTGTTCGCGCAGGCGGAAGTAATGACCCTGACGATGGCCGCGGGCCGGGTATCTCTTTCAAGGCGCTAGGCGAAGAGGAGTACGAACGTATTAAGACTGCTGTTTTGGGTGTTTCATGATTGTATCAGAGACCCTGCGTCATTCACCATCGCACAATTCCCTGTTCACGTCCAAGGCATCATGCCATGTTTAATTCTATCTCTGGAGTGTGCATCTGCATCTGCGCCATAGCCTTTATTGATCCGGATCCAGGTATGCACCCATTACTCGCACTTCACCTTTGACGAGCAACCTTCCTGAACAAAGTCCACACACCTCACGCCCTATCTCGCCGAAAAGGACGGTAACAGTAAATGGCACGGCCCTAGGTTGCACTTACATCGCAAGGCTGTCTTTGAAATAGGATCGGAAATCGAATGATGCTGGATGCGGCAATCCAGTGCACAAGCCTAAATACAACGGTTAAATACAACACGTGCGCCAGAAATGGAAGGATGCTGCTTTGAGGGTAGCGCTTGCTTAGTGAACCGCGAGCATCAAAGATGGTGGTCTATAGCGAAATTCGGAGGGGGCGCAAGAGCCACTCAAAGTAAGTTGACAAGTGTGGTGACCACACTTTTTGCGGCTGCTCGTCGATGCTGATGGTCAAATCTTACTTGCAGTGTTTGCAACCAAACAAGTTCAGGATGTCAAGACCGAATTTTGAAATCTGTGCGCAGACAGCATCGGCTGTACGGTCATAGGGAAGAAGCCCACAAACAGCTTGAGCGTCCTGTTAAGTGTCAAAATAAAGTTGCCCGCCGTCACTCTCGCACTGTGGGGTCGCCGCGCGGTAGACAGCTTGTTCTCAATGTAGCGAACGGCAATGTTGTGGTGGGATGTCGGCACGGGGTGATGGAACAGAATGCTGATGGTAGGGCTGTACAAGTAAACCCATGCAATGGGGGTGAGCAAAACATATGTGATGGAGAAGATTGAGTCAGCACGTTGACGAGCACGAATTGAATACACTGTATGGACGCACCTGACGTCAACAAAGTTGCAGTCGGCATTGACCTTGACGAGCCCAAATCCAGCAAGAGTCGCGCAGACTTGCTGTCTGTTACAGCCGCTGAGAATACACGGCTGGCCGCTAGCACCTACCACTCGCGTCACTAGAGCCGCCAAAGCTACCGGATGAGCCAGAGCCATCGTTCCCGCCTCAGCCTCCAGAGGCTCTAGAATCGCCAGAGCCAGAGCCGCAGGAGCAATCGCAGCTGCAAGTGCCGGCTCTGCGACTTGTGTGATGGAACACATTAGAGCCGACAAATGACCCAGTGGAGAGGAGAGCGAGGACCACTGTGATGGAGGTGGAAAGGATCATTGTTGATACATTAGCTGAAGAGCTGTGTGTTCAATCAGTGTTAACTCTTCGAGGTGCGACCGTGAAGAGGAGCTTGGTGAGCGGAGGAAAATCTTGTGAGGGTAGAGGAATGTGGATGGGGTACAGAAGGCATAGCGAAATCCAAGACCTTTCAATGCATGTCAGAAGGCGAGCAACGACGAGATCTCCGCTTGGGAAGAAAGAAGCGAGATGAAAGGAGTGATCCTTCCACGATGTGGCTTGAACAGGTCACCAACGCTGTTGGAAGAGATCCAAGCACAACCAGTGAAAGGCCGTCGTATCACCGGTTCGGATTCGACTGCCACTGCCTTGCCATACTCGCCACCTTTCAAGCAGAATCGCTGCAGGCGCCTTCAAAGATGTTTGGTTCGGTCAGTCAAATTTATGAAGAGTCGCTGGGATGCGCATGATCAGCATGGGCTTGCGGAGGAACTTGTAGCTTGAAGGCTGTTACTTGGTCCCAGCATTTGCAATTTGGCATTGGACGGTGGCGCCAAGCAATGACTTTATTTCGTCTTCTCAAGCAGTCCCTGAATTCCTCTTTCATACCGAGCCCAACGCATTAGGCATGCTCCTGCGCTGAATTTGACAATCTTTCCCAAGGGTGCCCACACATGCAGGTAGTCCATGCTTACACATGCCCTCGTACTGTGGCGTGAATGAGAGGGTGATGGGTTTTGGTGTCATTGCTTCGCTAGGTCGCCGTCGTCTTCTATCGTGTATGTACTCGGGGTGGTATCGTCAAAGCAACACTACCAATAGCCAGTACAAGGAAAGGCCGCTCTGAGTCGGTTGCCTTCAGTTGGTGGGACGAGGACAGCGAGTCTGCATGCAGCTCAGGGAGAGGCTTGCGCGCTGCTCTTGCTTCATATGAGATATTTTCCATGGCGCTCTGCGCTGCGTGCAAAGTGGGCAAGGCCGCACGCAAGACAGCCTTTCACCACGGTAGCCGCAGCAGCATGTAGGGCGGCAAGAGATCAAGACATGGTCTGCGAGAGCAGAGCAAGATTGAGGATTGCGAGTTCGGCAACGACAGATGATGTTGCAATCTCTTTCGGAAGAAGTTTCGGCTGAATTTCACCGTCGACTTGTTGGCTGGTGGGCATCAGCCATCGTGATGTGTGACTTTCGTGACCGTGGGGGGAATGATGTACATCCGCTGGGTACATAGTCACTCGTTCAGCGGTTTGCTCATACAACATCAAATGAAGCCCATCGCTCATATGAAATCCTGCTCGAACGATGGATCACTCTGAATGGAGAGTCATCAACAACCTGCGCGGCCGATTGCAAGCAGAATCGCGGATGAACGTGTGAGCTTCGGGAAAGGTTTCGCAACATAGATTTACCGAGTCAACCCGGAGACCGGGAAACAACGGGGTATTAGAAGGAAGTATGTCTCTCGGTAGCGCTATCGATCGAAAATGAGGTGGCACAAAAGGTAATGATTGAACACGTTGGGTGAAGACGAAAAGGGGCCGCTAAAGAAGATCAGCCAGGGTTTCGATGATTTTGACTCCAGCTGGAAGGAGCGTCTTGCCGATCTTGATCTTCGGGTTGAATTTGAGATCGACGCAGCCAAGAAGGTTGAGGTTCAAGAGGCCGGCTCGCGAGAATTCTTGGCAAACAGCAGAGGCTGAAGCCAGAGAGCGAAGTGTTTTCATCAGTCTGATATTCGAGCAACGACTGGGTCTCGGTGGCAGGACTCACGCGACTTCTCGCAGTGCTTGTTCCCGCGAGCAGCGAGCTTGTTCTCGACATAGCGTGCAGCGAGGCTACTTTGCTCCGCATCGTCGACATTGCGCTTGAGGATATCCGCTTTGGGAGAGATGTCAATCTTGTTGCAGTTGAGCGCGCTGAGATTAACGAGACCGGCGCTTGCAAGTGCCGTGCATGCCTGCTTTTTGCTGCAGCCGCGTTTCACGCACATTCCGTGGCGACCGCGAACATCGAAGTCCCGGGGGATAAGGGAAGGGAGCGAGCCAGCGATTCCTTCAAGAGAAGGCAGAAGCTCTTGCGCGATGTTGATGGTTGGGTCAAATTTGAGGTCGATGCAGCCAAGAAGATTGAGATTGATGAGCCCAGCCTTGGAAAGGAGTTCGCACGAAGTGTCGGGGTTTGACTCGCACTGACCACTGCGCTTCAAGATGTTCAATGTGGGAGAGATGTCGATCTTGTCGCAGTTGAGCGCACTGAGATTGATGAGACCAGCCTTGGAAAGGGATGAGCATGCTTCCTTCTTGTTGCCGTTGCGCGGAACACATACACCCTCGTCCAGCTTGATGGAAGGGCCATCGGCTGATTGCGTCGTGAGGTCACTGACTGTTTCGAGAACCTTGGCGACTGTGCCTTTGGCAGTGGGAAAAAGCTGCTCGCCAATGCCAATGACAGGGTCAAATTTGAGATCGACGCATCCGAGGAGCTCAAGGTTCACAAGGCCGGCCTTAGAGAGAACTTCGCAAGATGTGTCCGCGTTCATCTCACATTGAGCGGCGCGCTTGAGGACAGTTAGCTGAGGCGAAATGTCAACATTGGCGCAACTGAGCAAGTCAAGGTTGACGAGACCGGCCTGGGAGAGCGATGAGCACGCCTCCTTTTTGGTGCTAGCTGGGGGCACGCAGATTTGGTCGGCCCCGCCTGACTCGCCACCAGAGCCGCCCAGAGTGGCGACCACATTCTCGATGCCAGGAAGCAGCTGCTGACCAATGTTGATCGTCGGATCGAATTTGAGGTCAAGGCAGCCGAGCAGGCTGAGGTTGACGAGGCCGGCCTTTGAGAGGACCTGGCAAGTCGCGTCGGCTAGCAGAGGGAGTGTATTGTGCAGGAATCAGTTTTCATTAGGCCAGCCAAGCGCCTCGGAGTCAGATGGCTCACAAGACTCCTTGCATTGATGGGTTCGGCGCTCAGCGGCCAGGTCATCTCGCTTGAGGATGTTCACTGTCGGACTGTGTTCAAAAGTGGGAAGCGTGGCAAGATCATTAGCATAATCAAGAGTCAGTAAAACATTGCCGCATCGCAGCAAACACTCACGAAATGTCGACTTGCGCACAGTTGAGCAAGCCGAGGTTAATAAGGCCTGCCTCTGCGAGTGCCGAGCAAGCTTCCGTTTTGGTGGCAGGAGAAGGGATGCAGTAGCGGTGGCCGCCATGGCCGCCGTGACGGCCACCATCACCGCCACCGCCACCGTGATGACCACCGTGACCGCCGCCGTGACGGCCACCATCACCGCCACCGCCACCGTGATGACCACCGTGACCGCCGCTGTGACGGCCATGGCCGCCTTTGCCACCGTGTTTGATGTCATGGTTACCAGGATGACCAGGGCAACTGCAGCTGCAAGTGTCTTGAATGAGACCGCTGACGACAGATACCGTGGTGAGCAGAGCCAGCATGGCGCTGAGAGAAATGGAGAGCTTCATGTTCGGTTGGTGATGGCGTGGGTGATGGTCTCGCTGGTGTGGTCCTGCTGTTTGAGATAAGTGCTAGTGAAGGTGTGGGCGGTGATCGGGGACCAATATCTTGAGAAGAGAGTGTGAGGAGCTGAGGTTAACCTTGAGGGTACCGAGGGAGCTGTCGAAGAGAGGCGAGGAGCTGGAGAGGAAGAAGTTTAGTTGAGCGATGATAAGAGAAGGCCTAAAGTGCTGTGGCGACGAGCAAGCCGCTCTGTTCTTATACGGTGTCACTCGGTCCAGAATGTTCCTAACAAACGCATACCTCTACATGGCTAGGATCAAAGATAGAAGACGTTCCTGTCCTTAGAGGGCAAGCGCATAGCAGAACGTCTCTTCAAACCTCCCGACGTCGGCCAGAGGGTACGCTCAGTAGCGTTCACGATAGCACCTCGCGTGAGATACAAGGGAAAAGATGCAAGAAGAAAGCTCTCCCGCATGGATCTCAATCGGCGCCAATGGCTTTCGCTGCAAGGGAGATCCGCCACTTGACCGTCTCTTACAAGAAAGGAGGACCGCTTTGGGATTAATAGTCAGTGACGAGACACCAGCTGGAAACCTGGAACCACTGGCGAGGCAGCCGTACTTGAGATTCTTCAAAGTGCAGAGACGTCATTCATCTGAACGGACCTGATTGAGAATCTGAACTTGAAGGGAGTTAGAAATTCGTTTGTCTTTGGAGAGGGCCGGCGAACATCTCGATGCGGCAGTGAAGCATGTCCTCGGCGAGATTGCCTAAAGAAGGTGTTAAGAAGCGGCAAGATCTGGGATCTCAGAGAAGAAGGGACTTCTACCGTGTGCGGTCGGTACCCACGCTCTCGAGGTAGCGTGCGCTGGTGTCAGCCAGTGTGAACGAGTATATCGTTTGCGAGCGCGGCTTGGTCAGATGAAATCCAAGTGGGCTTAATTTCTTCGCCAAAATAGCGGACCTTGAATCCAGCGTCGACCGATGAGCAAACAAATCAAGCCAGCCATGTGCCGAAGTGTTAGTCTTGGCATCTGACTGTGGACGATCTCGCTTCCGGTCCCTGTCCTGTTGCGCATGTGCTGGCGAGTTCTAATAGCGATCATCCCGCCCTGCTGGTGTAGTAAGATGCAGTGAGTGCATCTTAGAGCCCGCGCCACGTCAAAAGAGGAGGCAGAATTTTCTGTTTGTGGAAGATGTCTTCTTTGGTGGATGCCAATGAGGAATTAACGACCAGGTGGTTCCTTTGATTTCCAGTAGGGATACTTCGGCAAAAGGTGGGATCTGTGCCGGCTGCTCTCGGCCGTACATCAGCGCGTGGGGGTACAAGCTGTAAAGCCACAACATAAGTGAGAGAAGCGGCGCGCATCCCCTTGCAGAGACAACCGATCGCAGAACTCAGAAGCGCAATCGTCTGGCTTCTTTGCAAAGTAGACAGTGCAGGGCCTCTCACTGAGGAGTTCCAAGTACTCCGGCCCCGAGCCCCGACGTCAAACGGTCAATCGATGTTCAAGCGTACGCGGGTTCCAGCTTCAAGCTCAGTGCGAACGAACGAACGATCGATCGATCAAACGGAGAGGAGGCAATGAGTTCCAACTTCTAACGACCAGCTCTTTCTTCCAAGCCCTCTCAGCTCTCTACCAACCTCTCCCCCGCACCCATACCTTCCGATCCACTCTTTGTGGTGAGGCCTTGAACGCGCTGCTGCAGCACTGCCTCCCGATCCTCCTTGCATCCTTTTCTCAAGTTTAGCCCACGCATGGCACACACGGGCCACACCTGCGGATCTCTTTGCATCGCTCATGCATCATGAAATATCAAGGCTCATGCCTAAACTGACGAAGATACTCATGCTCCATCCGAAGCATCCAATCCAGCAGGGGGTCCACAGGAAGTGAACACATATGATCTCCCTCGTGAATTTGTGGCCAATGAAGGGGTAGCACCTATGAGTCGCGAAAGTTGTTCTGTCGCATTGTCCTTTTTTACAATCAAGCCAAGCTCGATCAGATGGTGCCACCCAGCACAAGCTACAATGCCCTGTTGATTTCCCAGCGGCTAGTGATGAATCATCAGTCGCCATCGACGCTCGATGATCGCAGGACATGCTGAAATCGAAGGGGTGCGTTTGAACAGATGAAACGCTTCATCCATCCCCTCAGCATTCCAAGCGAATTCCGACAAGTCGTCGCTCAAGCAAGGAAGTGTCTGGTATCTGGTTCTCAAGATGATGATCACCATGGTAGGTGATATGAAAGTACAACGTCTGACGCCCGTGACGGAGGCTGCCTGTTTGCTGCATGAAGCTGATTCGGCCCACTTCAGAGGAGGCTGCCGAACTAGCGAGCGAAGTCGCTACAGTCGGGAATAAGGCCCTTGTTGCTGATGGTTGGGTAGAACTTGAACTCGTCGCAGCCGTGGGGGTTGAGGTTGAATAATCCGACTAGAACGAGCTGTGCGCAAGCAGCATGGACTGGAAGGAACGCCGATAAGAAAAGCAATCGTCATTTTAAGCGTAAAAATTGAGAATGGACTTTAGCCAACGCACAGATGGACCATGTGGTGTGGACGACGAACGGGAAAGGCCGTCGAGCATTGAGCTCGGTCGTTGGTACTGGTGGGTGCTCGTTCGATCCTGAGAGTTGCGCAAATGCACCAGGCAGTGTGTGCTGAGCTGACGAGAGTACACACACATGTGCGCGATGGCGCTCCCAGGCTGAAAGATTCAGCAGTGAGCGAGAGAGGCATACTGAGGATGGCGACGATCCGAGAGTCTGCGAGGCTGTGATAGCTCGCCTTGGTATCTGTAGTTCAGAGCTATTCTACGCGGGGTTGAGACATGATTGGTATAGCTACATGTACACACATACATACTTACTTACATATATGCATATCTAGAAACCAAAGATCTTTCCAGAGATTTTTTAGTTTGACATGCGTGTGAAAATGTGCCTCCAATACATAGCGAGAGCTGGCGATGGTAATTTCAAAAGCTTCAGCCTGGTCGCTCGTGCATTTTCTTCGCTAGAGTCAACTCGCAAGGCCGGTCCAGACTCTAGGCTCATCCGTGACCCTTGGCAACCCGCGACACACGGTCTTCTCCGTCAAGCCTGCAGTAAAACCATGAAGAGCTCAAAGGTAACTTATTCAATTGCTTTCCACTGTCCACAGCAGGCTCCTGCTTTTGCGAATTCGCAGTTCGAGTCCTCTGGGCTCAGGAGCAAGCTGTGACGTCAACTCCGCGCGTTCGCCCTGCGCACAGAACGAAAGTGATCGAAGCCTTCTCGGCACAACAGCAGTGTGGGGCTTGAAGCGCGGAAGACGCGGGACGGAGCCGCCAAATTTATTTTTATTTTTGAATTGAATGCCTTCGCAATGAGCATGTTTCATTACTTGGCTCATTTGTCGCACCTGAAGAGATAGAACCACGATTGGGAAGGGTGAAGCAGGCACTGCTGAAATCCCATCCTAACACCAGAACGATATTGTTGGCTGCAGTAACACAATCTCGTCAAAGCGTCTGCACTCTTTTGCTCTTTGACCTGGCGGCTGGATGGCTGGTGTGTACGTTGGTTTCCGCCCGTCGTTGCCCTCAGCATATGCAGTCACAATGAGCAACGAATGACCGTGCGACGATACACGTGCAGACCGCTCGTTTGTATTTGTGTGCACCACTGTTTCATCTTTGCGAAATCATCTCATGACTACTTGCGCAAGGTTAATGCTTCAGCGCCGTTCGACACAGAGATGACGAGTGTATGGGGCTGTAGCCTTGTCAAGGGTTCCGCTTGACATGCACAGTCTTTCGCAAAGGCAAGGGCGTCGCCGTAAGCGCCGTCATGATGAGAAATATGAGCTATTCAGCTTCTACAATTAGCAGCTTTTCCCAGATCAGGTCTTCATCTCGCTCATATCCGATAGAGGCAGCGGGCCAGTTAACCATTCGGCTACTCATCAGTCTATGCTCAGCCCAGGGAGCACGAGCCACTCTCGTAGGCTGGAACCCCAATACACTTTGAAAGCATCCTCTTGTGTCATTCGAAATCGCACTACTCTCTGGAACAAGGATTCAATACAGTATAAGTAGCGGTCTTGCTCGCTTCGTCACCTCCTTCATGGTCCCTTCCGCCTCTCATTAAGTCATCCGACCACTCCTTTCAGCCATAACACCGTCGGAACTTCTCAAGAGCGCACATCTCACTAAAGGGAAATTATCGACATGCCAGGCAACGAACTCCAGGCGACTCAGCTGGACATTCCCAACAAGGCCACTCGCGCCATCTTTGACAAGCTTGGCGGGCCCATCAAAAATGACATATATGATCCATCGTTGATCAACCTGCAGAATGGCGAGGCCCTTGTGAGGGTCTTCTATTCTGGTGTCTGCCACACGTAAGCTCCTCGCTCCTGCTTACCTCCTTCAGAGAGCACCAGAGTCTTGACTTCGCGCGCCGGTGATACCCTGCTCTTACCTCCCGCAGAGATCTCCATGCCATGATCGGTGACTGGCCAGCTCCCAACAAGGTCCAGACTGGTGGTGGTCCTCTCGTCGGGGGTCATGAAGGCGCAGGCGTCGTTGTCAAGCTTGGCCCAGGTGCAGACGAATTCCTCAAGGTCGGCGACAAGGTCGGCATCAAGTGGATCGCTGACGCGTGCCTTAATTGTGTGAGTATCTCTTTTCATGGCACGCACGGATTGGCACTGACAGGGGGTGGCACTTTTGGGTTCATATTGTGTTCAAGGACTACTGCCGCCGCGGTCATGAGCCCAACTGTGCACAAGCCAAGTGCTCTGGCTACACTCATGACGGTTCCTTCCAGCAGTACGCCGTCTCTTGGGCTCGTTACCTCACTCCCCTCCCCAACGAGCTGCCCCTCGATGAGGCTGCACCAATTTTAGTGAGTCGTGCGTGCGTGCGTCCTTTTCTCGTCACCGAATGTGGGGCGTGGCATCTCACTGCTAGCTTTTGGAATTTTATCCAGTGCGCCGGCGTTACCGTCTATAGGGCGCTGAAGGAGGCGAAACTCACTCCTGGGCAATATGTCGCCATCCCCGGGGCTGGCGGAGGACTCGGCCACCTTGCTGTCCAGTACGCCAATGTCATCGGCTGCCGTGTCATCGCGATCGACACGGGCTCCGCGAAGAAGGAGCTGGCGACCAAGCTGGGCGCGGAGACGTTCATCGACTTCAAGACGTCCAAAGACCTCATCGGCGATGTCCGCAAGGCTTCCGGCGGCGAGGGTGTCCACGCGGCCGTTGTCGCCGCTTCCGGAGCCGCCGCGTATGAGATGGCGCTCGAATATTGCCGCCCGTGCGGAAAGCTCGTCGCCGTCGGCTTGCCCGCTAAAACGAACATCGAAGCCAACGTTTGTTTCACCGTCTTCCAGGCCAAACAGGTTAAGGGTTCTTATGTCGGCAACCGCCAGGACGCCATCGAGGCTCTTGACCTCGCCGCGCGCGGTAAAGTCAAGACCGTCTTCAAGACTATGGGTCTCAGTCAACTCAACGACGTCTACAAGGCGATGCACGACGGCACACTCGCTGGCCGCGTCGTCCTCGACTGCAACAAGTGATCGACTCGACCGCATCAATCCTTCTGACCGAGAGTGTTGGCTCTTGTTGTTCTAGTAGCTGTCCGCGCCCCGCATGCAAAATGTATTATCATCAATCTCTTCAGTGGGAACTTCCCACGAAATCCAGAAAATGGCATATTTCACTTGATTAAATTGCCTGATACGGCACCTGCTTGAATGAGAACCAACGCAGGAAAGCTGTTCAATCACCCTTACTGACAAGCATAGATAGCAGCATCGTAATATGCGTACCGCAAGACGTTCATACACAAAACATCATCTTGCCGTAAAGCGAATTGCGAATTACATTTCATGTTATCCGTACCACTGGCCGCGTGCATTGCCACGCGGAGGTTCGTTCCTGCGTGTCGGGATGATGCACCTGGTCAGATTGTGAGTCTCGATCAGGCCCTGTGTGGAAGAAATCGCCGCAAAATGAATGAAAAACGCGAAGAGCGCCGTCAGAAACAGCGGAGAATCATTCATGCGCCGCTCCAACTCGACTTGCCTTCCAAGTATCCATGTCGAGCTCGAGTACAATCTGCTGCTTCCTGAGGCCTGCGACGTAGTCCTCTTCCTCAGCCGGTTCCCGCACGCCTGCAAAGACGCCGCGCATCAGCAAAGCAAGAAATAGCGCACAGGGATGAGGTCAGACCGGCTGCTGCTGTGAACCAGAGGGAGCAAGTCGCAAACGGGAGGCACTCACGCAGCTTCGGAACGACTCCATTCGCATTGGACTCTTCGCCTGGCATGACGAGCTGCGTCTTGCCGTCGCGGATGAGGAAGCTAATGTAGAACAGGTTTTCGACCGTGTTGCCGAAGCTTTTCGGATCGATCGCAAAGTCGAACATCGACACGCCGTCGGCGCCTTGATCTCGCAGCAGCTTATGGATCGTCATCACCTGCTTGGTCGTCTCGTTTGCGGATTTCTCAATGTCACCTTCGCCGAGCTATGAGGGCGTGGGAGTGGCAGCGGGCCAAGGGAGTCAGAGGTTGATGATGAAGCATTCAAAGAAGATATACCATGCGCAAAGGCCGCATCTCACTTCTTGAGGCCGCTCGACCACCGCAGCACGATCGATCTTCTGGCGCCGCTGCACCTGTCTCTTGTTGTACTCAGACTTGAGCGGGCCATTGAGAAAGTCCATCATGGGCGCACGACGACTCCAGCGCGCGGCTGTACGCCCGAGCTTGTCCCACTGCCAGTCGTCGGCTACCTCGATCTCGTCATCTTCGCTGTCGTCCTCGTCGTCGACGTCGCTACCAGCTGCTGTAGCCCTTCGCCGTTGCCTTCCGTTACTACCCCTTCCTTTTCCTCGCCCACTCGCGTCCATGGCACGCGCACCGCCTGTGTTGATGTACAGCGCAACCTTGTTGATGTAGTCGTCCAAGTCGAATCCGCTCGTCTCGGTGCGTAATGACTTGGCAAGCGCGTGACCCATGTCGGCAACGTTCATCAACAGGCGCGAGTCCAGCACACCTTCAGCAGGGGCTTTAACTGCAGGAGGCATGAAGATTGTCGCAAGCGCGGGACGGGGGAATAAATTTGCCTTTATGCGTGTCAGCAGCACGCGAGCCGAGTTTCAGGATACACTATAACACGCACCTTTTTCATAGAGCCTGTTGGTGTCTTTGACGATCTCGTTGAGCTGCTCGAAATCAATATTGGCCATTCCTTCTTGGCGCTTGTCTGCAAGATATAGGGGGGTATGAACGCGCTATCAGCCTCTCCGCCATTTAGGACAGGCGACGCGGCCGACTGGGCTTCCAGGATTGTATGCTGCGTCCACCCTCAATGCGTTGAGTTGCGCAACTTCAATACCTCCCATCATCCACTCACTTTCCAATCCAGCCTGCAGCTCTCGATACTTAGCTCTGACCTCGCGCTTCTCGTGCAGGTTCTGGTTAGGGTCGTACACGTCGGCAGCTTGGCGCACCGTGCCGGAGCGGCTCTGCGTCACCTGCGCTGTCGGCGCCATGTTGCGCTGCCTTGAAAGTGGACTGCTCTTTTCACTTTGTTTGTTTCTCGGTGCCTGGAGCAGTATGATCTGCTCTGTATGCTTGCGGTGGACCTTGAATGATGGGGTCCACTGTCCCTAATCGATGGCTGTCGAGGTGGGCAAAGAGCGTCGATGCTACCAGGAACAGCAGTTGGAACCCATCAAATTGTGCTTCGAGCGAAGAGGCGCGTCGCGTCGGCCGCACCAGCGGGGGTGCTGGGCCTGTGGTGTAGAAAGAAAGTAGGGTTGGCTGAATCGCTTCTTCATTATCGGACTTTTATTCACACGCACACACAATGAGCACAGTCTGACTCGCAATGACCACCCTTTGGCTTCTCAAAACCTCGTCCAAAGCAGATGGAACTTATGGGGTTCAAGTAGGCACCCGGATTACGTCAGAAGGCGCTCGCAGAGCTCGATTCCGACTGTACGCCATGAAAGGCTCATTCACCGGTGTTGCCAAGGCATCTAGGGGAGCTGGGGTCCGACTGCCTGCTAGGTTGCGCCTCCAAGTTCCCGTCGTGGCTGATCGCACCAATCTAAGCCGTCGGGTTAGCCTGCATACAGCCAGAGGTGGAACCACACAACCTTCAATAGAAATCCGAACTCCCACACCGCATTTGGCGCAGGCACTTGATCCATTTGCGAAATCAAACAGAGGGCCAGTGCTTCCATTGCCACGGCGGCAAGGCGAAGCCTCATCTTTGGGGCGAAGAGCATATTCGACCGGCCCGAACCAATACCAAGTCTTCCAGTCCTTCGGCACGCCTTTAGGGTACTTTTTCCGAACCATTGCCCGCACTGCGCGTATCATCACCCTCTCGGGTCTCACAATTGCGCTCGTCACCCTGGGAATCTTCGAAGGGACGCATCAATATGTCGAGCACATTTCCATGCCTCGAGCTATCGCGCACGCCGCAGAGGCAGTGGAGCGCGGCGAGGACGAGTGCGGATGGGAGGAGGACTACCTGGACGACGCGTCATGGGCTGCTCGAGGTATCTCTGGCACTGACTCGCGCCTTTCGACCAAGGCGAGACACGCTGTCCGTGCTGCATGGATCGCCATCAATCTCGGTGGAGGCCTCTCGCCGACGCTTCTTTCCGTCGGTGCTCCGGACGGTTCCACCGAGAAGGAAGTAGCGCGCATCCGTCTGCGAGAAGCAGCGCAATCAGGGGATATGAACATCGACAATGGTTTGCGCCTCGCGGAGGGGTACCTTGATGTCGCGCTCAAAGAGGCCGAACGGCAGGGTATGCGCGTACCAGATAGCATTGCTCTCGGATCCATGAGCGCGCAGCAAGTCTCTGCTGCGGTAGATCCAACATCTGCAGCGCTAGAGACGCAGCTCGCAGATGCGCGAGTAAGGATCGGCACCCCGCAGTCGATGTCACTCGCGATTGAGGGATACGAGCGTTTGTTCAATGCATTTGGCTGGTTGGACGACGAAGCAAAGCGCAAGTGCGGCGTCACGACGCAGCGGATGGTCAGGCTCGCAAGCAGGATAGGAGCACTGTACCAAGGGCTGGGTCAGCGAGGCGAGGCGGAGAACTGGTACATGCGAGGCATCTCGCTCATCCCGTCGACAGCAGCCGGTACCAAGGAGGACGCTGACGTCCGCATCGAAGCGGCCGCCAAGAATGGCAGCAGCAGCACTGCGACGCCAAGTTTAACACGTGCTCTCGTCTCATCCCTGCTGGGCCTCTCATCGCTCTACGCTACACCTCCACAAGGAGATTCCTCAAGGCTAGAGGTCGATCGGACCTTCCGCGCTAGTCTTGAAAAGGCGCTTGGCATTCAAACTTCTGCACTTCGAATGATTTGTTTCGAGCTGCAGCGCCTCTCTATGCCAGCATCAAGCGCTGCGCAGCCAGAAGGAAAGAATATTGAAACACATCCTTCGCTTGCATTGCCTGCGTCCCCATCTACCTCTGGCAGTGCCGAAGCAGCCGCATTGCTGGCGATTAATCCGCTCCACTACCGCTTGCATCCGGACGCAAGTGCGTCGAAAGAGCTGTACTGGCTCTGGGCCCTGCATCATGGCGGACAGGCCAGCCTGCACATCGCTGAGACGATCTACGCACTGCAGCTCGGGAAGAGCAGCCGCGAGGCTGCGGTGCTAAGATCGTCGTCTTCCGCCGGTGCGTTGCTCGCCATGCTCAAGGGTGTTTTCAAAAGCGGCAGCGGAGATGTGATGCCCGCAGCTGGGGTCCAAAGGAATTGCGCCAGTTATCAGCAAAGCATTGCGTGGATACAGGAGGCACTATCTGCCGCGGAACATGTCTTCGTCTCGCTCGTCTCCGGCCGGCCGGCTGCTTCGCTCTCTGGGCGGCTTGCCGATGCAGCCAAAGCAACAGACAAGGCGAAGGTAACCAGCGTACAGCGGCCGCAGCTCGCGGAACGATGGCGCCGCGATGCGTCTTTCGAGATCTTCGCAAAGAGGCTGCTACGAGATGCTAGCAGTATGAAGCAGAGCGCCAATCGTATGGTCGATGCGCTTGTGCGGGGCGGGTGAAGACATTACCACGGGCTATCTACATCCTTATGCAGTTTCTTTCTTTGCTGATCCCATCTCGCCGCCGCTAATGCCTCCGGCGCTTCTTGGCAAGCAAAGCTTGCCAGATTGCCTCGCTGTATTGTTATACTCAGACCATTTCACCCGTGAACCGTAACCCAAACTGCCCTCTTCCACACGAGCACAATGCTCTTTCTATTGGCTTTGTTGTTCGTGGCGCGACCGAACCGCCAAAGGCACGGCTGGACGTGTGCTACTAACCCTAAAGCCTCCCGCGATTGATAATGCAGCCGACGTAATCGACAGCAGCCTTAGCCGCCAGTTGTTATCTTGTGTTGTTGTCGGCGATGCACAACACACATGGTATAATACCCATTGGTCTTGCTTGCCTGCTCGGACGGACATAGAACGATCATCTCCGCTTACTGAAGGACAGCCGGCTGCCTGTTCGCTTCGCGCAAACTCACACCCTCCCTTGAGCAGCCTGCGGTAGCACGCGCGCTCTTACTGTCTCTGAGCGACCACTCCCGCTGATCGCACGCTGTCCTTGTCCTGCCCGTGCCGTCCTCCGAGCCAAAACATGGCCCAATCCAGCGCCGCTGCTGGCGTCTTGCCAGGCGTGCTCGAAGTCTCGCACCCATTGATAAAGCACCACCTCTCCAATCTACGACTCGTCGAGACCTCCGCGCGCGACGTTCGCTCGCTGATTGCGCAGATTTCCACGCTGCTGGTTGCTGAGGCGACCAAGGGCTTTGCGACGATGCCTGTGCAGGGCCAAGGTCCGCTTGCTGGTTTCAAGGGGGAATCTTTGCAAGAGAGAATCGGTGTCGTCCCCATCCTAAGAGCTGGTCTCGGTATGACAGATGGTGAGAGCATCTTTGGACTCGCACCTCGGGAATGGAAGCTGGTGATGTTACTCACACCCTTGGCTCTTCCATTCTCACCTCGCAGCGGCACTGTCATTGCTACCAGACAACACGTCGGTCCTCCACATTGGGCTCTTCAGGGAAAAAGTGTCGCTGCAGCCAGTCGAATACTACTCCAAGCTCCCGTCCAAACCGACTGTAGATCGCGTGCTCATCCTCGACCCGCTGGTCGCTACCGGTGGGACTGCTGTAGTGCGTGATGCGTTGCACAAGCATGGTAACTCTCTCTCCTGCCATCACCACCGCTGACTTTATACTCTATTTATTGGAAACGACAGGCTTGCGTGCGTATGATCCTGGACTGGGGCATCCCGATTTCGAAGATCCACTTCCTCTGTGTGCTCGCCTCGCGACCCGGTCTGGCAAAGCTCACGGCCGTGTACCCGGGCCTCGAGATTATGTGAGCTGCGGCGCCCTGCTCGCAAGGGCAGTGCTCAGTTGCTGACCACCCTGCCCTTCCCCTCTGTCAAGTGTTGGCGCAATAGACCCAGAGCTCAACGAGAAGGGGTACATCGTCCCTGGACTTGGTGACACGGTGAGCACAGGGTGTTGCCCAGAGCCTTGTAAGATGTGCCTGCCTATTCTCAAAAAGCTCATGAAATTTGGCATCTCACAGGGCGATCGTCTGTTCGACACCTTGTAAATTGAATGAATCACTTTAAATCGCAACCCGCCATTTACAATTTGCGAGCAGCTATCGCCTCCGTTCCCTTCCTCTCCATTCAAATCGAAGATCTAATCCTCTGACGGCTTGCGCGGTGGTGGCGACGCGGTCCCTATCTTGAGTGGCGCAGTTGGCTCGGCCAAAGGCGTCGCAGTTGTTATGGGCGGAGTGGCGAAGCTAGAGCTGTTGGCGGACGAGGGCGACGCGGACGTACTGCTGGGCGATAAAGACCTGCCGCTCCACTCGCTCCGCTTCGCAGAGAGAAAGCTGCCGAAATTCCCAAGTGCAGCGCGCGCTTGCGTCGCAGCGGATGCGGCTGCGGCGCTCGCTGCTTGTGCCGCATCATTGGCGCTCTGGTGTAGGTTCGGCGGTAATTGGAAAGAGGGTACTCGGTTTGACGTTGATGGCTGCTCTGGCACTGAGCTTGATGTGGCATTTGATGCCGAAGGGTAACGTGTCGTGTTCAGCGCTGCTAGTTGTTTGCCAATATCATTCCTGGCTGCGCTGGCGAATCGATACAGATTCGCGCCCCCCGCTGAGAGCGCTGCTTGCCCAGCCGTCAATCCTTTCCCGATCGCATCTCGCGTTGGAGTGAGATTCTCATCAAGCTTGAGATCATGAAGGCCCTCCGTCAGGCGCAACCCTACGTCTTCGATGACGGACGTCATGCCTTCGCATGGATGACTGGCAGGAATGATGTTGTACAGATGATCGTCGGTCCAGTCGTTCCAGCTGACGTACGCTTGCGTGAGCTTGAATGTGTTGATGAAGTCCATGCCGAAGCTCGCCAGCGTCGAGGTGTCTTCGAGGCAGCCCGCTGTCTTTGTCTTGTCCTCTGATGCCTTGATGGCCGAGAGCATGGAAGAGATGTAGCTCTGGAATTTCATGCGAAGGTAGTCGTCACTGCCTTTGAACTGCAGCGTGGTCGGACGACTCGGATTATTCGGATCCCAGGTCTCGAGCACCATCGACACTATCTCGTCCATCCATTTTCGGTCTTCCGCCGTCAGCGCGACAATATTTTGCAGCTTGAGCGCCGCGTTGCTCTCCAAGAATTCGATGTTCGAATTCTCTAGATCAACTATTACGTCGATCGCGCAATCCTTTTGCGAGCGAAAGACACCGTTGCTCGTACCCACGAGCCAACTGCCGGCTTTGAGAGAGTCGATCTGCTGCAATGGGAGGTACGGCTGGAAGAATGCATCATCGCCAAAAACCGGGAGCGGATAGCCCATGTACTTCAGCAAGCTTTGTTTTTCAGAAGTCTTGACGCTATCGACTTTCGGTCGCTTAGCTTGACTGCTCTTGAGTGTTGCTGAGCCACAGTCCTCTAGATGCATGAGCAGTCCAGGCAGGAGTGAGATGAGGCTGTACTGATAGGTGCAAAGTCGCTCTATTGGGTAGCCAAAGAACATGACACGGCGTTGCAGGAGAAGCAGCTTGACCAGCTGCAAAGTTTTGAATCGCCATTGAAAAACGAGCTGGCGCAAGCTGGTGCCCATGCTCATCGTCGCGTCCGAGTCCTCGATCTTTTCCTCTCCCGCCGTGACCAGGGGGTTGGCTTCCTTCTCCCCTCCTGCAGCCATGGTCACTTCTTTAAGCGACTGTCCGAGACCTTGCCGTAAGCCAGTTTCTAGAGTGCTGAGGAATTCTGTCAATATGACTGTATCTGTCAAGTCGCATTGGGCAAAGTACGCGCGCGTGACGATCCCCAGCTTCTCCCTGATCGGGCCAAAGACAGGCTGTTTTGCCAAGACAACGACGGCCTTCTGCACCGTCGAGCGCGTAACTTCCACTCCTTTCTTTGTCAGCGATGCTGCAGCGATTTGCCGATTGCAGCTCATGCCGAAGATGGTTGAGCCAGGCAGAGTCTTAGGGCAGAAGAGGTGGAAGTAGCAGAAGTCTTCATCGGACTGTTTGCACACGCACGCATGTCATGTAAATTGCGATTCCCAGGTAAATTATGCATTTGGCTTACCAAATGGGAGCCGTCAGGCAGAGCATAAAACGGTAAGGTAGAGCTGAAGTCCTCATCTTCCATCAATTCTTTGGGGAAAGTGTATTCCAATTGCGGGCCTACATGGTGGTGCTGCAGGGGGTATCTACAAGCGTCAGCGCACCGACGTTTGCAGTCCGGGACGGAGCGGGCTCACAAAATCTACCACAGCCAGGCCAATGATCAGCTTGCTCGATAGGCCTGGGGTGCTAGGAATAGTTGGCGTCGCTGGAGGCTCGGGTGCAACGGTGGCAGATGGAGCATCGCCTTCAGTTGAGGCCGTCGCCACGGACGGCAGAGCCTCGATGCCAGTGGGCACAGAGTCGCGTTCTTCGCCAGACATGACGGCGTCTTGTGTGTAGGCTCGTTGAGAAGCCGTCCGCAGGAGCGTCTTAGTTGCTTGAGCTACGCACGAGTCGTTGGGTTACAGGGAGCCATCAACCAATTATCCCATACGAGGGATAGGCTTGCTGGCTCCTTCAATTGAGTCCCATCGGAGACCAGAGCTAATTGAACTAGTCGCGTTCGCTCTTACTGTCTTTCATCGCGCGGGGTAGATTGGGGCTACCGAACTAAGCTCACAGGCTCGCGCTTTTGAGCTGATTAGCTTGGATCTTGATGCTGAGATTGACACAAGCCCCGGCGCGCCGCGGCGCGTTGCGGCGAGTAAGCGGCGCACACCAACACTACACCCTACCTATCTGCGAAAGCGGCAAACGTCTAAATAGTGAAGCAGCCTCTCCATGTGACATCTTCTGTTCTGCGTAGAGACGTCCGAATTGCATCGGCACACTGCAAAAGAGGCGCATACAGCCTCGGATACTCCTGCGCAATGGATAGCCAAGATATCGCAGGCGATTCTGTTCGGGCGGGTTTGATCGAGACGAACACCCAGGCCCCAAAAATGATACCATTTGCCGAAAGCGATTGCGTCAAGAGGGGTTTGAACGATGCTCAGGTGAGCCGTCTGTGAATCCCAATCTGACTGCCGTTTGCGACATTTCAATGCCTAATGCGTTCACCCTCAGTCCGACGAGCACGTCGGTCATCGAACAGAGGAACCGCAGGGCAAGCGTTTGAGGCTTGACGAATCGCCATCGGGTGATGTCACACCACGCTCGCTAGCCGAGCAGCCACATACTTCGACGGACGAGGCAAAACTCGATCATGCTCAGAAAGAACAAGAAATGGAATCTACAGAGCAGACCCTTGATCACCATGTCAAAGGCACCCTCCAATATGCACATCTATCCTTACAAAGCGGCTGTTCTACTGCCACCTCCGCAAATGCTTCAAAGGTCACAGCACAACCCAGCTTCGTTTCACCTGTCAAACCTTCTGCTGTGCGTTCCAGACTCACAAAGCCCTTTCGATCACCGCTCGTCAAGAGCTCCACGGTATCAAACTCGTCATCTGCAGCTCCATCCGACAGGGCCATCAACCTGCATGGTGGTGCAGTGCACTCTTCACCCAAGAATACGCGAGTCATCAATTACGGCAAGCTATCGACAACAGGGATTGATGGTTCTCCGCCTGTTCCTTCCAACTATCGATTTTTACGTGCTGCTAGCAAGGGGGCGGAGGCAACAACAAGGGGAAAGGACACCGAGCTCGAGCAGCTGCAGCTGCGGATCAGAAGGCTAAAACAGGCAATCAAGTATCTAGGGTAAGTCTGTCCGCCGCGCAGCCTATCGAGCCTGTTTTTCGATTTGATAACCTAGACGATTTCTTCCTCTACAGAGAGGACAATGACAAGCCTTTGCAAGAGTCAATCGATCTGTGGCGCGCCAAGGGACAAGAAGCGGCGTCGGAGCTGTTTAACAAGTTCCCTCCTCCGGATCCCGACGCTGAAACTCGAGCCTCTTTTGCTTCTACTCGGAGTGGCGGGTACGGCATTCATGGCTTCGGCGACGAAGAAAAAAGTACTCCTGGAAGCGGAGGACGCTTGGCGGACTCTTGGGGCTGGAGCAGCCATCCGCAACCTGCGGCATACAACGAGGCATATGGACTAGAAGAAGCCGAGGAGAGCCGCAAAGAGGCCGAGGAACAACTTCAAGAGGGGGAAGGTGATGGTGAAAGCTGCGCCACGAATGGCAGCCGGGGCCAGCGCTCGATGAAGACGGCGTGGAACATGTGAGTCTTCCATGAATTCCTCGCGCCATCTGCTCTTCCGAATAGACCCGCTAAAATGGCGGCCCTCTGTGGTAGTGGCTATATGCTAGAGAAAATCGGTCGTGAGTTCGTTCCAGCTTCCATCACGGGTATTGGGACGGAGCCTAACAAAATGGGTTTACCTTACAGTCCCGAAGGCTATCTTGAGGTGGGACGATACGGCCGAAGACTTTGTCTCTTGACCTTTGAGCGCTTTTCGCCAGCACTTCTTGGTCGACTCATCAGCACAACCGAAACAAGAACGCCCCGTTTGCACTACCTGTGCCCTTTAATGTGAATGTGAACGTGACCTTTGCAATCCGACACTGTATCTTACGCGCCCGCAAACTGTATTCAATTATGCATGGATGAGCGACAATATGCTACAATGCCCTTTGAAGATTCTATGCGTTTTGCTTGATGAGTTTTGCGACCTGCATTAAACGCTGTTTCTCCTAGCGCTGATTCCAGCCTTGCGCTTGGATTGCCACTCTATCTCGTCAGACGAGACGACCGCCTCACCAGACGGCAGAACACCCGCTGCGTCCCATTCGGCGAGTTTCTGACGCGCGGTATCGTATCCTATGGCCATGATCTCGTTGAACTTGCCAAATTCGAGCGTGCCGAATTTTTCAACTGGCATCCGGAGATAGAAGCACCCAGGCATAGCTTTAGCTTCCTCAAGAGTCTTCACAGACGAGACATAAGTCAAACGCCCCTGAATCTCTGGAATGGATGGAATTTTGATGGCGTCACTCCATGGGTTCCACCGGTTGAGGACGACCCACCAGCCGGAGAGAGCGTCCCCGTAATTCCGAGGCGATGTATCGTCCTGGCAAAGTAGATGACCATCAGTGACAAATCTCACACCCTCTGTTTTCAGCAACTCACTACGCTCCCGACATCAACAGCGAAGACCGAGGCCGCACCCATGGAAAACATGACGGAAACAGGAAGATTGTCCATGTAGCCACCATCGACCAGCATGTCGCCCGAGTCGATGAGGGGCGGAATCAGGCCGGCAAGAGTCATGCTGCCTCGGATGTAGCGCCAGGCATAGCCTGTCGTATGGATCTCCATCTTGCTCCATGTGATGTTGGTCGTGTTGCAGAAGAAAGGCAGCCACATATCTTCAATGTGGGTATCAGCGAAAGCCTGCGAAACGCGTAGATATCAGTAAATCGATGTATCTCGCGCACCAGGACGGGAAGATGCGCACCTTGAAAATACCCCTATTAAACTCATGTCCGGTTGTGTAGCTAACGTACGGATACGTCAAGTCGATGGCAAAGCGCCAGAGACTGGCCATGCGACCGCTGAATTTCTTCACCCTACCCAAACTTGGCACGAGACCCGCTTCACGAGCATACAAGCCGCCGACAAAGCTGCCGATCGATGTGCCTCCAATGATGTCGATCGGAATGTTCCTTTCCTCCAATGCGCGAAGCACGCCAAGATGAGCGCATCCGCGCGCGCCGCCTCCGCCAAGGATGAGACCGATGCTCTTGCCACAAAGACGCCGAGCAAGGCGAGAAAAGTCCGAAAAGTGATGGGAACGCGCAGGGGCAGCAATGTCTCGCTTCTCGCGGTACTGCTGGATCCGCGATCCGATGCGCTTTCGCAAATCCATCAAAGCCTTCACCGCCTTTTGGTCTGCGAGGCCAATTGTGCTGATCGGCTGCATCGACGGAATGCCCGGCAGCTCTACGTGGTGATGCGCGTGAACCCAAGGACGGCTCTGGAGCCATGCGCGTGTCGAGCCTGGTGGAACTGCGCGCTCTGGATGAAGTAGGACGAGTTCTTTTCTCGCAGTCGTCTTAATTCCCAGGAGAAGTCGCTCGTACTCCCCTACGCTCGGATCATCACCAAAGCCGACCAAGAGAATGCAGTCTGCCTGTCGGATACTCGTTTGAGCCCACGGAGAGCTGACGGCAGTGTCGACGACATACATGACAAGCCGATACTTTTCCTCTTGGTCCGCAAGCCAGCCAGTGAGCTTGAGCTTTCCCATACGATTGAACGCGTGCCGACCGAGCACGCCCATGACCCGTTGCTGGTTGAGGTAGGCAGCCGGCTGCCCGATCGTGTCCTCGAAGGCGCTGTGCAGTCGACTCGCAAAGGCAGTGATCGGCACGTCGCGCGTGACAGGAAGGATGGCGACGGTCTTGAGGTTGGCGTTATTCTTGCCGAGATCCGGCACGCCTGGCATTGGACCATGGGACGCAGTGGTGTGCTTGTTGGCTACTTCGGCTCGGACGCGGCCGGCGATGATCCTGGACATCTGGATCGTGACCGCAGGGTGACGCACAGAGATCGCGTTGAAGAGGCTCATCGGCATCTTGGCCAGCTCCGAGTCTCGGATGGCATGCAGGGTCACGCTCCTCAGCGAGTTAGTGACAACATCGAGCTCGCCAACACTGTCCCCTTGGCCAAACTCGGTATTCCCCGCAATTCCAGCCCCGCCTTCCGCTTTTTCAGAGATGGCCCTCAGCCGCCCGTTGATGACAATGTAAAAGCTGTCCGCTTCGTCTCCCTGGCGATAGATGACCTGACCCGCAGCAACCTGTTGCCAATCAAGCGCCGAATCAATATGTAGGAGCAGCGGGGAGAGCAGGCTCAAGAGTCGCTTGCAAAGGGTCAGCAGGACGACCGGCCGGCGCTCCATCATTTTCTGGAGCGACTGAGCTGGCAGGAACCCGACGTAGCAGTCCGTGCGCGCCGTCACGTCCACGTAGCTGGACGTGCCGAGCAGCGTGGAGAGGTAGCCCGCGACACCACCGCGTCCGACTGTGTAGATGGGCTTGGCGTCCTTTGCATGCCGTTTCTTTTCGTGCAGGCCCGGCGCGCCCCTGCCAGAATGTTGCCCAGATGTTTGCTGCCCATTCGGGGGCGCTCGGTCGTCCTTCTGCTTCGCACGCGGGAGAGAGACGTCGAGGAAGCCATCGATGACGTAGTAGAGCCCGGCCTGCATCTCTCCAGCGCGGATGATGACGCTCTCCGCTTCAAAGAAACGAATCTGCACGTCGTTCTCCAGCTCGGCGGGGAAGGCGCCGGCATGACTGTTGCTGCCGCCTGTGACGCTGCTCTCAGCGTCCGCCATACCCGCCGCGGCGTCAAGCATGGTGAGCGAGCCAAAGGCAGAGTTGAAGACGCTGCGCTGCAGCAGCGCATCCTGCGCGCTTATGAACGGGCTCGCTTGCACCGACGCGATCGGACTAGCAGGCGCCGGGACGAGCCCGATGCAATTGGCGATGCAGCTCATGACGGCGTCTTTCAGATCAAAGTTGGCCAGTCCGACGCTCGCCCAGCCAATCTCCTCGTCATCCGCAACACTCCGGCAGCGCTCGGCTGCAATGATCGATCCGGCCCGCGCGCGCGAGTGCTTGCTGCTGCTCGAAAAGTCGCGCGGGGCAGATTTTCTGTCATCGATCGTCGACATCGGTTGCGGTGGCGCAAACCTGCCATTTCCGTTGCCTTCGCCAGCGCCGCTGCTGGAGAACAGCATGCTCTTGAACGGGCGCGGTGTGTTGAGCGTCATCTGCACGTTCTGCGCAGCCCACGCTCCGCGGTCATCCAGGCCGCTCGTGCTGATGAGGTCACCGGGTCCGACGGTCGTGCGCGCCGCCGGCGTGCGCACGGGCGGGTCTGGATGGCCCCAGGGCGTCTTGGGCCGCGCGACAGGGGCCAGACCGGGCCCGGACGGCTGACGACGCTTACTAACACCACTGCCGCCACCTCCACCGCCAGCGGGGCGTTCCGTCTCCATGCTAGCCTCGTCAGCGGTGGGCGACTCAGTCAAATTGACGACGGACGTCGTGTGGTTGCTCGAGCCGCCTATGCCCATGGACATACCCCTTCCGCTAGCCCCGGATACGCCGCGCTGGCGGAAGTAACCATCGTCGCTGGTGTCGTACGCTTGCTCTCTCAGCGGCTGTGACGCCGGAGCTGCTGCGGAACGATAGCCCAGGCCGTTGCTCGCACCGGCAGCTGGCGGGGCGGCCGGGGAGACCTTGATGAAGCGCTGGCGTAGCTTGTCCATGCCATCTGACTGGTAAAATGAAGGCGGGAGTGGCGCGCACGCTATCTGGTTGATCGTCTTTTCCGTACGCATCACCTCCTTCGTCAAGCCGAGGTACTTGTGCGCCGTATGCAGCGTCACACGCGACAGGCGCGTGAGGATGACTTGGGGGGGGCAAGAGAGATTCAGTCTGGGAAACCACTGAATGCAAGTGACGGTCCAAAGCACGCGGTCGCATTGCCGCGGGGCCGAGACGTACCTTGCACAATGTGCGCCGAGGCGTTCGGAAACTTGTTCGTGAGCCTCTTGAACGCCTCAGCGGGGATGACGGCGAGCGTCGTGTCAACTGTAGCTCGCGCGACGGTGCCGGGGCCGTGTGCGGCGTGGGGGTGGACATGCTCGTCACGCTCGCGCATCATCATTGTCGGGCCGGCGGCGAACATGGGCAAATGCTGGTGGTGCTGATGGTTGTTGTTGTGCTGGGAAATGGGCGGCGAAGACGAGCCCAGCATGGTGTTGGCGCCTGCCGAGTATCGCCTCTGCCTGCCATCGACGGCGTTGCCATTCAGCAAGTGCGCCGGCCCGACAGCAGCAGCGCCAAGCCGATGTATGTTCCCGGCGCTCCCTCGCGACCTGTGCCCATGCGCCGGCGATGGCACGCCGCTACCGTCAGGCGACGACGGCGTTCTCGGCGTTGAGCTGGCCTTGGTGCGCTGCTGCTGTTGCTCGGCGGCCGCCTGCTGGCGCAGATAGTGGGAGAACGGCGCGCAGGCCTCGGCAGGCGGCATCACGAGCGCCTCTGCATCTTCGGCCCCGAGCGTCGGCGGCTGGAGTAGAACGATGTGGCTGCGTGTGCCCGTGCTGGGTGTACCATTGGGCGTGGATGGTGACGCTCCTGCAGCAGTGCCAGGGGGGGGTGCATTGCGAGCAGAAGAAGCGAGCATCTGGCCGAATGCGGACACGGGCTGTGCAGGCGCAGAAAGCGTCGCTTCTGTCGAATGAGACGAGGCGCCGTCGCCGAGCGCATCGTCCGCCGACAGGTGCCAGCGTCGCTGCGGTGACCCGGAGTCCACCTCTTGCTGCTGCGGGTACAACGGCAACGGGGGTGTCGCAAGCTGCGGTTGGGGACGTGTGATGCCATTCGCGCCTACGCCTGCTGGCCCTGTCGCGAGGTTCGTCGCGCTGCTCTGGGCCGCCGCCGCTGCGCTCGCGCTCGCGTTGTTGGACGTGTGCCCATGACCAGACTGGGAATGCGAGTGGGAGTGCGTGCCCTGTGCCTCGTTCCAGAAGCCGAGCTTGACGTCTTCTGTGAAGAGCGAGAGGATGGTGAAGAGCGAGGAGAGGGTGCCGCCGCTTTGGACCTCGTGCAGCAGCTGGTAGCCTGCGGCAGACAGCTGGTCCTCCTCTTCCTCCTCCTCTTCTTCCTCAAGGCCGGAGAAGCCGCCGAAGCGTGCACCGGCGCGAGCGCCTGCGCCGAGAAGTGGCGCGTAGACCTGCACGTTACCGTCGATGACAATGTAGAAGCTAAAGTCCGAGTCAAGCGCGAGACTATCGCCCGCAACGAGGCGCCTTGTTTGCAGGTGGCGTGCGAGCTCGTGAAAGACGGGCTTCTCGAGGAAGCCAAAGATGCGGATTGCCTGCAGAAAGTCGTCGAGATAGTTGTGAAAGATCCCTCCGCGTCCACTGGAGGCGCCCTGGCCTGGGCGCCCGCCGCCACCTCGGCTGCCGCTGACGCCGATGCCACCTGCAGCCGCGCGGCCGCGGCGGCGCCTCCCGGAGGCGTAGTCGTAGTCGTCGTCGTCGTAGTCGTAGGCGGCGGCGGCGTCGTGGTCGTCGAAGAAGAAGGGGACGTTTACGTCCGGGTGAAGGTTGAAGCCCTCATCCTTCTCGATGGGGAGCTCGCGCAGGCGCTCGTAGCGGTTGAGGTGGCGGTAACGGAGCCAGACAAAGGCAGCGGCTACGGCGCCGGAGAAGAGGAGTGCGAGGGAGGGGAAGGTGAGCCGGAGGGTGAAGCTGTAGTGGAGGATACGGTAGACGAGCGAGGGCAGGGTCAGCGTGCTGAAGGCGATGAGGACGGTGGCGATGTTGAACAGCGCGATCAGCACGGCGAGCACGGCGTCGAGGAGCAGAGCGAGCGGGTTGCGCGACGTCGATGCGAGCCGGGCCGCCTGCTGGAGGATTGGTGGGGTGGAACGTGCGAGGAGCGGCGACAGGGTGGAAGAGGCGGGGAGCGTGGCCGCCGCCGCCGCAGCAACAGCAGCAGCTGCTGCATCCCCTGCCGCCATGGTGCTGCCAGCTGCGTCCATGGTGGTGATGAGGTAGGGTAGGGTTAGATGGGCCTCGCCTTTTGTTCGAGCGGGCTGCTTGGACTGAATATGTTTGTCCGTGGGTGAATGTCGTGCGATCACGCCACCATGTGCAACGGGCAGAAAGCGGTGGGGCTGTTCAGGGGCACACACGCGCACAAACCACACAGCACAGTACGGATGACTGCCTTAGGTATATATGCATATGTGTGCTGGTGTCGAAGCATTGAGCCGCATCTCCACCATCAAGCAAGCACCCTAACGCAACACGAGCCATCGCTCTCTCTCTGATGATCAGTTAGAGGGGGGCGGATGGATGTGATCTGATAGATGCGCTAGTGATGTGCAGAGAGAGAGAGAGGGGCGATACAGCAACCCTATTTCACACATTCCGCAGCCGCGCCGTGTAGACGCGGTGCGATAGTTATGGTTCCACGTACCGCTTGCCCCTGCGCATGGCGATAGTGGAGCGGTGGGTCAGGAACAGACGCGGGCAGTAATTAGATTATATAATCCATATCCTATTCTATATATCTATATATACTGCACAGCACAAAGCACCCCGTTGCACGTTTCACACGGGTCTCCCGTGACACGAAACACATGTGTGCGCATATGAAATGCAAGGGGGAGAGTGGGGCAGGGAAAGACTGGGTGGTGCGGGGCAGTGCAGCATTGCCTTGTTCATAGCGCGCGCATCCCTCTCTCTCTTGCTGTGGCGGGCGCACGGTGCAGCATCCGCGATGGCCACCAGCGCTAGCGCCAGCGTGGCGCCTGCAGCGCTCGTCGGGCACGGCATCTTTGCCGTCGTCGTCTTTGCTGTCGTCTCGCTGCTCTCCATACGCCCACTCACCCTGCGCCTGCATCTGCGTCTGCGTCTGCTCACCGCACAGCAGCAACAGCAGCAGACGGCAGCAGGGCCGACACTGACGGTGCGGATCGACCATGTAGCTGCACCGCTGCTTGGGGTCCTCCTGCTGCTCGCCACGCGCACCATCGGAGCTGAGCAGGTCCGGCTGGGCATCAGCGGCGAGGGCCACATTGAGCCATACGACGTGCTCGCTCTCTTCCTTTCACTCGCGTATATTGCCATCTCGCTCGACGCGACCGGCTTGCTCCGCTCGCTCGCCTTGCTCGTCTGCATCCGTGGCGGCGGCAGGGGCCTCCGACTCTACCTCCTCCTCTATGCCTTCTTCTGGACACTCGGCGTCGCCGTCGGCAACGACCCCGTCATCCTCTCTGGCACCGCGTTCCTCGTCTACTTTACACGCGTCGCCGGGATCACTCCGCCCAGCGCGTGGATCTGGGCCCAGTTCGTCGCGGCCAACGTCTCCTCCGCCGTGCTCGTCAGCTCCAACCCGACGAACCTGGTCATTGCCAAGGGCTTCGGCATCGGCTTTGGCACATACACTGCGTATATGCTCCTCCCTAGCGCCGCCAGTGCGCTCGCCACCGTCTCCGTTCTCCTTCTCTTCTTCCGCAACCGCCCGCCGCCGCGCGCAAGCCAGCGTCCTCGCCGCAGCAATGGCGTCGGCACCGACGCCGTTGCTGCACATGCCGCGAAGAGCTCGTCCGCATCCCACCCCGCGCACCACGGCACGACGCTCTCAAAGCGCGCAGCGCATCAAACAAACATACCAGAAGGCGCTAGCAGCATCGGCGACCGCGACGCAGACTCGGAAACGAGACACGCCGACGCGAGCGACCTGCAACCGACGATCTTCATCCCGCGCACCATCGTCCCGCCAGACGTCTCACCGCGCGCGGCGCTCGTTGACCCGTGGGGTGCGCTCTTCACCAGCGCCGTCATGCTCGCCACGCTCATCCTCCTTGTCGCCACCAGCGTCGTTGGCGGCGTCAAGGTGTTCATGGTCGCCCTCCCGGGCGCCGTGCTCTGCCTGCTCCGCGACACCGCATACGACTCGCTCCGCTGGCGCAAGGCCAGGAAGGAGAGGGAGCGTCAGAGATGCAAGTCCAGGCCGAGCGCGAGTGCGAGGACGAAGGCTGTGCATGGCAAGAACGAAGAGATACAGAGGGAGCGGGAGCGGGAGCGGGAGAAGGAGCACGAGCACGAGCACGAGCGGGAGCAGAAGGAGGAGGCGCCTGAGGTGCAAGGAGAGCAGATGGATGAAAATTCGCCACGAAAGGCTACAATCGAAGCAGAGAGCGATGCGATCGAGTTGCAGACGGTGCTGCCTGCGCGCATCACGGAAGAGGCGGCGTCTAGAATCGATACACCATCGTCAAGCGTCCCCCCTCCCATCAGCTCCATGGCCGCTCTTGAGCCTTCGGAGTCCCGCAAAAGCATCCTCACGAATGGATCGGCGTCGATCGCTGGCAGCTTTCAGCAAACGCTCCAGCCCCAACAGCAGCAGCAGCAGCGGAGGCGGCGGCGTCTGTTCACAACGCGCATCGCCGCCGTCCCCGCGCGCCTCGCGTCCGTTTTCCCAACCGTCGCGGTCGTCCTCTCGCGCCTGCCGCTTCCGCTGCTCCCGTTTGCGTTCAGCATGTTCATCCTGGTCCAAGGCCTCGCGCATGTCGGCTTCATCGACATTGTGGCGCGCGGCCTTGGCCGGGTCTGCGCGCACGGTGGCGCCGCCGGCACCGCCTTCTTCATCTCCACGCTCGGCGTCGTCCTCTGCAACATTGCCGGCACCAACATCGGCGCGACCATCCTGCTCACCAAGGCGCTGCAGTCCGACCAGTTCTCCGCACAGCTCGCGGCACACGCCAGCACGGATAGTGCCGAACTCATCACCAAAGCGGCCATCTACTCGGTCGCGTTCGGGTCCAACGTCGGCGCACTGGGCGGCTCCTTTGCCGCGTCGCTCGCAGGCCTGCTCTGGCGCCAAGGCCTGCGCCAGGGCGGGGTCATCGTCGGCGCCAGGCAATTCGCGCTGTGGTGCGCCGTCAGCATCGTCCCTGCCACCGCTGTGGGCGTCGCGGTTCTGCTCGCAGAAGTTCAGTATTTTCACATCGGAGGCACCGAGGCGCAAGCCTGAAAAAAAAAGTCGCTGCTTCTATCGCATTCGCATATCGACCAACTAGCAGTGGCGCAATTTCTACCACGAGTGAGGCCCTGATGAATGATTTGAAAAGGAGTGCCAGTTTGCAAGAGGCTATGATACAGATGACAACACGTGAATTGAATGCTGGAAGGGTGTATGTTGTGGTGCAGGCGGAATTCGCATAATTTCAATTTTGCCCTCCTCCCCCTGCCATATCGTCGGACTTTCTTGCGGCCTCGAGCAGGCTGAGCATTGAGTGCTGTGATGCCTGACCCCATGCCAGCCCCTGCGGCCCTGGCATGGATCCTGCAGCCAGCGTGTTGGAGGCAGCCGCAAGCGCGTTGAGATTGCCAAGGGCGTTAGCCGTCTGGCTGGCGCTGGAGCTTGCTATCGCATGCGACATCTCAGAGAGGCCGAGAGCAGCGACAGTCGCAGCATCAAGTGGCCCGATCATCGGAAGGTTTGGATGTGGCGCTTGGATTTGCTGCTGGCCGCCACTCTGGGAAGCAAGCAATGCGAAATTGACACCAGGTCCATGAGACTGTTGCGCAGCTCGGTACGCCGCTTCTGCCAGCATCATGGCAGCTTCAGCGTCAGAGCGTGAGCGATTGCGAACGCCGTGCGGATTGCTGGGTGCATCGAGCGTCGGCATCGATTGCTGCTGCTGCATCACATAAGGCGGCGCAGAGACCGGTGAGGTTTCCCCACCTCGGCTGCCCTCATCGGAGCCGTCGTCGTCATCTTCATCATCCTCTTCGTCGCCATCTTCGTCATCCTCGTCTTCATCGCCACCGCCTTCGTTGCCCGCATCTTCACCGGTGTTTCTTCCTTTCTTGGCATTTCGAGCCCTGCAGAGGTGCCAATTGTACGCTCAGCTACCATCGCTCCTGAAAATTCGTCAACATACAACCAGACGCAACCACAGCTCACCTTTTTGATGGCGGTTTGACATAGTCCGGATCATGACTGCGCATATGTCGATTTAGCGTCGTACGGCGAGTAAACTGCTTTCCGCAACCCGGCACCGAGCATCCATGCGGCCTTTTGCCCGAGTGCGTTCGCCGATGCCGAGCCAGCGAGCTGCTGTCTGAAAAGCTCTTATCGCATCCAGGATAATTGCAAGCATGCGGTCGCTCGCCCGTGTGTACACGCTCGTGGACAGTCAAAGCCGAGCGCTGCGTGATCAAGGAATCAATAAAATAGAACAGTTAGTTGCGTGCTGTTCTACCGGCTCAGGAAGGCGTTCTTTACAGCGCACCTGAATAAAAGTCTTCCCGCAACCAGGAAAGTTGCATGGATACGGCCGTTCGCCTGAGTGAATGCGCTTATGCCTGGCCAAATCGGACCTGCGCGTAAATGTTTTGTCGCATTGATCACAAGAATGATGTTTCGGGCCTCCTGCATCGCCGTCCTTGCTCTTTCTGCCACTTGTTCTCGATTGCTTTGCCTCTGAAGATTTGGCATCCGACTGTGTGTCCTGCTGTTGCACCGTCGCCACCGTGCCGGGGCCAGGCCCAGCGACAACTTCAGTTTCCGCGCCCTTGCTCATTAGCATAGCCTGTGCATTCTCTGTCTGCGGCATGATAGACGGAAACAGTGGCGCCTGGCCTACAGACGGTTTAAGAGTTTTGTGTACCCCCCCTTTCGCAATGGGCGTAGCAGCTGCTGCCGCAGCAACAACAGCAAGGACACCATCAGCAGCCGACATTGCAGGCATCGGCGGAGGCGCAGTCGAGGGGTTGGAGCTGACGAATCCTGGCGCTGCAGACATCTGCGCCAGAATCTGAAAGTATGTTTCCTGAGCACTAGCATTCGTCGTGGTTGGACGCACGTCTTCCCCAGTTGTCAAACCCGGTGGTCCATTCGCGGCTGCCGCAGTTGTGAAAGCTTGGGCGGCGGCGGCAGCAGCAGTAGTTGGATCGACTAATGGTGCAGAGGCCTGCATGCTCGTAATCGTACTGGCGGGCGTACCGCTAGCGCTGCTTGAGCTGCGACTGGCACCGTTCGCGCCGCCAGTACCAGCAGGAGGACCTCTTCTCTTGCCCTTACCAGTACCTGCGGAAGAAGCGGCTCTCTTGCGTTTCGGACCACGGTTCGCTGCGCCCCCTCTTGTTGTACCGTTCGCACCACTTTTCGAGCCCATACCACCACCATTGCTAGCTCCACTGCTGCTATCCCGACGACCTGAGTCTGCCTGCATTTTGAGCGGGTCTACCACGTGAGGTGAAGAGGAAGCAGAAGCGGAAGCCGCTGCGGAGTGTGGGGGTGCCCCATACATAGCAGCCGACAGCTCCGAGACCGAGACGGTGGGCCCGGTCGCACCGAGGCCTAGGCCGAGATCGGTGACGGCTGCTCCGTTGCTGGGCACGCAGCTTGATATGCTCGTTGTTGTTGCAGTCGTCGTTTGCGGAGCGACAGTCGCTGGTTGCTGCAACGCATGCGGCAGTGCGAGAGGCGGGCCATTCCAAAACGCATTGAAGGCCGCAAACGAGCCTGGGGAATCGAAGGCATCAGTCGCTGCTACACCTGTGTCTTGTGACTGCGGGTTGTCGCCGGTTTGACGAAATGCGGGAGGGCCTTGCTGCTGTTGCTTTCGATGCCGCTGCGCCCGTTGCTGCTGTTGTTGACGCTGGTGTTCCTGCTTCTGTTGCTGAGCGCCGCTAACGCTAGCGGCAAGTAACGCAGCGATAGCGTCTGACGCACTGGCAGATGTGCTGTATGAGCCGGACGACGCTGGCGTGGGACCAGAAGAGCCGTTTTTCCCGCCACCTGAAGCGTTTGTAGCGGGAGTGTCGCCACGGCTACCAATCATATCTGCTCCCCCATTAGCATCAGTGTTCTCTCCGCCCGCCGCAGCACCATTGACGCCCGTTGCCCCGGATCCAACACCATCGCCCGTGCCCGTGGTGCCATCGAGCCCGGAATCAAGCGGATAATCCCTGGCGGCGCTACTGGCATACGGACTCGAATTTCTGCCGGAAGTAGAGTCGCCGAACAAGTTCGACGCACTCCATGGACTGCCCTCTCGTCCGCCGTACAGCAGTCCAGCGCCAATAGACGCAGCGCCACCGCCGGTACCCCCTGCTGCCGATGCAGACCCAGCGGACCCTATGCCCAGCCCAGTGCCAGATCCGGACCCATGTCGCCCCCATGTTGCGATACTCGTTGCAGGCGGCGTGCCGCGTGGCCCGTAAGGGTCACGGAGGGGATCCGCATGCCTACGAGGAGAATGCACAAAGTCGGCTAATCGCGATGGCGAGTTTGGCACATCATCTCCTAGGCCACGCGTGAAGTAGCTTGCGGGCAAGTATGGCATGCCTGCAAACGCAAAGGAAAGAGAATAAAGTTCAGCAAATTCGAAACTATTTAAGCAGCATACCCTAAGCTCCGCAGCGCACAAACCTTTGGACTCCAAGTCTGACCCTGGCGCCATCCCATCAGCCGCGCTTCCGTCATCAACCTTCTCCCTTTCCTTGTGTTCATCCGCGTCTGTCACCTGTGCGCTAGCCGTGTTCGTATCGTTTTCCCCATCTTCTCCTTCTGCATCATTGTCGCCGCCAATATTTGAAATCCCTTCTTTGTCTCCGTCACCGGCCGCATGTGGTGCAGAAAGGACAGCACCTCCAGCGGACCCTTCCGACACCACTTGAGAGACAGCAGTGGTAGCGGGCATCGCAGCGTCAGCCGTTGTCAAGAGTGACGGCAGCAAGTCCCTGTCTTCATCTACTTCTGTTTCTGGTGCCCCAGCCTCTTCGAGCTTTCGACGCTTGCTGGTCAGCCGCTCGCCTGCAATTACCCGCAAGGAGGGCCTTTTGGGAATTCTGCGCTGTTGCTGTTGATTTTGTGGCTCGATCGTTGCCCCTGGAGATGACACACCGAGTGGAGCTGCCGCGGACGAACGAGGCGAAGATGGAGCTGGTATGCGGCGCCTCGCACTTTGCCCGCTATTTTCTACTTCGTCGTCGACCTGCTCCTGACTTGGCTCCCCCTCTTCCGCGAGCTCCCTGCTTCCGAAGCTCTTCGGTGTGCCTGCGCTGGCGCTACCGCTGACACTTCCGGTTCGAGAGCCTGTGCCGGTCCCAGTTCCCGTAGGCGTGCCAGTGCTGCTCTGCGCGTTGGTAGGAGGCTCCCGCGCTAGCGCACTGGAGCGCCTCGGACTGCCTATCAGCCCGCCTAGGCCTACAGCAGCGACAGCGCTGATCGGTGAGGCAGGTGCAAAACCCTCTCCCGTCGCACTCTGACCTGGGCCCGGAGAAGCGAAACCAAAGTGAAAGCCGACAGACGAAGGCGACAGAAAGGAGGTAGGCGAGCCGAACCCCAGATTCCAGGTCGATCCCGGCCCTGTACTCTGACCCAGCCCAAGGCCTGCAGCGAGTCCAGCGCGAGGCGATGAGGGGCCTTGGAGGCCTCCTTTGCCTTCCGATACGTCTCTGCCGCTATTCGTCAGCTGCTGATATAAAAACCGAGGACTACCAAGTGGCGATCCGCTCGCTGCGAGGCCGTAGCCAGGTGTTCCAGCTGCTGTGGCCGGTTGAGCGCCACCGCTTGCGCCTGCACTCGTGTTCGTTTGCAGCGCCGGCAAGGCTGGGCGAGATGCAGAGCTGTGTGGGAGCTGCGAGTGAGCGAGTGTAGGTGACGGGGCCGCCGAGGCAGCAGCAAGAGCCAGTGCCTGCAATTTTGGCGAAGAAGTGTTGTCTGGCGGAAGTGCTATGGTCGATGGCTCGCCTGCCGTGGTCACCGTCGACCCCGCTCCGGACCGCAAGCGAGACTGTTGGTCCTTGTTGAATGACACCGGCCTGATGAGCAATGGCGATGAAGACGGAACTTGACCAGCAGCAACAACTGTTGTGGGACTCTGACTGCGATACAAGTGCTGCAATCGGGGCGAAGACGCTACCAGCGGTGAGGATGAACGGCTCGTTCTGTCTCGATCCCTTTCTGCAAGGGTCGCCGAATCCATCCGCGTTGCTGGCAGAGCTCGCACAGACGGTCGTCTGTGCACTTCCAATGGTCCTTGTGCTAACGAAGAGTGGGGTACGCTGGCTGTTGCTTCTCTGCTTCTGCTGTTGCCACTACCACTGTTGTCATTATTGCTTGTGTCGGATGCAGCCATGATGTAGCTTTGTACAAGGACAATTCTATGGGCTGTTGAGGATGTGCTCATGCGCACGGATGCACAGTGATGGAATTTGGCGTTGATCGGCGAAGTGAATGAGACACTCACACCCCCGCACCCTCTCAGACTGTGCTGCTTGTCTGCAAGTACGCTACGAGGCGTGATGGCTATACAAGCTGGCAACGTTTATTGGTACGCCAGCGCTGGTCGTAAGTAGGCAACGGATCACCGCTGCCTGGCCCACTTGTCCATCATTGTGACATCTGCCGAGGTGTGCTGTGCTTTCGCATTGGCTTGATCGTCAACAGCGACTTTGGCGACAGGTTGCAACTGTGGTGGGCTGTGGGCACGCGCCTCGCCTCGCAGCGCCGCTTGCTCTCGCTGCTCGACAAGATTCAACGAAAGCTGCTTCCTTTCACTAACTTTTCTCTCATACACCTGATTCAGCTATCGGCAGCAGCTGATCTTCAGACCCCCTCGAGCGATTCGGGGGATTGTACTGGAACTGGTTGCTCCAAGGTCTACGCACAAAAAAAAGTCGGCCGGCTAAAAAAAAGGCTGGCGCACTGGCACAAGTGGCACGGTGGCGGCCCGTGCGCAAAAGTCAGCATGCCCTGATCGAGTCAATCCGGCCTGCCTTTCAATCCATATATGTGATTTTGGTCCAGCACGAACGAAATCCATTCAAAATCCAGGCAGACCAAAGAGCTCCCGATGAAATATTTGGGGCGTTATTTGTGTACATTGCATTCCCTTTACTTCCCACCGCTACCGTCCGGTACAGTGGGGAGGATGAATGACATGCCCTGCTGATCTTGGCGGTGCGCCGTCGACCCTGGAGCAGGCAATGTCGGGTCGATCAAGCGCTTGGGATCCATGAAGTTGCGCACCACGTCCTCAGTCACTTTCACCTTGTTCTATGTGGAGTAGCCACAAATCAAGTACATTGTCAGTGCCTTGATGCGATCTAATTAGAAGCGCGTGCTGCATGCGCCCACTCACATCTTGGAACGTCTTGACCACGTGTTGCAGCACGGCAATCGCCATCTTCTTGAGTTCGCCAGTGAGCAGCTTGCCAGCGCGGTAGTCCTGAAGGAGCAGAGACCACCGGGGTCGTCAGACTCAATACAACGTAACGCAGTTGTCACCTGCTCTCAGAAAGCCACTCACATCGGCCAACTCCCTCATCTTCACATCGTCGTCCACAAAGAAGAGCATGTATTGGTAGCTGACGTCCACGTCCGGGTTGCCGCCGAGCCTCCGCTGCTCCTCGAGTGTCTCCTGACCACCAGAAAAGGCATGCTTGTTGATCTTATTCTTGATCTGGTTGGCCGTCTCGTTCATGTAGATGCTGCTCAACTCGTTCGACGCGCTCATCTTCGTCTGCGGGCCTTGCAGCGCGGGGAAGAACTTGCTGTGAATCAACGAAGGTTTGGGGTACTTCAACCGCACAGCGACGTCGCGTGTTTGGCGGAAGTACGGATCTTGGTCGATTGCGCAAGGGATAAGGCACGGGATATCCGATTTTCTGCCGTAAATCTGAGGGAATGAGTTGGAGAATGATGGAGCTGCTTGCACTGAGACAAAATGCAGCTTGCCAACGTTATCGGAGTCATTGAAGCCAAATGTCCCCTTAGACTGGTTTGCGGTGATGCACCGCGCAATGCGAACAATGTTGTGGTAGAATGGGCCGCTGCAATATGGAAGCACGTCGAGTGAGTGCCAAAATATGCGTGCCTGCTCATCAAAGGACACGCGTGGAGCTATACTCACCCAACGTAGTCTAGATCCGAGAAGATGAATGTCTTGTTCGGGTTGAAGCCGCACGCGATGATGTCCTTGGCGTTTTCCTTGGCGAATTTTTGCACTTGCTCCAGCTTGAGCTCCTGCTTGAACAGAAACTTTTCGTCGTCGGTCAGTTGAATGACTAGCGGGCAGTCAAAGACGTCCTGTAACCATCTACCGGTAGCAGGAGAGAGACATTGCACGGTGTCAGAAGTTTCCAACCATCAAAAGGAGCGATTTAGCGCCAAATCACTTGGTAAACATGAAAGGGATCAAATGCCCCAAGTGCATGCTCGTGCTGCTTGGCCCTCGGCCAGTGTAGAGATAAAATGGTTTGCCTTGCTCGTACCGCGTCAGGATCTTGTCAAGTTCTCTGCAATGAGTGCATAATGAGTCATTGGAAGTGAAATTATTCGTTAGTTTGCTCAGGCTCACCTGTGACTGAAGAAAGTGCCTCGCCGAAGCAGTGGGTGTGGTTTCCATCCCGTCAAGGTCTCGAAACGCTGCAGTAGCTCTGCATCGATCTGCTTCGTGCCGAATTCTTTAATAAGCTTATTGTAGTCGATCGCGACCTGTTTTCCATCAACAAAGCCGCCTTCTACGTCCCAAGGTGTGACCTTTTGCGCCTCAACGACGCCTCCATCCGGTTTTTGGACTGAGTCGGAAGCGGGGGGATTGACCGCCGGCACAGGGCCTTGTGAGGGAGGCTCGACATTCGCGCCGTCCTTTGTTTTCGTTTCCAGGTTGACCGCCTCCATCTTTTGCGTTATCTGCTCTTGTTGAGAAGTGCCAGTCTGTGCCATAGTGCCTTCTTGTATTGGCGATCTACCCGAATGTACAGACAACAGCACAGGAGCGGGCCAGGGTGCGATTGTGCTGTAAACGTGTAAAGAAGAAGGTCGTCAGAGCAGTACTCTATATACATTTCTAGAGTACCGACCACCCCACTAGGAATATGGTTCGGTAATGAATGCCATCAGACTGCTCTGGTGCAGCATTGATGATCGTTCACGTGACTAAATTCCTGCCAAGTGTATATTTGTTCTGAACAGCTCCAGACTCTGTCAGTGATTGCACCAGATCTAGGTAGTCCACCAATCTGACAAAAGATGACGGATCCTCCCATGAACGTCGGACATCGATGAACAATGCAGTGGCCAATATATATTTGGCCAAGTGAACAATGGATTGCGATGCTGCATTGAACGTGGGCTGCACTGTACATACCCAGATAGGTAGGTAGGGGCAGCAGACACACAGGGGGCCTCAACGCCTACTTACGATTGATTGATGCGCGCGAGACTCAAAAAGGGTCGGTCATTCATCATTTGCATTGAGGTCGGCGCTGCAGCCGCGTTTCCGTGTCTCCACCACACCCAAAAGTGAAAGTACGCGCATTGTGGACGTCTCTGTACAATTTTATTTCGCAACGTCTGAGAAGCCACTTTGTTCTTTGGCGGACGTGAGGTGCCAGGCAATGGCTCCTCTTCCAACAACCCCCTTAATTAAGTAGTGTTGAAGACCACTACGTTATGAAGCAGGGGGGAGACTGGCGAGACACACAATCACTGTCGGCCGGTATACACGGCCAAACTCTGGCTAACGTAACTAACTAGCCTAAACAGACCGCTGCTATAGACGGCAGACTGCTGCGGAAAGCCACGGACAGCTATAGATACGTGTACAAGGTGCAAGCGCACTGCACCAAGCACAACACCATCGTCTATCTAACTCTATCAGCAATTCTTCAGGCAACCAATTTAGACTTCGAGGAGAGCGACGAACCGCTTTGGTATAAGCTCTCGATCTAAGGATCGCACTTGCATTCACTGTAGATTGCAACCTACATCTTTGTGCGGAAGGCCAGGCCAGGCCAATGCGATGGCAGCCATCACGACAGACCAAGCATTACAAGCGTCGACCATGGCGCCCTCCAGTTCACAGCCTTCGCTGGGAACCAGCACATCGGGCCCTACCCTCGAGGCAGCGAATAGTCAAGGCGGCGGCAGCAAGAGGGCAACTTCTTCCAAAGGTGGCCCGTCAAGTCCAGGCGGGACGCTGCAAGCGGCCAGAAAGGAAAACAGCCCGAACTTGCCGTCAGCCAAGCGATCATCAGCTAGACCTTCACCTGCGGGCCTTAATGCAACGCCTCAAACGCAGTTCCAGACGCAGCGAAGCGTTGGTACAATTTCCGCCGGCTTACCCATATCCATGTTGAGAGACGCTTCCAGTCAATCTCAAGCTCTGCGTGCTCCTCCGGGCAGCGCACCCAGAGTAGGCCTGCGAAGCAGCTACTACTTTGGGCCTCCACCGCAAGATTCAGCATTTGGTACGGCCCCTGTGGGAGTAATAGGCCGTGACAAGCCACGGGAGATCATTCGCGTCGAGCGAGATTACACCAGCGGGGAGCTGTGCCAGTTCCACCCTTCATTCCCGCTCGAGCTCGAAGGGAGAGTGTCACCGACTCATTTTTCAGAAACGATCAACGACATTAACGTCCTCCTCATCGAAGCCAATTCCCCAGGGTGGGCATGTTTTGACAATACACTCGCTGCGCTCACACTCTACATCAGCCCATTTCTCTTCGGCTCAAAGTACAAAAGGGTGAGTTTACCTGAACATCGAATCCAGTAAGTCTACATTCTGATCCAGCGCCCATGCATCCCCCTTCTGCATACCAGGAAATGGCCAGGCTACAAGCCTACATTACAAAAGCAAATAAAGAATCCTTCAATCCAGCAGGGCTCAACATTATTCATCCTCGACACAGCGCATTCCTTTTTATGGAGATCGAGTACTTTTGAGCCTCTCCCCTCTTGCTCCCTGGCGCGCGACGCAGGATGTACCACGCGGAGCACAGACTGGTACACCAGAAAGCATGCATGCATACCGTTAAACGGACGCTACAAGCGTCTTCGAGTTCGCTAATCCAGCTATTTCATCACATATATAATCCAATCTTTGTACTTGTAATCAGGAGAACATCCAGCAAACAGGGTATGCAGGCATTGAATACCTCCTCGAGCGCTTCCGCCTGGGAAAAGAAATACTATTTTGCACCGAGACTACGAATTACAGGAGGGTCCGCTGGCTTGGCATATCCATTCGTATTCCCCGTTCCTTCGGCATCTTTGCCAATCTCTTCCTTATGGCCGCTGCCAACGACCGCCGCAGCTGCAGCCGCCGAGGCCGCTTGGGTCCCCCGCCAAGTCAACCACGCGAATGATGAGCCTTGAGTTTGCGCCTCTTGTCGCGGCGACGCTTTCTGTCCTTTCTGCAATGCGCTCGCCCTTGCAGCGGCTTCTTCTGAACGCCCTTCTGCTTCTGGACCAGTGGTGTTTGACGCAGACACTAACCTTTTGGATGCTGCTTTGCTCCATGCCGCCGCCTCCTTCCTCGGTGCTAGCGGACTAGGTGCAAAGTGACGCCTGCTCGTTCTGTCAAATTTTCCCACCTTGCCGCTGCGACTGTTACTGTGACGCCCCTGTTCCTCTTCCTTTGAATGATCGTCCGCTGCGCCGTTGGCTCGCGCATGCGCGTTATGGATGTGTTTATGCAAGCTACAAGCCGGCGAAAGGTCTCGGAGCGTGATTTCCGATGCTGTTGGATCATCGTCTGCAACGCGCCGCCTCCCCCTTTGATCCATCCAGCTGCTTTCTGAGCCACTGCTGCTGAGGAAGCTCACGATGACATTTTTGATATTCGGCAACATATGCCTGATATCCAACACAGCCACGTTCAGCTGGCTGCAAAGTTGCTCTGTGTTTTTCTGCATCAGGAAGAGCGCGTACTCGAAGCGATAGCGCTCCATACCCTTTGCGTAGAGCGGGAACACACGCGGGCCTTGGATCGCGCTGATCGCATCGTGAATCACAGAGCGCGAACCTGCGGGTGCGATCGTGTAATGCAAGGGTATGCAAAGGTACGACGATAGCAGCACCAGCAGCTGGGCGCAGAGGCCAAGGGCTGAGGAGACAGTGTCGTCGTCATTGCACAGCTGTTCCTCTAACTTTCCTGCGGAGTTGTTCAGCGATGCAGAGAGTGACAGTTGGGTTAACGAAGTGTCAGATAGGTTCGGGAGCGGTACGCCAGCAATGCTGAACAGCAAGATCGAAGGTTCGACGACTTCGATGGGGTATATTTCCTCAAGAGCGCTGAGCAGCTGTTTCCGTCTCTTGCGAATCCTGCCGCATATCGCAGTCCTCTCCTGCCCGCTTTGCTCGATCCGCTCCCGGAGGCGTTCGATGCCCGGCCGTACTTCTCCTGAAAGTAATCGCCGTGCATTCTCAAGACGCGCTCGCCTCCGAATCAACGAGTTGCGTGCGTTGTCGAGTTGCGCGCGAAGAGAGTCGAGCTCAGATTGCTCAGCTTTGATAGTCGCTTGGGCCACTGAGGTTGCGTGATGCTGGATAGAGCGGTGCTTCCGCTGATTGAGTTCGGATGCCAGGAGCAGTGATGAATGAGCATCTCCTGCGGTAAATAGTTCCTCTGTGAGCGGGCCACTCACTAAACCGAATTCCTGATCATCATCGAAAAGAATGTGCTTCGTGCGTTCCTCCGCGCCCCTCCACTCTAGCTTCGCAAGGGCATACTCATTCTGTGCCATAAGGAGCCTGGACGAATGTAATCACCAGTGAAAGGCGTCAGAAGGGCCTGCTCAGTGGCGGCGAGGGTTCGAAAAATTGAGATTCAAACTAACTCATTGATGTCATGCACCGTGTAGCTCTCGCGTTCCATCTCGGCGGTATTGGCTGTGGTACTGTTTCAACTGGGATCTTGCAGAGCGCTTCGTAATCGTTCGAGGGAGATTAGAACGCAGTACCTCGCTTGCTTTTGCAGAGCCAAGTTGTCGTGCGAGTGGTGCCAAGTGAGGCGCTCACCTTTCCCATTGCTGTAGTAGATCTCAATGCGCAATAGGGGGAAGCACTTAAGTAGTCCTTCGCATCGAAATGCTCATGGTTGCAACGTAAATCGAGGCACTCGGAACACCTGGCTCCGAATCAGGGAGTATGACTTTGAACTGTGCCGCCGTACTTGCGCTCTCGACAGCCGTCTCTCCTCACGGAAGAATGACCATTGATCGTGGTATTTGGACTCCTGGCCTGTAGGTGGCACACACCGTCGTCAGTTCGGTGACATCGCTGTGCAGTCCTGCATGGGCTGGCGCGGGTTGGCTTGATGCTCCCGGCTCGGGGGTGTCCGACTAAATTGCACGGATATAGGGCAACCCTAAAAGAGGAACAATTACTGGGTAAATAACCCTAAGAGGCTGTCCGCTCGCTCGGGCGCTCCGTCGAAAACTCTGCCGCAAAAATCGAAATCGTCGCATCGTGAACCTCTCGCACTGTCTCTCGCTTGCCTCAACTCGAGAACATCTTCTTGTGCGGCTCATATCTCCTTTGGTCCCCAATCCTGCCCAAAGGACAGCAGACAGCGCATATAGCCATCCCTGTGGAGAGTTGGACAATACCCCCTAGAGCGCAAGCCGATATCCGCCTGGTCTTTGGCAGACAAGTTGCACTGCCTGACGAGCGCGTGAGACCAAGCAGTTTAACGAACGACGAAGCTGAGAAAAGCTTGTCGTGTCAGGCATTCAACCAGCTGTAGGAGGGGTATCAGGGAGGAGCTACAGGTGAAGAATAGATCGCGATGGAGGAGGAACGACAGGTTGCAAGGCTTTGGAGGGTGAACAAAACGATCCACGAGCTGGTGCAAGATAGGGTGAGCGTTAGCCGGAGTCGGACGGCGTAACTATTTGTGCCCTGCTGACGTGCGCCACTGGATGCAATCCCAAATGCAGGGATATCAAGTAGCAGAAAGCGAAATCAACATCTCTTTAGACGACTTCAAGGCACAGTATGCCCCCAACGGCCATGTGGACCGCAAAGCTCTGAACTTCTTCGTCGAGACGGAGGAGCCAGAGGATGGCGGGGAGACGGACAAGTTGTATGTCTTTTACTCAGAAGACGCCAATGTGGGTGTCAAGACGATGCGGCAGTTCATCGGCGCTCTGGATCAGCAAAACATTACCAGAGGCATCATCATCTGGAGCGAGAAAATGACTCCGGCTGCCAAGAAGGTCATCGAGGCCATGCGTAACCAATTTGTGCTCGAAGACTTTGATGAGGCTAGCTTGCTTGTCAACATCACACATCACATGCTCGTGCCACGGCACGAGATCATGAGCTTTCAGGAGAAGCGAGAGCTTCTACAAAGATAGTGCGTGACCCGTAACTTGTTACCCGGCGCTGAGAAGCGAACTGATGGCCCCTTTGCTATTCATCTCAGTCGGCTGAAAGACAACCAGTTACCACGCATCCAGCCCACAGACCCCGTCGCACGCTACTTTGGCCTCACACGAGGGCAGGTTGTGCGCATTACCCGACGTGAGTAGTCACATCCTCGAAGTGATGCACATCTAAGCACAATCTAATGGTACTTGCTCCCTTATCTTGCAGCTTCCGAAACTGCCGGTCGATACTGCAGCTACCGGATCTGCTTTTAGGCGCGGTCCCCCCTGCTGGGCAGCAGCAGTATTGTATTTGTATGGCACATGTTCTCTAATCTCCGTCGCATATGAAAGGGGCAATGCATGAGGTGCGCCCCGAAACACGTTTAGTGCCATCAACTAGGCTACACTCCTCTCGCGGCTCTATCAGAACGACCTGCGAATCCGCTCCTGACACTCTTTTAGCTTGCTTTCCGAAAGCGAGAATTGACGACCAGGCAAGATATCCCCACTGTCCTTGGCATTTGCACAGGCCAGCGAGTGAATGGAGACAATGTACGCATTGATCGCGTCATCGATCCTTTTAGCAGGAAAGGATGTCATCCCAGCTGCGCTGGGCATGTCGAGCGTCTGCTCGAGCCACAGCTCGATCAAGGCAGCAGTATCTGCAAGCAAGAAGGAAAGGCCGGCACGGCTAGTCCAAGGGTCTTTCTTGTTGTGGAAGGACAAATCGAGTACGTCCAAGATGCCTTCTTGGTCAGCACCCGCTTCGCTGAGGGTCTGTGCCGCCCAGCCAATGGGAATTTTTTGACGATCGCGCTCGCTGAATGCATACCGCTCCAGCAGGTCGGTCAAGACATCTGGAAGGCGGAACGGCGCGCACTCGGCTCAGCTCACATCACAGAGAGAGCGAGGAGCCCCTTGGAACTCACCAACTGGACAGGCCGTCTCAGATGGAAAATAACGCCCTGCGAGACTGATGACCGTCGCGGCCACATGCTCAAACCGCCGGGGGCCGGGAGCAGACTCGTGAGCTGTGCCCAAAATGAATGTCAGATTCGTCCTGAAAGACGTAAAATACGATGTGCCCACCTTGATCGAGCAGCGCCTCCCATGTCTCCTTTACTAGTTCCGCATCTTGATAATCAGATACGTGGAAGATCATGATCATGATGTCGTATAGCTGTAGGGGTTGCACAAAGTCTCGGTAGAGCTGAGAACAAGGGTAGAAAAGTAAGTATGGCAAGGTTTGCAAGCAACAATGAGGATGAAACGTACCGAAGAGATATCCAGCAAGGTGCTGTCCAGTTGGGCGAGGAGCTCGTTCTGCCTGTCATCCTCTAGGTCATCAAGCTGTTCGATAGCCTTGTACAGCTCTCCTTGTACCTGTGCGACCTCAAGCATGTCTTCGATCTCAGTCTGCTCTGCGACGTGATCCCCGCCGCCTGCAGACCTTGCATTGCTGGAGGCAAGCGAGAGATATTCAATCCGCTGAAAAAGTGAGAGATCGAGCCTGAAATAGTGTTGCGTGAGCTTTGTCACCATTTAGTTAACAGTGCACTGCTTACTCACTCATCTGTTTGCGCCAGGCCAGCCAAGACGGTCGCAGCTGCAAAATATTCGCCAACTCTGACGTGGTACTGCCAGAGAAGCTCGCACTTCTCAAGTGTGAGAGGCTCTCCGGCGAGGTAGTCGCGGATGTAGGGAGTGCGCATAGCAAGCAGCTGCTCCGTCATCCGCCGCTGGAGCAAAGAGTCGTAAAGGGCCGCGTGGAAGAGCGGATCTTCCGATTCTTCGGCTAGTGCATATGCGCCTGTGCGAAGCGCATCCGTCTCCTCATCTAAAAGATGTACAAGGTTTAGCGAGAAGGCCCCCTGTGGAGAAGATATTGGAGTACTCACATGCCCTGTCAGTAGCTGCGTTCTTCTCTCTTTGATTGACAGCCTCATTGAGCGCGTCGTCAAACTTTGCCAGCGATTCGAGGACAAGGCTGTAGCAATGAGAACGCAGGTGGTAAGCCTTGCGCGCCTCGTCAGAGCCTTGTTGCTGTGCAGCATAGTATGAAATCGCCAAGTTTTTCGAGTCCCAAAGAGCCGCGCATCGCAGTGGGAGCTGAATGGCACCTTGTGCGAACTGCATAGCGGCAAAGTCGGTGCACGCCGCCTTAAGCTTATCAAACGGCAACTGAGCGGCGGCCCGAAGAAGCAGTCGCAGGCTCTCGCGCAGGCTTTCGATGCGCTCATTTTGATCCAGCGCTTCCCTGGCTCTCCTTAGACCCTCGAGAGCCTTGTACAGACGCACATCGTCGGCATTGCAAAAGCTACCGCACCGCTCTTGCAGCACGTCAGCCACGGCGTCGATGCTGACTTGACTCGCGATCAGCACATCAATCACCGCTTCCACAACACCTCGAGCCGCTTCACGGCCTGCGGATGTGGTGATCAAGTCTGCATACGTAAGGCTGAGTAGCTGTGTCTGCAATTCAGGCTTGCAACCAGTGATGATGGTAGGCATCTTGTAATCGATCAAGAGCAAAGCGAAGCTGAGAGCCTCGAGCGTTCGCGCGATTACCTTGCTCAATGCAGTGAGACTTTCCTGCTCGGCCTGCTCTGCCCGCTTCTCATCCGGAAGTGTGACGGTAGCGCTGGAAGCTTTGGCTCCAATGCCAAGGAGTTGAGCATGGCGCTGAATGAAGCCATGCAGTTCTTGCAGATCTTGCTGAGCCTTTGCCAGAACCTGCGCATCCAAATTGCTATCTAAGCGATTCGGATCGCCAACGACAGGTGTCTTGCGTGCGATCTTGGCGTTCCAAAAAACGCGCATGAGGCGGGCAGTGTACATGGCGAGCGCGTCGTGTCGCGCAGAAAAGACGACCTTGCCTTCGCTGGCCGACTGAGAAGGGAAAGGCGGGGCTTCATACCTTGGAGCTCCACCCCAATCAAAGTAAATGCGGAAAGCGGCATTGACGACCTCTGGCGAGAGGTAGCGCGTGGCAAACATGCCCTCCTCCTTGGCGAGTGAATCAGCGCCGGGAGCCAGCACAGTGTGAAGCACTGACTCGGCAGAGGTAGTGAGCTGCGAGTTGCGACTGGCGATGGCGAGGGTCATGGCGCATGCTTGAGACAGGCCATACTTGCGGAAAAAGTCGCCCACAGGTTGGTCAAACGCAGTGCCAATCTCCAACAAAGTTCGAAGCGAGTCGATCGGCCGCTGCTCGACTAGGATGACAAGGCCGCCCGAGGAGAGGATCAAGAAGACCCGTGGAGGTCGCAGAACCTGCGTTGCTAGCGGCGAGATCCTTTCTACATCGATCATTGTTTCGAGTTGTGGATTTTTCGCCTCAGCGATTGCCCAAGTGACCCCTGGCACGAGCAAGTCCGACGCCGTGTCCGTGAGCTCTTCCCTGTGCTGACCGGCACCGGCCCCCACTCCAATGCTGGAAGCGACTGCCCGCTGCATCGACCGTTGGACGCAGAAGATGTTGTCTGTCTGGCCCTGTGGATCACCGGGATAGGGACTGGCAGCAATAAAGATCCCATCACCATAGAACCCGTGCAATGCTTGCGAGATGCCCGGGTGCTGAGGCGGAAAGTCGCTGGTCTGCGTCTGAAGCTGATAACCAACCATACCGCCTTCAGCTGTTTGCATTTGTCCCTTCGGTGGTGATGGACGTGTGTAGATGAGATCAAGCCCATTAGGTATCGAGTTTGTCGTTGTGGACCAACTTCCGTATCCGTAGCCTCGCCGAATGTGAGAAAAGTACAGTCTAACGCCGTTGCTGGTCATCGCAACAAGGTGTACGCCTTTGCTCTCCTTTTCTGTGGTTGTCCCGAGCCAGGTGATTTGAAAGTCATTCGCATTCAGCATACCGGTGTTGGGGCATTGAAAGTTCGCCAGCCGGCAAATGTCTTTGGCCCTGGCGACAAATTTGGGTGCTTGACTCGAGTCCTTGGTGAGCAGATGATAGACCGAAATTTCTCGTCGATTATGGAGGGTATATATAACGTTGCGCCGGTCGTCAACGAGGAGAAAATCAATCGATTCTGGAGGGAAAACGGATCAGCAATTGTCCGGGCGTTTCGCAGCTATGCCTTCATCCAGTGCATTCCCACCTTTTTGTTTGCCTTGTAGCAAAGCCGGCATTCGGTCGATCCAGGTGCTGGTGAGATTGTTGAGGTAACACTTGTTCTTAAACCACCCGTCCTGCGCCTGATACACAAGCTCATACAGGCACTGGTCACTGCCTCTGCAAAAGATCCTGCCTGAGGATGTCCCAGATACGTCGGACAAAAGGACTCCGCCTGTGTCTGCCTTCATTTCTGGAACGTAAAGTGCGATCTCTGGCGAGCTACCTTGCGCTTTGGACGTATCAAATGCAAGGCAAAGAAGGGAAATGGAGCTGTCTGTGGCGATGACAAGGACATGCTGAACCGAGGCGATAAATACGCCGGCGCGCGGCTTCACTAACGCGACGGACCTGATAGCGCTTTCTGGGTGGTCGTAAGTCTCAATTGAGGATTTGCTACCCTCGAGGTAGTTCCACAGATGTAGGGTGTTGTCAATGACAATCCAGGCACGCTGGATCTCTGGGAAGAGGCCTTGCTCGGCGTGAACGTGGGCCGACGCGCTAGCTTCGACGAGCGCATCTGGGAGGTTGACGATTCTTCGCTTGCTCAGAACAGACCATGGTGCAACTAGCTGCAGCTTGTACGCCTGGGGCGAGGCAGCTGCAATAGAGTAATCAATGTCAAACGCTTCAGACATCGCCCGATCCGAATGCATTGTACAAAACCCAAATGCTCACCAAGATGATCCGTCAGATCTGGCCACAGAGAGTCCTCTTGCAGGAATTTCCTGATAGTTGTTGCACCCTGATCCAGCGGTTTGAAGAAAGAGTCCTCTATCGCCCTACCAGATGGGCTGCATGTAGCCGTGAGGGTAGAACCAGAGGGCCCAGCTACGGCGTTTCCGTTCATCGCGAGCTCGTTTTCGTCCCGATTCACCCTGAGCAGAGCGATGTGAGAGCGCGAAACCGATAAAGCGAGTACTGCGAACGCCTTTACAAGACAAACAAGGGAAATATAGCTGCCTACCAGCAAGTCTGAGCGTGCGACCAGCGACAAAGCAGCCGGTAGTGTGTGTATACAACCCAAAGTGTGGGATGTAATGTACCAGTGAGAGAGAATCTTCGCAAATTGGATCGCAACGATGGTTAAGTTGACTTAGCTTCTACCTATACGTGTTTCTTAGACATCCGTGTTACAGTAAAATACCAACAGCCGTTCACTCCTCGCTTTTCGATCTATCCGTACAAATTGAATTGTTTACACGGGTGAATCTATGGGCGCCGAATGGTTTACTCTTCTAGCTCTTCAAAGTCACCACTGTTCTTGTGAAACCAAAGCAGAGTCCTATCTTCTGTAAAAGCTTGAGGGGTGTGTCAAAATCTGCAACCTGGCCTTGCTCCATTACGAGAATGGGGTCATGATCGATGATACTTGTGATTCTATGCCAGACCGTAATGAGGTTGCAATAATCGAACGCTGTGCAAATGGATTCTTGCATGGATTGATCAGATTCAACGCTGCATGCACCCAAGAGTCCAGTCAGTCTGGAAGCAAGTTACTGGGAACGCCAACAGTACACCCCAAGTTTGCGGTTGCCTCGTCCACGATCACAGCCTTGGCTTTGCGCAGGATGATGCGTATCATTGCCAAAAGTTGCCTTTGTCCTGCTCATAAGTCGATCCACCTTCCTCGATCATACTTTCATGCCTTACTTCGCTCTGCTGAGACGCACTCTGGCCGCTCGCATCGGGTATAGAACTCAACGACTGGACACGTCATAGCACCTTCCGGCATTCGTTGTCAGAGTACTGCGACAAGGGGTCCAGGTGGGCTCGGTGACACCCAGTGAACAGCATCAGAAAATGTAAGAAGAGGTCGATTTGGCTTCTGAGAGTCTGCAGACCGGCGTTTGTGATGTCCAGTCCTTCGATGGTGATTGAGCCAACGAAAGCCCAAAGGTCGGGACAGGGTTGTCCTCCGCTCTCATTGCCATGAGCTAACTTTACGTGCAGACCAAAATACGTCAAGTAATGTAGACAGTTGCTCAATAAGGACCGTAACCAGGATGTTGAGCATCCGTGTCGGCATCAAGGACAGCAACCCCCGTCTCCGCCACGTATTCTATCCAGTAATCTAATAGCTTGCGCAGAATCTCGGGCCTTTCTTGCGCCAAGTCGTGCATCTCACCTGGATCAGCGCTGAGATCGAAGAGCTGCCACTTGTCCGAGCCGACAGGGGCAGGCAGAAAGATCGCTTTCAGATTGCCTTGCCGAATTGCCTATTGCCCAAACAGCTCCCAGCCCGTCATATGCTGTTCGCCGTGTACACGGGAGGCTTTGCCGCTGAAAAATGGCACCCACGAGCTTCCACGCGGTGGGAGCACCTTACGCCCACGAAATACAGCCCTGGAATGAGCAACACCTGCGAGATCAAGAAGCGTCGGAAGGATGTCCATGACCGTCACGAATTCATGAGTGACCGCGCCTGCGAACCGTGCATCGAACCGTAGGAAACGCAAGATGCATGGACATCGAATGCCGCCTTCGGTGATCCATGCCTTATACATGCGCGAAGGGGCGGTGCTGGCCTGAGCCCAATGCGGACCATACCAAGTGAACGAATTGGCGCGGCCAATACTTTCGTAACTGTTGTTATAGTGCTTGGCAATGACGGCCTTCAGGCTATCGTCCCCTCTCAACGGCAGTGCTTCAAGCATTGCGCCCTCGCTGCCGTTATCGGCACAAGAGAATAAAGGTGTTGTCCAGCTCGCCCGTCTGTCCTAGGTATGTGATGAACCTGTCGATGTTTGTGTCCATCTGCTCGACCATGGCGGCATAGGTCTCCATGAGCCGCGACGAGTATTTCTTCTCCTCTTCTGTTAGCGAATCCCACGCCTTCGTGTCGTAGGAATGAATCATAGGATGGGCCTCTGTGCCTGCCGGCACAAGACCGAGCTTGACCAGCGTATCGAGACGCCGGGCCCGGAGCTGGTCTGGCCTGTCGTCGTAGACGCCTTTTTATTTGGCAACGATCTCAGGGTCTGCTTGAAGTGGCCAATGCGGTGCTGTAAAAGGCAAGTACGCAAAGAAAGGCTTTACCTTGTCAGTGGCATCCTCCTCCCTTTCAGACAGGTGCCTCAGCAGCTTGGAGACGAAAACTTTAGAAGAGTAAAATGGCCGAGGAAGATCGTCCAAGCCGAGCCTTTTGTCATTCTCATAGTAAAGAGGCGGCATGAACTTGATCGCCGGCTCCCCATCATCACGCTGCGGTTCCCAGGCATAGTGTGAGCCTGCGCCCGGGAGGAGGCTCCAGGATTTTTGAAATCCACGTGCGTGCGGTGTCGCATCAGACGTGAGGCCGAGGTGCCACTTGCCTGCCATGTACGTTGCATAGCCGGCGTCAGCTAGGATTTCTGGCAGCGCGGCAACTCGGGCATTCAGCACGCCTTCATATCCTGGATTGCCCTGGAAGGCAGGCACGCGATTAATCGTCTCTGCCATCTGCCCCAGGCTGGCGAGATGGTCTTCCGTGCCGCTCATGAGCATCGAACGGGTCGGAGAGCATGCTGAGGCGGTGTGAAAACCGGTTAGACGTATCCCAGCGTGGCCCAGCTTGTCCAACCATGGTGTCGAGATTTCGGGCCGTACGATCCCGTGTCGCTGAAGCCGAGGTCATCAGCGACAATGATCAGGAAGTTGGGCCTCTTGGTGCCCATCATGACAGTATACGGTATAACCCCATGCGAAGTAGCATAGTCCAGGTAGAGTCTAGAATATCAAGCCACATACGGAGAAGGGTACCTACGACCTTGGGGATCACAATCGGAAGAGGTGTTCTCCCACGAGCATTCATTCCGACGCACGCTCTTATACCATTTCTTCAGCTGGCAGCCTCACCTTTCGACGAAGGGGGCGACCTGCGATTATTGCCTGTTGCCCCTTGAACGTCCTAAGATTCGCATTTCAGGAAGCCGGAGCATGCCGTGAGCCAAGATTGCAAAGACATGTGCGCATTGGGTGCTCTTCTTGATGGTTGGTCTCGGTTCTATGGCGCCTTTTTTGCACACAAGCCGCAACCGAAGAAAAGAAGTGGAGATTCCGCTTTTGCTCAACTTCTTCAAATAACACATTACATCATCCAAGCTGCCGACATGCCGAGTTGCCCAACGAATCATCGATGAAGGAACACTCTCACTGCTCTCGGCAGCGGCTGGCGCTTCGTGGGGTCACTATAGAACACTGAATGATGGTGATGGATAGATGCAGAATTACAGGTCGCCTGCTATACTTGTAGCAATGTGTGCTCTAATGCCTGGAGACGAAATGCTATTGATGGAATCGGTGGTGCCTGCATGCATTTGCACATGATGCGTCGCGTTCAGCTAGACACCCTTCTCATCTTTCCCTCCTTGCTGCTGCTCGCCCGCATCTGCAGCCTTCTCGCCTTCGGGAGCGCCTACGCATATGCCCCCGTCCACATCTGCGCTCGCAATTGCACTCGCGTTCGAATATGACTTGCCGTACTTCTGCCACCCGGGCCAGCCCTTCGCGCGATCGGTGCACATCATCATGAACTTGAAAAAGCGATCGGCATACTCCTTTGGCGGGACGCTGCTGATTAGGTGCCGGTCCTGCGTGAAGCTCTTCCACCATGTCTCGCCGCGCTTGACGCTGGTGTATGGCGTGAAGAGATCGATGACGCCGAGGTAGTAGATCCATCCGGTCGGCTCGTTTGCCTCGTTCGTGCTGCGGAAGCCGCCTTCGTCCTGGTAAAAGACAAAGTGGCGCCGCTCGGACGAGTCCTTCGTCGGCAGCTGCGTGTCCGCGACGAGACTCTTGGGGTCGCTGCGCCGAACGGCAGCGCGCAGAGCGAACGCCTCCTTCTCGTGCAGCCGCTTATTCTTGCACGACGGCACGTGTTGCAGCTTGGGCATCTGCGATGACGTCGTATCCGGCTGAAACATCTGCAGCTTCTCTTGCCGCAGGTTCTCGCGGTTGCCGCGACGCATGTCATGCAGGCCGATCAGCAGACTGTAGTCCATGATGTTGAGGCGCGCGAGCAGCGCAACGTCTGATTTGAGCTGCGCTTCGAAGATGGCGCGCTTTTCGGGCCCGAGCTCGATCTTGCGTTCGCGGCGGAGCCAATTGATGTCCTTGAGCACGGCGCCCCTTTTCAGCTTGGCCTTTTCCTCGTCGTACTCGCGGCCGACGATGCTTCCTTTAAGGTCGTACGTTTCGTGTATGTCGCGGTGCGGGGGAAAAAGGTTGTTCATGATGACAAAGTGGATCTTGCGCCCGCGCGGCAGCTTGACGCGGTGCAAGCCGTAAAAGCGCGAGAGGAGAGTGTGCGGGTTGGCCTTGACGTGCTCGTGGTAGTCTTTGAGGATTCTCAAGAGGAACTTGTGCTCAGAGTGCCGGATCGTCTTGATGATGAAACGGTAATCGCGCGAAAAGTAAAAGAACGAGCCAGACTTGCCCGGTGAGCCGAGTTCGGAGAGAATGTACTTAGCCGTCAGCGAGAGCAGATAGTCGGCAGCGTCGAGGTGAAAGTACTCGCGCAGCTCGCGGAAGACCCAAGGAGCGTAGTCCTTGAACTTGAAGTCATACTTTGCTGATGGTGTCAGCTCATTTCCGATGCTGTGTGTGCCAGTAACAGTATGAGTCAGCTCCGCACTGACGGCCGAGAGGCTGTCGCGTCACGAGTAGACTGGGGCTCACATGTCAAAAGTGAACTTGTGCTTCGCCTGGTAGTCTTCGTCCGTCAGCGCGCGCTTAATCTTGGCCTGGCACCTCGATACCTGCAAGCAACAGCCACAGATCCACCACGTGCATGTCAGTCACACATCCTAGGAGTCGCATTGTCTGCCAGCCAGCCACTCAAAATGACTCACACCAATCCGGATGCCCGTCAGCATATTGTACATGAGCACGTAATTGACGTGATCCTCGCCGATCAAGTTGCCCACGAGCACCTTAGGCTCGTCCTCATCCGCTACTGCTCCTGCTGTTCCTCCACCGGCGGCAGCAACAGATGCAGCAGCTCCGTACCCGCTGCCGAGGCCGGCCATGCGGCTCCTGGTGCGCACGAGCATGCCGCCGACCTTGTCATCGGGCGCACCCGCTGCTGAGTTTGCGCCTGGCGCGGTGCCCGCACCAGGTGTAGCGGTAGCAGCATCTGCGCCGCTTCCATCGTCCACACCTGTACTCATCTGCTTGGCGCGGCGCGCGCGCAGCAGGCGCTCGGCATTTTTGTTGGCCTCCTCGTCGAACGCCGCGTCACCAGTGCGGATTGCGGACGACGACGACGGGTAAGACGGCACGAGCGTACTGCCGAGGGCGTAGCCATGCGCCTGCAGCTGGGTATGCTGGGCCTGCGCTTGCATGTGCGCGGGATCAAACGTGGGCGCGCGCTCGCGGCTCGAGCGGCGGCTGCTGCGCTGCGTCGCGAGCGATGACGCGCTCAGCGGCCGGCGGCTGTTTCCGCCCCCGGCAGCGTGCGCTGCAGCCAGGATACCCGCAGGAACGGGTGTCAGGCTCGTCGAGCCGCCGGACGTCTTGTTGCGGCGGAGCGGCGTTGCGACGCCCGCTACACGCGCTGATGCCGATGTGGAAGAGGAGGTGGTTGCTAGCTGCTGTTGCTGTTGAAATTGCAACGCTGCATCAGCACCTGTGAACACTGGCGCGGTAGCGCTGCGTATCGGCCGGGCCACATGCCCGCCATTTGTTAGACTGGTCTTGACTGTCGCACTAGCACCAGTACCACCGGCAACAACAGCGGGTACACCAGTAACGAACGGGCCAGCGCTGGACTCGGGATCGGCGGTGATGCTGTCGGGATCCGCCATGGCTCCGTTCGGCATGCTGCTCGCAGCGGCGGTGGACGACCCGAGGATGCCAGTTAGCCACCCTGCTTGTGCATACTGTTGCTGTTGTTGTAGCCCTGCGTCCTCCTGCGAACGCTCGAGATCATTACCGTCCGTCTCCTCGCTAGCGGTGCTGTACCTCGAGTGGCCGCTGGTGGAGCCGCCACCGCCGATGCTGAGGCTGCCGCTGACGCTCATGCCACCGAAGCTCAACCTCTGCGACGAGTCCTGCTGGTGTTGCATCGGGCGACCGCTAGCTCCCGCCATGGCCGTCGCGCTGGACGGATCTGTAGCACCACTAGAGCTGCCAGCGGCCGCGTCCTTTCGACTGGCTCCGGAGGCTGGCACTGCAGGCCGGGTCCCGATCCTCTCGTCCTCCTCACTCGTCGGCGGACTCGGCGGGAGCATGTCGCGGTGGAGACTGGCGGACGAAGAGTTCTCCACAGCGGCAGCTGTGCCCGCACTTATCACTGTCGCACCTTCACCTCCACTTGCATCTCCACCGGCCCAACTGCCGTCACCACCCTGCCGGACGCCAAAGCTCCATGGAGCGGAAGCCATGGGCTGTTTCTGTGCTGTAGGTGGGCCGTGCGCTGCCTTGCCGAGGTGGAGCGGGAGCAAACCAGCCGGTGAGGCGGCAGTAGAGGTACCCTTCGCGCGTTCGGCCGTCGCGACGGCCGATTCGAGTGCCGCAGCGGTCGAGCTGGAAGCGGCACTGGTGTCAGCGGAAATGCATTTGGCGTGGGTCTGTTGCCCAGTGCTGGACGAGTTGCGCTTGGAGACCAAGGCGGGTAATCGCAGCGCTCTCGGAGCGTGCGACCGCATCGTGCTCCCACCGGCACCTGTATCCGATGACCCTGACTTGTAATCGCCATGACCAGGTCCATCCTCTAAACCCTGCGCATGGACATCCGCTTGCTCCGCCTGCCTGTCCACTTCGAGCTTCCGGGGCACGGCGTATGGGTCGCTGCGGCGGATGTGCAGGTCGTAAACCTCGCCGGTGGTTGCGTCAGACACGCGGATCAGCTGCTCCTCCTGGCCCAAAGCGCCGCGTATCGTCTTGATCTGCGCGGCGTAATATGCATCGTGTTCTGAGTGCGGGGTGCTGTTCTCGGCTTCTGCATACTGTTGCTGTTGCGACTGCTGCAGCTTCTGCTGGCTTACCGACTCAGAGGCACCCCGAGCGCCTTTGCTGTGCGCCCCAAGCCGGAAGGGCGACTTGGGGCGGTAAGAGATCAAGCTAAGCGAGGAGGGTTTGGGCGACGGCGGCGGTTTGGGCGAAGGTAACGCTGATACAAATGTCGATGTAGATGCGGGGGATGTGGGTACTGTCGATGAGTTACGAATAGGCATTAATTTCTGTTTTTCCGTTGCTGCTGCTGCTGAAGGATCCTGGGCAGCAGGATCCGATCCTGCCGCATGACTCGAACCAGCAGAGCGTGCGGGGAGCATGTGTGCGAGCATGTTGCTCACAGCAGGAGTTGTCTCCACTGTGCTCGCGGGGAGTGTGGGATGCTGGTCACGCCCGGCTCGAGCAGAACCCACGCCGACCCCTGTGCACCGTCCCCGCTTTTGCTATCAACGCAGATGTGCACTGCTGCTCGAGGATTGTACGGCTGGCGAACTTGCTGCTCACTCCTCTCACCAGTTACAAGAAACATGGGCCATCGACGAGCTCCATGTAGTAGTGACCACGGACTGTGACTGGGATCGACATGAATATCGATCGATCATCTCGTCGCTCGACTCCTGAGAGAGGTTTGGTGCGCTGGTGCGCTGGGGCCTGCGGCCTAGTGGCCGGCCTGGCGTGTGCTGGCCCAGTCAATCAACCCTTCTCTCTCCTCCTGCGTGTAAATCCAGCCGGCTGTCGACACGAGTGTGCGCGCGCGCTGGTGTGCATGTACGTATGTACCTGAGCGCCGCAACAGGGTCGCTCGCTCATCTGCCTGGGTCTAGGCTGGCGCAGTGCCAGCGCCCGTGCCAGTGCATCCTCGGCGGGCAACGCAACAACCAGCATTCGTTGGCTCCTTTCTTAGGGCCAAACCCTCCCCTTCGTCGTCGCTCGTCGTCGTCGTCGCTACCACCCACCCACTCCAGCCTCGTGCATACACTCTGCCAAACGGAGTACGCAGCACCGGCAGCTCTCTTGCCCTGTTCCCCGACCTCTGCTCTGCTCTTCTCTCTTCCCCGAACCAGCCAATCCCCCTCGTCGAGCCGGGCGCCCGCGCGCTGTAGAAACCCAAGAATCTTCGGGCCCCCATCCCACCATCTCTTATACCATCCGCCTCCGCCCCCGCCCACCATGTCCACCTTTGCCTCGCGCAAGAGGGCCACCAAGAAGGGCGTTTCCTTCACCCTCATGGTGGTTGGAGCAAGCGGGACAGGTGAGCATCCGTGGGATTCCCGGTTTCCCTTCATGCTGGGATCCCTTCCGTCGGGGGGGGGGGCGCTTGAACCAATGCATGGAGAGCCACGCAACCCGAAAGGATGGCGTTGCAGACGCAGGTCGGCGGGAACGAGATCATACGCAGCTGAAAAAAGGGAAAAGCGTACAGCACTGCAGGAAGGGCAAGGAGGACACAGACTCGGGGCTATCGTGCGCAGGTTTGGACGAGCATGGCATCCCGATCATTATTAGAGCTTCTTTAACCGCTGCAGGTCGAATCTGTCCGGCTCAAGCAACGCTGGAAAAGGACAGATGGAACGATGAAGCGCTTAGATGGGTCGAGCTGGCAGACTGTGGAAGAAGGAAGGCTGCCTCTACATTCCTGCCCACCACCCTGCCCTCCTCCATCACCTCAGCTGCGCGGCGTGCTGACTACATGTTGCACCTCCACTTACTTGCAGGCAAGACGACGTTCGTCAACACTCTGTGCGAAGGAGAAGTCATCGGACACAAGATCAGCGACAACCCAGAGACAGCCCACGTCGAGGAGGGCATTCGCATCAAGCCTGTGAATGTCGAGCTCGAGGAGGACGGCATGAGGATCGGCCTGACCATCGTCGACACACCCGGCTTTGGCGACAACATTGACAATGAGTACTCGTGCGTAATATCTTTCTGGCGGGAAAGAAAAAAGATTGCTCCAATACTTACATGTCGCCTCACTCAGATTCCAAGAGATCGTCGGCTTCCTCGAGCGCCAGTACGACGACCTGCTCGCGGAGGAGTCGCGCATCAAGCGCAGCCCGCGGTTCCGCGACAACCGCGTGCACGCGCTGCTCTACTTTATCACCCCGACGGGTCACTCACTGCGTGAGATGGACATTGAGTTGATGCGCCGCCTCAGCCCACGCGTCAACGTTATCCCCGTCATCGGCAAGGCCGACACGCTGACCGCGACAGAGCGTGCGGCGTTCAAGAAGCGCGTCGTCGAGGACATTGAGCACTATGGCATCCCTGTGTACAACTTCCCCTACGATGTCGAGGAGGATGATGAAGAGACCATTGCGGACAACTCAGAGCTGCGCGCGATGATGCCCTTCGCCATCGTCGGCTCCGAGGAGGAGGTTGTCGTTAACGGCGAGTCGATCCGTGCGCGTCGCTACCCTTGGGGAATCGTCGAGGTGGACAACCCGAAGCACTCGGACTTTACGCGCCTGCGCTCTGCCCTGCTCAATACGCACCTGGCCGATCTGAAGGAGATCACGTCAGACTTTTTGTACGAAAACTACCGTACCGAGAAGCTCTCGCGCACCGTTAACCCTGCGTATGCAGACTCCTCCATTCCCGGCGAGGAGCTGGCAAACCAGAGCGTCCGACTCAAGGAGGAGCAGCTTCGTCGCGAGGAGGACAAGCTGCGCGAGATTGAGCTCAAGGTGCAACGCGAGATCATGGAGAAGAGGCAGGAGCTTCTCGCAAAGGAAGAGTCGCTCAGGCACCTCGAGACAAGGCTCGCGCAGCAAAACCAGGAAACCGGCGCCCACTAAGCGCTGCCCGCGCCCACAGCTCGCTGTGCGGACTTGGGCCTATGGACGGTGGATGCATGCAAAGGGAAGCCCCCGCACGGATCGGAAGGCAGGCAACTCTCCTTCCATGTCAATGTGCGCACGCTCGAGTCGGGAGCCCTTGCGGCGCCCCCTTTGTGAAATATTTTCTGTGTTCCGTTTCTTTATGGTCTAACGACAAAATCAAATCGGACTGTCACTTTCCTCTCTTTTTTTCGATATTGAGCCGTCGCGTTCTACACCGATTGGCGGGTATCCTTTTTCGCAAAGAGGATTGCATACTGTGAGACCTTGTTCCACGCTGCAAAAGTAAATGTCCGTGTGCACTGGTGCGGCGGAGGTTGTTTATGCTGCCTAGTGTACATGAGCGCCTTGGCGAGCAGGACAAAAGACCAATGGCGAGCGATGAAGTATGTGCTTTGTGCGTGTGCATATACGAGTGTTTTTGGAAACTGTGCGTCTGTGTCAGCGTGTGCGTACGTGCGTGTGTGCATGCGCGTATGGTCTCAGTTCCGGTCCCGGCCAAGCCAGGGAGTGGAAAGAATCATGCGGGTCCTCTATGCGAATGCTATAACCTTGTCTGTCATCGTCGGGGCGGGACAGCAGGCTGCGTCGATATCCCGGTTGTAGCGTCTGTGCATGAACGCGCGTGGGGTGGGCGAGGCGAGGCGATATGACCCAAGTCGTGAGGCTGGAGCCGCTGGCTTTTTGCTGAGCTACAATTGGTAGAGGGTGAGGTGAAGCACTCGAGGGAAAAAGATGTCCGTAGTTGTGACTGTCCGTTGTGTCGATATCGTGTTTTGACATCGCAATGCCCGACTGTACGATGTCTGGCGAACCAGCCAGCTAGCACACGTTGACCAGCCTGTTCTTGGGCCATGGGTACCGATCGCGAGGCCAGATGGTGTAGTTGGGGTTCGTGTACACATCAGGGTGGTCTTCGATGTACTGGGCCGTCGGGTGGTCCGGCGGGTCGCAACTCGTCTTTGACTCCGTCCCAGCGAGCTGGTAGACCCGGACGTAGTCGACGAGCATGATCCCTGGAAAATCGAGCTCATCCCAGTGAACCGCTTGGAAGCCGGACGAAATGCCAAGGTTGATGATGATCGACATGGGCTCCGTTGGGATCAACCTCCGCGCAATGTTGATGTCGGTTCGTGCAGGGACCGAGTCGGATGTGACAGTCCAGGTCTTTTTGCCATCCATGTACCATGTGATCCAGCCGCTGCCGTCTTTGTTCCAGTCCGGCTGGTATTCAAAGCCGTACGTAACAAAGCGCGCTCCAGCAGCATCATGGTATGAGTCCGCCGGGATGTTCGAGATGCCCGAGACGGCCTCTTGGTAGACGGAGCCGGTGTATGAGTTTGCTTTAGCGGTTCCGTAGAATGTGGCGGCTGTTTCGTCCCACGCGTCTAAGGGAAAATTCCAGCGAATCAGTATGCAATACCGATCTACCAAATTGCGACAGCAGACGTCACTGACAATCAGGATCGAACGGCGCCGTCTGCAGCGACTGACTGGCCTCTCCAATGCTATGCGTGTTCTGGGCCTCGAGAATGTCGATCTCTGGCGAAGCGCGTCCGACGTCATGGCTGGGGCCCGGATGGTCCTCTCCCGCGCAGGTGCACGCACTGGCGCGCTGGCCGGGCAGGTACGAAAGCTTGTTGTCGTAGTTCTTGCTGTACGGCCCCTGCGCGTTTAACACGCGCGGCGGACCCGTCCCCTGCGGGTTCGTCTGGTTTGGCAAGGTCCCATAGTCGCACGAGTCGTACGAGTACGGCCACATGCCCTCTGTGCTGCCAAGGTAGCCTGGCCGGCCGAGGTTGCCCATCGTCTGCACAGCAAAAATAGGAAAAGTCACAATGGAATTCGTTCAGTAAACGCAAAACGGTCGCAGTATCCCAGTTGCGAGACATTTCGCTCAACGCACCCAAAGACCGGGCCAGAAACCACGCGTGTCCTGTCTGCCGGGCAGCTGCACGGCCATCTCAATATATCCGCCTTGGAAGCAGAACTTATTCCAGCTCTGGAGCATGCCGCTCTGAAAGTTTAGGTTGTGCGTCTCCTTTTGGCGCATGACAATCTGAAGCGCGCCTCCAGTCGTGTTGATCGCCTCGGGAGAGTACCACTCGTAGTCGCCCGTCGCGCCGTACCAGATGTCGACGGCTTCCCAGAATGGGTCGTCTGGGGAGTGTCGCGAGCAGCGCACAGCCGTATCAGCTTTGCATTCATGAGCAGGGAAAAATGGGAGCGCACTTCAACGCACCTCCAGGCCAAAAGGTACGACCTTCCTGCTGGAACTCGTCCGAGAAGACGAGCTGGTACTTGTTGCCGTTCGTGCCCGAAGTCCAGGTCTTGTCCGCTTCTTTGGTGTCTTCGTCGATGAGATTCCGCAGCCCATTGAGGAAAGCGACCTGGCCGGTGCCGTTGGTGCCGCCGAGGCCAAAGCCGCCCAGTGTTCCGGCAGACTTGTGGACAAAATGTGCAATGATCGGATACCCTGCAAAGAGGGCTAGCAGGCCGCAGACAAGCACAAGCAGCGCAGCGACGTTGAGGATCCCACGCATCGAAAAGATGGTGCAGTGGCGGTCCAGCTTGGCGTCGCGTTTCGGGTCTGGATTGTGCTGTGGAGATAAGGTGTGAGCGCTGATCACACTTCAGTGCAACCATCAGCGAGTACGAAACTGCCTCACCAGGTAGTCATCCGGCTCGGCATCCTTGCTGTCCCAAAGCAAGGCGCCGGCGGGCGTGGCGACGGCGTAGCGCCCGCTTGCCTCGCTATACACGGACGAGTAGCTCGAGTCGCGTTTTTCGTTGGAGAAGCTCTCAGTGCCCAGGGATCCACTCAACCCAGAGTGGGAGTAGGCAGCTGGCCCTTTGAAGCGCGGGCCGACACCGGCGGCGTTATCATTGCTGATATTGTTGTTGTAATTGTTGCTCTTGTCGCTGTGCACGGGCAAAAGACCGGCACCGGAGTGGTTGCTCGATCCGCTCGCGCTACCGGAGCTGTTGGTCGAGTAGAGACCGGTATTCTGTTGCTGCTGCTGTGCATATTGTGCCTTACCTTGCGCACCCTGTATGCCGGCGCCTACGCCGTTACCGGTGCGAATGTGCGAGTATGGACCATACTCAGCGCCTACACCTCCACTGGCGACGTCGCGCGAATTCGATGGCAGGCTTGCAGATCCTCCCGGGATGGAGGCGCCTCCGTGGACCATGCCGTGGATGTTGGCGGAGGCGCTGGTGCGCGTGCCGGGTGGTCCAAAGCCGTGTACGCCGTGCGAGGAGGAGCCTGCGCTGTGCGAAGTGGACGTCTGCGCTGCCGAGGAAGGGGAGCGAGACGGGGGAGCGGCTGCGCGCCCGCCGCCGTTGGCTTGCAGGTGCGCGTGGTCGGCCATCGCAGCGGCCAATGCGTCCTGGGGCGACAATGGGTTGGGATGGCCGTTTGCTGGTATGCTTGCAGGCGTCGACTGGCTGACTTGTGACTCGTCCCAGCTGGGTCAATCAAACGGCTGGTTGACGAGAGGAGGTTGTGATTGTCTGCCTGTTGCACAAGAGGAGATGGGAGATGACTATGAATGGGAGGACCCGCGGACAATACACGCGCACAACACAAAAAGTGCAGCTGTCCACACAAAAGGGCAATCAATCCAAAACCCGCCTTTTCTCTCTCTCCTGTCACACACAGTGTTTGATCGCGCTACGAGGCGAGAGGAGAGGAATGAGAGGGAGGACACGCAACCCCACAGAGAAGGGAGAGTAGCGCGATAGCCAAAAATATACACTTCATCTGTTCATTATCAACTCGTCCCGTTGGAACAGAAGTCAAGCAGCAGAGCACCACTGCAAGAGAGAATCATGCTGTAGTGGGGAGAGCCAAAGAGGTCCGTCTGTCCGGGGGATTGCGAATCGTTTCAAGCTTGCCAAGAGGAAGAAGAGCGGGCACAGCATTTGCAAATTTGTTTGTGAGGGGTTGGGTGCAATGAGAATGCAAGGGCAACACAGCGCAACTGCCTCCGGCCCAGGTCAGCGGAAACACACACACACGTGTCCCCCGCCCCAGCACTGCAGCAGTCTCTGAGCGCACACCCTCTCAAGGGCTTTTCTTGGCCCATTTCTCAAGTTTCTCAGCCCTCTACTCCTCCGCCTCGCGATGGCCTGGTGAGGCCTCTCCTCTGTGCGCCACTCTCGCCAGCGAGTGGAAAAACACGGCAAGCAACCTGCTGTCATACGCCTTATGCTTTTCTCGTTGTTCATTAGCCCAGAACGATCATGTGCGGCGAGTCGAAGAGTTGCCTGCATAAGGCCCTAAGCCAGCTTCACAGGAAAGGCACGATATCCCTTGCGCTCCTCGGACTCGACCCCCGCGCGCCTGCCCTCAGCTGCTGCGCTCTGGAGCGCCGAGCGGGATTGCCACGCACTTCATTGCGTTGCTGAACCCTACAGTACGTACAGGATTTGGGAGGGAGAACGCATGGCGAATGTGGCAAAAAGGCGGCGACACCTACCTACAGAGTGTGACCTGTCTCCTCACGTTACTTGTTCTCCGGCTGGCAATATGTGTCAATGTGAAGAGTAGAAGGGGAAGTAGGGTTTTGCTCCAGTCCATACAGCGTATGCGTCGAACTGTGGATGGCACGAAGATCGGCATGGGTTTGTGCGGTTGAGGCTTGGGCGGAGAGCAGCTTAGCATCGGAAGACCATCCAACATATTTATGGTAGGCGAGGCCCTTGGACGATGCGTCGAAAGAGCTCCATTCCAAGCGGTGCCACTACTTCTTCTGGGCTGCCGCTGACGAGAAGGAGGAATGACGTGCGCTTGGCGCCGGAATCATTGTGTTACCGCGTCATTATATACTACTGTACAACAGGAGGGTTGATTATTGCTCCAATCTCGATCGAGAAAGAGCGCGCTACCGCCAGCTGTCGACTGTCGAGTTGAAACGAGATCAATATTCGTCCACATGCAGCCGTTTCGAAGGTACCGCGGTTTCGCGCCCGCTGTCCGCACTGCCCTCACGCCCACGCTTCTGGCCAGCGACAGGTTCGTGCCCGTACCCATACGGCGGTGGTGAATGTCGCCTTGTAGCAGCAGCATATTTACCGGAGCCTGGGCCGCCGTGCTCAACCCTCGAAAGAGAAGGGAAGCCCACGTCATGGCGCAGATACGCCTTGTCCGGTCGCAGCGGCGCGGTTAGATCGTCTGGCGAGCGCGAGCGACGCGGGCGAGAGCCGTTGCTTACCCTCGGACCTCCTTGCGAGTATGGCGCGTCACGATGGTTAGGGTCGTGAGGATGATGACGGTGGTGGGGGTGAGGGGGATGATGCTGGTAAGAATGTTGTTGCTGATGCGCATAGTGGTGAGAGTAAGAGGGTGAGCCAGGTGAGGGGGACGACGCAGTCCGCTCCCGCGACTTCTCGAGCGGCCTGCCGCTTCTGTTGTTTCCGTTTGTGACACCTGCTGATACTGATGGACTAGTCATTCGAGCGCCATAAGGCGAGCCGCTCCTGTGAGGCGACCCTTGCCGTGCTCGAGCCCTCCTGGCCGCCTCTTGCTCTTGCTTCGCTACTTCTGCAGGCGTTACGCCTGAGTGCTTTGCGAGGATGTGGTACCGCGCCGAGCGGCGCTCAGCAATGGCGTCCAGTATGAAGCTGTCATCGAGTGAAAAATGAATCATTTAGTAGCTGAATGTATGCCCAAAGTTTGCGCGAGGAAGACCTACTCAATCTCCTCTTGCAGCTTCTGTTTCTTCTTCTCCGCTTTCTCGAGCAGTTTCGAGCATTCTTCCTTGCCCTATGAGACAAAAAAGAGTACTCAGAATCAGCTGTGAGAACGCACTAAAGCACACACGTCCTGTGGGAACGCACAGCAACAGCATGATCAAACCTCTGCTTGAACTTAGCCCACACTTTCGCATAGTCTCCATCATCGCTGCCAGACGAGTCGCCACCCGCATCGCCATCCTCTACAGCAGCGATCCGCTCTGCATCTGACACATCGTCCGAGTTCGCGGACTCCGTCTCGTCATCATCTACCACGGGCGGGCGACTCGTTTCCCCGGGCGGCGCCACTACGGAAGCAGGCACCATGGCGAGAGGCACTGCCGGCTGAACGGGTACGTTCGCGTTAGAGGTATTGGCTGCGGAAGGGCTAGATAGCAAACCCTGGTCGGCAACATCCACGTGCGCAGCTGATACAACACAGGTGGCAAAATGAGCCACGTCCACGAGCATCCAAGTGCATTCCGGCGGACTGGTGGAAGAACCCAACGCGCCCCGCGTGTGAATGTATTCATACATACACGAGAGAAAATGAAGCAACAGATCGTTGAAGAGGTGCGCTAAGATCAAGAGAGAGAAAAAGAGCGTATACAACCCTATTTTAAAGGTGACACGATGTGGTGTATATTTTTCGATAGAATTTTACAGGAGGGTCAACCTCACAGGTTCAAACTCTTCGAGACTGGAGTACCACGGGAGAAGGGAGCACAGGGACGTCGTCGTCTGCTCTTCACTTTTGTCGTTCTCGTGGCCCTGAAAGATAGGAAAATGGGAGGGGGGGAGAAAGATCACAAGCTCAGGTAATCATATTACTCCATCTCCGCAAGTGCATGAGCGGCCAGCCATGCCGTTCTTGATGGTCCCGAAGTTAGGGTAGGTTATGGTCGAGCAGCCGAGGGCGAGCTCGACGCCTACATCGCCGACTTAGGACGGGTCGCCGACCTTGCACCCGATGACGCCAATGTACCACGTCTGCGCCATGCCGAAAAATGCATCGGGTATTCCGCATGCAAGCGCCAGGAACTCCTCGATGCCGAGCGGAAGCTTGCTGGGGTCGTTAATAACATCAAAGTCGTAGTTGCTCCACCTGCCCTTGCAGACGATGAGGTGCTCCTCGACTATGATAGCGCAGTAGATGACGGGTCAGTACGCCAGAAGGACGAGCAGCGTGTCGAGCCAATTTTCAAAGTGCGTGGCACTGACGATGGCGAGAACGGTGTACACGGCCGTGCTGATCCGTGTACATAGGAAACGCGGAATGGCTTGAAAATATTTTCCGAAGAGCTGCACTGTCAGCGAGAACGAGAAGATGTTGTTCGCGATGAAGCCGAGGCCAAGGGAAATGGTCAGGAGGCCTCCGAAGCCTTTCATACTTGAGGGGCCTTGGCTAAGGACAATGTTGATGACACCGCCAAGAGCGTGTGCGTCGTGGATAGCTGCAAAACCTGGACACGTTTTCACTCTTGCCATGAGAGCAGCGTCAAGGGATTCAATCAAGATGAGCAGGAAGTTCACGCCGGCGTCGGTGGCAAGGAAGATGGCGAGGCCGCTGCGCTTGTGCGAGAGGTTGGCGCAGTAGTTGGATGGATGCGTATAACGACCAGCTGCTTCCAAAGCCCTGAGCAACGAAGCAAGAAAAAGAAAGGGATGCGCACTCGCTGACAGGCAACGAATATCACCGTGCCATTCCATCTACCACAATTGAGCCACCGAACGAGAGGACGTTACCCTCGGTGACGGATCCGTAAGGCGATCAGTCTGCGGAGACCATGAACTTTGCGATCTGACCGAGAAGAATGACAAAGATGACGGCGGGAATGATCGTTAACCAGCGCTCATACAGGTGGACACACTTGTAGCCTGCAAAGGCGGGTGTGAACGTGAAGATAGCGACGATGACGATACCTGCAGCGACGGGTAGGTTATGTCCCGAATCGGCATTGGCAGCAGCAAGGCAGGAGCTGCCAACAATCTCGTTGACCTGACCGTCAACTAACCGATCGTAGCGATCACATTGAGCACAGCGGGGATCCACAGGACGTAATAACCAAAGCTGAAGCGTGATAACATCATCTGTCTCAGGCCGATGCGTGCGCCAAAGGTGAAAAAGTATGCAACGCAGAGAGTGAAGAGGAAGTTGAAGACGATGATGGCAAGTACGCTCTCCCGAAGCGCAAGCTCGAAGAGGGAGATGCCAAGCATTCCGAGTGAGTGTGTGGAGATGATGGTGTTCACTGTGCCTCAAAGCGTGAGGGAGTGTAACAGGCGCGCATGTTTCCGTCCGTCTTCGGGGACACGTTAAATGTTCCGCGCTTCGACGCCGTGCACATCGAGCTTGGCCATGAGCGCGCAGAGTTTGCGGAAGATCCCCTTCCTGCGTGGGACGTTAGCGCCGAGATCAAATACGTGGAAGACTTGGCGCTACTGGCTCTAGCTTTCCAGGTGGTAGGCGTTGTTGGTGGCGCCGAACGTGCCGAGATCCTTCTCCTTCTCGAGCTCGTGCAAGGACTTCTTCTCCAACGCCGAGCTGCCGCCAGCCTGGTCCATGGAGGCTGGGAGTGTGACATAAAGTAGGGCAAGAAGGCCAGAGACGAGGGAAAAGATGCAAAATTGCCAAAGCACCAGGTGCGGAAACGCCGTGGAGATGGTGACGCAGCACACGATCTTCCCCTTTTACCGTTACAGCAAGACGAGGGCCATGTTAATGACGTTGGATTTGAATTCCGTCCATTTTATGTATATAATATACGGATCCCAATCCTCCATCCATGCGACCAGCTCGAACCCCGAGGATGCGGGCGGCTTTGAGAGATATGAACAGGCAGTGAGCTGTGTGAGTAAGTTAAGCGAAGCCGCGCAAGTCACTTGCCACCTACCACCTTCCACATGCCCGCCTGTCATGAGGGGTTTGCAAGGACTTGCAAGGCTCCCATCGTGATTACGCGAAAAGACCCGGGGGAGCCGTAGGGAGACAGGCGACGGCGAAGGAGGAGAACAGAGCAGAATGATGATGATGGTGACCCATCGAAAAGCCAGAAAAGAGGCGACGAAACAGACGGGGAACCTTCCGCCGGTTCCAGCCCAACAGCGCGTCTGGGGGGAAAGGTGACATCAAGGTGGACCGACAGTGGCACTGTGCCATAGATATGGTGCATGGATTTCGGAGGTGGCGGGTTGGCCGAGATACGCAGCCAGGAACAACGCGCCCATCAGAGAGTAGGGCTCTCTGGGGGAGAGCGCCTTGGGCACTAGGGCACATTCCTGGAAAGCCCACGCCTCTCACCTTCACAGTCGGCATAGGGGGGTTGCCTTCCGCCAGACCGCGGAAGCGATGAACTCCTCCATCCCAATCATCTTCCGTCCATAAACTACTCGATATATCTTCAAGAAGATCCAGGACGCGAGCCCCATCTTTTTCATAGCCGTGAAATGCATCTAGTGCTGCATGTTGATGCTGCAGTGGTCGGAAGTCGCGTGTCGTCTGACATTTATATCTTGTGACAGAAGTTGATCGACGGTCGACAGGTTTCAGCGCCGACTCGGACGACCCCCTCGGATTATATACAGACCTGATTGCAACTCTCCAGTTCCCCTTTACCCCATCGTTATGGGTTGTTCTTCTAATTCGATCAGATTATGCTGAGCCGACTCTATCTTCGAAAAGATCACAGAAACCTGCTAGAAAGCCCACCTCATCTTCGGAAAGTCCGTCATGCGGAATCACTGTAAACACTCCACGAGGCCGGATTGGCACCGTTACCTTCCCAGCTGCTGCACTCTATAAGCGCATCAGCCTCCTGCAAACGTGTTGCTATAATCCATAAGCGCTGGTTCCACTGGAGAGCCGTATAAAAAGCCTCCAACCTTATCACCGCTATTCTCCGACCGTTCGAACATAGCGCACGCCTTGGAGTTGGCGCGCACGGGGTTTGAAGACGAAGGGAAAGGAATCCCCATCGGCACATGCCTCGTCGATAACAAGACGGGGAAAATGCTGAGAGTCGGGTGGAGAAGGAGGGTACAGCTGGGTAGCGCTACAAAACATGGCGAGATCGACTTGCTCGAGGTGACTAAAAGCGGCAACAGTAGCAGCCTCTTCCAACCTCACTCAAGCCCGGGTACGATTGGGCTGTAGAACATCGACAGTTTGCCAGCCCGCGTGTACCGCAAAAGCACGCTCTACACGACGCTCTCAACATGTACGATGTGCACCGGCGCATGCATCCTGTACAGCATCCCACGCGTCGTGATTGGGGAGAACGACACGTTCCTCGGTGGCGAAGGCATCCTAAAGCAGCACGACGTCGAGGTCGTCAAACTGGACATGCAGGATTGCAAGTTGCTCATGAAGAGATTCATTGAAGAGTGTACAGAGGTGTGGTGGGAAGATATCGGGGAGACGGGCAAGGGGGCTGCAGAATAATGGTTCAACATTTTCGGTACAGAGGAACGTTTCAGTGTGTCCGTCGATTTCCTGTGAGCTCGTCAGCGAAAGTACAGATGCCCTGCATCTCGAGCCAATTCCTGAGCTCCAAGCGGTGCTTGACCGTTTTGATGCCTAGGCCAGCGCCGCCTCGGCTGGCTGGTCGATTCGCGATGCTGACGAATTCATCAAGTGGTATCGGCTCCATCAACAGGATTCGTCGCCAGAGCTGTGCGTCATCCTGCACCGCTTGCTTTAGGTGTAAGGACTTCAATGTGCCGCAGCCGAAAAGGGAGGAAGGAGTAGCGGATAGGGCCGCGATCGCTGCGGCAGACTCTTCCGCTTGTTCCGCTTCATCTGCAGATGAAGGAGATGAGATGAAGTCATCGTCATCCTCCGGGTCACCGGCATCGCCTTCCACAGCGACCTTCCCTCTCCCCTTCCCCCTCGTATGCTCCTTTGCCCTTGTCTTTTCTTTGGTCACTTTAGTCGTATTTGCGGTTGCTACTGTAGTCTTCGCATCATTGCATTGACGCCGAGGCTTTCTCTTGTCGGCGCTCTTTCCTTCTGTCGATCCAGAAGTAGCAGATTGGACGCTGTCGCCTGCTATGGCAGGAGAAACCAACTTGCGCGGCCGACCTTTGCGCAGTGGTGTAGAGGTGAGAGGCACATCGCTGCCCGTCGTGTCTTCATTCAGAACCCCTCGCTCAGTTGCCTGTGGACCCACACATATGGCCGTGGCGACCTCAACTGAAGAGCTGCTATCTTCAGAGGAGCCGATCCAGATGACGCTGAACTCCTCATCTAGAGCATACGCTTTCTTGCTCCTTGTGGCACGTGAGCGAATGGAGGTGCCAGAGGGGCATTCTGCCGAGGGTGGCCGCATCTCCTTCGGCAATCCATGGACGGCTTGCCAAACTCTTTCGAGACGCGCTACGAGCTCTTTGTTGCTGCTTGATGGCCGAAAGGAGTACTTTCCGGCTTCCTCCTGCCCGGTAAGAGCCACCAATTAAGTTATTTCGATATGAGCAATGAATTAGCGCACACGATCGCCAATGACTCACCTGGAGACGTGCCAGGGTCCAAGACTTGTACGATGGCATCTTGGGCGCTTTCTCGGCCGGCGGGGGCGAGCAGCCCTTCGATGAACATGAATCAGTGGCAAAAGTCATGGTCGAAACCCTGAATGGCCGAGCGAACGCGTAAGCTGCAGGTCGCACTGACATGTGCATAGCCATTGCATAATGCATGGCATCGTGATCACCACCTTTCACAGCTCGGACCAAGGTGGAGCGGTGGAGACGAATGCTAATCAAGGCGATTGCTCATGACATCTCAGGGCATGGTCCATCAGCAATTTTTGCGCCCCCTTCAATGCATCACACGTCTCGCTTGTCGAGAACGGATGAAGGCAAGGAAGGTCTGCAACCTAGTGAATGGGTTGTCTTATCTTTCTTGCACATTTTTGCTTTGATCCGCAACTCTCTCAGCAAAAGCTAGGCGAATTGAGCCGATGGGTGAGTCTGCGACCTGCCCGCGACACGTCTTTGTTTGTGATCGACGTCACGACGCCGCGTCCTGGTCTGTGGACAAAAGAAAGAAATCAGCAACCTGCATGACATCAACTTCTTCCTGCAATGATGTGGGTCCACAGCCCTCTGTAAAAAGCCAAGTGTATGGCAGTAACATCTTCGCATCTGAAGCACATAATACAGTGACGACGGGTGCACATAGGGTAGCCTCTCGTAGTAGTCTGCCAATATGACGCATGGCATGGCGGGTCTCATGCCCGATGCTGAAAGCAGGCACCCCATAGCCAGCCTTCAGGATGAGCAGGATGGGCATGCCTCGTGCAGCGGTCGGAGAGCGACATGGCTCATGTCTATTCAAACTTTATCGAGCTCGTTGCTGCGCTTGATGGTTTATGTCTTTTTGAGATGGGTGAGTCGAGCCCAGCGCCAGTTGTGGGTCCCAAAGGCAGACTGTGACCTAATCAGTGTTTCTGCAGATACCCACCAGCATCGTTGTCAAGCCGATTCCCATTGCATACTTGCTATATTTGGGCGCGTATCTGCTCAACCGCGCAAGAAGTCATGAGCCTGTGGAGCAGAATGAGAGAGCTGTGGAAAGCGTCACTGCTAACAGCAACCCAGAAAATCCAGCCGTAAGCACACCCTCCCAAAAGGGAACAGCGCAGAGCAGGGACGCTAAAGCGGCAGCAGCCCAGGCACCTGGAAACTGTGGTCGCCGGGGGGTGCTTGTCAAACGAAAGAGGCGTATCGGCATATTTGATGCGCTTTTTGCACTCCTGTTTGGCTCCTTATCGTCTTCATCCACGTTGAACAAGCTGGTCCTCTTGCTCAACACACTGGCGTTCGCCTGGTTCGCGGATTCTGTTCTCTCGCCCATTGCATTTCCCTCGCACTGGGAGCATCACCTGCACTTTTTCCGGACCGGTGCGATTGGACCTACATTTGCGAAACTGCATATCCGCTACCCTTTCCCTTTCGGAGAGAGTGCATACTCTTCCAACGAATCCGCCCCAATTACGTCCATCGACGGCCTGCCGGTGTACACTGAATCCGACCCAGTCATTCTTTCCAATCCAGAGCCCATGCGCGTTATCTATCGAGAAGCTCTGTCAAACTCAATCTCTTCGTCGTCTCCGTCAAAAGTGGCGGTCAAAGAAGCGCACCGCTGGGAGCGTGGGCCGCTTTTGCGCCTCACGCCAGATTCTGATTGGACGGCTACTGCACAGCTCTCGGACCTCTGGCCCGCTACAGAGTATGAGTGGAGCGTTGTCTTTGCGCACAATCACACAAGGCCTCGTGAAGAGCGTGTGCAGAGGTTTGTCACATTCCCAGATCCTATGCTTTCGAGGGCTCGCGCAGGAACCGCCAAAACGGTAGTCGGGCCGACAGCGTGGCGCGAGGATGAGGATCAGAACCCGCTCGACGATCCAAATCAGTGAGTCGCAGGATGCTTGGTCAGGTTGAAATGTATTATTCACTTTGATTCCACGACAGCTTCACTTTTGCGACTTCGTCTTGCGTCAAGCCAGATTTCCCATGGAATCCCTCACAATTCATCCTGTGGCACTGGCTGTTCCATCTCTTCGGCTACGGCCGTGCGGGGACATCCAACCCAGCTGTGCGCAATCGCATCCAAGGGTTCGACATGCTAGCAGACCGTGCGATCGAATCACGTCGTCGGCTCGGTCACCCTGCGCTTCGCTTCTTCATGAGCCTGGGAGACACCATCTACGCAGACGTTCCAGTTTGGGGAGGCGCAAATATCAGCAAATACCGCAATCTATATCGCAATCTTTTTGCCAGCCAGAGCTTCCGCCGCGTGTACGAGAAGATTCCGGTCATTGGCATCTATGACGATCATGAGGCGAAGAACAATTGGTCAGGAGGGAGTGATGATGAGGACATCCAAGCTGCCATTCCTGTTGCGACGCAGTCTTGGCAAGAGTACATTGGCGGCGCCAACCCGGACAACACGCTGCAAGAGGGGACAAGAGAACACTGGTACACCTTCCGCTACGGCGATACAGCCTTTTTTGTCATGGATGTGCGAAAGCACCGCACCTCAATGGAGCACGAGGACAATGCAGGCAAACAGGTTCTGGGTGACAAGCAAAAGGTTGCGCTGTTCCAGTGGCTTTCGGCGGTGAACAGCTCCTCCACCACGTTCAAGTTCATTGTCAGCTCTGTACCATTCACGAGTCTCTGGGGAGGCAAGCTGGACGTTGACGGATCGAAGGATAGCTGGGCTGCTTATCTCACTGAGCGTGATGAGCTTCTCGAGGTGATGCACTACGTACCGAACGTTATCGTGCTTTCCGGTGATCGACATGAGTTTGCAGCGACAGCCCTCGCTAAGCGAAAATCGGAAGAGGAGGAGAACGAAAGCTACACTTTGTGGCCTGTGACCGAGTTCAGCACATCTCCGTTGAATATGTTCTGTGAGTGCGGTTCATCCCACAAACACTTTTCTACAGCTGCTGACCTGGCTTGATGGGTTACGCAGACTTGCCCATACGGACTCTTGGACAAGAGAATGGCAGAGGCGCGACAGGCCAAGAGAAGTTGCTCAAATACATTCCAGATGGGAATGTCAAGTGGACCGAGTTTGAAGTCGACACGCGCGATCATTTGCAACCAATTGTGCGTGCGACAGTGATGGTCGACGGGAAAGAGGCATGGCGCGTCGACATTGTCGGGAAACCGGTCGTCTCCGCGCCGAAACAAGCCGTCGGCGGGCTGGCCAAGACGCTGCTTGAGCTGCTTGGATTCAAGTCTAGGAAATGGTTTTAGCTGCCATGCAGCATGCGCAGCCGACAGAAGGACTGTTTCCCTGTATCTACCTTGCTTCATGCTTCGCTTTAATCTGCTAATATACAGCCACATGCGGGATGCAGATTCATGAGGTGTCCATTCTCTCTTCTGATGGCGGCACGGAGCCCACATCGAGAATGTCTGCGTTTTTTCGAAATAGGTCAGTAGGCAGCGCAAATATGAGGCGTCCAAATTAACACTGACCATCTTTGACAACCAAATCCCAAATCTTCTCCTTCGTCCAGGCAGTCGTGCCGCGTTTGAAGCCATACTTTTGCTCCTTCACGCCTCGCTCGTTTGGCTTGACATAGTTGCGCAGATTGTCGGTCTTTTCCTTGGTGATGACGCATACGTCGACGTTAGAGCCAGAACCCAAGTCATTGAAGATACCCGATTCAATTGCAGCGCAGACCAGCGCGATGGCCGACTCGCGATCCATGTCTTTCTGCCAGCCGCTTTCAAAAACAGCCATGGCAGCGAGACTACCGGAGCCCATGGTCACGTATGGAAGCTTATCTGTGCTTCCATGCGGCGCGACAGTGAAGAGTTGGGGACCAGTGGCGTCGTATCCTCCCAGCACAAGCGCTGCACCAACGTGGCCTTGGTATTGGAACAGACGCTGCTTGAGCATCGTCATGGCTGTGACAACGCGCGGCTGTCGGCCTGTGGAGAGCTCGTGCAACTGAATGTTCGAGGAGATCAGGTTGGTGATGAACTCTGTATCTGCGGCCGTCCCTGCACCGCAGCAGCGAATATTTTCACTGATGTAGTGGATCTGTTTAATAGGCATAACAGGAATTGGAGTCAGCGAGGCGAGGGCATCGAAAAACGACGCTGTCAGCCACAGGCTGGTCATTCACCTTCTCGCAATTCTTGTCCGCCACGATTGGCCCCTCTGTTGCACGTGTGTCTGCTCCTAAAACGACACCATCCTTGTAGATAAGGCCGACGATCGTAGTGCCCGTTGACGTTGCCTTTGGCAGGTTGAGGTTCTTGGACTGCGCTAGGTGGGCGTTTCGGGTGTGGTTGCTGAAGTCGAAGCCCGACTTGGACGGCGTCGCTAGGACGGACGTCATTTTATTCAGCTTGGTCACTTGGTCGCCAAGTTTCAGGCACTGTACTTTCCCAGTCGTACGGAAGTATGATTCAGTGCAATTCACGGAAGTCAGATGGAGCTGGAATTGTATGAGACGAGTAATGAGAGCTGGGATGTCAAGTTAAGCACGCACTCGAGATGTGATCGAGGAAGTGAATGCAGCACGCGGTGTCGCGGCCACGCAAGCGCGAGTTGTTGGAACAAGGTCGGAAAGCGATTAGTTTGAAGGTTAGGGTTGCCTATGGTTCCGCCCTAGGACGAAGAAGAACCGCTAACACAAGCCTCACTTGCTACATGACAACCCACGCTTCTTCGGTCCTTTGCTCTCCCGACTAGAGTTTTGAACGTTGCTCAACTTGACCCAAATGGTCTTCGTGTTATCTGCGTACCACGAGCGGCTAATCCTCAAAAGCATAGGGAGCAGTTTCCCGAAGCAGAGACGGCTCGGATTGAGTGACCGCAGAGCTCAAAGCTTTCTTCCCTTGCCATTGAAGGCATTAACCTGGGTGATTTTAGGCGGACGACCTCAAAATGGACGCGACGATGACCAGCGCATCCGCTTCGCAGCAGCCCTCGCTGTCTGACCTGCTGCAACAATCCCGGAAGCTGACCAACCATCTCTCGCGGTCGGACCTACCGGCCATTCAGCTTGGCCTGGATCAAATTGAAAATCAGAGTCGGAAGCTCGTCGGGAGAGCTGCTGTCAATGCCGGCGGCGTATACCCCGGAGGCGAGGAGGCACGGGCGTGAGTCGGACATTGCTGCTGCGTGGGCAGGCCAAAGGCGTTGCTGATTCGTCTACTTCCTTGCAGTCACTACCTTTTAGCTAATGGAGGTATCAATGCTGCAGGGCTAGCTGACGCAATCCACACGACGAACATTGCTCATGCGTTTGAGCCTCTGCGACCCATTCACGACACTGACGTGGAGGTGAGCTGCTGATGTTCTGACACGGCGCTTCGGAGTCAGCTGAAAGTCAGCATCCCTCTCTTTGAAGGGCTATCTCAAACATGAACACGAGCAAGTCATTCTCAGTGCGATCGAAGAAGGGCGCCGAGAAGTAGGTTGTCGAGTTCTTCTTTACCGAGGTTGAGGGTTTTATAGCTGACTTGCATCGTGCCCAGACCATCCGTGATTTCTATCGAAATGTTGACCGCACGCTACATCGAAACTGGGAAAAGCAAAAACGAAAGATCATGGAGGAATTTGGTTCCTTCCAACCTGGGGCATCGATATCTGCTTCGGCTTTCGGAGCCAGTCGTGGTGCGGCAGTTGCTCCCGGGGAGACAAGCGTTAGCGGAGCAACCAGCTTTGTCACAGGTGTGATAGCTGGTGCATCGAATGGCGGCGGATCTAGGAGTCTGCAGATGCACAGCAAAATGATGCGCTACGACATTGTCGTGAAGAAGCTGAATGAAGCCCGCCTGAGCGGAACCCCTTTCCCGCTCGCGCATGCCTACCTCGAGGCAGTGCAGGGAATGTCTAGCGCTGAGCCTGGCGTGGCCAGCAAGAGCGTTGCACTCGAGCAGTGCTGGCGGACAGTCACACACATGGTGTGCGAGCGTGACGTGCAAGGCGGCGAATTCACAAGAACTGCCATAAGGGAACGGCAGTACGCGGGCGCTTACCTGGATCCCGAAAAGTACTTTGGGAGCATTGATGGCATGAATTTGCGCCGGCGCTTGATTTGCGGTGCAAAGTCATATCTCGAAGAGCAGTGAGTGGGCGAAAGCCAGTTGTGTTGCTTTGCCATGTGGCGTCTGACGCGCTTCTCTCGCTTCAGATTCGCCGCCCATATGGAGGACGCCATTGCGAGAAATCCGGTCAAAGCACAACTCGGCGGTATCCCGTCCGTGCAGAGTACAGTTGCCGCATACTGTCGGGTACATTTGCAAAGCAAGGAGGGACAGTGGTCGCCGGATCTGGAGACTATCGTTACCTCAAAGGGCAAGGTTCCAATCTGGGCACATATCTACTTCCTTCTCCGCATCGGGCAGGAAATTGAAGCGGTGCAAGCGGCTGTGCAGTACGAGCCGATGCTGCGCAAGCTGGATCACTCCTTCCTCGGCAACTTTAAGAGCTGGATTGATAGCCCTGATCGAATACTACCCAAGATGCTCCGGGATCGCTTCTTTGCCGAGTACAACTTGCGTTTCCGCGGCATTTCTCCAGACTCTGTCGACCCTTACAAGCTAGCTCTCTACAAGCTCATCGGACGCATCGATCCACGCAAGCGCTTCCCCGTCTCGCTTGTCCGGAATTCGGAGAATTGGCTCTGGCTTCAGCTCAGCCTTGTCCGAGAGCATCTTTCCAGTGCAAGCGATGCAATCGATGACACTGGCATCAACGGCAGAGATTCTTACACACTTCAAGATGTTGCCGCCACGGTCCTCAACTTTGGCGAGGCTCACTTTGATCCGAAGGGCAATCGACCGTATCACTACTTTCAGATCCTCATCCTCGTTGGTCAGCTGGAGAGAGTGAGATAGTCTTTCGTATAAGCTGTGGCGTGGACAGAGCACTGACGATGATGTGCTTTTCTAAGTCCATTGCTTTCCTCTACTCACGCCCGGCATGTCAATCAGATGCGGTGCAATTTGCAATCACTGCAGCCTACTATGGTCTGCTGAGGGTACCATCGAATGCCAAAGCATCCCATATGGATTACTGTAAGTGCACGAGCCAAAGTCGTCACAAGTATACCGATTATTGACGTCTCTGTCTATAGTGACAATGGACGAGCAAGAGACGCACGAGCCTATCGCATATCTCGATTTTGCAAAGCTAATCCAACGATATGTCAGACCATTCGTGGAGTTCGACGCAAGAGAAGCATTGCAGTATCTGTATCTGGTGTGCCTCAGCGCGGATGCACCAGCTCCAGTAGGTCAAGAGCAAGTGGCCAAGTGTCACGACCTGATTCGCAGTCTCGTCCTCGAGAGTCGACAGTACTTCGAGCTTCTCGGCGATGTCCGGAAAGACGGAACCAAGACAGCAGGCTTGATCGAGCAGAGTGCACGCTTGATCAAGTTTGCAGACAGTCAAGCATATCTCAACTCAATTGTGCGAACAGCTGCTGCTGCTTCTGAGGCCCAGCACCGAACGAGAGATGCCATTTTGCTCTACAATCTTGCCGAAGAATACGACACTGTCATTTCTGTGCTCAACAAGGAGCTGGGCAACAAACTCATGGATCCTTCATCCGCTCGCATTGCCGACTCGTATGCTCCTTTGGACAGTCAGCGAACATCCCTCCGACCGAATGCCAGCTTTGCTGCAGCAGAGGACATTACTAGCATGGCGCATGAGATTCTGGCAAGCTATGAAAAGCAGAATCGCATTGTCCGAAAGGTCTCTACCAAGAATCGTGACACCTGCAAGATGCTGCTTGAGCTCAAGCGATGTATCGCTGCTTACAGCGCCGGCGACCTTGAGCATGCTCTCCAGGTAGGTTGTGCTGATGTTGTGATGCTCTGTTTCTTCACCGCTGACCATTTTGCGTGCAGGCAATCGAGACTCTCGAGCTTATTCCATTAAGAGGCGACGTCGTTACCATTACTCGCAAGGCAGAAGAATTCAAGGACATTGATCCGGCAATCGCCGCGAACCTTTCAGACATTCTGCTTGTGACGATGAACATCATTTCCAAGCTGCACACTGGCCTGCGCAGCTCCATGTTTGGCGATAGCAGCAAGCAGCGAACCATGACGGATTTGCGACACAAAGCTCGTGCGCTCCTCACTTATGCAGGACAATTACGCTTGAGAATGAGCAACGAGACGTACAGTCAGCTCCTCAATCTAGCGCCGCAATGAGACCATGTAGATGGGGTATGTAGCAAAGCAAAATAGATTGCGTTGTTTCGCTAGCAAGAATGTCACCCAGCGACGCATGCGCTAGGCTGCCTTATTCGCTAATTCAGGGAGGCCTTGCTCTCTGCCTTACAAATGTATGCCGCTTATTCGAGGCGTTGTCGTACTGGAACGAAGAGGGTACATGGGTTGGCGAGCTTGACGTGGTGATCTCTCATCGTTAAAGGGTGCAGCCACGGGAAAGTGTGGCTGATTTTCTTCTCTCTTCCTTAGGCTTAGATAAAAGAATGCATGACGGTTTGCCTCTATCTCGTTTCTGTTCCGCGAAAGTCAGCGCCAGCATTTCTGACCTCAGATCCTTTCATGATATCTTATCTCACCATTCCAGCACCTCAAATGTGACCCGTGATGCAAGCTCGGCTTTGTGTCCTTTCCTAACATCAGGCCTCACCCCTACGTTCCACCGCAAAGTGAAGCGAGCGCATACACTCTGGGTTTGCCTCATCTTTTCCCATCCAGATGCCGTTTGACGCTGAGCCAGTGACCTCGAATGCGGATTCTGCTACATGTAGACTGACGAGCTCGAACCTAGCTAAGGTTCCAGGCCTTCACGATCGAACACAGGACTATGTCCACTATCAAATGCATTTCACCGCGCCCATAGACCAAGCTTTCGATGTACCGAATTCGGCGGCACAGAATGCCATCAAAAATGTGGATAGGCATACAGAAGAGCATCGCAAGCGTGAGTGAGACCAAGTGGAAAATAGCTCTAGCTCTGTGAATAAACCCGTTTGTCTTCTAGGCCTGGAAGAGCGAAGAGCCAGGCGTAGCGAGAGGGCCAACATTTTGCAGGACGAGAGCAAGACGACCGCTCAACGAATCCGGGAAGACAAGAAGAGAAGAGCTCGCCTGCAGCAGCAAAGGGAAAAGAAACGCCAGAATAGCCCTGCGTGGGCAAGCGAGAATGACAACGGTTCGAATGCTAAACCCAAAGCTGCGAAGCGCAAGCTTGGTAGCCTGCCACGCTCTGCTCAAGAGAAGTACAAAAACGTGATAGCCAGCAGGCGCTTGACTGTGAGCATGTCTACAATGATCGGGCTCCTTCTTAACTGATTCGGTCGTCTGAGTGCAGCTTCCAGTGGCCAAGATCGGCGTTTTCAACTGCGGTGTGACAACGCCAAAAACAACAACGAGCGATCGACCGCGCAAGCGCAAATCTTTGGCAGACATTGCTTTCAATGAAGCTCGATTCTTTGAAGACGCAGAGTATGCGGCCAATGCTGGTATTGGAGACCCGGCTGGAAGACCGCAACCCACGAATTTCACGGTTGAAAATAGAGAGAGTGGCTCGGTAGATGCGAGATGTTCATCTGCAGTTCAATCACGTTATTTCCAAGGCCAACAGATCGACTCGACTGCGGCAAAACAGCGACCTCACGTACAAGCTGATGATGAAGAACAGGATGATTCCGATGAGGGGCATTCAGCTTACTCTGTGCAAAAGCGCAGGCGTCAGAACAAGGATGCTAGAGAGGAGCATGCTTGTGCTCCTCCCCTCTTTCGACTGTCATCTGCAGTGATCACACCGCAGGCGTCGGCCAGTAGTTCTGTAGACCCATTGGCTCTGGGAGTCAAACCTCCATCCCTGGAAATGCACACAGTAGGGTCACAGAGTCAGCTTAATAACAAGCCTGAAATCGCGCACAAAGCAGCGACACAACACGCAGATGCCAAAGGCCCACCGCTGAAAAGAGCACATCATCATCAAGAGGATCAGCCTAGCTTACGGTATCACAGCGGCTACTTTGCCACAGGCCCACCGTATGATCCTACCAACGCGTGGCGCAGCGAGGGGGCTCGGGCCTCCAGAAGAAAAGCAGAGATGGAGAAGCCATTGGACATCGAACGTTCTGCGATCGCCACGAAAGTTGCGCAGCCTTCTGCGACACTCATCAAAAAGAAGCGCAGAAGGATGGATATCAGCAGAAGCTCACCGACAAAGCGTTTCCAGTTGCTGCTCGATTTCGAGAACTTGCTCAGCGAGGAGGGTGGTTCTTGTGTGGCTGAATTCGATTCACCTTTGAGGAAAGCGGAAGAAATGGCCAGACAAGAAGATCTGGAAAAGGAATTATCCGCAGTGATGTTCGAGAGCGAAGTTGAAGGCTCAGCTCATTGCCGCAATGGGGCACAGCTGAGCAGAGAGGACAGCTGGGAACTCACGAATGTTTGGTCTGAGCAAGCCGTGCGGACGCTGGACTTTATCGAATCGGCCTCGCAAGACCCCATCGACTTTCTGGGCACCGAGCATACATGCGCTGGGTCTGAGACAAAGCATGCTGAGGATGGTCTGGCAACCGAACACACACACATGCAGATTCACCAACTTCAAGGGGATGCTTTGGACCACTTCTGGTTGCCGTACAGACAGTGATTTCTGCCAAGAGTTGGGTGCAACATTCATTGCAAGTGTGCAATGTAGACATCATCAATGTCCCTTTCCCTTCGAATTCGCAAACAGCTTTGCCTCAGCATACAAAGGCGGTGGTTCGCTTGGATCCGTTGTGCACGATGCACGTGCCGTGGAGCGAAGTTTGCGAACGCTGTTGCCATCTTGTCAGAAAAAGTGTGTCCTGGAAAGCGATTGAATCGTCTTGCAATGCTACAGCGCGTACATGTGAAGAGAGCCTTGCCTCCGAAGTGAATTCTTTTGGTGCGAGTTGAACTTGGCAATTGGCAAAAAAATGACTTTTTGCAACGTTGACGTCCTTCGTGCTGCCTGCATTGTAGCCTTTACATTCCTGAAAGAGATCGAGCGCAAGAGGCTGCAGGTCAGAGCCTCCGCGTGCGCTTCTGCGTTCAACAGCTGTGCCTCTTCTAGGCCGACTTTTCAGTCGTTGCCGGAATCCACACCAACAGACAAATGCTCTGATGAACAAAAGCGCCCACTAAAGAGCCGAGCACCGCTCTGATGATGTTTCCCTCCGTTCCTTTGCTTCCTGAAAAGGCAGATCGGGGCTCCGCTTTGTAAATGGATCGTATCCGGAGTGGTTGCCATAGGGGTTCAGATAGAATGGGTAGCACATGTATTGCACATGCCTTTGAAGATTGATTACCTTTGAGCATGTGAACGTGACTTCTGTGCGGGCATCAGTTCCAGTCATCTGTTGAGACAGCCAGATGTAGAAGAAGGGACTTGCATGCGAGTAGTCCGGCAATTCTTGAGATATCCAGGTCTTGTTCGCAGCATCCTCGGAGGTGATGCTCAGTCGATATAGCCCGCCATTGAATGTGCATTCTTGACTAGTCGCCTAGTCGGAAAGTGATTGCTGACATTGCTCCAGAGGGAAGCGAAGTATTGTATAGCGCTGGCGCTGTAGTGTCGTTGGAGAGCGTCGTGAGCACGATGGCACCGCTAGTTGTCTGCATCTCCTCCGGGGTCGGTCGAATCGAAAGAGAGACTTGAAAACAGGAGAACAGGTTGTCCTCGATGCTGAACCCTTATGTTTCGCACCTTGGGCGTCTTGAACCTCGACTCCTGCTGACTTCGGGTTGTGTGAGAGAGAATCGCGGGACGCACTCAAAACGCTTGCATCGCCCTGTGAGTGTGTATGAACTTGCCGCCGTTTCTTCGAGCAGAGGCTGATACATGTAGCCTTTGCAGTTGCCCGTATCCACCCATGACACCAACCACGGCTATTTAGAGAAGCTGAAGGAAGCGGAGTAGAGAAAAAGAACTGAGGCCTGCGAGAGGCACGGATCTGGTTAGTTGCAGGCAAGCGAGCTGATGTAGCGAGGGCTAGCTTGGATCTGATCTGGTTGCTCGCGTAGAAGTACCCATGCGACTCATCTGCGTAGCAGTCCTAAGGGGACATGGATTGTAGCAATCAATGCATCTACTTCGGTGGTAGAGGCTATGGATGATGATCGAGTTGTGTAGACATTTTTCCAACCTATGAGTACACTGGTTTGAATCAAAGGACACCTTGAAGTCTTGTCCGTCGACGGTCAATTTCATTTGATTTGCAGCGGAGTGGCAGTCCAGTTTATGCGATTAAGTGGTTAACTCAAGCAGTAACGATGGTCTGGATATTATGGCTGGAAGATGACTGGCGATCTGCCACTCTTTCGGGGACCAGCTGGACCTTTCTATTGGATGTGTGTGACCTTGATCTGCCAGCAATCTGCCAATGAGTGAATGGTGGTCAGCAGCTACAGAGAAACTCTGACCTTCCGGCTATACCACTACTAGGTGGATTTTGTGTGAATTGTTGGATTACGATGTGATTGTTCTCTCAATTTCATCCTCATCCACAACAATTGATCTCTGCAGGTAGGAGTTTTATCCCATTGAGCAACCGCGGAGCCGTGGCAATAGTACACATCTGAAGTATATATCAAAGGCGCCGACATTTATCTTAACACCAGCAGAAGCATTCATAAGCCTTTGTATCTGCTTAAGGGTTTGCCCATCTAGGACGAAGGAGTGGAGTGAGCCGTGAGGTCGGCCTTGCTGGGGCGGCGGCTATGAAGTGGGCTGCTCGCAGCGGAGCTGCGGCGGTTCGACCGGCGGCTGGCTGCGTTGCTGGAGAACGGCGTCGTCTTGAGACGGAAGACATTGTCATGGCGTGAGAGTGCTAGCTTGCTGTCCGTCGAAGCCAGCTTGCGTTCGCGGAGCGTCGTCCAGGTGCGGCCGACGTGCGCATCGTACGCCTCCAGCTCCATGTCCAGCGGTGCGGTGCGCGCAGAAATGACGTTGCTGGTCGCGAACTTGTCCAGTGTAAAGTGCAGCTGAAGGGCCAGTGATTGCCACTCCGCGTCGGTTGCGATAGTCCTCAACAGCACTGGATCGTCCGCGGGCTGCTCGCGCAGCAGTCGCTGTGCCCAACACGCGTACGGTCGCTCGCCGTCGTCAGGCAATGCCACGATCGCAGCGCAGGCCGTGAGGATTTTCTCAATTGCCAGCTCGTCGATCCGCGCTAGTGCTGCGAAGAGATCGGCGCGCATCGCGTTCTCCTTGACCGAAATGCTGCCCTCGAAGAACATGCGGTCAAGGCGTGCGAGCAGAGCGGCGCCGCGGCCGCGCACGTGGTCGGCAGCCTCATTGCGAGCTTCCAGAATCCGGTCCAGGTTCTCTTCC